GTTTCTTGCCCTAAGAGAAGTCTTTACTTTTCTTAAGTAGTCTAAATAGTAGTATTATAATATCGGCGTACTTATCTATAAATTATTAATAGTAGTTCACGAGTCCGGTAAACTATTAAAGTTTCTTAAGATTCTTCGGCTGTAGCTAATCTTTAATAGCTTAAATTTTAGTCTTTTTAGTCTGTATTTCTTCTTATATAATCTAATATTCTAGAAACTCGGTCTCTTAAATATAGAATTTGTATTTCTTTAGCTTAAGTTGTATCTTAGTAATTTAAAGCTTTTGAAGTATTAATTTAATATATCTAACGTGTTCTTTAATAGTTTTTAAGAAAATTAGAATATTATTTAAGTAAGCAATAACGAAGTCGTTAAGGTATTCGCCTAATACTTTGTTAATAAATTATTGGAATAATGCTAGTGCGTTAGTGAGACTAAACAGTATAACTGTATATTTGTAGTAGCTATACTTTGTTCTAAATACTATTTTCTATTTCTCTTCGGCTGCGATTTAGAATCTGTTATATATATTAGTAATGTCGAATTTAATAAACTACTTTACTTCTTGAATTTAATCTTAGATCTTACTGATTAAGGGTAAAGAATGTCGATCTTTAATAGTAATATTATTAAGTAATTAATAGTCTACGCATAGTTATAACTCTCCCTTCTTCTTAGATATAAATAGGACTCTGTGTCCTGCCGATAATTTTAATAGTTAAATTATCTTTTTTTTAAGGTTTTCGTTAATGTATTCCTTAAGTATTTTAAACTTTTTTTCTGATATAGAGTATATTTTATAACATAACAGTTTTGTTTCTAATTTAAGCGGTATAGTATAGTCGTGCGGACTATATTTCGGTAGTTTAGAATATTCGGGCTGTTCGAATAAATCTTAAAATTATTTGTACTTCTAGGAAATTTTAGTTAGTTTCTAAGTTACGGCTAGCTGTTTCTAAGATTTACTATTATTCAGGATGCTTACTAGCTGTTTCTATAAGCAAAATCTCTTATTCTAAGAATTTTCGGATATTTCGTCGATACTGCTAATTATTACGTAATTATCGCTGTTCGCGGGTATCTATCCTAATAAGCTTATTAACTATTCTTTTTTAGCAATAGTTGTGGTTACAATAACTGTTCTAATTACTTAATTTGATCTATCTTATAGTCGCTTAATCTCGTCCTTAAATTCTTTTTTATAGATAAGTTATACGGTCCTAGTATCTCTAATACTCGGTCTTTTTAGATATTTATAGTAGAATGTTAACTGTTCCTTCTGCTAATTAATAATTAGGTTGTACTTCCTAAGCTAAGAAATTCCTAGTATAATATTATACTTCTCTATAGGGAACACGTTAAAGCTTATATATTTAAAGTATTCTTATACAGCTATAGTAAGAAATCCTAACTTAATTTCGATAAATTCTTCTAAATCTTTGTCTAAGAGTCCTTCGACTAGTATAGATTTTATCTTAGAAACTTCTATAATTTCTAAACGCCTAAAAAATATTAGATATATAAAGTTTCCTGCTGTACTAGAATTAATTATTACTTTAGCTGATTGTTAAATAACTATAGCTTACAATTTTAAATAAAGTTTATTTTATATCGACGCTAGTAGGATATAATAATCTTAGTCGGATATATCTATCTATTCTATTAGTACTAGTATTTTTTTATTCTCTAGTTTTACGCGGTAGTAGATTAGATAGTTATTGTTATAGTAGGCGATCTAGCTTATCGCGTTATATTGTAAATACTTTAGATACCCGATATAGGAGCAGTTAGGTCTTTAATATAGATATTTATATCTGTTCTTAAGAACGATGAGTAGTAGAATTAGCTTAAACTTTGCCGTGGCTTTTATAGCGTAGTATTATTTGCATATATTATTATAGTATACTATCTAGAGAATATTTCGATATTCTAGATATATTTAATAGTATTTATATAAACACTAGAAGAATCTATACGCGTAATAGAATAGCTTCTTCAGCTTTATACTAGAGGCTAATATTAGTACAGCGTAGTAGTCGATATTATTTTAGTAATACTTGCTGTATATTTCGCTGTATTATTTATATCTTATCTAATAAATGCTCTATAGTTTGATTTCGTCCTAGCACTCTAGGTTTTAATAAATACATTTATTTCTGATGTTTTATTTAACTGCTTAAGCGATTTATCTGTTAAGATCTCTTGTGTGCTATTCTTGTATCTACGCAAGGATTTTAGCAAAGTATTTATTATAGTATAACTGTGGGGAATTTCGCAGAGATATCTTGGGTATTGCCTAGGTCTTCTCTCTACTAGGTATAGAGCTATTTAGTTAAATACCGTACTCTTCGTTAAACAGATCGAGAAATTCCTAGTTAATGTTAGAATATTCGTCCTCTGAGTCCTCTTAAACTAGTTCTTATATTAATTTCTTTTGTTAGTGTTAGCGGTAGCTAACGGGCAGAGGCTAAGATATGCTCTGTTTGGCTTTGATATTAATGTTGCTGCTTAGTATGTCGCCCTAGCTAGACTGCGTGTTTTCTTTATTATTATAAGTAGGGTATCCTTTAGGTGTACTAGACAGTATTTCTAGTATATTCTACTAATTGTTAGCCTCTTAGATTCTACTTAGTTTTTTAATAGTTTTTAGCTGTTGGCGTGGCTCGCGCCGTTCTTTCTTTTATTAATAGTCCTTGGATATGTATCTAGGTTTTCTGCAGCTGTAATACAGTTATTTTTTTTTTTATTATTCTCTTTTTTGTTGGGATACGCGTTGTAGCTTTATTATATTAAGCTCTATAGATTTAGATCTATAAGAGTTGTTGTATTCTTAGCTTTGTGGCTACGCCGGTCTTTAATTATTTACTTAATAGTTGTCGCTTCGTCGGCTCTGTTAGCTATGCCAAGTTCGATTTCTATGCTTTCTAAGATTTAACTTATGCAAGCAGTTGTCAACCTTAACTACCTGTTTAATTATCTTGCTAAGGCTATCCGGCCTCTTTATCTAAATAAACTTCTCTTAAACTTCCGGCTTAAATCTATCTTTAAATCTAGCGATGAATACATTGTTATTCCAGTCTAGATATATAACTATTTTCTAGAACTCGGAAATATAGTGTACTGCCGACCCGGTTTATTAAAGTTATACAATCTTTTATTCGGTGTTTCTTCTCGCGTCGATATCTTTAAAGATTTCTTCGAGTCTCTGCTTAAAGACTTTGAAGTTCGCGAAGATTTCCTTAGTATCTTCGTCTTGCTTATTAGATAGATTAGCTTGAAAATCTCGGATAAACGGTTCGAACCAATCGAAAGTAGGTCCTAACAAGTAGATTAAAGCGAAGAAAACCTTATTATCTTTATTTACCAACTTTTCACGGTTCATATAAATATACAAGTCTAACTAAGTAATAAACGCACGAAGCTTATGTTATATACTATTAAATAGCTTAGATAGTTTGACTTTCACTGATTTGGCTAAAAGACGATTTTCTAATAATATAATGTAGGATTGTAATTATTTGATTATGCTTTAGTAATTAGATGTCAGTTGAGATACTCTTTTACTAGAACCCGGCGAGGTCTGTAGGGTGTTGTTGTTTGACACGGTCGACATGTTGCTTAAACCAATTTATACTAACTAGCGTTTAATTTATTAAATCCTAGTATCTGTCTAAGCTGCGTGTAACCTGCTAGTATTATAGTTTAAATATAAAGGTAACTAGAATCTACTAGTCCGAAGGGTAATTAATACTTATTCTAGGAGCGAGGCGGCTTCTATAGACGACGATAAGATTCTTAAGAACTAATATAATAATCCTAAGATCCGAAGCAATAAAGATAGAAGTAAGGCTAAGAGAATATATATATCTGCTTATAATAAGAATGTTAACAAATTGTACTAGCAAGGATAATGCTATAGTTATTAATAACAGTTATATTAAATACGAAGAACTAATCTAAGTATATAATAATAAGTATCTTTATAACTCTTTAATCCATCGATAATAGGTGTAGTAGTTTAGTAGAATAGTAGCTTAATAGCATTTGGGTAAGCGTTGCGATCTTGCTATCGTATAATTGTGCTATTACTTGCAGTTGTCGTGGTGCCTAATTAGGTGGTTCGGCGGTTCCTAGAAAATTAAGTCTGTAGAGATATATACGTACTTAAGTTTTGTGTAGTCTTTCCTAATTAGGTTTAGCGCTTAAATTATGATTACTAAGCCCCGGGCTGAGTTGTGGGCATCTCTTTGTTGCGGGGTTTGGTTGGTTGTTATTGCTCAGCGGTTCTGCCTAATGTGGCCGCCCTCACGCAACTGACCCCTGGTGGTGCTGTAACATTAATATCTTTAGAACCCGCAAACCTATATAAATTAAATTCTAACCCTGCGGGTTGTACCCAACTCGCACCAAGTACATCCCTAATCTAAAATATTTAGACAAGTAATTTCAGATTTATAACTAATATTTAAAATATTACTAATTTATTGCTATAATAGGACAAAAATAGAGATTTCAATTTATCTAAAACTCAGTAAGAAATTGGCTCTTTTTAAGATCTCTATCTTAACCTCTTTTCCTACTAGATATTCTAATCTATTCCGATTATATAGTCCGTAGGCGAGGTGCAAGGGCTGAACGCTATACCTATTTTATATGGGCGGTGAAGCTATCGCAACCCGTACAGGACGGCCTTGATTAAAAGGAACACAGCTTATATTCTAATTTCAGATATTTAAACACAGGAAAATGGTGAAAAACCTAAAATACGACTACTAACTACTGGTCAAGTCAAACCGGTTACTACCGGTACAGTGGCGACTTGGCGACATGTAAACCCAGGCGAAGGTTAGAGTGTGGCTGTATCATGACCGAACCCGCTGTGGCTGAACGCGTCACGTACCGCTTCTGCAAACCATCCCCAAACCTGTCCAGTCCACCACACACTAAGATCGTGCACATCAAGTTCAGTACCTATAGAACACAAACAATATCCACAAACTATGGACAACACAGGAGATAACTCCAATCCTATCGTCTTTTTCGACATCACTCTTGGTGGTAGGTTCTGCACACAACCAGTTCACAGTGCTGCTTTTGTCCGGGATAGAAGGAGCATCCTGTACCGTTTCACAACCGAGCGGATGGGAAAGAAAATATGCCATGTCCCGCAATCTGCTCGCATGAGAGAAGTGTAAAGGACGAGACGATAGAAGAAAACACAGGCTAAGTACGTACGTTCTAATAGGAGAGCCTCTTGGTCGGATTAAAATAGAACTATTCGCGAATATCACTCCACGTACGGCTGAGAATTTCCGTCAATTCTGCACCGGAGAGAGCAAAAACGCCCAGGGCAAACCACAAGGCTATAAGGGGAGCAAATTTCATCGGGTAGTACGTATAGGATATCTCACGGTGAAATGCAGGTTCTGTGACTGACTATGGACTGCAGATCAAAGATTTCATGATCCAAGGAGGTGATTTCATACAGGGTGATGGCACAGGATCCTGCACAATCTACGGCACCCCGAAGTTCCCAGACGAGAATTTTGCTCTGAAGCATGACCGAGCAGGCCTCCTGAGTATGGCAGTAAGTCCTCGAAGCACAGCAAACAGGAAAAAACCACACGGATTGATTACTGATTGTCATCAAGAACTCGGGCCCCAACACGAATGGCTGCCAATTCTTCATCACGACCACCCCGACGCCCTTCTTGAACAACAAACACGTTGTATTTGGTCAGGTAGTCGATGGCATGGACATCGTGCGAATGATCGAGAATACCCGCACCACCAGAGACAAGCCTATTCAAGACGTGACGATCGTGCAATGCGGAGAAATGTGATGGTTTCCTTCAGTCCCTCCCGAGGAGTGCAATCCCAAAAGTGCAAAGGTTCCATAGGCATTATCAGGTACCCCGAAGTGAATCATTTTAAGTGGCAGATATCAGAGCGACATGAACTATGGGAAAACCGAGCGCATAGACGTGACGTTGAGCAGTGTCTTCGTAGCGACATCGATGTGTGGCATGAAAACAGCAGAAAGCTGTGCGGAGAGTATGTACGGGAATCCAGTAGAAGAACATAAGAATCAGTTTCGAGTCGAGAGATTGTATATTCGTAGATTTCTGTGGTATATCATAGCGGCAGAACATCGATTTGGATTATCTTGGGACTTTATCAGCCATGGTTGGCGTGAAATTGGTTCTTAAGCCCGTCGATTCAGCCCTATGCGTTCCTCCCGAGACCGTATGATTCTCGCCTTGTCGCCAGGAAGAGGCTTTAATTCATCGCTGGGGTCAAAATTGGTATTCAAGCCGTCCTTTGTGAGGTCATTGTTGTTGTTGTTGTTGTCTTTAGCTATTTTCCGGAGTCGCATGTCCTCGAAGGCCGCGAGATCTTCGGATGTCACCGCAATAGCAGTAGGTTTTCGGCGGAGCATCGTTGATGTTGGTAATGGGTGACACCTTGATCTGGATCAAATTGTGAAAGAATAGGTATATAGCGTGTCATGAACAAGTCAGGTTAGCACAGCACAATAATGATCGCGAGTGGAGCGTAATGCGTCTCACGTGACGTAACAGTGGTTCCAGAACGGAATTGAATTTGCAGGTCAGGGATCACCAACTTTCTCACGGCCACCATCCCAGACATCCGGCTAAGGGCGACGTAAGAGATGTTTCGAACTCGGGTGATATCCTCATGCGCTCAATCCTCCAGACTGACTGGAGGGGCTCACATTCCCATCCGTCACTTCTCATGTACACAGAAAAATGCGAACAACGAACCGAGTGAGTACGGCCTTTTCCAGATTGCCAATGGCAGTTATATCATCATTGCAATTTTGTCGCACCTCACTACAGCTGAGTCACGTATATTCTGATTCCATGAAAACCAATAGACCCCCAGGTCCGGCCTACCAATTCGCAGTCCCGCAACTCTAAGAAGACAGCCGTACCGCCGGCGAACCTGAATCCCACCAACGCCAATTCCGATCGCCCTCGCCCTCGCCGTGTATTCGATGCGAGATCTCTTGCTGCATCCCAGTCAGGGGCTCAGACGGCCAAGATTCTCAGGACTCCTAGGGCCAGAACGGCTCGTAACGGCCCCCCTGCTCGTCCCCGGAAGTTCAAAACTCCCGCGAAGACGCCATCCTCCAGAGATCGGAGAACACCCCGCCGTCGAGCTCCGAAACAATCCGACGCGGAAGAAGGCGACGATGCGCAGCGGATGGAGATCGAAAAGGTCTATCGTGAACTCGCGGAGGAAACGAAGCAAGCTCCTGCTCGCTACAACCCCCGGCAGCCGGACTTTTCCAACTTGATGGAGACATGGCCTTCTTTCCCGACGGGCGTGACGGCGCATACTGCTGGGGTTGTGGAGAAATTGACATCGCTCAGCGGTCGCACACCGCATGGGTATGTCCCTCCCTACGAGCTAGGTAACCGGCTCTTCAAGGGACAGTATGTCCGGTTTGTGGATGCGAAGGAGAAAAGCGAAGCCGTCGCCGAGGCGCAACAGCTGTCGCAGCAGCGTGCGGACGAGTACTCACAACGGAAGGGTGACTTGGTAGAACCGGAGGAAATCAAGTTCACGCCCGTGGGTGGGGAGACTAAGAAGGCATTGATCCGAACCTTGGTTCAGGGAAGCTATTCAGAGGCGCGGCTAGCAAAGGACAAGTCGCCGGTTCTCCAAGAGGTTAGGAGACACCTTGGAAACAACGAGACGTATCAGACCGTCGGGAAGAGCTCGCAGTTTACCGCGAAAGTGGAAGCTCTCCTTGCCTCCAGCCGCCCTGTCAAGCGGGCCTAAATAGAAGGTTGGTAGCTGGGTATTTATGTATATTACTGGCAATTTCTTGTGTTGTGTGTTTTGTGACTGCTGTTCTGTTGTACATTAGGCTGCGCAGGATGGATATCACCCGTCATGATCTATGTAGAAAGAGAATATCCGCTGCTCCCTTTTCTCCGGTAGTTGTTCCAGAAGCCAGTGGTAGGAGTGCGCGCAGGATTCATACTCGTTCCAGAGCCTTTCGAGCCGCTTCGAACAAGTCTTTCACCTCTTTCTGTCCCTTCTCTGTGAATTTCTCCATCTGTTCCTGTGCCTTCCGAACGTCATCCGGTCTGGCGGTCTTCTTTTTCTGCATGTCCTGAAGACGTTTATGTACCGCTCCTCTTGAGTCCCGAACAGCACCGGCCGCCTTTTCCATCGCACTTTTCGCAATGCCGATGGTACGGTCCCTGGATTCTTTTGTTGGTGGTGGGATTGGGACGTTAAGTTGGAGCGAGTTATGAGCATCAGGTTGCGGAGTCAGGGAGAGATTGGACGAAACAATCGCGGAAGTAATCGGTTTGATGTGCTATACCAACGCAAATTCATGTTAAACAGCTGGAATGATTTTGCAACGAGCATAAAAACGAAAGCAAGACTCACATCTTCTTCTGACGCCAATATCGTCACCATCCGACCTCCTTTAGGAACAACCTGAGCCAGGTCGCCCAGCCGCACCGTTTCTTTGCTTCCCTTCGTCAGGTGGACGCGAAGGCTCTCAATGGATTCCGTACTGAATCGGCCCCCAGCACGGAGTTTCGACAAGTCGTCCTTGAGGCGCGATACTGCAGTCGCGATACCATCATGCAATTGAGAGAAGTCAAAAGGGTCATCGGACGGCCCGCCGGCCTTTGTGCCTTTTGCTTCCGATTTCGCCGAGACATCCTTTCCTTTGTCCTTCTTTTTAAGCAGGCGTTGCGAGGTCGAGAATTTTGGAGCTCCGTCGGACAATGCGGAGCGTGGAAGTAAACGAGGTAGCTGTTCGACTTTGGGAGAATTAACCGCAAGGGGGCGCAGGCATTGCGCACGCTGGAAACATGATCTGACAAGCATTCGCTGCATTTTAACTCAGGGTTATATAAAGAAGGGCGCCCACTGGGGAAATGATATAAAAGCGGAGGGAAGCAGAATGGTTTCGGGGAACAAAAAGTGTTGTAGGACGCTTACGGCATGTCGATCTGACCCACGCAGGACAAGACGGCACTTAGCTTTCGGATTCTACGAAGTACCTGTAGCTGCCATAAATTTGTAGCGTCTCGACACCAAAGCAACAAATGTCAGTTGATTTATGTATGAGTTGGGAAGATCATGTCGCATTATGTCGCCGTAACCCTTCAAAATACGCCACCCCCACCGAGCACACTATATCCAGAGCGCTCATCCAACAGGACATCATTGAAAGACAGAAGCATCAAAGGAAAGCATTCTCATACGTTGCACATGTATTGGTCTCTATTCGTTAAAAGGGACAAGTTAAAGCAAAACAACAAAAAGACATCTTTTTTGTAACTGCGGCCGTATCCGCCTTGTCAGACGTTCATTATATTCCAAATTTACCGAGTAGACTGGGCCTTGGTGATCAGTCTCTTCAGAGCAAGCTCCTTCTTCTTAAGATCCTCGGGGGTAGAGTCCTCGATCTCGAGCTGGGCCATAGCGTCGCTCAGAGCGGACTCAATCTTCTCCTTGTTGCCACGCTTCAGCTTCAGGGACATGGTGGGGTCGGAAATGATCTCCTCAACACGGGAGATGTAGGATTCAAGCTGCTGACGAGCCTCGAACTTCTTGGTGAAGGCCTCATCGCTGGACTTGAACTTGGCAGCATCTACAATAATTAGCATACTTCACGCATGAAACTGGCGACAAGGAATGCTTACCGTTGATCATCTGCTCGATTTCCGTGGTCGAGAGCTTACCAACGGCGTTGGAGATAGTGATGTTGGCGCTACGGCCGGAGGACTTCTCAGTGGCGGTGACCTTCAGGATACCGTTCACGTCGACCTCGAACACACACTCCAGAGCAGCCTCACCGGCTCTCATGGGGGGGATGGGAGCCAGGGTGAACTCTCCGAGAGAGGTGTTATCAGCGCAGTTGGTACGCTCACCCTGGTAGACAGGGAACTGGACAGTAGTCTGGTTGTCCACAACAGTGGTGAAGGTACGCTTCTTGATGGTAGGGACGGTCTGGCCACGGGGAACGACGGGAGCGAAGATGTTGCCCTCCATGGCAACACCAAGCGAAAGAGGAACAACATCAAGCAGAAGCAGGTCCTGGGTCTCAGCGGAGGTGGCCTTTCCAGACAGGATACCGGCCTGGACGGCAGCACCGTAGGCAACAGCCTCATCGGGGTTGATGCTCTATTGTGGAGATTAGCCACTATCACACGAAAGAAAACCTCATCAGAGACGACAAAACTCACCTTCTCGAGCTTCTTGCCGTCGAAGAAATCGCTCAGGAGCTTCTGAATGCGGGGGATACGGGTGGAACCACCAACAAGGACGATCTCGTCAACCTTGCTCTTCTCCATTCCAGAGTCCTTGAGAACCTGCTGGACGGGCTCCAGAGTACCGCTGAAAGACTTGGCGTTCAGGTCCTCGAAACGAGCACGGGTGATGGAAGAGTTGAAGTCCTCACCATCGAAGAGAGAGTCAATCTCAACGGTGGTCTGAGTAGCGTTGGACAGAGTACGCTTAGCACGCTCACAAGCAGTTCTAAGACGGCGGAGAGCGCGGGAGTCGCCAGACAGATCCTTGCCGGTCTTGCGCTGGAATTCCTTCTTGAAGTGGTCAAGAAGGTTGGTGTCAAAGTCCTGACCACCAAGGTGAGTGTCACCAGCAGTAGCCTTGACGGTGAAGACACCACCCTGGATGTTCAGCAGAGACACATCGAAAGTACCACCACCAAGATCGTAGATCAGGACGTTGCGCTCCTTGTCCGACTTACCAGAGCCGAGACCGTAAGCGATGGCGGCAGCAGTGGGCTCGTTGATGATACGGAGGACGTTCAGGCCAGCAATGGCACCGGCGTCCTTGGTAGCCTGACGCTGGTTGTCGTTGAAGTAGGCAGGCACAGTGATGACGGCCTTCTCAACCTTCTTGCCAAGCTTGGTCTCGGCAACTTCTTTCATCTGTTACACAGTCAGTGGGTGACCTTGTGGCATACCGGCGGGGCTTCCTTATCGTACCTTCATCAGGACCATGGAGGAGATCTCCTGGGGAGAGAAAGTCTTGACCTCACCCAGGTAGTCAACCTCGACGAAGGGGTTACCACCCTGGTCGACGACCTTGAAGGGCCAGGACTCGACATCCTTCTTGACAATGGGGTCATCGAAACGGCGACCGATCAGACGCCTGCGGCGTATTAATATCCGGTCTGACCGGTGATCGGGAAGCCATTGGATTGACTTACTTGATATCGAAGACGGTGTTCTTCGGGTTCATAGCGGCCTGGTTCTTCGCGGCCTCACCGATCAAACGCTCCTTCTCGGTGAAAGAGACGAAAGACGGGGTGGTGTAGCTACCCTGCTCATTGGCAACTGAGAAGAAAATCTCTGGTCAGCGGATGGTTCCGGTTTGGATGGAGTCATTGCTGGCTTACTGATTTCGACGTTGGTGCCCTCATAGTTGGCAACACACGAGTAGGTCGTGCCTGAAAACAAGTCAACAACAATTCTTTGTGTACGGTTATGAAGGCGGGGTGAAAAAAAAGCAGCGTACCCAAGTCAATGCCAATGGCACCCTCATAAACTTCGTCAGACATGGTGATGGTATGAGGTTGAGAAGGGGGGATAAAGAAAGGTATGAAGAGGAGAGAGAGAGGGAGGAGGAAGAGAGGATAGTAGGGAAGAGAGGGTTATAAAAATCGCACTGGGGCGTTAGAGGTGGGAGCGGTAAAATTTTTGGAGAATTTTGAGCGGGAAAAAAATATGGAACCCACTTTTCAACTTTTTTTTTTTTCTTTTTGCCTTCTCGACCAACCAACCCGATCCTCGGCTGAGGACGTCCACTGCAAACTAGGAGTAGTAAGCCAGTAATTATGCCTGGTACGAGAAAAAGACAACCACAATGAACCATGGTCAGATGGCGAAAATTAGATAAGCTCCTGATTACTAACTGCTAACATTCTACGGAGTATCTGTTTATGTACGACCGCTGAGGTTGATGTTTTCGCTGGAGGGGACGAATTGCGCTGAAATCTTCCAAGCCACTCAGGTGCTCACACAATAGATTCATACGATACCTAACTCATTCGGCGTTCGAGTTTTCTGTCTTATTGTCTTTCTGACTCGAGGTACCTGGAGCGGGAGGAATGTTGTCTTCAATGGACCCGAGAGTATCAGCCTGCATAACCAAACCAGGTGCTCACTATGGTCTAGATCGATTTCAGACGTTGATATTACCATCCAACGTTCTGCTCCATCAATTGTTAGTAGATAAGACATATTTAATGCCACTGGATAACACCGTAACCGATGAACTAGGTAATTAGACCTGGAAAATGACAATTGACCCTTGATCAGAATGTATAAGTCATTGAGTAGCCCTTCGGGGTCAATGGCCGTTGAGGTTGCTGGAGATACAGGTCCTATCGATACTGATTGTGCATTGTTGCCTGAGGGAGCAATATAGTGGCCTGAGGCAGAAAGGCAAGCAGTGTTCCGCCCAAAAACCCCGAAGGGTACCTATCTGGATCGGTCTTGATCGGAATCTGGCCGCTTCCTACTTGTGACAGCAATCGGACTGTTCGCGTTTCCTGCCTGAAAAGCCTGCTGAGTTCCTCCGACTGATTGATTCCAACACCCTTCTTCCCCCTGCGATATCGCTCTGCCTTCAAGGGTAATTCACTACCCCGCAAACACACGGTTCGCGTCAGTTCTGACGCGCTTTTGATCTACCGATATACCTGTTCCTGTTCCCTGGTGAGCCACCTTCTCTACGTGTACTTCTGTGGCAAGAACTGAAGTCTTGACCCTGATACCAAGACCGGAGCCTTATTCCACGTTTTCTTGATCCAAAGACCAGCCATTCCCCTCATGGATATCGATCTAAGCCGACGAAACAAAAAGCCCCGCCTGTTGTTGGAATCCGAACGAGAAAGGCTTGAGGAGTTCATTGATTCTATCCATTATTCTGCCAGGTATGGAGCGAAGTCTAGTTGGTCAATTTCCCTGGAATGCTGACGCAAACGCAGATACTCGGACGATCAATTCGAATATCGCCATGTTCAACTCCCCAAAAACATGCTCAAGAAGATCCCCGCGGACTATTTTGACAGCTCGAAAGGAACATTGAAGTTGCTCTGGGAGGACGAATGGCGTGCACTCGGTATTACACAGGTATGCGGCGCACGCTGAGAGTGCTATGAGGTCGATTTTCTAACCCATACTGTTCGCCAGAGTCTGGGCTGGGAGCACTACGAAGTCCATGAGCCCGAACCACATATCCTTCTGTTTAAGTCAGCTTCTCCCATTCTGCTCTCCCTTCTCGTACTAACAAAAGATTGAAAACAGACGTCCTCTAAACTATCAACCGCCAATCTCACAGTGAACAACCCGTCGATAACCGCCAAAATTTCTAATCAGCCTGGACAAAGAAAGAAACCAAGACCAGTCGAGCATTAGGTTGCGCACAATGCATATAACAAGATTGTTTTAGGCAATCATGTCCTTCTACAGGAAGGTTCGCAATGAGATATGGTTCGATTCTGTTTAAAGCGTGTCATTTTCCTACCACTAAGTTACTACCACCATTCCATAATCGCCATTTTCTCATGCACTGTCTCTCCTTCATATTCGCAGCAGGTCCTAGAGCGCAAGTGATCAGGCGATATTTTTAGCCAACCATTCCTCCCACTGGGTAGCCGTGAAACTACTGCTAATCGCCGGCTCTTCAATCCCCTACACGATGGAGTCAGTTATCAGGGTCCTCCAGATTATGTATACCATGGGAACCATACGTTGAAGAACACCGTTGGAGAAACATGAACCCCAACGACGCGATCCGCCTGTACTTTGTATTAGATTGCCGGCTTGGACCAAAAACCGCCCGGGACGGTACTTACCTTCACCATCAGTTTGACATCGTTGGTGACTTGATTTCCGGTATTCAGCTGCCCGTCGGCACTTGGTTTGTCGCTGACCATCAACATCCGGAGGACCTCCTGCTCGTCGACTCCCACGCTCCCCGCAAGCTTGGCAAGCCTCTCATAGGTTTTGTTGCGTGTCTCATTGACAACGCTGACATCGAAGTAGTCTTTCTGGTGCTCAAACAGGGCTGCACTGAAGTCCCAATACTTCTCGGGGGCTATATTCAAGACCGCCGCCCCAGCTTCGTGCGTCAAAGTCGACGATGGATGCCAGGGTTGAATGTGTTGACGGAAGATCACCTGCAGCTTGGACGCATACTGCTTCTCGATCACAGGCTTGACTGAACTGTAGAACGTCTTGTACAATTTCGCAGAGAACTATCTTTGTCAGCCTTAAGATAAACAAGACGACAGTAGATAGTTGGCTTCCAGGAGACTGACAGGACAAACGTAGTCGAGGTCTGGATTTGTCGCATTGTCAGATTTCATACCACACCAAACCAACTATTTTACTTACACAGCTCGAGGGTGTGCTGTGGTTGTTGGACTGCAGAAGCAAGCAGTCTTTGGCCAGCGAATCTCGGATTAAGCGCCATTGCCGTTGATCAATTGGAGTCAAGTTCTTAGAGATGGGATCGGCTCAATCTGAGACGGCAGGTTATATCTGGGATGGAAAGGTTATGGGCGTTCGTGGGAGATGTACGGGGTTTGAACGATGTCCCCCACCTAGAGCAAGATGACATCAACCGGTTAGTAAGTACGACGCAGTGCCCAAGATAAACTGCCGGGGAAGCCATTCCCGGCGTCTAAAGTACCTAGACATAATTAGATGTCATCATAGGTGGGGTCGGCGGCGCCATCCTCAGGAATAAGGATGAAGGTTAGGCATTGATGAACCTAATTTGACCCAGAACTTAGGCGTACCGTACCATATATGGAGTACAATATACAACATAGGTAGAAGTTAGGTATGGAGCCTCTATCCCACCGAGAAAGAAACCCACCAACTCCAATAGGCCTTATTACAGATTCTATAGTTCCTCATAATCTATTTACACTAATGTCGCTGTTCACTGTTCTAAGGATCCCCGAGTGGCTTTTGCTGAAAAAGGCTCAGGTCTTTGAGCTGCAATGAGACAAGCGTCCATTTTGCCGTCGCTGGGTCGTATTCGCCCTTGACTTCAACCCTACAGAACCCCCGCGGACCTTTCAGGCCGACGGGACCAAGGAAGTAAAAGACACCAGGAGGCGGAGTGTGTAACTCGCGAGCCCAGCAGTCGTGCAGTCTCAGTTTGAAGGCCAAGGAAGCTGCGTGCAAATCAGAGCCCGGTCCAAACTTTGGCACCGGCAACCGTTGTAAAGTGGAGATAAGGAAAGAAGGATGAGAGCGGGAGTCGGAATCTCCTTGGGGAGCATCTTGTGGGGGACTAGGAGGCTGTTGTGAAGATGCCTCCAGTTGAAATATGCCGCTCAGTCCGTCGAGAGTTCTGAGATCGGCCGATAACTCTTTCTGCTGTTGCAGATGCGTGCTGCCCACACTCTGTTCTTGATCTGAGATATTCATCCGCGCAAGCTGTCTTTTGAATAACACCATGTACGCATCCCTAATCGCGAGTGTCACGAAGAGTGGCCGCATGCATTTCCGCATCAAGTCACCATGTTCCGACGACATGAGTCTCTCGGTCCAATATACGCCCGTATCGGTAATTTCTATGCTGGAAGATTGTGAGCGCACACGCCAACTATTCCAAGAAGATTCCACTTACCCCGAGCGGCTGTATAAGGGTGGAGAACGGTGCGGGAAGTGGTGCACTAGCCAGGACCCTGTGACGGTGAGAGGGCCACCTAGAGCACCCAGAAGCATATTTGACCGAGAGGCATCCCTCAGTACAACGGATGTCAATTCCTCTGCATGAATCAGCATATGCTGGAAATACGCGAGCGAAGAACCCACCTCTCAAAGCCTGAAGTTTTTCGCGATCCCGAGAAATCTTTGCAAACTCCTTCCATTCTGGATCCGAGGCGACATACAGCTCACCCTTGCGGAGCCGCGGCCAACCCAAGGGAATGAAGATCGGATCTGCATCCGTGGCTTCTTCAGAGTACTGGCGGTTTTCGTCGGTGTCTTTGACTGAGCGCTTATTCCCTGACTGCGATTCCTCGACTTCATCGACGTCGTGGAGGGTATCATCAAACTGCAGGAGGACAAAGGAACTCCAAAGATGGAACGCGGTGCCGTAGAGTAAGCACGAGGATAGGAATTTCCTGAAATTATATCAGTATCCTATCGGATCTAGAGCGCATCGAGACGGAAGCTACCTGATCCATGGCCGTTTGAATTTTACCTGGCGGACATTGGCGATATGTGAATTCCGCGAGGATGGAGGACTTATCCGGAAGAATAACTGAGGGTTGGGAAGAAAATGCCTAAGCCGAAACATTGAGGGATTGCATATACCGGAGCGATTCAAGGCAGAAACATATCGGTCGCTGGTGTTGCGGTGTGAAGCTTCCAAGTGGACGATGGACTGACGATTTGATAGATCCCGTCAATAAACCGCGAAAGACAAATTGGGCAGAGCGTTCCGGAGCGAAGTGGTGGCGAAAGGAGGGTGAACGGCGATATCTAGTAGAGGATGCACACAGAGTTATGAGGAAAAAGTCTGTTGTTGTCCGAGATCAGCGAAGAAGTCCGTCCACGGCAGATTTACTCTGCATCCAACAGTCTTTAAAGAATGACTGATTGCCTCTGCTCCGTAACTCCGTCCGCGATTCGGGGTGGGCCTGGCCCTCGCCCCTCCACGTGACAACCCGCCAAGGAGCTGCCGTCGATGGGATCCCTGCGGACATACGTACTCCGTACATCTGGTTGTTACTGCTCTGTCGGACGGGAAACCTGCCAGGCGAGCACCATAACCTTTATCCAGCGACCCAGGATTTCCGAAGGCGCTTCTGCGCACGATCCATCCCTTCTATATCATTCCAAGTCCTCGACCGTCTACTGAATCCGGAATGTTGCAGCTCTCCAAGGGCGTCCTGGCTCTGTCAGTGACAGCATCGCTGGCTGCCAGAGCCTGTGGAGCTTCGGTATTCGCGTTCGATACCTATTCCTCCTGGGAGAGCCTGGATACCCCAGCCATATCGGATGAGACGGCTAAGCGTCTTTTGGAGCTCCGCATGGAAGCTCCGATGTCGACTCTCGGAAACGTGGATCCGGACACGGTTGAGCTTTTGAATAAGTTTGGTGGAACACCAAATCCTTTATTTAGCGGACCTACTTACGGCAAGGATGAAATCACCAAGACCCTCTTCATCGTACGGGGTGTAGACCCGCAAGTGGGTATGTTCAACAACCTGCTCAACTCTGATGCGAAGAGCAATGGATGAGCTAGGCTAACATTGACATGCGATTTAGCTTCCTCTATCCGAGACGAGTACCCGAACAATCTAGTGGTCTCGCACCCCTCGACCAACTTTCTAGACACGGATTTCGTTGGTCTCCTCGACCCCGAAGCTGGAACACTAGGTGGTGACAGGCACTGTGTGTCTTTTGCTGACAGCAAGGCTGGATCCAATGCTGCCAAGGTGCGTCTCGGGCCGAGGATTATTACCTATTATGACGATATAGACCTGTGACTCACAAGAAATGAACCTTCAGATCACTGCAGACTGTCTTCGGAAGGACCCCTTCTTCAAAGCTCCAGGACAGGTGTTTGATGAGCAGCTACTGAATAATGTTCAGGCTGTTGAATCCTGGACCAGCGAGGACGCGCTGCTATCGGTTCTGACTCTAGAGGTACATCCTTGTCGTTCTCTAAATTGGTTGAGTGATCTCTAATTCTCCTGTAGCTCTCCGACTCAATGGAGCCTACATTGGCGGGCTCTTTGCGCACTCTCTTCCGCGGCCTCCCAGGCCTTGCACTTGATGGAAACGAGGTCACGACACTTCTTCTGCCCACCGGCGCCCAAGGACTGAGGCAGACATTGAGTTCTCGAAGCGTTCCCAAGACCAACTCCGTCCACAAAATCTCGGCGAGGGCGTCTGGTCAGCAGACTACCCTTATAGCTCCTGTGTGTCATGCCTCGAACTCTTCCTGCAGCGAGGCGACGAACAACTGCTCCGGCCATGGATTCTGTTACAAAAAGTCAAGCGCTGCGACTGAGGGAGGCGCAAGCGATTGCTATGTTTGCAAGTGCCAGGAAACCACCATCACACGGGACGACGGGACGGTGCAGAAAGTGCGCTGGGGAGGTGCTGCATGCCAGAAGAGAGATATCAGCTCGCCGTTCTTCCTTATCGCGGGCATTACTATTCTCGTGGTTGTAGCAATCAGTTCTGCTATTGGCATGCTCTTCAATGTTGGGCAGGGAGAGCTTCCAGGGGTTATCAGTGCTGGGGTCGGGGCCACCAGCTCACAAAAGTAGAGCCCATTCTATACCCTGCTTCCCTGCAATTGTTCTTGTCTTTAATGGATATAATGACCGCTTGAGTGAAAGCCATATCCTTGGTTTACTGGTGGTTCTTTTTTCGAGATGTACATATGTTTTACACGATCCACACTACATAGAGGATGGCCAGCAGTTTGCGAATGTAGTATTTCCGATGTCAGAATGTACATGAACCTCAGTAAAGTAACCCAAGAAATAAGGACCCAGAACAAGAAAAAGCCAAGCACATGACGCCAACCCTCCGGATACCAGCCTTGACCCGGTTGCGAGCTAAACTGTCACCAACGCCGTCATCAGTAAGTGGGGGTAAAGGGCAGCAAAATAAGAAGATACGCAGAAATAGCGGGGAAGAGGAACATCCTGGAAGTTGCCGACAGAAGTAAGGCTGGAAAGCTAGCCTTCGATCGGGAGACACGATGTACTGTACAACAAACAAGCGTGGCTTGCACGCCCTGTCATGGTTACTATCACAGATAGCACCCAGGAATCAAGGGGAAGGAAAGAAAATAGCAGTCTCAGGTATAGAGCCTCCATGCCGAGGCTAGGTGCGGGTGCCAGCCTCTAGTTGACTCGGCGTTCTCTCTTCTTGTGACCGCGGCCCGGTTGCATTTTGAGTGCCTGCTTCTGTGGGAGTGGACCGTCGACTAGAAGAGAACATGGGAAGTCTAAGACTCCGAACAGAAGGGAATCTCGAAACCCAGCTTCGGTGACCAGGGCGCTCTTGTGCAGGGTCTGATGAGCCCTCGGTGTGGTTATTCCGTTGTCGTCCAAAATGCGGCAGGGAAAATTGTGTTGTGAGTCTGCTTGGAGAAGACGTACTCTGCCTCGGTGCTATCCGTCGTGTCCTGAACGGATTTACTCTGCCTCCGATGAAGACAGGTTCCGGTGCGTTCAGGACAGTGATGCGAGTCGACTGGCCGCGGCCGGAGCGGTCAGGATTCTCGGACGGCTCAGAACGTTCTGGGCGCGGCTTTGGAATATAGTAATCCGCTTTGCATAGCGGGCAACAAGCCCTCCGACTTGTTAACCACGGATCAACACACGATGCATGAAAAGCGTGTCCACACGTCAGCCCTCGGATGTCATCGTCATCCTCGATCATATCAAGGCAAATGGCGCAGGAATCGCCCGGATTGGGTAGCATTTCGGTAGGAACAGCGGTGCTAATGTGATTGTCCATGTCCTCATCGTCGGCTTCCAACGAATCGTGCTCATACTCCTTTTTCACCTCGGCGTAATGTGAATCAGACCCCTGGGGCTGCACCATCGACATTTCCACATGTTGGGGAGGGCTTGACGACTGGGATGTGGTCGAATCAACTCGATAGTGGCCCTTAGTCTGTGAGGCCGTTGGTAGATCGTGAATTCCGACACTTGGAGAAGAGCCGTGGGTTTCGCCCTTGAGGCTTTGCGGCCGACTATTCGGCGCCGATATCCCCCCTTCTGTCGGGAGACCTTCATTCGCACGAGAGGACCTCCATACCTTGTATTTGACAAGAGGAAATCTCTCATTGACCTCGTCCATGCTCATCAACTTCTTCTCCCTTCTTCGTCGGTGCGGTCGGGGCATGGGGACCAAATCGATGGGATCCCCAGTTTCTTCGTTTCGCAGTTGGCGATTGCGCTGATTGTAGCGAAAACAGTACTTTACTCCGACAATGATCCTAGCGAGAACCAAGATAAGCGAATGACCCTGCAATGCGTCACCTTCGACGGTGGACGTACCATAGATTCGTGAACACAACCCCAAACCCGAGAGCGACAAAGAAAAGTAGAGGGGAGCTTGTCGGACCCCCGTCACCGTTGCTGTGATGTGTACTGGTAGCATCCGGGGCCGGACTGGTTGTTGTGGACATCTTGATGAGGGAGAATGCGGCAAAGCTGAGGTATTTCGTGAGTAATGCGGAGACTGCTCATTCAACCAAGAAGAGCAGATCTCCTCATAAGCCACGTTAAGAGTCGAGGAGAAGGCGGAGGATGAGGTAGGGCGGAGGATGAAAGGAAATCGTATCAAATGGCCGTTGTTGCTCTCTTGTTCCCCTGGAGACTGTCCAAGGAAGCCGTCGTAAAAGATTCGCAGGCCCAGCTGGATGTAGACGGGTCAAGAGTCGGTGCGACCACATCAATCAGTAGATGGTCTAGTAGGTCATCACCGGTCACAGCTGCTTCCAGAGCTGCCGAGGGCTGCAGGTATGGGTCCTGCGTTTGACACCGGATGCTGGTCACATTTAAAGCCAGCGATAGCGCTGCGGTCGATACTCCACCTGCAACGACCCTCACTCCCGTTCAGGTCACGGGGCGGGTCCGTGTATCTGACGTTAAATAATACGATGACGTTACAATGATACATAGTGCTTAAGATCTGCTCCAAGTTATGTAACTTACGGTACGGTATGACAGTTACACTAGACGTGTTCGATGGGGCGAACATCCCAATTAACGCACTCCGGCAGGTAAAGTCGTAGCCCTACGTTGTATAGATCCACCAAACCGAGTCAAGCATTCACTCTACTCCGTAGATATTCCAGGAAAACTCACCCACTTCGGTTTTCCAGTGACGTGCGTGGATAGCCAGAGTAACGTGGTATCTGAGACCTGCTTTTGTCGAGTATGATGGTCGAATTTAATCATCTACTAATTCCAGACCTATAAATCCAGCCTTTTGTATGATGGCTATAATGGGATATTCTACAGAAGATGATACCAAGAACACGACGGCACAGCCAGTCGCACGGAATATACACAATTGTTAAACCCCAGTATCAATGTCCATTTGATCGTCCTGTCCGCTATGATTCAGGTCAACTGCATCTTCAGATGGACCGGGGGTTACGCCAACCCCAGGACTACATGATTCGACCCGGTTCCCCCTTCGAGCTCGTTCGCGAGTCTCGATCAACGCTCGTCGTACATTATCAACCTCCCTCGGGACTGTCAAGGACGCTGGTTCCCGGTACAAGACCAACTCATTGCCCTTGGGTCCGGGAGCTGGGACAAGCAATCGCGGGATTGTCGACAGGTTCTCGCCCAGACCCGGTAGCAATGAGAAAGCGCTATCTGTTTTATCTATATCTTCTATCTCCCGGTCCAGATCATGAATGTAAATCGTGTGTTTGGTATCGTCCAACATCATCAGGGAGCTATCCGATGAGGTTGTACTCCGGTCGGACGAGTCTGGTGGAGACGCATAATTGGCGATAGGATCTGACTTGCATGAGATAATGTCCAAATAGTAATCGGTATATCTGGAGAAGCCCATAGATGGTAACGTGGACGTACCTAATTGCAGACGGCCGAACTTCTTTGCCAGCGGCTGGTCTTCGGGATCGCCCTCGGCGGGACGTTTTTTTCCGTGAGGGAGTCCCGTATCAGCAGCAAGTTCAGCCATCCACCGCATCCAGTCCCAGCCGGCCAGAGCAAGAATCGGGAAAATTTCCTTTTCAGTGGGTCGCGAATCGGCCAGAAATCTCTCTTATTTATATTACGGGCCTTGTGCAGCGGGAGCCGAGAGCAAGTGGATGCATCGTCGAGTGGGCGAGCCTTGATGCGAGTCCAGAGGCTTTTGAAGGAGGGGGAACTGGGCTTGACTCATCTGCTGTCGCCTTTTAGGTCAAACCCCAGAACATTCTACCATCTTCACACTCCCCCACCTCCGCCGTCGACCTTTTCTCCCGTTACCCCTCCTCGCCCACCACCCTTTAGGATGAGTTCCGATTCTCTGCGCGGTCCGGAATGGACTGCGAAGCGTGTTCGGGATACCTTTCTCGACTACTTCAAGAAGAATGGCCATACTTTCGGTATCGCCACCGTCGCGCGCTCTATCCTCCCCTCATGTATTTGCTAACAAATTTCCCTGCGTACAGTCGCCTCGTCGCCGGTCGTCCCCCTCGCCGACCCGACCCTTCTCTTCACCAATGCTGGAATGAACCAGTTCAAGTCGATCTTCCTCGGTACCGTTGATCCCAACTCGGATTTCGCAACCTTGAAGAGCGCGGTCAATTCGCAAAAAGTGCTACCCCTCATGTTACCCCCCACCAGCCACTTGAGTTGAGAGCTAACCCACCCAATAGTGTATTCGCGCTGGCGGAAAACATAATGTGAGCAAGGCGAAATCTTATAATATATGCGTTGGAGCTGACAAGGATCTCTGTAGGACCTCGACGACGTCGGAAAAGATGGATATCACCATACCTTCTTCGAGATGCTGGGCAACTGGTCTTTCGGCGATTACTTCAAGAAAGAGGCAATTCGGTACTCCTGGGAACTTCTCACCACCGTCTACGGTTTGGACCCTCAGCGCCTTTACGTGACATACTTTGAAGGCCATAAAGAAGGCGGCCTCGAACCCGACTTGGAAGCTAAAGAACTCTGGAAAGCTGTGGGTGTTCCTGATGACCACATCCTTCCCGGAAATATGAAAGACAACTTCTGGGAAATGGGCGACCAAGGCCCCTGTGGACCGTGCAGTGAAGTCCATTACGATCGAATTGGGGGCCGCAACGCTGCCCACCTGGTCAACATGGATGACCCCAATGTCCTCGAGATCTGGAACAACGTGTTCATCCAGTACAACCGTGAAGCGGATCGATCTCTGAGACCCCTGCCCAACAAGCATATTGATACTGGACTGGGCTTTGAGAGACTGGTTTCGATTCTCCAGGACAAGTCCTCTAACTACGACACTGATGTATTTACCCCGCTGTTCGACGCCATCCGCGATATTACCGGAGCCCGGGAATACCAAGGACGCTTCGGAGCCGATGACGTGGATGGCATCGACACTGCCTACCGTGTTGTTGCAGACCATATTCGGACCCTCATGTTTGCAATTTCCGATGGTGTAATGCCGAACAACGATGGACGTGGCTACGTCATTCGCCGGGTTCTGCGCCGGGGTGCCCGCTACGCTAGAAAATACTTCCAGGTTGAGATTGGCAGTTTCTTCTCCAAGCTTGTCCCGACTGTCGTTGACCAGCTGGGCGACATGTTCCCGGAGCTGAAGAAGAAGCAGCATGATGTGATGGAAATCCTTGACGAGGAAGAAATCTCTTTCTCTAAGACTCTGGATCGCGGCGAACGTCAGTTCGAACAATACGCCCAGAAGTCCAAGACAAAGGGAGATGACAAACTCCATGGTGCCGATGTTTGGAGGCTCTACGACACCTTCGGGTTCCCAGTCGACCTCACTCGCCTGATGGCGGAAGAGCGTGGCCTTCGCATTGATGACCTCGAGTTCGAAGAGGCCCGTTTGAGAGCCAAGGAAGCCAGCAAGGGCCAGAAGAAAGCCGCGGCTGATGCAGTTAAGCTGGATGTTCACGACCTCGGAAAGCTGGAGAAGATGGAAGATGTCCATAAGACGGACGATTCCGCCAAGTTCGGCAGGGAAAACATCACGGCTCAGGTTAAGGCGATCTACCACGGAAAGTCCTTCTGCACCTCGACAAGCGAGATTACTGCCGGCGAGCAGCTCGGCATCATTCTTGACCGCACCAACTTCTATGCTGAGCAGGGTGGTCAGGAAAATGACACCGGTCGGATCGTCATTGATGGCCAAGCCGAGCTGGAGGTTGGCGATGTCCAGCTTTATGGTGGATATGTACTCCACACCGGCTTCATGAAGTATGGCTCTTTCTCTGTGGGAGACAGCGTTATTTGTGAATATGATGAACTCCGTCGGTGGCCCATTCGCAACAACCATACCGGAACGCACATCCTTAACTTTGCCTTGAGAGAGGTTCTTGGCGACGGCATTGAACAGAAAGGTTCTCTTGTTGCCGCGGAGAAACTTCGGTTTGATTTCTCGCACAAATCTCCCCTCACGGATGCTGAGTTGCAGAAGGTCGAGGACATCTCGACAGAATATATCCGGCAAAACTGTGCTGTTTACTCCCAAGAACTGCCTCTTGCGACTGCTCGGGAGATCTCCGGAGTCAGGGCTGTCTTTGGTGAGACGTACCCTGACCCCGTGCGTGTGGTTTCCGTCGGCGTCGAGCTAGAGGAGATCCTGAAGAATGTCAGTGATCCCCGCTGGGAGAAAGTGAGCATCGAGTTCTGCGGTGGTACCCATGTGCAAAAAACGGGCGACATCAAGGATCTCGTCGTCCTCGAAGAAAGCGGAATCGCCAAGGGCATTCGCCGTATCATCGCCGTGACTGGCGAAGAGGCTCATGAGGTCCAGCGACTTGCCGCAGACTTTGAGAAGCGTCTGGCTAGTCTGGAAACGATGCCGCTGGGCTCTGAGAAGGAGCAGGAGGCCAAGCAGATTCAGGTTGAGCTTAACTCGCTCATCGTATCGGCGGTTCAAAAGTCGAAGTTCCGCGAGCGGTTTGCTCGCATCAACAAGCAGATCGTCGACGCTCAGAAGGCGCAACAGAAGCTCGAGTCGAAGAAGGCTCTTGACACTATCAACTCGTATTTCGCCGACGCCAGTAATGAAGGAAAGTCTTGGCTCGTTGCCAAGTTGCCGATTTCTGCCAACTCCAAGGCTATCAGCGAAGCCATCAACCACGTCAAGTCCAAGATGCAGGACAAGTCGGTATACGTTTTAGCTGCTGATGCCGCAGCCGGCCGTGTTGCTCATGGATGTTACGTTTCGAAGGTATGAAAGGTCATAGTTTCCCGGGTTAAATGCAGCAGGCTAATCTTTTTTTACACTCATAATAGGCGGCCACTGAGCAGGGCGCTTCTGCTAGCGAGTGGGCGACGGTTGTCTCCGGGGCTATTGGAGGCAAGGCCGGAGGCAAAGGCCCTACGTCCATTGGCAATGGTGTCAACCCTGACAAGGTTGACGAAGCCGTTGAACTGGCCACTGACTATCTCAGCAAGTTCAAACTATAGACGTCTGCAAATTAAAGAGAAGTCCAGGGCTCTATCATCTTGTGTTTATGGTTGTGCCATGCAATGTCAAAAATTATACCGGAGGATTAGACATGTCTGTGCATCTATTATATCTCAACTTTGAAATTTTCTACACGAATTCACTTTATCGCTCTGGGAAATTCGGCGCACTAGTAGTTATCATTTAATGACAGTTGCATATGTGCAATGAAGATGTGAATCCGATATGTGTACATGTCCCATCAAGGACTATTCCAATAACTGCAGCTGAAAGCCCAATCCCCGTATGTTAGCACTTATGAAACTGACTCGGTATATCTACATAAAAAACCGCTTTATGTCCAAAAATATTCTTACGCGTAGGAATGATCGGACATTTCGCCCATATGCTTCAACTACAACCTCTTGCTGGAAAACGCCATCAACGTTGACGTTTGGAGTTGTGTTCCGCCTCAAGATCCATTGAGTTCCATCGACGCTTCAGCCCATTAGGATCGTATACACTGGCGACACTTTGCTGCCAATCACGTGCTGTGAACACGACTGGTCCACCGACCTGGGACTGCGGCATCGGCTGCGCCGGTGCAACTGGTGTGACCTTTGTCGGTGCCCCGTATTGAATTGGGTACTGGGTTGAAACAGGCGTCTGTAACCCCTGTGCAGGGTTATTCATCGCCATGGGGGGCGAATTTATCGTGGAGGGAGCCATGGAAAAGGCCATATCCCATTGACTAGAGGGTGAAGACATTAGTATATGCTGACAGACATAAGACAATGATATCTTGCTTACTTGATAATACGTGTGGGATCCCAGCTGTTCTCATCGACTAGTGGTGTGTCCATGGACTGCGTCGAGACTGGATGAGGAGGAACGATGCCCAGAGGTTGTAGTTGGGATGAGTCTGATTTTGCGTCTTCAGCACCTGCCGATATTGGAGGGGTTACCGGATAACCGTTATAACCCAATCTGTTCTGCATACCGCTGGAGACCTGACTAATTTGGGGGTGGTACTGAGAATCGAGTGGTGGGCTGGGGTGGTAAGGCTCAGAAGGACTTCCGTAGGGAAACGTGGCTTTCAGCTCAAAAGGGCGATTGATATCGGCAGAGAATGCCAGTCGCAACGAGTCGATCTGGGCCTGGATTTCCGGCATAGGCCAAGCCTCAGAGCATCGTTCCAGGATGCGCATGTGTCGAGTAAAATAATCTCGAGCATCCGTGTGGAAATTAGGGTCAGGAGAGGTTATGGCAATCTGCGAGCACGTCAGCTCTGTTAGGTGAAGATTGGCCGTGGCCCATGTACATACCAGATGCAGCATCGTACATGTCAGGATGCAGTAAATGGCAAAATTAATGCCTCTTAGCATAAAAAGCAGGCCTGGGAGCCCAAAACGGTCCAAAATAGCTTCTTGAAGCCTGCAGAGGCACTTCGCCGAGGAGTAGCATAATGTCATGTGGATTTTCCAGCCTCCGCCCGCAGCAAAAGATTTGGACGCGAGTAGCTGAGGCCGATGAAGTAATAGAATGCCCAGATGACAATGCGAATGCATGTTTCCAACAAAGTGAGACGGGATCCAAGGAGGCGACCCATCTGGAGGATAGTTGACTTGTAGGTCTGGAGGCAGACTTTGGAGCCATTCGGTGAACATGCTGCTCTTCTCAACAAACTTGGGGTTGGCACCCCAGTCTTTTTGTTTCTTGATCTTGTGGTAGATGTCGGTGATGATGCGAATGTTCCGAGCGTTCTGGACGAAGTAGGCGTATTGCCTCGATCGATCAATTTCGAATTGATCGAGTCCTTTGATGCCCAATGCTGGATTCATATTTACTGTGTCCAAGTCTACTCCATAGTCCGATCGGCCTGTACGGGTTAGAAGCTGTCATTTGCTCGGAATTAAGAACGTACCTTGTGGTGCACCAATCATTACTTCAACGATCAAAAGGGCTTGCCAGACCCTCGTTTGCACTAAGCATTCTATCGGGCTCAAATCGCAGGGCTTGTTATCAGCATGTGTGGCGTAGTGGTCGTGAATCTCCAAGTCCTTGGACATCGAGACGATTGTTTTGACGGTCTGCCAAGAGCGGTAATAATAGCCTTTCTTTGGCAGCGACTCTCGTGCTTTCAATAGCAGCAACAGAGCCTGAATTGTACTTAGACGTGGAACATCCATGAAGCTCGATTCGTGCCCTGGGCGAGACAGTTAGATACCAGCTTACGACGCCCGAGAAGATGAGCGGATATCGAGGGAGGCTGTCTCACTGTTCGCCATTGCCAACCACTGCGCTCCTTGGGCAGGGTCATCCGATAACCTCCCCGCACACGCAAATAATGCCTCGAGAAGAAACGGAGAAATCAGATGTCGCTCGTGCTGCCACTGGTAGTACAGTTGAGATCGATGCACTACAGGAACGTAGGGGTGAATATCGTTGAAGTAAATTTTGAAGTAATTCATGACTTCATCATCGGATGGCATCAACTCTGGAGGTATGCGAATACTCGACCCTGCTCCCGTACTTAGGGGAGGTAGGACTTCGTCTTCGTCTTGCGACGAGAGTTCCGGTTCAGCTCGTTCTTTTCTCTGTTGTCGGATATACGGCGCTATTCTCCACATTAGCAAGGTGCCTCTAGCCTTTCCTCTTCGATCCGTGAGGGCGTTACCTATTCCCGTCTCGTCTATCTTCAGTTCTCCTAGGACTTCACTGAGATTTTCGGCAGTGGATTGGTCATTGTCCGCATAGGCTTCGCTCTCCACATTCTCTAGCTCCGAAGGTTGAGGTGCATATAGATGCGATTGCGGGTAAGAATGTTGCGGAACAGGCATTTGTGGCCGTACGTCATAAAGGCCGGGTTGCTGGGAAGTAGGAGGCATGTATTGAGGAAACATGCCCATTTCATTGTACTGCGGAACGTGGCCCAGAGCCGGTTGGTTGCCTTCTCCGAAACTATGAGCCATGTGGAAGGAAGACATAGAGGACTCTGGGGCTCCCGATGTGTTCACAGTCCCTGTCGGATTGGTCTCAGGCCTTTGGTTTGTGCCGAATTCGCCCTCCTGCCCAATACTGGGCGGTACGCATACTAATTTCAGGCGGGTGCATGCTGAACAAGGCCAGGTATTAGTCGTAGCAGCATCGCACTTGATCTTCCGTTTTCTGCAGCCATTGCAAGCTCGCATCACTATATGAAACAAGTCAGCGACACGAGGTCGGATAATCCACCAGACTTGAGGGGACGAACCTTTGAGTCTTTTATGTCTATTGTGTTCGTCAACGAAGACGTAATCTGTATTTCACCGCCGTTAGCAGGTTCCTTGTAGAAATCCCCGAATACTTGAGACGCGATCAAAAAAGACGGAGGCTGATGCTGAGTTCTTACTCTTATGGCCCTCCCTTGAAGCCCCGCTTGGGGGCACGAACGAATAACTCTGCATTATGCTTTGGTGGGACGTAGAAAAGGAAGCATGAAATTTTCAATGTCGCAAGGAAATAATAGAATGAGGATCAAGGCCCGCCTTGTCCGAGTAGATTTGGCTTCCCGAGCGTCCTGCTGACGAGACGAAGTAGCAAAAGTGAGGTGTTGTGATGTTTGTACAACCGTGTGCTGGTGCCCGGACCAAGCAATCACGGAGCCTTGGGAAACGGACAACTGGTAAAAGTCGACGGTTGAGACCGAACCCCAATCGACTCAGCGGTGGAAATTGGTTATCGCGGCCTGTTCAGTGCTGTGCTCATCAAGGCCTCTGACAGCGGCAACCGTCCGATGTATCCCCGTGGATGGCGACAGAGTCAGTGCGAAGATTATATATACATAGACTGAGGTGCGTCGGGACAGGTAAGAGTTCGCGAGATCGTCCAAGGATGTTCGGTTTGCGATGTTCACGGCGGCGAGATGAGGGGAGGTTTGCTTTATACCAGGAACGGTGAGTTGGCTTTCGCGACCACGAATCAAGTGGTTGGAGGGTTCAATGGATAACTATAGCGAGAAGACAGCCATGTCAGTGATGAAGTCGTTTTGTGGTGTGACGAGGCCAACTTGCGAGTGCGATTTGTTGCGCGCCTCGGGTGGGGAAGCAGACACTTTCGGTGTTTCGAAGAGAGATAGCACGAGGAGCGCGCGAGTACCTTACAAATCAAACAGAATCGCGTTATCCGGTCTGCATCGTGGTGCGACGCGGTCAATCTCGGCAGGGCAAATCTAGCTGGGGAGAGCGCACTGGATCCGCGCACAGCCCAACCGGCATTTAGTTAAAAAGACTCGAAAGCGGAGGACGCGGAGTGAGACAGCGACGCAGGTGGATGAAGAAAATCACCCCACCAGAGGGGAGATGGCAATGGGCAGAGGCGCGAAGAGGAGATCGACGGATGATAAGAAGAGATGACATACAAAGGGGCAGAATGGAGAGCTGGAGAGGATTAAGGTACCAAGGAATAGGAAGTCCACCAATGTCTCTAAAGAGATTCACATGCAGGTGAGGCGGCCCGTGAGCGTATGCGATGATGGGAACGGAATTAAACCACCATTGGTCCCGAGGGATGGTGGCACTTCCAAAAGTCTCTCGAGGAATGAGGGAGGATGGGTTTGTCGGGGTAGAAGAATGATGTACACGGATCAGGATGATCGGGATCGAAGGTGGTGAATGGGACAAGCGGAGACGGACGATTTGGAGTGGGTAAACGCCGAGGAGGATTTTGGGGGGGTAAAAGGAGGAGAGGGAGGAGAGTGCGACGGAAGGATCGATAATAGGTGATCGATAGTAATAATAAGAGAGGGAGAGGTACCACTGATCGCCTCGGAAGTTGAGGGGCCGCACCGCAGACAAAGTACAGTACTGCCATCCGCGCCTTTCCAAGGTTAGGATTCGCCCCCCTCTTTTCCCTCGTGGAGTGACGATCTCACCAGGACGGGCATTCAGGCATCTATTGCCGAGAGGAGTAAGCAGGGCAGTCTATCACCTGCTCGTTTTCTTCTGAAGCATCCAAGAACAGTATCCTTTTTCTTCCAGAACTTTTAAATAATGAAAGGATTAAACCCCAGCAACGATAGACGAATTTCCCCATGATAGACTAATCTATACCTACACTCGTTTCAAGTTCCGACCAGTACCAAGGTATCATCACATATGTACAAGTATATATAGCGAAACTAAACCAGCCCCGTCAGTTCACCTACAATTATCCACACTAGAAGAACCTATACCCCGTACACTTCGTCCGCAACAAGAACCGGTCAGATTTCGCAGGTGGCACAACTTCCCGTGACGACTGCGAACTTTACCACAAATTCGGGACCACACAGAACGCTTACTCATTCGCTGGGTGTGGGGCGGGTGGATATGGGGAAAAATTAATTGTTCCGCGATGGCTAACTATCTATCAATGGTGACCCCTCCTCACACCCACCCAAGTCCCTCCTGATCAGACCATCGATTCAAGCCTCCTCTTGATCACGATCCAACATGGCGTCTGAAATTCAGAATCTCAATCCAACCATCCTCAGTGCCGCTGATCTTCCGACACGGCTACGCGCCTCCCCATCCCACAAGCCCTTGGAGACCGGACTCTTCGCGGGAACCCTTCTGACACCGGCGGACACTCTCGACCTCTCTCCCCAGTCGTATTCGTCCGGAGAGTCAGACACGGAAGGCGATCTCCTGGAAGAACCGATCGATGAACAAGAAATCTACGGTAGGCTGCGTCTCTCCAATCGCCCTCTATGCCGTGAGCTAATAATGTCTGCATAGACCTCGTGTCCACCATCTCGGACCCAGAGCACCCTATCTCCCTAGGAGCACTAGCGGTAGTGTCACTTCCTGATATCGCAATTAAGCCAACTCTGCCGAACGCGCCAGAGTCGCCGCTTCGAACCGTCACCGTCCTGATCACCCCAACCATCACCCACTGCAGTCTCGCCACCGTCATCGGGTTGGGAGTGCGTGTTCGACTCGAGCAGTCCCTCCCACCTCGATTCCGCGTTGACGTCCGGATCAAGGAGGGAACGCACAGTACTGCCGACGAAGTCAATAAACAATTGGCGGATAAGGAGAGAGTTGCGGCTGCATTGGAAAATGGAACCCTAATGGGCGTCATCGCCAAGATGCTGGAGACCTGCCAGTAATCTATGTTTTGGCCACAATGCACGTCCTATCGAAACTCCGAATATCGCTACAGTTATCAATTCGGGTTGCGGATCGACCGATATCTATATTCGAACTCAACTGAAACATAATCCGAACCGGACCCTCCCACAAACAACCAATTATGCTATTATGAATCCAGAACGCCGCTCTCCTTCAATCCCTTCCAGAGCTCAGGCTCCAAGAATTTGCTGACCGTAACATCTTCCGCCAATCCCTTTCGTCTTCTTGTCTTGAGCACGAAGTCTCGAGCCGTGGCCATCGCCGGTGCCATCTCCAGTGGCTTCAGCTTGACCTCACGATCCAGCGGATCTCCGGGAACGACACTCCATTTGTCAAAGACAAGACTCACCGAGGCTTGTCCTTGAGTGTGGATCCGCAGATCCGTCTCAAACCCAAATGAGTCGATGACCGGAATCAGGCCACGGACGGAATAGAGTGGAGTTCCCGCAATCGGTCCATCGGAGAGAACATGGCCTCTTCTGCGTGAGAGCACAGTGTACACCGATGCGACAGCATCCGCGGGTCCCGTCATTGTGCAAGAGTAAATAGGCTCCATCAAGCGAGGAGAGGCCATGAGGAATGAAGAATAGATGGCGCGGCGCGCCGTGGGAATGATCTGACCGCCGCCTCGGTAGATGGCTTGGTCGGCGAGGGAAACATCGGTCAACCGGAATTTCGTGTTCCGGATTGCTGCACTTGGTTAGCGACATGTCCACTGTGAATAGTTTTCCTCCTTGTTCGGGGGGCACGTCATATAGAAAATCCACATATGCACTTACGTTCTTCACAAAGAGGACCCTCCCTTGTACCCCAGCTGAAACCTTGCGTGATTGAGTCTCGTACGCTCCCAAGGAGCTTCTTGTCGATCTGTGACGGCAACGTATCGTCCTGTAATATGTTGGGACCCATTTCATCCGGCCCAAAGGCCCAGATGCTCCGTGCCGCGAGCTTGTCCCAGTCATACTTCTCTTCGAAGAACCGGGCTACTTTGCGGATGGGATCCTTGATGCTGACTCGTCCACTTTCGATATCTTCCGCAATGCCGTCATCCAGCGGCTCTGCGATCATTGTGATCTTGTTCTTCTTATTTGGCGTGATGGAATAGCACATAATGGCTGACGTCTCGACCACAGTCTCGCAGAACCGTGTTACAGGATCGGACACCTTGATTTCCATTTCTGAGTAAAGCCGCCGAAGGTCGTGGAGCACACAATCCATATAGAGCTCGCCCGCTCCTAGGACAACGTGTTCACCAGATTCTTCGACCTTTCGTTGAGATCAGTGGATAACTCTTGTTGACCTTGCGAAGGCCGTCCAGCATCTTGGGCAGTTCGGATGGGTTCACCGGCTCCACTGCAACCTTGAACACCGACTCCGTCATATGCCGAATGGGTTTGAAGATGTGAGCTTCCTCATCATCCTCCAGTTTGAGCGGAACCAGAGTCGCCGTCTTCACAATCGAGTTGTCCACGCCGCCCAAGAGAACGAAGTTACCCGCCGGGACACCGCTGGTGGGAATGTTGTAGGCTGTCTCAGCAATCCAAGTATCAGTAATCGTTGCAATCACCATATCTTCCTCATCCTCCGGGGTGTAACCCTCTCCCAGGACTCGAACTTGTTGGCCAGGCTGGGCCGTTCCACTCATTACTCGTCCAAAAGCGTTGAAGGTGGATGCATCTGTACTGCTGAAGAGCTTTGTGACGTGAATGACCAGTGGGCCATCCGAGCTGCATGCCGTCATTGCGTTTGCTACCTTCGTGTCGAGTGGACCGGTGTAGTATCTCTCTAGTTTCCTCGTAGAGCCTTCGACTGGAGAGGGCACATGTTGGTTGATCATGTCCACGAATCCTGTCGCAGGGCCGAAGAACTGCTCACACACGAGATTGAGCAGTACCTTCGCGTCCGACTTGAGTTGTGAAGGCTTCAAATTGATACCAACGGTGGCCAGGGTTTCTTTCAGATCCTCTGGGCTCTCACTTATCGTATGGGAGTAGAGTTTGTAGATGGGCTCCAGAACAAACTTGACGAAGCTCCGCTTGGAGTTCTCTTCGACACCCTTGCGGGTGAACTTTCGGCTTCGGGGGTTAAAGAAGATGTCTCCCCACAACCGCAGCGCGAAATCCGAAGTCTCAATCTGAGGATACGTCTCCGCATACATTTTGGCGAAAGACTGCAGAGTGAAGCACCAGCCCATGGAGGCAGACGCGAAAGCAACATTTCCCCTCTCGGGGCTCAGTCGCTTCTTCTCGCCTTGACCGGGTAGAACGTTCTCAATAACGGTGTTCACCTCCTCAATCACATGTTTGAGCTTGAAGTAGGCATCGTTAGGGGGGATTTTCAGCTCTAGAATCAATCTGTCCATTTTGTTCACAACCAAGGTCAGGGGCATGTCTTCTAGCACCGCATGCTTGATGATCTGCTCGGTGTTGGCCTGGACACCTTCCACGATATCAACGACGAGCACCACACCGTCAGCGAGTCTGACAGAGGAAGCCACTTCGTCCACGAAGTTGACATGTCCCGGGGTATCCAAGATGTTGAACAGGTGAGACTTCCCCTTCGTGCCTTGCAGAACCAAGCTCATGGGAGCTGACTTGATAGAGAGGCCCCGTTCTCTTTCCAGAAAATGGACGTCGGTGTACCGCAATTGCTCCTCCTTTCGCGTACCCGCTCGCTTTTCCAGGCGTTCGCTCAGGTCGTGTGTTTGGTTGACAAGCATGTCCATGAACGCGGTCTTTCCGTGATGCAAGTGACCGACAATCGCGACGTTCCTTATTTGATCCGGGAAATTCAGGAGATCTGTCATAAACTCGCGCGAAAAGTATACCGGGGGCAATTCCGCTTCTTCGATCGCGAACTTCTTTTGTTGCACCGGCGCGATGATAGGCTCCGACAGAGCTTGCGTATCTTCTTCCTGCACCAACGTTTCCACATCCTCTCCGTACACTTGTTGTGCGCTTGGGTAGTACTGCTTGTCTTCGTGTAAAATAACAGCGTTGGAGGGTCCTTCTGAACGGCCAGTCAGTGGGGATGAAAATCGCATCGCATCGGGCGCACCCACCGTCTACCTCCATCAATTGCTGGTCGTTAGCTTCGTGATCCTCCTCCTCATCGTCATCTCCAAAAGCCTCGTCAAAGGCGAAGGCTTGGGGGTTGACCTCCTCATGCTGGGCTTCCTCGTCGGACTCCGCAGCTTCTCCAATGTAGTTACCGAACCTGCACATACACGTCAGTGGCCAGAGAAAAACGGCAAATCGAACAAGAATGGATTCAATGCGTACTCGTCGTAAAGATCGTCCATGGTGATGAGGGAACGATTGTGAACAGTGGTCGCCAGTGTTGCAACTGGCGCATTCCTATTTTTTCCCGGGAAGCTCATGAGGTTTACCTAAGACGGACCGAGCTTGGCATTTCCCTCCCATGTTTGCTCTGGTTGTTTGCTGCCCCGCCACGCCGCTCCGAAGCCGCAGGATAAGAAGTGCACTGTACACTTCATTCTGCTCCCCCCCCTAATAAATACAGGCTGCAGAGTTGCTCGGTCTCACTGTCTTACATTTGCTGAAGGTCTACCTTCGTTATCCATCCACGGGACTTCCCCATCGCAGATTACTGTCTTAATCTACCTCAATTGCTTCTCCTCACCGACTCTCATCTACCTCTCACTTTATTCCCTCCCAATCTTTTACGTTAACGAATCGCCCCCTATTCACCACATAATCACCACCCACCATGTCTTCGTTGCCTCCTGTCTACATCGTCTCCGCCGCTAGAACCCCCGTGGGCTCTTTCCTTGGGTAAGCTTGGTCATTGTCTTTCTGATAATCCGATGCGACAGCTTCTGATATCGCCTCAGCTCTCTGTCGAGCCAGACTGCCCCTCAGCTGGGTGCCCATGCGATCAAGGGTAAGAAATTCAGCCGACTTTACTTTGCTTGACACTCTGCTGACATCGTTCAATCAGCGGCCATTGACAAGGCAGAGGGCATCAAGGCCTCCGACGTCCAGGAAGTGTTCTTCGGCAACGTCCTTTCCGCCAAGTGAGTCGACATCCTCGCCAGTACCCACGACTGATGCTTATACCCCCTCGAATAAAAGTGTCGGACAGAACCCCGCTAGACAGTGCGCCCTCCGCGCTGGCCTTGAGGAGTCGACGGTGTGCACCACCGTCAACAAGGTGTGCGCCTCCGGCCTGAAGGCCGTCATCCTCGGAGCCCAGACGATCATGACGGGCAATGCGGATGTCGTTGTGGCCGGTGGTGCCGAGTCCATGTCGAACGCCCCCCACTATCTTCCTAACCTTCGCACCGGTGCGAAGTATGGCCACCAGTCCCTGGTGGACGGAATCATGAAGGATGGTCTGACCGATGCGGGTAAGCAGGAGCTTATGGGCCTGCAGGCAGAGGAGTGTGCTCAGGACCATGATTTCAGCCGGGAACAGCAGGATGACTACGCCATTCGGACCTACGAGAAAGCCCAGGCGGCTCAGAAGGCTGGTCTGTTTGATGAGGAAATCGCCCCTGTTGAGCTCCCCGGTTTCCGGGGTAAGCCCGGCGTGACTGTGTCGCAGGATGAGGAGCCCAAGAACGTAAGTTTCTGTCCGTGTATCGTGGTGCATTCCAAGCTGACATGCTTCTTCCTCCATAGCTTAACCCCGACAAGCTGCGTGCCATGAAGCCTGCCTTCATTCCTGGATCCGGAACTGTCACTGCTCCTAACTCTTCTCCCCTGAACGATGGAGCTGCGGCTGTTGTCTTGGTCTCCGAGGCTAAGCTGAAGGAGCTCAACCTGAAGCCCGTTGCGAAGATCCTCGGATGGGGTGATGCTGCTCACCAGCCCAGCAAGTTCACGACCGCTCCTGCTCTGGCGATCCCCAAGGCTCTGAAGCATGCCGGTGTCTCCCAGGACTCCGTTGACGCTTTCGAGATCAACGAAGCCTTCAGTGTTGTTGCTCTTGCTAACATGAAGCTTCTTGGCATTTCGGAGGATAAGGTTAACCTTCACGGTGGTGCTGTCGCTATCGGGCCACCCCCATCCGGTGCCCAGTGGTGCTCGTATTCTGACCACCCCTGCTTGGTGTTCTGAAGGCGAAGAAGGGCAAGATCGGCTGTGTCGGAATCTGCAATGGCGGTGGCGGAGCCAGTGCCATGGTTGTCGAGTCGCTTGTTTAAATAGACGGACCGATTGTCTGGCCCGAATTGAGCGTGGCATATCTCTAGTTATCATTGGCAGGCCAAACCAATTTTGAGACAAAATCTATATATAATGATATCACTTTGATCCAGTGTGTACCTGGTTCACATTCCTTCGTAGGCTGACGCGACGTAGTCGCAACTGGAATTGGCGACTGCCAGTTGACAGCGAGATACCATGGTTAGGATCACGGAAAAGTCGTCCGGTTGATCAGTGTCAGAGCGGCTGGCGCTGGCGACACGATAGATAATGCATTCCATAACTCAAATTTAAACTAGCTAATATACATAACCCGAGATTCGCCCCGAGCATAACTTTTGTTCAGGCGAATGCACCGACAAACGCCATCAATATGGCCCCACTGGCGACAGCTATACAAGCCTCGACGCGACGTCGACCCCTGAGCGTTGCATAACTCGATTCACTAAGGAAGTCCTCGGCCAGGAGTTCGACAAGGCCGGCAAAAAGCAAGAGACCACTGCTGATTGCGTTGGTAATCCCAACCATGAGTAGGCCTGTGGCACTCGCTGGATCATACATATTATGCATGACGAGGCCGATGGCCTGCCCGATAGGCGTTGTCGTGCCATATGCAAGCGACATGAGCCACGGTTTCGGGGAAGAGGGACCGAAAAGGTCCGGAATGAGCGAGGCAATGCGCGACCCCAGAGCGAAGCCCTCAAACGTCTGATGGAAGCAGATAGCGACCAGGAGCACCACGAATGACGTCCCTGTTGCGACGCTGAGAGCCATTCCGATGAAGACGCTGTGGAAGAGGATACCGGCTTCCAGCAGAAGACATTGTAGCAATTGACGCTGGGGGTTTTGCAATTTGCCGCCTGGTTGGTGGTGAGAATGATCCGCATGTAAGCGGTGGTTCTCCGAACTCGGAAAGCCTCTGTTGTTGGGTGCATTCAAATTAGGTGTCTCGTAGGGCTCCGAGTCATCAAAGCTGATATCGTCGGTGTCTTTGCTGGCACCGTTCGAAGGTTGTAGAGTAGGATTGCTGCTGCCCTCGCCCATTCTACTCATATGGATGTTGTCTGTCGATTCGTGTCCCTCGAGGCGTAAATAGTCGGCTTCCTCCGAGTCAAATTCTGCCGCACCATCGCCGCTGCTGATCAACTGGTCGTATTCGCTCCCATGCACATGACCTGCTCCTTTCATCGCAAAGAACATCTCGACCACCACGACTACGAAGACCGAGACCATTGCAACAAACCCTGCCATCGCGCGATACGTCTGGCTCCAGAACCGAGGAAGACAGGGATCCGTCAGCGAAACAAACGCTGTAGGAAGAAGATGCACGAAGGCGGTAGCAATTAGGACACCGGTGCCAAAATGTCGTGAAATGAAAAGAAAGCGCCGGGGGATTGGGAGGCGTGGGAATCGACGGGCGAGGACCGGAAATGAACATGCTGTCCAGGAATGAGGTTAGGCAGGTCATTATAGGAGGTAGAATGCGATAGAACATACCTAGTGTACTCAGGATCAATATGAGGAATAGGGCCATGACATGTATTGGTGTGTTGTAAGCTCCTCGGTCCTTTGAGCCACATGTTGGCTTGTCATCGTCGACATCGCGACGCTCATTGCGTCGATCGAGTTCTGCTCGCAACACAGCATAAGGGATATCTGAGATTAACGTGGCGGCACGATCTGTTCACTCATATGGTTAGTAACTGTGCGATCGAGATGTATTCCTCTGCGTCGCGGACTTACCGGAGATGTCAGATGTGCCTTGCTGCCATATCGCTCTCAGCTGATCAGACATGTTTAGGCGTTTCCACCGTATCCATGAGACAGATCGGAGGTCCACGCAGAAATACGGAATGACCAGAGACTCGCGGGACTTCAATGGATCCGACTGTCTAGGGAGCGGCTGTCGCTCTGGGAACTCCGGCGGTGGTGTGTTCGTACCCCTCGAGGAGAAGCGGACGGACTGGAGGATTCGGCCACGCGTTAGGTTACAGATAAGCAATCTTATCAATCAGCTCCGTTGGGGCTTAGTAAGGTGAGTATATTCTGTAAAAATGAATCTCTATCCTGTATGAAGTCTGGATCTTGCAGCGAAAGGTTTCATGATTACTTGATTTATATTATATACAGCGGGTTCCGCTATCTATTTCGTAGCTTCGTCCATCCACTCGTTCCCTTGAGCCGCCTCGAATTATTTGTATGATTCGAACCCCCCACCTCATCATTATTCTGACCGGATCGAGCGGTAGTTGCGATAAGGGCCTTGTCAACAACTGCATCACGGTGACCATCATTAGACTCACGACGACCGCCAGGGTGAGGTTTGCTCGCAAGGTCATTATGGGTGTGCCCCGGAGGCTGGCTTGGTTCCTCTTGGGACGCGTCGTCCCATTCCTTCTCCTCCAGCAGCTCCCACTCAGCGCTTGCCATCTCTCCCAACAGACATGACTTGAGCTTGTCTACAATTTTCGTGGGCGTTGGGAGTCGCCACGTTCGCACAAACTCCGTGCCCTCGGAAGCACCCAGAAAGGAGTGCACGGTCCCGTGAGAGTAATGCCCCATCATTGGAAACGATTTAGTTCGTTGAATGGTAGTTTTGGGTGAATCCTTTGCAAGTTTCATCTTCGTTTGTATATCCCGCCCAGCGAATGCTCTCATGAGGGTTCCTGCTGGTGCAGGGGGAGCAACGAGTAGCTGCCACAGGTTCTTGCCGACATTGCACACTTCTTCCCAAGAGTCAGAAGCCAAATTAAGCCCCTGCGTGCGGCATACCCAAGATACATCCCACGCCAATAGGGCGGCCCCTTCCAAAAAAAGAGCGTATGCCGCAGGATCCTCTCGAGCGAGTCGCGGAAGAGAGCGGTCAATAGAAAGAGGACGAGGTCGTGGGAAATGCGAGCGCAAGTCTGCTGTTCGGGACGCACCTGGACTTGAGGGCGCCGGTTGCGAAGTAGGCGGTGTTGAGGCAGGATCACGAAGAAGGTAGGAACCCGAGGGCGGATATATTGTAGCGTTGGGATAGTTCCTATGGGGGAGGGTAATTTCGGCTGGTAGTCTGAGAGACAGGTAATGCGAAACAAGGACGAGGAGGTGGGAAACGTGACCGAACGATGTTGAGATTTGTTGAGGAGTTGCGCCTGTTCACCTGTTAGTACTTGTAAGCAGTAGAATTGCGTCGCGACTTTCCATTCATGTCTCTGAGGTCTATAATGGGAACACCGCCAATAATGTGGATCTCCTTGAGCTCTCCATCTTTCTTTTTGGTCTTTTGCCGCAGTCCATAAATGTTAGCCGCCTCGCGGCATAGAAATATACGATCCTCTGCCGTCTTGCTGTGCAGCGAATGCCACAAGTGGTCTGTCCTCTTGGTAGTGTTCTGAATGCCAGCCAGGGTTGTCTCCTCTCTGTCTGCTATCTGGTAGGTCGCGGATTCAGCATCAGAGTGTCTTTGTGCCAATGTTAGACGGCGCTGGGAGACCTCAAGTTGCTTCCTCTTGAGGTCCGAGCGGAGTCTTTCAATCTCGTTTGATATGAGGGTAATTCGCCCTGACGACTTGGCTTTCTCATTTGTGATGGCTTGTATGGTCAGAATATTGGAGTCTATACCCTGAGAATTTGAGCGATTTCTCGTAATTCTGTCTGGGGACAGTCCGTCAAGATCCTTGGACACGGTCGCATCCTCAATCTGTCTCCCTATGGACTCTTTCTCCAGAAGCACGCTGGCATGCTGAACCCGCAAGTGGTAGAGCCGGTTGCGAGCACATGTGGGGCAGAAATAGCGCGTCCGCGACGATGGAGTTTGACAGCATATGTGGCAGCTCATCGCAAGGGTATTGTATCTCTCTCGTGGAAGTCACAAGGGCGGTTCAGAGTCCCATAGCCTAGATTGGAGACCAGTTTAACTGCCTGGTTTGGAACAGAGAACGATAAGAATACGGAAGTCATGGGAGTCGTGTCTGAGTATAACCTCTCAAAACGGAGTGGAGTTAAAAAATGAAGCGGTTGCACATGGGTGGATGTAAGAGAACTCTCGTGAGGCAGCCGTGCATTACCCAGTCTATGAGTATGAAGTGGGTAAATGTCGTTGATAGAGCAGCGAGTGATTGAGAATGGGGTCAGCTGCATGTCACCTGACACTGTCACTTGATATGACCTAACTGTTTATGCCTGAGGCATCATATTCCTATTTAGGTTGGTTGCGACGAGGTGCGACAAGCATACTAATGCCACAACATCTCTTTTACCTCCAGACCAGATAACATTCGCTGGATGAACCACTTTCCTTATGCTCTGAAAAACTTTCACAGTATTTGTGTATCATAGATGGTAACTGTCTGCCGGAATCCTCCGTGGCCTCCATGTCCTCCTAATCTGGTGAACCCAAAACAGACATCGGACTAAGTACGTCAAACGAAGGTGACAATGGCTTCTTCGACGAGGGGATCACAAGAAACCATTCAAGGCCAAAACACCAACACAACACTCCAAGGAAAACCTAGCTCTCACAAACATGGGACTTCGCCAGAAGCAATCCCGACCAGGGATGACATCCAAGGGCTTGACTGGGACCAGCTGCAGGAGGTATATATCAATGCCATGCAGGAACATGGCAAGGCCGAAGAGGAAGTGAAAAACCAAACATCGGACCTCCTTAAGGTGAGCTAACCAAAGTCATCAGTATGAAACTGAATCTGACCACAACGATCTAGATTTTCACGGCATGGTCTGAGACCACACTTGTTCGTGATGAGACCCGAGCGCTGAAAAGGTAAGTCTATCCTATCGTACAGGGCTTCAGACAGTATCGTCTGACGGACGCCCAGGTTCAAAACGCAAATGCAGTACGTACAAAACTCAGAAGAGAGCCTGGAAATGAAGAAGAGACACTGTAGGTTCTGATACCAAGCTACGAAAACAATTCCTGACACTGGAATACAGATACCAATGTTGTTAAAGCATTCGAAAGTGCACTTGCGCTGCTGAACAATCGTGTCAACCACTAGGACCCTTACGTATTGGGTCCTACCTGTTCTATGACACTATGATGCTCCCTGGAATACTCGCAACCAGAGGAGGATCCAGCACTATGTCGGTCCAAAGAGCATACAAGAATGTGGAGGCCTTCTGTTTGCGGCCAATCCATTCCTCCAACAGAACAATATCCTGATATCTTCAAACTCTCCACGAAGAACCATGCACCAGCAGCTACATCCCAAACCACGCATATTCATCGCGAAGTGTACATATATTACAATTTTATACAAACAGTGACTTGAAATGACAGATAGATTCATCATAAGCTAGGCATGAATGGCAGATAACACGTCAGATGAATAAAACGTAGCAAATTACCTAATCATCGACTCTCCATCAGGAATCGCGTTGCCTATTGGACCTTCCGGTGATGTCTTGCCAGGCTGTATCAAGCCTTCGTCCCGTGCTTGCTAGTAGGCCTTCTTCCTCAGCTTCCTCAGCATCCTCGTCCATTTGCCGCTCATCCAACTTGGGAGAACGGAAAAGAGAGGCGACCACAACGATAAGATATACACCTATTTTATGGTTTATCAGCCACCGGCCAGACAGCTTTTGTAGATAGCTTCGCTTACCAAGGAAGACGAATTGGCCCCAGAAGAATATCACGCCAAAGAATGGGAAGTTGATCGTCACTCGATTGAGGAACGTGCTGGCGATGCTCGGCGTGCAAACCCCACTCGCGGCCGGATTTTTGATCATCTCTGAGCATGGTTTGATAAGGTGTCTGGCGTTGGAGCAATCCGCTTGTTCCCCAAAGGTGCCAGTTGTGCGATCACAGAAAGTTTGTGGTCCAAAAGTCGCGTATTGAGGCGCTACGACCATCGACACGGAATAGTTGAGAGCTAAGATTGTTAACATCAACATGGCCGTAGTTAGTAGCAGAGCCTGTGGAGATGTATGGCCCTTTCGAATTTGGAAGATCCTGATCCACAGAAATCGGATTCCGACGATAGCAATCCCCACGACTGAGCTGCAAAAGAAAAGAAGCACGAGCAGGGTGAAGATGACGTAGTCAACTGGGAAGACCTTCGCAGCCTGAACGAAGACCCAGTTGATGGGGTTGAAGACGGTGATGTGTCCGAGGATGTATCCACAATGGTATTTGCAGAAAGAGTTCGTAGCCTTATCAATGGCTGTCAACAGCATGGATACCCATATGACAAGGGCAATAATCAGTAGAATGATGCCGCCAAGTAACTTGAACGGACGGAAGACAGCTTCGGTTTTCAACCATGCTCTCATAAGCCAGCTGCGGCCTTCCCCTTGCGCTTCGTCGGCTAGACGTTGTCGTCGGATAAGGGTCCGTTCTTCCCGGACAAGCATGTCCAGCTCTCGGCGATCCTTGGAAGACAATAGCTCCGTGTTCCCTCCACAGCGGCCCTCCAATTGGCGCTGACGCTCTCGGTTGGAGTCGAGTTGCATAGCGGTCGTCGCTTTCAGATTCGGAGCTGAAATCGATGGCGCCGTCTTGATCAGACTGACGGGAAGGAGGGCCAGACCAGTAGAGGTGTACAGGACGTATAGACACAGACCGATCGTTATCAGCAAGCCAAGGGCAAAGGTAAGGGCACGTTCGCCGCCTAAAATAAATTAGCTCTAGCTCCTTTTGTTTCAAAGATAGCAAATAACTTACGGTTCTCAGTCAAAAGCTTTTTGAAGTAGTCCAGTCCACCAGAATGGTTGTCCTTTGCGACAGGGACAAAAAATCCAACCAGGAACAGAACGATCACTATCGCGATAAAGGTGATAGTGTATTTGAAGGCAGCCCAGAACCGGTTACCGGTTGTCTGTTCTCCTTCCTCTGCAGCGACTTCATCGTACTCTTCGTACCAAAAGTAGGTGAAGGGTATCACCAGGAGACAAAGGAGGGCGTCCAGAGAGTATAGCAAGTAATACACAACTTTCAACGAAAAGAGGATCTTGTTGACTTCATGATCAGTGGCCCAATCCTTTCTGCGTCCTAGTGCCGAAGAGTTTGTGGATGAGACCAGGGCGACATCGACTGGTAACAGCAGCACCGTCGCAAGGAGTGTCGTGATCGCGAATATGCACGTCAGTGTCACAGACGGAGACCTGTCTCGAGGCGTCTGATACACATATATAAAGACAGACGCGACTGCAATTAGCACGGCTATGGCAATTGCATATACGACCCAAATCAGGGACGTTTGCAGGAGCGCCATGGTGGAGCTCCGACTTCACATGGAATGACGGGAGTAAGATGGGTATCCAGTAGAACGACCTAGCGCTAGCCAGCAGTTAGTATCGGTATCACATATCTAAAAGAGCGCGAAAGATAGGACATACACAAGCAGAGAGTGTAACGCGACTCCCAACGATGGAGGAATCTTGGAAGGTCAGCGACGAACGAAGCAGCACGTCTTACGTCATCGGGTCCTTTCTCCCAAAGTCATGGTCACGTGCATCTCCCGAGCTTCCTGCGACGGTCAACAGAAAGACATACAAACAAAGCAGATTGCCCAGCTGTCCATGAACAGCTTTCCCGACCGGAGCTGTCTGTGTTTTCTCGACTCGCATCTCAATCACCCGGAAATGGTGTTTTTCTGAGTGGGCTACTTGATCAATCGAGGTTGGTTGAACGGGAAAGTCTCAGGCCCAGACACTTCCATCTGCCGGCGACACTTCAATGCAGTGTTATACGGAATTGCTACCCCCTTCTGGGGTTAGTCATGCATTGGCGATTCCATTTACTTCTTCAACGGCCCGAAATTTGGTGGTTGCGAGAACTTCATTGCTTCAGATATTTTCTGTGATCCCTGTGGGCCCGCGATCGCAAGACACCGAAGATCGGGCGTCCACGAAGCTTTTTCTGGAGCAAGAGTACTCATTGCCCGGGACTGTTACAGATCTTCGCCGCGTCAAGATCTTGAATTCCAAAAGCGGCGGAGAAGCTGTCTTACTGGCGTTTCGCAATGCCAAACTCAGTTTGATCGAATGGGACCCCGAACGCCATGGCATTTCTACCATTTCCATCCATTACTACGAGCGGGATGATTTAACATGTAGCCCATGGGTCCCTGACCTGAGCAGCTGTGGCAGCATTCTCGACGTGGAGCCTAGCAGTAGATGCGCGGTCTTCAACTTTGGAATCCGGAATCTCGCCATTATTCCGTTCCATCAGCCGGGAGATGACCTGGTGATGGATGATTACGACTCTGATCTCGACGAACGGAAGCATGTCGACCAGGAGACGACGAGAGAGAGTCCAGCATACGCCACTCCATATGCTTCGTCTTTTGTCCTCCCCTTGACTGCATTTGACCCTTCGATTCTTCACCCTATTAGCCTCGCCTTCTTGCATGAATATAGGGAACCGACGTTTGGAATCCTATATTCACAAGTCGCGACATCCAATGCACTTCTTCATGAAAGAAAAGATGTCGTTTTCTATTCAGTTTTTACTCTGGACTTGGAGCAGCGCGCTTCTACGACATTACTTTCGGTGGCTAGACTGCCCAGTGATTTGTTCCACGTGGTGGCTCTTCCGCCGCCTGTCGGTGGCTCCCTACTCATAGGATCCAACGAACTAGTGCATGTCGACCAAGCGGGGAAGACTAATGCTGTGGGCGTTAATGAATTTTCCAGACAAGTGTCGGCATTCTCCATGACGGACCAGTCAGATCTCGCGCTGCGCCTTGAAGGTTGCCGCGTTGAACGTCTTGCCGATAACAGCGGTGATATGATCTTGATCTTGTCTACAGGCAACATGGTTCTTATCAAGTTCAAGCTGGACGGCAGGTCCGTGTCTGGTATTTCAGTCCACCCGGTGCCCGTTCATGCGGGTGGTGATCTTATGAAATCGGCAGCTTCTTCATCTGCATTTCTAGGGAATGGGGAGGTCTTCCTAGGCAGTGAGGATGCGGATTCTCTACTCTTGGGCTGGTCCGATCTGTCGTCAGGCACAAAGAGACTTCGTTCGCATAAAAACGATGCGAACGACTCTGGCGACGTTTCCGATGATAACATGAGCGACGATGATGTCTACGAAGATGATCTCTATTCTACATCCCCAGATGCAACTGCAGACGGTCGCCGGGTATCTGCAGACCCATCATCCTTTGGTCTGTACAATTTCCGAATCAACGACAGGCTTCTCAACATCGCCCCCTTGAGAGATATCACCCTGGGAAAGCCATCTACATTCGACAAGGATCGGAAGGACAACGTATCGGCTGAGTTGGAGTTGGTAGCTTCCCAAGGGTCAGACCGCAACGGTGGATTGATAGCTATGAGACGTGAGATCGACCCAGAGGTATTGGCTTCTTTCACAATCGACTCGGCCAACTGCGTCTGGACCGCGTGTGTAGAGTCGTCGGGAGGAAAAGACAGCCATCAATATGTCATTGTATCGAAACAAACGAACATCGATAAAGAAGAGACGGAGATATTCCGCGTGGATGGCCTTGACTTGAAACCGATCAAGGCACCGGAAGTCAACCCGAATGAGGAGGTTACGATCGATGTTGGAACGCTGGCGAAACAAAGTAGGGTGGTTCAAGTCCTGAAGAATGAAGTCCGATGTTACGATGCCGGTAAGACATCCCTGCCTTTTCTCATCCAACAATGCTGATGAACAGACCTTGGACTGGCCCAAATCTACCCCGTATGGGATGAAGATACCAGCGACGAACACCCGGCTGTTAGCGCTAGTGTGACAGACCCTTATGTCGCTATTCTTCGAGATGACTCTACGCTGTTACTTCTCCACGTGGACGATAGCGGCGATGTTGATGAAGTCGAGATGCCTGACAATATGGCAGCTCATAAGTGGCTCTCGTCTTGCTTATACCTCGATAAAACTGGGGTCTTTGCATCCAACACGGATACGAAAGGGTCGCGGCAGAACGATATGTTTTTGTTCTTACTTGGCCAGGATTGCCGGTTATTCGTGAGTGCCTCTTCCGCAAATGTAGAATCAGTTACTTACTAGCTAGATTTACCGACTGCCGGACCTGCTGCTGGTTTCAACAATTGATGGCGTTGATTGTTTACCACCACTTCTATCGAGCGAACCGCCGAAACGATCAACTACCCGCGAAACGCTGGCTGAGGTCGTCGTTGCGGATCTTGGCGACACCTGGAGCAGTATCCCTTATTTGATTGTATGGAAGCTTACCCACCTTTGGTCCTCGATTCTAACGAGTGGGGATAGGTGCGAACAAGAACTGACGAGATCACCATGTACAAACCATTCGTTGCCACGAACGGCCTCTGCTTTGCCAAAAGTACGAATCGCGTCTTGCCGCGAATGCCACCGGATGGATTCAGTACAGAAACGTCGGCAGGAGGCCAAGTCGGAATCCCGCCGTTACGCATACTGCGTAATATTTCAGGATTTAGCTCCGTCTTCATGCCCGGAATGTCGGCAGGCTTTGTCCTCAAGACATCGGCTAGCTTGCCCCATCTCATGCGGATGAGGGGAGCGCCCATACAATGCTTGGATGCTTTCAACAGCCCCAGTGGAAACGGATTTATCTTCTTAGACTCGGAGGTGCGTGACGTCCATTGATGCCATGTTCTGCGCTGACCCCTGCAGAATGCCCTGCGGATGTGCCAATTGCCTCGCGAGACGCACTTTGATTACCAATGGCCCATGCGGAGGATTCCCATAGGAGAGCAAATCGACCATCTGGCCTACTCTGCGTCCTCTGAAACGTATGTCCTGGGCACCAGCCACAGGGCGGAATGGAAGCTACCGGACGACGACGAGCTGCATCCCGAATGGCGCAACGAAGGTGTGCACAGTCCCATCTCCATCTGAACATGGCTGATAAATCTAGTGATTTCCTTCCTCCCAGAAGTCGACCAGAGCTCTCTGAAAGTCGTCACTCCCAAGACATGGGAAGTCATTGACAGGTACGAACACCACAGCTCGACGCCCACCAAGACTAACATTGATCTCCGACAGCTATCCACTAGGCCCCGCCGAGCATATAATGGCAATGAAGAACATCAGCCTCGAGGTGTCGGAAAACACCCACGAGCGCAAGGAGATGATCGTAGTCGGCACGGCATTCACGCGCGGCGAAGACATCGCCGCGCGGGGCTGCGTTTATGTCTTTGAAGTCATCAAGGTCGTCCCGGAGCCAGACAAACCAGAGACAGACCGTAAACTCAAACTCGTCGGCATGGAGCCCGTGAAGGGCGCCGTGACGGCGCTCTCCGGCATCGGCGGCCAGGGCTTCCTGATCGTCGCGCAGGGCCAGAAGTGCATCGTGCGCGGTCTCAAGGAGGACGGCAGTCTTCTCCCCGTGGCGTTCATGGACGTGCAATGCTACGTCAGCGTGGTGAAGGAGCTAAAAGGCACCGGCATGTGCATTCTGGGGGATGCCGTGAAGGGCCTCTGGTTTGCCGGCTACTCAGTATGATATCCCCCAGAAGTCCGACTGACCCTCTCTAACCAGTCTCCGCGCGCAGGAAGAACCATACAAAATGAGCCTCTTCGCCAAGGACCTCGACTACCTCGACGTCCTGGCGGCCGACTTCCTCCCAGACGGAAGAAAGCTGTATGTCGTCGTCGCCGACGGCGACTGCAACCTGCACGTCCTCCAATACGACCCAGAGGGTGCGTCCATCCCCCTACCTACCCAACATCTTTCGCGCCAGCACTAACAAAAGCCAGACCCCAAATCCTCCAACGGCGACCGCCTCCTCAGCCGCAGCCGATTCCACACGGGCAACTTCGCCTCGACGCTGACGCTGCTCCCGCGCACGACCGTCTCCTCAGAGCAAGCGCTCTCCGCCTCCGCAGACGCAATGGACATGGACCTGTCCGTGGCGCGCCACAACGTGCTGATCACCTCGCAGAACGGGTCCGTGGCGCTGGTCACCTGCATCGCGGAGGAGGTGTACCGGCGGCTGTCGGCGCTGCAGTCGCAGCTGACCAACACGCTGGAGCATGCGTGCGGGCTGAACCCGCGCGCGTTCCGGGCCGTCGAGAGCGACGGCAGTGCGGGGCGGGGCATGCTGGATGGGAACCTGCTGGCGCAGTGGTTGGATCTGAGCAAGCAGCGGCGGGTGGAGATTGCGAGTCGGGTGGGGGCGGACGAGTGGGAGATCAAGGCGGATTTGGAGAGTATTTCGGGAGATGGGTTGGGGTATCTCTAGGACTTGTACTTGTTGCAGTAGAATGTGGTACGTGGAATACTGAAGTCATCTTGTGACCGTCAGGATAAAATGGATATATCACATTAGCTCCGACTCACGCGGATGTACTCCATACGGGGTAATTAAGTAACAGGAGCCACAGACGATCCACGCATCGTAATTCTAGCATCGTCTCAAACGTGTTAGGGTGGCTGACAACGGCCGCTGCGGTCTGCCGCCCTTGCATACAGACCATATGCCAGGGCTGCAGACAGAGCCATGTCCTGCCGAGTATGTGGTTAAAATAACACAAGCCGAATCGAAAAAGAAGAGAGAAAATGCCTCCCAACCATGACGCCCACCGTCCGTACTACTCCATAGCCATCCCATAACATACACGCCCATGCCCAAATAAAATATATAGACCAAGCATTTTCCGGGAAGTAAATGTCCATCCAGATGGAGAATCCCACGGGTAAAAGGAAAAAAGAAGCAAAGTCGAAACAAGAACTGTACGCAACGAGAAGAAATGCTCCAGAAGAATCTCGAGTGCGCCGCGGCCAGGGAAATAATTAGGTGGAGGCCTAGAACACGTCCTCCGCCGCGAAATATCGCTTGTTTCTCCCGCGCGCACCGACAAGCTTCATCTCGGGCATGTTGGTGTGATGGACGACATGAGGCCGGTACACCGCATCGACCGGGGCCTGCCAGTCGTCCAAGCCTAGGGGAAAGTACTCATACAGCAGATCAGCACTTTCGTTGGGGAACGGGAGCGTCGAGGCGAATGGCTGCTGCAGATTTGGCGTGCTGAGCAACGGCAGCGATGTCGACGGATTTCGCGCCGGCGGCTGCGAGACATGAGATAGTTTGCGCATCTTCGCCGGTGGTGCAGAGCTATCCACATGGAGATTCTTGTGTAATGCATCAGGGGGAAACGCAGAATTCGGCCGCGCGAGATCATGCAGATGATTGACCGCATCGCCCCCTTCTTCTTCGTCCAAGAGCGACAGATTAATTGGCGCGGCGACCGTGCTCGGATGCCGTTGGTGTTCGGCAGAGCGCGAGAACTCCGGGCTCGACTGCGAATAGATGGAAGAATGAGGCAACGCGGTGGATGGCAAGGCGTTTCCTCCCGTCGGGGGCAGCTGGGACCAGTCGGGCGACGGTCGTTGCAGGACGCCCGCCTGGGATGCGGAGGTCTCGGGGGAACTGCTCTTGGCCGTCACCTTGGCTTTGGCGGGCGTCTGGGTGAGACGCGGCGTCGATTCGCCGTTGGCGGCGCGGTTGATGGCGTGGGCCTGTGCATTCTTCCTCGACGCCGCGGCACTGCCGCTCAACGGGAGGTCCTTGCGCGACTGGAAGTTTCGTGGACTCCGGCCACGGACGATGATCGGACCCGACTGGACTTCGCAGATGGGGATTTTCGCGCCGGTCGACAGAGTGGCGACCACCTTGAGGCGCACGACAAAGTGTTGCTGGAGCTCTTTTCGACGGCCGTTGTTGGCGGTCGCGACGCGGAACTGGAGTCGCTTCCATGCGATCGGAAAGGTCGCATAATCCGTGTCCAGATCCTGGCCGGCCATGATGTCCAAGGGAATCGGCGGAGGCTCCTTCTCGATCTTCGGGTTGTTGTTCCCGTTGGGGTTTGTGGCGGAGTTGGCTCCGTCTTCGGTGGGAGGGTTCCCGTTCGCCGCGGGCGTTTTCCAGGGCACGGAGATGATCTTGACGGAATTGCCTTCGACGGACTCGGTGGCGGAGACGGTGAGTTCTTGCGCCAGGATGGGGATGCGATCGCCTTGTTCCGTCATGATGTAGCGCAGACTCCGCGGCAGGGTGACTGAGCCGGTGATCTGGAACAGGTTGCGACGATAGCAGGTTAATTCGGCGCCTTGTTGTGGGGGCGCATTCTCGGAGGGGGAGGTGGTCCAGGGCGACTCGGCGAGAAAGAACATGCCGTGGAGCTGCGCGGACAGCGAGAGGGTGGCTCGCCGAAGGGAGTAGTCGAGCAGGGTGAAGTTGTAGACCGGGATGGAAAAGCTCAGCAGTTTATTATTATGGTCGATGGAGGAGTCCGCGGGCTGCTCGGGGGGGACGGGCTCAAATGGCGTGACCATGTCAGTGAACGGGTCTTCGTAACTTGACGAGAACCTCTTCAAAGACGTGGGAAGGCCACTTTGAGCAAAGGTCATGTCATCACTAGATCAGCGATGGGTTAGCCTAGTTTTCGCGAGATACCCAAGAGGCTCGGAGAGACGTACCTGACAAAGGTCTCGGTGTCAAAATTGGAGCGCTGGTCAGGCAGATCCATTCCCGGCATGGAATTGAGGTAATCGCCTTGAAGATTGCTGAGGGACAGCGGACTGGCCAAATATGGCATGGCCATGGTGTCGAAGCCCTCCATGGCGAGGGCGGAACGAGGGGCGACTGGCACGATGGGACGCACGAGGTGGAAGAGCGCTGGAGATGGGAGTGCGCTGGACGGAGGAGTGGCGCGGCGCTATTGAGAAAGTCGGGGTGGGTGAGGGGACCGAGAAAGCGGAGGCGCGGGGAAGTCGGAAAAACGGCAGGAAGAGGTAAGCGGTAGAGAGGTCGAGCAGAGGTCGGCGACAAAGAAGTCGAGCGACCAGATAAAGGCGCGAGAGGAGAGGTTCCAACGAGGTTCCGGACGATAGAGGGAGGAAGATAGGAGGATCGCAAAGGGCGAACGAGAGGGTGAGAATTACGAGGACATGGAGGAGAGAGACGGGAGGGAGATTGGTCGGTCGCGCAAGCAGCAGACGAGTAGGTGAGGGTGACGAAGGTGACGAGGGGAGAAGAGGGAAAGGAGAAAAGAAGAAGAAGAGGAGGAGGAGGAAGAGGACGAAGGAATGGAAGATGAAGAGAAAAGAAGGAAAGCGAGAGTAGTTGTAGGAAGACGAATAGAGTCGAGCGACCACCAGAGCGTACAGACCAGACAGGTGAGTGGATCGGAATGCCCCGAGGTCAAGACGAGGTCGGCGGTGGAGATGGCGAATCGTGGGCGGACTCCCTGCGCAGATTGAGGACCGGCACGGCACTAGAGAGCAATCCGGAGACAGTCTAGTCAGTCAGAGATAACAATGGAGAGAGGAGTGAGTGGGTGGTCCGGGAGGCTGGACGGACCCGGCGAGTCTAGTCTCGTACCTGGGTAGTCGACGAATGAAGAATGAAGCGGATGGATTCAGTAAGTGGATCAGAGGAGAGGAGAAGAGGAGAGAGAGTAGAATAGGAAGAGAGAAGAGACTCGGAGAGTAAAGAGAGTGAGTGAGTGAGTGAGTGAGTGCGTGAGTGGAGGATCATGCGGCAGGATTCGACTTTATTTCGCTCGTCAGAATTCTATCTCGTCATTCTTTTACTAGTAGGTTTACACACTGAGTTATCTTCTTCTTTTGATGTTTCTAGAACTCGTGCAGGATCTACAGGAGTGCAGTTATCGTATCTACTATGTATGTACCTTGTCCTAGGACTAAGGAGATATCATAATAACTCACCACTCTCATTCTCCATCCTCCATCCAGCTCCGTTATCTCACCAGAGGACAAGAGGCCCACCGACCCTAACCGTAGGATCCCGTTGGAGCGTCGACGGCTGCTGGTTGACCGGATCGGGCAGGGCGCGGTCTTTGGGATCTCCACAACCCGGGGGATCGGAGTACGGAGTATACGTAGTAATGATTGCTTCCATTACCTTTAACTAGCTACCTTATTCTCATAATTCTTCATCATAAGAATAATAAAAGAAAATAGACAATACATATACAATAACTACCTGCAATCCTCTACTCCCGAGTACAGTCAGCTTGTGTCGGGCAAATGAAAAAAAGCACGACAGGAATCCATGCCAGTTGACCCCACCCGCCGCCATCAAATGATGAATGCGGTAGACCCTGGACTTGACCACCACCAGCATGTCCAATCAATCGAAAGAAAAGAAACCCCCCCCAAATTAATAATAATGCAGACCGTACAGAAATGGCATCGCCTGTTGCAGACAATATCCACCGCGCCCAATCGGTCTGACTGCCCCCGGCCACTGAACGAGCGCATAGACCGACCTGAGATGAAGGCTGTTTGATCGTCCTAGGGGCGACTCCTCCGTACCTATCCCATGGTCGACTCCATCCATGGATGGATCACCATCAGCCGGCTTGGTCTGACATGCAGCTCAGACCCTGTGTTTAACTTTCTTTTCCATTTGCTCTTTTGGGCCCAGTCCGGCTGGCCTTTCTACGGTGGGGGTTCCCCCAGACGATCATCCATTCGTGTTGGCTGGATGCTCTTCATCTCTCCGTCGGAGCTCCTGAGCGAATGAATCCTGTCGACGCAAGAGGCAACCTCCGCCGGCTGAGAGCTCTGGTGTGATTGGGTAGGGAAGTTCCCAAGACGGTGTTCGCGTGAGCCACTGGGCTTCCGTACAGCTGAGAGCCGAAGTACTCCGTACGGAGTAGTGCAGTTGGCTGCCTGCAGTAGGTATTCAGGTACGTTTGTCAGTACTCTACCCTAGGTGGTTATTGGCCCGGGTAGTCCGGTCTTTCAGAGCCTAGTGGTGGGATATCATCCAAGACAAGATACATACCCTGTAACTACCAGTAGATAGCATGCATGATGATATCTCGTGAAGGGGTCGCGCTACCCACCCTAGCACCTTAGCTTCCCGCCTATTTGCCTCCGGGAGGGAGTCTAGGGACCTGTGTCAACCAGTCGGCGCGGTACCATGGGACTCTCGTCAGGGACTTGGCTGACTTGGCCGTGTGGACGAACACGGAAGGGCCAACAGAGTCCACATACCTCATCATTCTGAGAAGTACTAGAAGGTGTCGTACAGAGGACACCGTCAGCATGTACTCCGTATGGATATGGGGCCAAAGAGGGATGATTGGTTCTGAGCGCGCATGTCTCAGCCGCGTCAAAGTCAATGTCGGCCGTTCCCGCCTCTAAGCAGTTATCTCTTACTCACCTTCCAATTCGAGCATGGCCTGTTTTGTAGGAGGGGTTCTTGGTGGTTCTTGGTGCGGTACTTGTACTTGACCTACAGGTACATAGTACAGAGTAGAAGTATCGGTCATCTGCTATCTGTCTATCTGTGGAGTGCTCTCTACTAGGTACTCCCAGGATACCTAGGTAGATATCCTTATCATCAGATCGCCAATCATATATCTCGCAGTCTCTATCAGCAGAGTAAACTCGTATGTTGCTGATCCATTCTAGCATCCTTCTAGAAACATAGCCACCCCCTCCGCCAACTCATCTCGGTTTCACCATCCGTGATGACCTCGACATGTGATGGGGTGATCATTGAAGTTTCTGCTGTGAAACCAGACTTCTCCCTCCAATTTGACCGAGTCTGTGTCTGGATTGTAAGCTGACCATCACAGACAGTACAAGTCTAATCATGATAATAATAATAATAATAGACTCGCCATAAGATGGACTACTGTCCTCTACAAGCACACTCTACCTACAGAGTACTCCATGTCAATCCGGTGGCAAAGACCGTCGCTTATAGCGCTTCGCCAAAGTCCCTTCGTAAACCCGGTACCTAGTTACCTGCCTATACCAGTAGACCCGACTGCGCCAACGAGGCATTTTCCAAACCTAATAATAATAATAAAGAGTATAAAGTTTCCACCGTCCTTGCATCCCCACCTCGTGCCGGTGCCTGCACGCCCGGTCGCTTGCCCACAGTACAGAGCATGTATAGTACAGAGTGGATGCATCCGCCATACTCCGTAGGACTAAGAAAGTCACTGGAGCACCCCACCGAATCGCCCTACGAGGACGATTCTGGAGTCGGATACCTCAGCCGTCTCTGTACCTGAATATCCATACCGATGAGTTATTTGCTGTACTGTACATACTTCCAAGTCTAGCGACTCCGGTGGATCCAAATTCTGTATCACAGACCGCACTGGACTCACTTGTTCCAAGGCACTGGGCACATTCCTCGCCAAAATGATCCGCCAACGAGATTGTCCAGTCAATCGACAGACCAAGGAACAGAAGAATACATTCTTTACGGAGTACACAGTAGACAGTCCTATGAACGCCGAGTGGAAGAACAAGAGTGGGTGGGTCTGCCGCAAACGACCATCAGTTCAACCCCGTCGGACAACGGCGACCACTTCCACTTCTCTGCTCGACAAATCAATTTCTTCTCAAAGACCCTCGACCGAGTCCATGCAGACGGGCCCAAGTCTGCCTCCGTCCCCCGAAAACAGTGGCGGACGTTCATGCGGCCATCGTTTTAGGCCCGTCCCACTAGTCCCGTTCGACCCTAGCCCGGGTCTGCAGTCAGAGCCAGAGCCAGAGCCAGCTCCCAGGCTGTTTGTCTGGCCTGTGCTCACGGCCTCGTTCTAAGGGACTTGGTACTCCTAGGAGTACCCCGTACGCACAGTGATGATGACCTGAAAAAGGTCTGCAGGTCCCCTCACGATTGGAACACCTTTGGTCCCTGTATGCTCATATACAGTAGTTCAAGGGTTCTCTACGGAATCCTCCACTATCAATTCACACTCTTACTCCGTATCGCCTCGATAGATCGTGTCGCGATCATTGGATGCCCTCGTACTCCGTCTGCCCCGTACTCCATCGCCCCTCTAATAAGAATAAACGCTCAATATACCAACGTCGTGGCATGATCAAATAACTACCTAGATATCGTCAATATGCAACAAAGTGGGGAAGAACCAAAACGCTGTGGATATCGTCAACGCCCATGCTAAGCTCCCAAGATAACCAGAACTGAGACAAGAGACTACTAATGTATGTTCAAGACGCCGTCATGATGGTCCACGTCCCGGCATCGCAATTCACCTCCTCGAAGCTGTGCAATGTACTGAACCCGATGTTCGAGACGCAGTCGAAGTTGCTGTCGCCATCCACCTGCACGATAACGTTAGTACCCCATAATAAATAGACCCTGCGCACAATACGGGTACTCACGCAATCCATCACCACCGCCTCCGCCCCCTGCTTGCGGATCTGCTTGATCCCCAGCAGAACCAGCCCCTGCATGATGGTCGCATACTCCCCCACCGAAGGCGAAATCACCGGCGACGAGATGCCACCGGCCGGGACGTGCGTCGCTTTCAGCGCCGGCATGTGTTCCGCCAGCGTCGACCGTGTGTTATAAACAACCACCGTGCCGAGGACAGCCCCGTCCGCAGGCCGCGTCGCCCGGATGATGCCGCAGTTCGGCGCGCCCCCCAACGCCACCTTGTAGATGTCGATGACGCCCTGCCGGGAATTCGTCTTGACGTGGTCGAGGATCGAGTCCGCGTAGTCGTAGCCATGGACCAGATCATATGCGACGTCCGCATTCTGCAGCCCCTGAATCAGCCCATCCGGCGGGACCCAGTTCGCCAAATTGCGCAGGATGACGCTGCACACCGGCCGCGACAAGGACGTGTTCCAGCCCAAGTTGGCGAACCACTGCCGCAGTCGCTTGCGCTCGACCGGGTTGGCCGACGGGATGCCCAGGTAGATGCCGGGCAGCCGCGAGCCGAGCTGGAACCGCTTCACGCCGGTGCGCTGCAGGAGCGTCCGGATCGCGCGGTGGTGGAGCGAGCTGCCGATACCGAGTTTGCGTCGCGCCGGGTCGACGATGAGCGACCCGATCACGCCCGTCCCCGTGGACTTGAAGTAGTACGTCGAGCAGAAGCCGTAGAGCGCCTGTGTGCTGCTGTTCCGCACGACAAAATGCGACTCGTCAATGTCCTCCCGCCGCAGTAAGAAACTGCTCGATGTCACGCCAAGCAGCTCCGAGAGCTCCCCTTGCGTGCAGTCGCCCCGAACCGATTCCAGCAGCGTGTCCAACGCGTGCGAGTCGCGCTCTTCGTTCCAGTTCTCCACCAGCCAGTGCTGTCGGGCTTGGTGCAGTTTCTGGCTGCGGCTGATGGACCCCGGCAGGGTCCCCATCGGCGTCAACTCCCCATACAGCACTTTGACCAGCGCTTCCAGAGCCGTTTCCGTAAAGTCGTATGTACATATGTAGGTCCCGATGGAGAGATCCGTTGCAAAGTCGTAGGGGGAGCTCGCGGCGACGACGATCATCGGCTTTTCGCGATGCTCGCCAGTCGGCGTGAACTGCGACCGACAGATCATCGACACATGTTTGGTGAAACCGTGCTGGTACAAGTTCCGATTGGCATCTGCCGTCACGACGATGACGGCGCTCGCCCGATCGATGAGGCTCTCGTGGATGGGTCGGACGCCGTTGGCCGTGTAAGAAGTGTGCAAGACACGGCCGTTCCTCTGACGGGAGAGGGACCGCCCCAGTTCTTTAAATACGCTTTCGCCGCTGAGGACCGAGGCCGTCCGATCAAGAGCTGTGAGGTCGATCGTCGAGTTCAGGTGCTCGGCCACGGTACGCGACACTGCGGAGGCCGGTAAAGGTTTCACCAGGGGGGTCAACAGGAGGAGTTCCTCATTGGGCTCGAGGATGTTAGATAAGGGTAGCAGGTTTTTCTTGTCGCGCACCACAGAGATCGAGCTGTTATACGCTCTTGTCGACAGGCTGGTATGAGACGGTTGCATCTGCGTCAGCGACGGCACACCCGGCGGGTTGAGAGCCTGCTCCCAAGAAGTGCACTTGGCCTTGAGATTCAACACCCGGCGTAAGGACTGCTCGATCCGGGCGCGGCCGATGATGCCGTTTTCCACCCCCAGCTTCAATCCGTTGATGGCCTCTTGTTGCACCGGGAACGACCTGCAGAGAAGCACGATATCGCAGCCTGCATTCTTCGCCATGACCGTCCCACCCCCCACGCCAATGTTGTGCGTAAGGGCTTCCATCTCCAGACACTCGGACACCACCACACCATTGAACTTGAGGTCTTTTCGGAGCAAGTCGTCGACGACCTGCTCGCTCAAACAGGCATGCATGACATTGACTCCGGCCGAGGACATGGAGACCCCACCCACCATCATTGAATCCAGGCCATGGATAATGGCGTTGCGAAACGGCACCAACGCAGTCAGGCTGAGCTGTTCCAACGACTCGGTGATGATGGGCACGTCGGTGTGGGAGCCGAGGAACTCCAGGTTGCCGTAGGATGGGAAATGCTTGCCGCATGTCACTAAGCCGGCCTCCCGGTAGCCTTTCATGAATTCGACTCCATACTGGGAAACTTCCTGAGGATCATCGCCGGTGGTGCGCACCCCGAGCGGTTGGCTCCGAACGTTGGTCAAGACGTCGAGGACGGGACCCAGGATCCAGTTGACGCCAACGGCTTTCAGCTCTTGAGCCGTCGCCAAGGCTACATCGTGGGCGAGGGACTTGGAGCCGGTGGCCGCAATGCCCATGGCGCTGGGAAACTGACGGATGTAGATCTCGTCGTACAGACTGTTGACCCCACCGTTCTCCTGGTCCAGCGCGATGAGCAGCGGAACTGGGTGACCGGCATCTCGAGCGATGGTTTGCAACTCGAGAACCAGGCGCGTTGCATCTTCGGCGGCTGTGTGGTGTTAGTCAGGCATCAGATGGAGGTTCACGTATTGCGATTGACGGGCAACATGACAGGGCAAGAAAGTGTACATTTTAAGTTTTTGGCAGTCAAGAGAACGGACCCTAGATGGTACTTTTCGATCAGAGAGCGAATCTGCGGACTGACAGTGGTGCCATCAAAGCCCATCATGAACAGTTGACCCATCTGCCTGTGGGGGGAGTCATGGTGCCAGCGTCAGCAATGATACAGGTCGGATAAATAGTATTAAGAATTGAAAGAAAGAAACTAAAGGAGTCGACTTGGTTTGCGAAAGGGAGATGATTCATAGAGGTTGATCATATTGATGCCATTCAGGATAGAAGCAGACGACCGTCAAACAATGCCAAGACTGGAATCCTACCTACCTGTCTAGATCCTCCCAACCGGGAGGCAGCATGTCCTCTTTGGGGCCCATGACGGGGGACGGGGCACCCTGGAATGCCCGTGCAGAAAGGCTCCGATGGGCACGAGGGTCAGAAGGGGGCAACAGCCCTGTTTGGCTGGCCCACACGGAAGGGTTGGTGACGGTCGAAGATCAGTCCGAGGTGGGAGGGTGTGAGTGGATGAGGTTTCAAACTGGTGGCAGCAAAACGACGGAGAGCAGCAAGCTGACGGATGCCAGAAACGGGGGATAATACAAGCTCCCCTCGATTGAGCTAGCACAGCCAGGGACAGAAGCTCTACCGAGCACGTCGGTATTAGGTACCTAGGTCGGTAAGACTAGGGGCGAGGATGGATGAATGAATGGGGTAATTAATGCATGCGAGGTGATTCTGTTGGGCGGGGGCCCGAAATGAGTCCCGTGCATGCTGACTACCGGTACGTCTACGAATTGGGGCCATAGGGGTTATCTTGGGAGATAGTGCAGGCACAGGTATGCCTGGGCTACTGGCTATAGTGCTTGTGCTTGTCTTTACAGATCCCGACTACATACGACGTGGTTATCGGCGTCTGGAGAGGCTGGGGTTGATATAAATCTCTGAGTGTCACGTGATGTTGGGTTTGGGTTACCTCTTTAGGAAAACAAGTAACGTAACATCCCATACGGTCCGTGACAATACCGATTCACCCCCGTACGACCGGCAGGGTTGCACTGTTCTTCCCCGGGTTTCCGATGCCGAATGCAACGGCAACGCCTGTCAAGCCTTACCCGTTTGGGCCCCTCGCCGCTGGGGCATCTATGCCACGTCTTCGTGCAACATCACATTGATCGCAGCGATGGAACGCGATTCTTCCATTCCATTTCCATGACAAAGGCTTTCTTCCGGTTACGCGGATCCCCGCGCTCTGGCTGGGAACGATTGACCAATGCCGGAAGTCATCGCAATCTGTCCATAGCAACGATACTCGGGTTATAGATGCATGGGTATCATGGCTATCAAGTGTTGGGAGGCATCACATGGCCCGGATCCTATCGCTTCCAAACCAATGCCTCGAGCAGGTGCGACAGTAACTGGTCTCTGTCGATGTCTTGGTGAAATCTAGACTGAAGGAATGAAATGAATAGTCGTCACTCAGACCCATATCGCCTCAAATACTCATCCCTTGAGTGGAGCACAAAAGAGAAGATCCAAGACCAGAAGGGCCTTCCCACATGGCTTCGTCCCATCCGCAATCATCCACGGATCGGCGCGGGAGATGAAGTAGCAGTCGTAGATGAGCACGTAGTGTGAGCGGGTGGGCAAGTCGTACGCCGTCACACTCCGCCGATGACGAAGTGGGAAAGGTGAAAAGAAGGTAGTAGAAGTAGAGACCCGTGGGTGGAGGCCGTTGACATTCCCTGCGGTCATTTTTCAGTTTTGCCTTCATATTCCACGGATCTCTCTCTCTCTCTCTCTCTCCCTCGCTTCTCATCTTTTTCTTCCCACGACCCGATTCCTACACTCCCCGTCGACGGTCTTCAAAACATATATTCTTTTCTTGTTAGACTCTTTCTTATCTCCTTACTGCTCGCGGCATATCTCTCCGACTACTCCCACCCCACACCTTATCAGTGACGTAGCTCACTCCGGGCTCATCATCCATCATGTATGCGCCATCTCCGTCCTCACTGCAGGACCAGGCACGTTTACAATATACAAAATAAACCTCCGCTAACGCACAGTCTTTCAACGTTAGGAGAGTGATCATCCGGGAGACCAGCCTTGAAGCTTCCGAGTACATTGCGGATTACATCATCAGTACGTCTGCATCTATACAACACCAGCATCCCCATGTGTCTAACAGTCCACAGGCCGCATCAAGACTTTCAAGCCCACCGAGTCGAATCCCTTCGTTCTGGGTCTTCCCACCGGCAGCAGCCCTGAAATTATCTACAAGACCCTCGTCCGCCGCCACCGCGCCGGCGACATCTCGTTCAAGAATGTCGTGACATTCAACATGGTATGTGTTTCGCATGCGGTCCAACTCTTCATCCCCCAGATTAACAAACGTAGGACGAATACGTCGGGCTTCCCCGCGACCACCCCGAATCCTACCACAGCTTCATGTACAAGCATTTCTTCTCGCACGTCGACATCCCGCCCCAGAACATCAACATCCTCAACGGCAACGCGCCCGATCTCGCGGCCGAATGCGCCTCCTTTGAGGCGCGCATCGCCCGCTACGGCGGCATCGAGCTCTTCCTCGGCGGTGTCGGGCCCGACGGACACATCGCCTTCAACGAGCCCGGCTCGTCGCTGAGCAGCCGCACGCGAGTCAAGACCCTGGCCTACGACACGATCCTGGCCAACTCGCGCTTCTTCGACAACGATGTGGACAAGGTGCCCGCGCATGGCGCTGACGGTCGGCATCCAGACGATCATGGACGCGCGCGAGGTGGTCATCGTGGCCACGGGCGCGCACAAGGCCATCGCGCTCGAGAAGGGCCTGGAGGGCGGCATCAACCACATGTGGACGCTCTCGGCGCTGCAGATGCACCCGCACCCGCTGATCGTGTGCGACCGCGACGCCACCCTGGAGCTGAAGGTGAAGACGGTGCGGTACTTCGAGTCGATCGAGCAGGCCGGCACCGACGCCCGCACGCAGGGCCCGCCGCTCGTCTACCGGCCCCGGACGTACGTGCCCGCGCCGATGTCCGCGCCCAAGCCCCCGCAGCAGCAGCAACACACCCCGGCGTCGACGCCGCCCAAGGTGCCCAAGGACCTGCGCATCAACACCGAACTGAACCAGTCGCTCGAGGATGACGAGTTGACGCCCGATAGTATGTCTTCCCGCATGGTGGACTCGGCGATCAGCGGGCTGGACTCGACTCTGAAGGGAGATCTGTTGTTTGACCGCATGGGCGCCCGTGTGGCTCTTCACTGATTGATTCCATCGTTTATTAGGAGGATCTCCCGCGCTGGGTGCATTCTACGGAACCCGCATTCAGGCGCGTAGTGCTTTGCGGTAGCGGATCTCGTTTGGGTTTGGAGTTGATGTCATTGTTGGCGTACACTATTTAGGTTTATATGTGCTTGCATCGGGATTGTCTGTCGCTATGTCTTGAAATGATTATAGATGGTTGGTATGGTATCGTGATATAACATGGTATGATGAATTGGATTAGAATGGGTAGTACATATATCGCTGTGTTTGAGTATGTTTGTTGTCTCTATATCGCTAGTTCGTATGTATATATTCCAGTGCTGTGGTGGATACGAATCTTTATGCAAGTAATATCTGTCATTAAGGCGTATCTAATACTTTTCATATACAATATGCTGAGCGCATACAACTAGAGCTTGGCAAACACGGTGGGAACCTCACCACACATATCCACCAGCGTGCTCTTGTTCTTCACCCACGCTTCAATACCGCGCCGACCATTCTCAACACCGACCCCGCTCTTCTTCCAGCCGCCGACCGCCATCTCGGCGGGACTCTCACCCCAGGTGTTGACCCAGGTGATACCAGCCTGCAGCTGGTCAATAATGCGATGGGCCAAGTTCAGGTCCTTGGTGAAGACGCCGGCGGCCAGCCCCAGCTCAGTGGTGTTCGCGCGCTGGACGGCCTCCTCGACGGTCTGGTAGTACAGGATGGACATGACGGGCCCGAAGATCTCTTCCTTGACGATGCGCATGTCGTCCGTGCAGTCGGTGAAGACGGTCGGACGCACCCAGTACCCGTTCTCGAGCTCCTTGGGCACGGCCGGCTTGCCGAGGCCGCCGGTGAGCAGGGTCGCTTTGTCGACCTCGATGCCGTGGCGAATGTACGCGGTCACCTTGTCGAGGTGGGCGGCGGAGCTCAGCGGGCCGAAGTTGGTAGCCTCGTCGAAGAGCGGGCCGGCGCGCACGTGCGGCATCTTCTCGAGCAGGCGCTGCTCGAAGGCGGCCTTCATGCTGGCCGGCACGAAGACGCGGGTCCCGTTCGTGCACACCTGGCCCGTGCTGTAGAAGTTGGCCATCATGGCGCCGTTGACGGCGTTCTCGAGATCCGCGTCGGGGAGAATGAGGAGCGGGCTCTTGCCGCCCAGCTCCATCGTCACGTACTTCATGTTGCCGGCTGCCGACCCGGCCACCTTCATGCCGGTCGACACCTGGCCCGTGAAGGACACTTTGGCGATGGTCGGGTGCGCTGTCAGGTAGGAGCCGACGTCGCCGGCGCCGTAGACGACGTTGAAGACGCCCGCGGGAAGACCAGCTTCCCGGTAGACCTCGGCCAGCGTCTGGGCGTGCAGTGGGGTGAACTCGCTGGGCTTGTAGACCATAGTGTTACCCGCCGCGAGGCAGGGGGCCGACTTCCAGAGCGCACTAAACTCAAACGAAGAGGTCAGCGTTGAGGGGAAGAATGCGGGGAACGGTTGTTGATTTCACGTACATCTGGATGGGATAGTTCCAGGCGCCGATGCCCGCACAGACACCCAACGGGGCCTTTTTGGTGTACACCCACGCGTCCTCGCGCAGTTGTGTTGTTTCACCGTTTAACCCACCGCCACCGACCAGATTGGCGTAGTATTCCAGAACATCGGCGCCGGTCACGACGTCGACGGTACTCGTTTCGGTGTACGCTTTGCCGGAGTCGAGAGATTCAACCTTCGCGATCTCGTCGTTGCGTTCGCGCAGGATGGCGGCCGCTTTGTGGAGGATGCGGGCGCGCGCAATGGGAGGGGTTTGCGACCAGGAGGGGAACGCGCGGTCGGCGGCGGCGATGGCGGCATCTATGTCGGAGTGCGAGGCGACGGGGATTTCGGCCAGTGCGGTGGCGTTGGAAGGATTGAAGGTGGGAAAGGTCTTGCCGGAGGAGGCGGGTTGCGCCTTTCCGTCGTAGAAGAGCTGACGAGGGGAGATGGTAGCCATTGTGGTGGGATGGGGAGAAGAAAAGAGCAAGAGAGTGTACAGAGTAGATCAAGAGGGAGGGGATAGAAGTATGTACGGAGTAACTACGGAGTATGGATCCTTAGTCAGGAAAGGTACGTCGCAGATCCCAAACAGGAAAAGACTTGGCCTCACCGCCGTCGAAAGAACCTCCCCACTGATGTACAGTACTACTCGGTTTACTCCGATTCCTGCATGTTTCTCCTCACGACACACAGGAGCATCCTTCATCCTTCAGAACAATCTCTTTATCGCATCCATCCGACTGAATTCTCTCTATCATCAGCATTCGCATACCGCATCCGGGCATGTTTCCCCTCCCAGGCAGAAAGGCAAAAATGAGTTCCCGGCGACCGTCCGTCCAGCGCGGGATTCCGGGACTCGAGTTCACGGAACATGTGGCGCTGTTTAGTGCAGATTTGCAGTGGAGCGTGACGTCCTTGCAACGGGAGACCGACACTTCCAATGCGCCCAAGACTTTCCATCGCGGCTCTATGGCGCACCCAAGTGGATTTTTCTCACCCGACCTGCCTGGAAAGGGGATAGTGCATGGTTCCGCCCCTTATCTAATCTCCTCTGCTGCCTCGGATTATTGGCTGTGCTGCTTCATCCGGTGGAGAGCCACCAACGCTTGAACCGCAGAACGATCACCGAAAAGAAAAAAAAAAGTGGGAGCGGCAATGGGCTGATGGAGATGGCCGACGGCCGATCACTGCACTGCGTCTTACTGCTTCAATTCGTTGCTGGGCGGTATCCGATTTAAAGTTCACCTTTTCCCTCGTTCTCTTTCTTCTGGATCGGTCTCTCGGATTCATCTTCCTCTCCCTCTTCTCCTTTCTCTTATTCTCTCTCTCCATCTCCCCTGAACCTCTGCACGATCAACATGGCGACTACCAACGATTTCCCCGCCAGCGATGTCAACAGCTACGACTATGTGATTGTGGGAGGTGGCACGGCCGGCTGTGTCATCGCCAGTCGCTTGGCCCAATATCTGCCGAACAAGCGCATCCTCGTCATCGAGGGTGGTCCCAGTGACTACAATGACGACCGCGTGCTGAACCTGAGAGAATGGCTCAACTTGTTGGGAGGTGAACTCGACTACGACTATCCCACCACTGAACAGCCGATGGGTATGTTACACTACACGCTGAACCTGCGACACAAGATTTAAAACGACCTTATGTCCGACGGACCGATCTAACAGTCCACAGGCAACAGTCACATCCGTCACTCCCGTGCCAAGGTCTTGGGTGGTTGCTCCAGCCACAACACTCTCATCTCCTTCCGTCCTTTTGAATACGATTGCAAGAGATGGGAGGCGCAAGGCTGCAAGGGCTGGTCCTTTGAGACTTTCACGCGCGTGCTGGACAACCTGCGCAACACCGTCCAGCCCGTCCACAGCCGCCACCGCAACCAGCTGTGCAAGGACTGGGTCCAGGCCTGCTCCACCGCCATGAACATCCCCATCATTCACGATTTCAACAAGGAGATCCGCTCCAAGGGCGAGCTGACCGAGGGTGTCGGCTTCTTCTCCGTGTCCTACAACCCGGATGACGGCCGTCGCAGCAGCGCCAGTGTCGCCTACATCCACCCCATCCTCCGCGGCGAAGAGAAGCGCCCCAACCTGACCATTCTGACCAACGCGTGGGTGTCGCGCGTCAATGTCGAAGGCGACACCGTGACCGGTGTGAACGTGACCCTGCAGTCGGGTGTCAAGCACACCCTGCGCGCGAAGAAGGAGACGATCATCTGTGCGGGTGCCGTCGACACCCCCCGGCTGATGCTGCTGTCCGGTCTGGGACCCCAGGAGCAGCTGAAGTCGCTGGGCATCCCGGTGGTCAAGGACATCCCGGGTATGGGTGAGAACCTGCTGGACCACCCCGAGAGTATCATCATCTGGGAGCTCAACCGCCCCGTGCCCCCGAACCAGACCACCATGGACTCGGACGCCGGTATCTTCCTACGCCGCGAGCTGCCCAACGCGGCCGGCTCGGACGGTCGTGCCGCCGATATCATGATGCACTGCTACCAGATCCCCTTCTGCCTCAACACGACCCGGCTCGGCTACGACGAGCCGATCGACGCCTTCTGCATGACCCCCAACATCCCCCGGCCCCGCTCGCGCGGCCGCATCTACCTGACGTCGGCCGACCCGACTGTGAAGCCGGCGCTGGACTTCCGCTACTTCACCGACCCGGAGGGCTACGACGCCGCTACCATCGTGGCGGGCCTCAAGGCGGCCCGTGAGATCGCCAAACAGGCGCCCTTCAAGGACTGGATCAAGCGCGAGGTGGCGCCGGGCCCGAAGGTGCAGACGGACGAGGAGCTGTCCGAGTACGGGCGTCGCGTGGCGCACACGGTGTACCACCCAGCGGGTACGACCAAGATGGGCGATGTGACGCGGGACCCGATGGCGGTCGTGGACCCGCAGCTGAAGGTGCGCGGACTGAAGAACGTCCGCATTGCCGATGCCGGTGTCTTCCCGGAGATGCCTAGCATCAACCCCATGCTGACGGTGCTGGCCATCGGCGAGCGCGCGGCGGAGCTGATTGCCGAGGAGGCCGGCTGGAAGCGCGAGCAGCCTCGTCTGTAGGCTTGTGCCTCGTTTTGGTGTTTGATGAGATATGAGTTACGCATGCTCCATGTATATCAAAGGCGGGAGCGTGACAAAATGTTGATTAGCTAGCACGGTGTTTGGTTTGATGCATGTTTGGATTGCCTATAGCACAATACCATAGATTTGGAACACACTTGGGTACAATTGTAACTGCATATATCTATGCAAGTGCTCTATGTCATCAATCTATGGTGCACATAAAAAACAAGCAGACAATGCTGTCTGCGAACTAGTCCAGCATAAAACACTAATCGGCAAAGCACGCTGCAGACCACTGCATAAAAGAAACAAGAACGGAAAAGATGCCAACACCCGACTCCACCCATGCTATGCTCACGCCACCGTACTCCCCTTCTCCGCATCAAAGATCTTCACCCCGCGCTTCCACACCTGATCAACAGTCAACGTCGGACCGGAATAGTCATCCATAACATCGCTCAGCACAACCAGATCCGCATCGGCCCCGCTATCCAGCGTCCCCTTGACCCCCTGCAGCCCGAGCATCTTCGCCGGCACAGCCGTAACCGCATTAATCGCCTGCGCCGTCGACGCGCCCGACCACCGCCGGAAATTATTCACGCACTCGATCAGCGTCGCCGACGACCCGGCAATCTTATCCGAGCCCTCAAGCGTCAGCCGCGCCCCGGTCTTAATGATACGCTCCCCATTCGTCCACTCATACACCCCATCCGGCAGACCGCACAGCTTCATCGCGTCGGTGACGAGAATCAAGCCGTCCGGGTGGGCGTTGTACGCGATGCGGATGGAGGTCGGGTGGAGGTGGATGCCGTCGGCGATGACGCCGTAGAAGGGGCGGGGGCGCTCGTTCTGGCCGAGCAGGCCGAAGATGCCCGGGTTGCGGTGGTAGAAGGGGCGCATGGCGTTGAAGAGGTGGGTGATCATGGAGGCGCCGTGCTTGGTGGCGGTGAGGGCCTGCTCGTAGGAGGCGTCGGAGTGGCCGATCGAGTAGACGATGCCGTGGGCGGCGAGCGCGCCGACGTGTGCGGCCATGTTGCCGACCTCGGGTGCGGCAGTGATCATCTTGACGGTTTGGGAGGCGCCGCGCAGGTTGTCGCGCCCGTAGCAGTGCTCGATGTCGGCGAGGGTGTCGGCGGCGCGCAGGACCTCCGTCTTGTGCACGCCGTTGCGGCCGGGGCTGATGAAGGGGCCTTCGATGTGGGCGCCGAGCGACTCGGCGCCGTCTTCGCCGCGGTGGGTGGGGCCTGAGGGGCCGAGAGATGGGAGGACCTATATTTTGTTAGTGGTGTATACCATGGGAGGAGGCAGAGGGGAACAACCTTCCAGTATACTTCTGGCGTGGAGCTCACGACAGTCGGCAGATAGGATGTCACGCCGGTGCGGGCGAGACCCTTGTTGACCATGCGCAGGCCCTGGTCATATTCCTCCTTGGAGGCCTGGGGCACGGAGAAATCAAAACCCTGGGCGCCGTTGAGCTGGACATCTATCAGACCCGGGGCGAGAATGCGGCCGCCGAGATCAATGACCTCGTCCGGGGAGAGATGGAGGTCGTAGAAGGCCTCCTGGTCGCGGAGGATTTTGCCCGAGACCGAGTCGATCCAGAGATCCTGTTCGAGAAGGTCATTGCCGCGGATGATGCGACAGTTGGTGAATTTGGTGATTCGGGGGGCAGAAGTTTTGCCGGGCATGATCAAGGGTGTAGTGGGAGGTCAACGGTGATGGAGGGGCAAGGGAGAAGGAAGAGAGGAGGGGAGATACAGATATTATCATATGGAATAGAAGGACAGAGGCAAATTAGATGGAACCAAGGGACCGACGATGACTGCGGCGTGACAAGGTGACATCTCCGAGCCCGTCAACATTCCGATGGAGAAAACGTGGACTGGGGATCGACAGGAATGGATGGATGGGTCTGATTGTTGAGGGTACTTTGTTGATGTGACGTATGAATGAGTAGATGGGAGTGATATGCGACTCTATTAAGATGGCATATGGTACGAATGCATTGATAAGAGAATATCCCGATGTACCTATCGTATAGTTCTTGATGCAGCATGATGTCAAAGCAGGGATTGTAGGCTGAGTCAGCGGTGCATACGATACAGACGATACGTACGTATTGTACTGGAGTACCGTATGATACATACCTACTGACATCTTACCTGGTTGTTTTCTCCACCCTCACCACAACTCTACTCTCTACCTCTCTCTTTTCTAGCTTCTCTCTCTTCTCACTACTATACGCCAAGTACATAATTGTCTATCTCTGATATCATATCACGTACACCCCCAGTCAGTCTTGGCTTGGATGTCGTGCCTCAGACTCAGATACCTACAATCGGCGGTCCACCGGATACTACCTCAGCGCGACGGTCCATTCGGGTCCCCGCATTCGGCTGTCTGATGCAACCCGATGCTACAGTACCGTCTTGGTGCGGATCTCGCGACTTGGGATTGTCACATTCTTCAGATCACATGGTCTGACGGTCTGACTGTCTGACTTTGAATCCTCGAGACTACCTAGTAGGTACCTACCTAATACTAACGGGTATCTGAGATAGTCTAACTAGATAGGGATCTCATAACGCCTGAGACACCAGTACTATATACAGCACTATATACAGAGTACTAGTATGCAGCCTAGCTGATAAGGTTCTTAGTGGCTGGGCTGATCCCGATAGCTCATGGAGCCATTCATCGCTAACCAGCTCGCTTGAGCTTCAAATTCTGCTTCCTTTTTTCTTCTCTTCTCCTTCTTCTCCCTCTTCTTCCCCTGGAATTGGATCCCTACTTCCTCCGGTTCTCCGCAATTCTGGAGGTTTTTCTCCACAACCCCAACCACAGATCAGGTACGCCGCAAACCTCGGGGGTCTCGTGCTCTGCCTTTCTCTTATCAAATCGAGGTGGTATTGCCATCTTCACTGAAACCCACTACCACATCACCTCCATCACCACCACCACCACCACCATGATGTCTCTCGCTTGATCCATTCCTCTATTCTTCTACTTTTATCTGGTCCTCCCCATCTTCTCCGGACCCCGGATTTCTCTCCAGCACAATAAACACCTCTTTATCCCCCCGTCCCCCCTCTGTGTCACCCTTCTCCCCCTTACTTTTACTCTCCGATTCTGCTGCAGATTCTTTTCCCCTCACCTTCTCGAACATACCTCCACGGCTAATTCCTCAAGTCTTTCCATCTTCCTTCCCTATCCTTAACCCTATCTCCTTACCCCTTCACAATGGCTTCGACCACTACCGAAGGGGACCCTCCCCATCAGGAAAAAGAGGTCGTCACCTCCTCCGATCCCGAGGCCGGGGCGGATCATGCCGTCGTCGGGAAGCCCTGGATGTACAAGCCCCTTAAGATCGGGCGCTGGGAGCTCCCGTGGTTCGCCTCGCCCGAGACCCAACTAATCCTCGTCTCCTTTGTGTGTTTCCTCTGTCCCGGCATGTTCAACGCCGTCAGCGGGTTGGGTGGTGGTGGCCAGCTCGACAAGACCGATGTCAATAACGCCAACACCGCCCTATACAGTACCTTTGCCGTCGTAGGCTTTTTTGCCGGCTCCGTGGCCAACCGCATCGGTCTGCGCCTGACGCTGTCGCTGGGTGGTTTTGGGTACTTTCTCTACGTCGCCTCGCTCCTCTCCTACAACCACAATGCAAACTCCGGCTTCCTCATCTTCGCTGGTGCCCTCTTGGGTGTGTGTGGTGGTCTCTTGTGGTGCGCCCAGGGTGCCGTCATGATGAGCTATCCTCTGGAGAAGGAAAAGGGCAAGTACATTTCCGTTTTTTGGGTCATTTTCACCTGGGGGGGTCTCTTTTGTTTTTGGGGGGGGCCCCCCCCCCCCCCCCCCCCCCCTTCCCTGGATGAGCCCCGTTTTAACTCGTGTAGGTCCCCCTCGGCCAGAACATCAACAACAAGTCCGCCGGCCGCGTCAATGACGGCACCTACATCGCCTTCATGGTCCTCATGGCCGTCGGCTTCGTGCTCGCCTGGGGTCTGTCCGACTCCAAATACGTCATGCGCAAGGACGGCTCGCGCGTCATCGTCATGAAGAATCCCACCTGGAAGTCTGAGTTCATGGGTCTGTACGAGACCCTCATCTCCGACTACTACATCATCCTGTTCTTCCCCATGTTCCTGGCCAGCAATTGGTTCTACGCCTATCACTTCAACACCGTCAACGGTGCCTACTTTAGCGTCCGCACCCGCTCGCTCAACAGTCTTCTGTACTGGCTCATGCAGATGGTGGGCGCCTTTGTCTTCGGCCAGACGCTGGACCTGAAGTGGTTCTCGCGTACCACCCGCGCCAAGATCAACTATGGCCTCCTGGTCGCCATCACCATGGGCATTTGGGGCGGTGGCTACGCCTTCCAGAAGACGTACACCCGGGAGTCTGCGGAGGCGCGCGAGCCGACCGACTGGACCGACAGCGGCTACATCGGACCGATGTTCCTGTACATGTTTTACGGCTTCTACGATGCCGCCTTCCAGACCTGCGCGTATTGGTAGGTTTCTCTTCCTGATTCGTCTTTCAAACCCAGCTAACTCTGCCAGGTTCATGGGATCGCTGAGCAACAACGGACGCAAGCTGGCCAACTTTGCCGGCTTCTACAAAGGAATTCAGTCGGCAGGCGCGGCCGGAATGTGGCGGTAAGTAATGTCTCAGCCCGACGCAAGGACGCGCTAACGCACTGCAGTCTGGACGCCCAGGAAGCCCCTTTCATGACCGAGTTTGCCTCCTGCTGGGGACTGCTGATGGGCAGTTTGCTGATCGCGGCGCCGGTGATCTTCTTCAAGATCAAGGACCACTGCGACGTCGAGGAGGATCTGCGGTTCTCGGATGAGACCGCGCAGGACGTCAACGCCATCCCGCTGGAGGAGGCCGAAGAGACCTCCAAGAAGGAGGAGCGGCGGGTGTCTGTTGTTGCTTAGATGTTGTTTCGTTTTCGTTTTCGTTTTCGTACATATTGTGTGCCGTGGCTGGGAAGCTGTTGGCGCGAGTCACGAATTTTTTGGTATGAAACGTGCGGACGGGTACATGCGAGAGTAAGATCAGTGATCTTGCTGTAATTAGCTCTTAATGTATTTAGAAATACCCATATGACCGAGTAGCCACCTACATACAAACGCTTATGCGAGGGTACAAACAGACACCCCCTGATGCATGTCCTTGATGCACGTATATACATACAATACACTCAACCCCACAGACCTAGACTAAAACAGCCCCTTACTAGGGGTCGGAGTGGGCAACGGCACAAAACTCTCGGTATGAGTCGCCCTCGCCTCCCCACCAGTCTTATACCCAGGCCCAATCTTCTCCTCGCCCTTGGCAATATCCCACCCAAAGAGCGTCCGATTAAACAACTGCAACGACGCAATGGGCTGGTAATACGGTACCTCATGGCCCGCCTCATACACGCGCGTAAACGAGAAATTCCCAAACTCGCGCGTCTCGCCGTACTCGACGCCGTCGACGAGCAGCGGCGCGTACCCGGCGGCGCGGAACTGCGCCGCGTGCGAGAAGTTCGCCGCCAGCGAGACGGCCTCGCCGCCGAACCAGTTGCAGATGTAGTCGGCGTCGCCGTAGATGAGCGAGACGCGGACGGGCAGCGCGAGGATGCTCTCCAGGTCGGAGATGAAGTTCGGCCAGACGAAGTCGCCGGTTTGTTGGAAGGCGTAGTAGACGTCGTTGTTGGATTGGGTGTAATTGATGTTGACGCCGATGGCGTTCATGACCGAGTCTTTTTGGAGGAAGTCGTTGTAGTAGCTGGGTGGGGTGGGGTCCTATCATCCCTTCTCGTTAGTGTCTTTACGGTTAAGATATGGGGGTTATGGAAGGGGGCGGGAGGGCCTACGTCGTATGGATGCCGGATGTCGTAGACGCCGCGTCCGCCGAAGCTGTAGTACGGGCCCTCTACACAGTATTAGTATTCGTATGTTTTCTGCAGAGGGCAGGGATACGCACCAACATTGTCGCGACACATGTTCGTCGCCTCGGCGCAGATAGCATAGTCCGCCAGCGAGGTCCGGTTGGTCGCCTTGCAGAGCGCAACCTGGTCCTGGCAGCCGTTGGGCATGGAGTTGGCGAATTTCATGTAGTTGTAGACGGTGTCGTTGACCTGTGCCGTCAGCCTCGCCCGGTCCATCTATCTCCTGGAGGAACGGTACGTACCGCCTTGATGCCGTAGGTGTTGTTGACCGCAAACTCCGGGTAGTGCGGCGCCTGGATGGCCTCGTCGATGATGCCGTTGATAATGCCCAGCGAGTTGAAGTCGAGGTGGATACCCTCGACGCTCCCGTCGGCGATCTTCTGGTTCTGCTCGTAGAAGTAGTTGAAGAATGCGGGGCCATAGTGGCTGTCCTGGTTAGCCTGCTCTCTATCCAAGACCAAAAGGGAGGCGGGACCTACCCTCCGTAACTCTCAGTCCACAGACTAAAATCCTTCGACTTGATCCGGCTGTCCAGCTTCGGCAGTCCGCCGAGGAAGCCCTGCAGGATCTCCCAGGTGGCCTGCGCCGCGAGCTCGGTGGTATCGATGAGCGTCGCATCGATAGCCGGGTAGCGGCCCTGCACGCCCGCAAACGAAGCGTTCTCCACCACGCCCGTGAGCGGGTTCAGCGAGCCGTCCTCCGTCTCGCTGTAGGAGAATCCCACACCCAGCGGCTGCGAGATGAACAGCAGGTTCGACACCTCGTTCCACGAGTACGGGTTGATGTAATCCTCGATGCTGGAGTTGATCTGGCAGGGCCCGAGCTCTACGCACCATTAGCACCGACATTCAATTCGGATCTAGGAAGGGAAAGAAAAGGATACCCTCAAACAACCCAATCAGCGAATCACTCCCCGGCCCGCCGTTCAGCCACAGCGTGATGGGCGCGTTGTGCGGATCATGGCGCGCCTCGAAGAACCAGAAGAAGGTGTGCGACGTCGGCGACAGATCGACGTAGCCTGAGTACGACTTGACGCCGGGGGTGGTCTCGCACACGCCCTCCTTGCCGGGCTCCTTGTAGCGGATCGTGACGTTGTTGGCGGTCGTGATGGTCTTGACGCCGGTGGGGTCTTTGGGGAGCTGTCTTCGGGCATGAGGCTGCGGGCTGGCCAGCACGCTGGCTGCGAGTGGCAGCAGGGGGAGGAGATTGGCGCGCATGTTGATCAATCTACTCTCCGTAGTCTTCTGTCGATTGTAACCCCGGCACTGCAGCTGTGGGAAGATCTGGAGGGCGTTCAGGGGACCCCCCTTTTATACGTCCGCCAGACGGATGCATGGCTCCAACAACGATCGATCAGCGTGAGGGGAATCGCGTGCTAGTGATCCGGGGTTGTCGGTGTTTGTTGTTGGCACAGATAACAAGGTAACATCGCGGCGGGCCCTACTATACTCCGGACGGCGACAGGGGTCTCCGCCCCAACGGATCCGGCAGGCAGCAGCAGCAGCAGCAGCAGCAGCAAAGAGGGGCCTCTGTCTGCTCAATAATTATCTACTCTCCGTTGCTGACTCTTGCTGACCGTGCAGATCGCAACTCTCACTACTATGTATAGTCCGGAGGACACGAGAGTTGGGCCGATCCCAACCGCAACGAGACCGCGTTATACGAGGTCAATGGCATTGTGTCTGCTTATCGTCGGAGATGAGCTGCCTGAACGGGGCGATCGACAGGTGTATCCACGGATGGGGTAGAGTAATATCGTCTAGTAATAATTCCCAGGGAGATGGCGAGGGGAACGAACGCCATGGCGGCACTAAAGGCTTAGGGTGCTTAACTACATACTCTGTACTAATAGATACCACCTGGTGGCGCCATTCATCCACTAATGAGACGCTGGAGATTACGCCATGTGCGGTGTAGATGGAAAGAAACAGACATCATTCATTCCTCGTATCGTAGTACTTTTATCTCTATACAGAGTACCCAGCATCAAACTCCCGCCAAAATGCGTGACCAATATACAAAAGCAGTCGTATACACGTGATTAGTTCAGGTTCAGTCCCAGTTCGGCATCCAAATCAACCTCGGCTCGGGGGGCCTCCGTCGCCAGATCCCCCATATCGGGCACGTTGTGCATCATGCCGAAGCCGAGACCCTTGCCGTTGGCCCCATCGTCCGCCGTGAAGAAGTCGGCCCCCGCGTCGTCAAAGTTGATCAGCGCGTCAAAGTCGTTCTGCGTCACCTCGGCGTCATTCGCCAGGTCCATCAGCTCGCTCAGACTCAGATCCGCGTCCAGGTTCGGGATGCTGAACGCGTCCTGCGCGTAGCTCGGGTTGATGTTGTTGGTGCTGCCGTTTTCGCTGCCGTCTGACGGCGGCGGTGTCGAGGCGAACAGCGGCTCCTGCGCCGAGGACCCGGCAACGCCGTTGCCCTCGGGCTTCGGGTACGTCAGATCCGGGATCTTCTGCGCCAGGGAATCCGGCGGCGGCGTGAGCGTGTTGACGCGCGAGGCGCCGCCGTCGGTCGTGCTAGCTCCAGCACGCGTGTGCACGTCGTTCGGCGCAACCGTCAGCTGGATGCCGGCCTTGCGGATGGCGGCCTCCAGGAACGAAGTGGCGAAATCTGCCGACGCGTAGATCTCCCGCAGACGCTGCAGAATCCGCATGCACTGGTAGAAGCGCTGCAGACTCGTCATCCGCACGTTCGGGTCGCTGGATTTGATGTCGAGGAGGTGGATGATCACCGCGGGGAGCAGAACGGTTACCCCGGTCGTGGGGAAGAACCTCGTCAGGTCGAGGCTGTGCAGGTCCTGCGCGATGTTGGTGATTTCTACCGCCGCAAACCGCACCTTGTTGCGGGAAATCTCCTGCAGCTCGGTGTCCGTCGAGGGGAACGGAATCGCCGGCAGAACCTGCGGACGGTGCAGCGCGCTGGACGTCGTCAGGTAGACCATCTTGAGCAACGCCCGGTGCGAATGCAGCACCTCCTGCGCCTCGCTCAGCTTCGCCGGCGCGGCCGGCGCGTACTGGATCTCGGCCGGAAGATGGGCCAGCCAGTCTTCCAGCTCCTGATCGCAACGGCGCACCTCGAACGTCTCCGCGGCCGACTTCTTCGGCACCAGCATCATGGTCGTCTCCATGGTGCCACCGAATTTATGGCTCAGCACCGAGTACTGCGCCGACAGCACGTGGCTGACACAGAGACACAGCTTGGCCTTCTCGATAAACATCAGCGCCAGCTCTTTCTGGTGGCTGACGTCCTGGAGGATCTCCGAGTTGCCGACCATGCTGACAATTTCCGGCGAGAACGGGTGGAACTCAAAGTCGTCGAGCGTCAACATCGGCACGTCGCAGTCGTCGTCCTTGACGCGCATGGGACGCCGCATGCCCAGGGCGATCAGGCGGTCGCGCGTATACGTGCTCCACCAGATGCGCTTCCACATGCGTTGGCGGCGGGCGTCCATGCGCGAGTTGCCGGGGTCGCGGTGCAAGCCGATCGTGTGGGCCAGCGACAGGCTGACGCCCATCCAGTGCCAGGTGTCCTTCTGGTCGTCGGGGGTCTCGTACCAGTACGTCATGAGCAGGAGCGATTGGACGAGCGAGATCCGGTCGACTTCGTAGTCGAAATCGTACAGCAGTCGCGCACGCTGGAAGAACGCTTTGCGGGCCGCCTTGCGGCTGGAGTATCCGGCGGCGTGCAGGTGCTTCAGGTCGACAAAGGCGGTGCCGGCGAACATGACCGCCTGGAAGAGAAGGAGAGACATGCGGCGGATGCCGTCATTCTGCACAATGGTCTGTAGAAAGTCCTCCAGGTCGAGCAGTGGCATGTACGTGTGCACGTAGTGGATGTAAGCTTTGAGCAGCTCGTTGCGAAGGCCCACGTCGGGGACGGTTAATGCGCCCTTCATCGCCAGATACTCAATGTCCTCCTTCTGTAGTCGTTGAGGCAATCCTCGGATGTAATCAGGCAGAACGACCCCGCTGGAACGAACATTGGCAAAGGTCGGATCCAGCAGCTGCTGGATCTGCGAAGTGACATTCTGCAGCGGCATGGTCGCCCGGACGGCCGGGTTGGGAGCCATTCGTCTGCGGAATTGCTCACCAGCCCCAATTCGGTTGACCTGACTTTGGTCTACATTCATCAGTGAGCTTTTCGGGGCCTAGAGTCTGTAAAACATACATAACAGATGCGGCATATGTTGCCCCTGGTCCAGATCTACGGACCGCTGCGAGGGAGAGGCCGGCGCGACGTCCGGCATCCCATTGCATTCGCTGAGCCTCCGGAAGAGGTTTCCACCATCTTCCGAGAGGTCCGCAGGGGACTGCGACAGCTGACGGTGGGAGTTGTCCACTTCCACGCGGGATTTCCTGTACGGCACCGCCGTTCGTTAGCGGTAATCCCTGGAAGTAATGGGTTAAACCAAACGGTGACTGGAGGAACGAACTTTCTCCTCTTGCTTTCCGTGACGATGCATTCGACCTGGTCGAGCCGACAATTCGTGCAGGGCGAGCCATTCTCGACCACATCGCAGCGGACTTTCCGCGCGCGACAGCAACAGCATGCCTTGGACGCCCGGCGTTTTACCGGCCGGGCGTTGGCGGAGAGACCGGCAGTGGAGGCCTTGCGTTTCCCTTTCGAGTCCGAGTCGACCGAGTTAGTGGGGGCGGCCGTTGGTGTTGATGAAGTTGCGAGGTCCGACATGGTGGCGTGTTCAATAACGCGGGCGTATGGAGAGTGAGAAGTGAGAAATGAAGCCAATCATCCGTGGGCACGGTCAATGGTGTTGTCAGGTGATATCAATATCAACACTACACCGATGTCAAGGGAAGAAGTATGCCGAAGACGACAAGATCAGACGAAGAAAAGGAAGAGTGGAGAGGGTCTTTGCTTTGTTACGGTGTTTTAATTATGAGACATGGATTTTAAGAAAAAAATATGAAGGAAAATAGAAGGCATAAATGCAGCCGAACTGTCGTACTCCGTACCTGATCCAAAGGGCCGAAAAGCGAGAAAGCCTGGGGTCGGGGAGAAGGAATGTTTAAGTATTGCAGTGCATAGTCAGGAGGCGTTGGGGATGATGATGAGCAAGCCCTCTTCCCCCCCAGATCCACTCTCGTTCATTCCATATTCGTTAATGGTTGCCTCCCCCAGACCAGACCCAAGACTCGGTCCGGAAAACGCAGTAGATTCCGTTCCTCCACTTGTCGTCGTCCTCATGGAGTTAGTGCGGCCCAAGTTCGGTGGGTGTCGATGACTCAGCTGGCCTCCCGTTGGCGACGCTTGTCCAATCAACACCGGCGCTAGGAAGAAAACGGGTTGGTGGGCCTCTCGTGCTATCCCACTTGGGTAATAACTCTCGACGCTTTTCTTTTTTCTTTTTTCTTTTTTACCCCTCCTTTTTTTTTTCCCTCTTGCTTTCCCCACTCGACCCCACCCGGCGACCTAAAACCTCCTAGAGCCACTCGTAGCCATGCCGTCCCTAGCCAGAATACTAACTATTTTTTATCTCTTTATTCGAAAAAAGCGCAATCCAAACTATGTACGCATGTATCGGCCCGGTCACGTTACTGGCCTGGCCGCCACGCTCCATCACCTGCGCGTCCTCCAACCAATCACCTCCACCAGGAATGGTCACTTGCCTCATACTTCGGGTCTAGTGCCGGCATCTCACCTCGTCTTGCGGACATCCGAACTGATCCCGTCATAATAGATAATCTATCTACGCCGTTGGTAGCTGGTTTCGGTCTGGTTGAGTACGAGTACGCAGGACTGGACGCTGGAGTCTGAGTGTTCATGAAGCTGCCAGCGGAATCGGTTCCGCCTCCCGCATTTACGGAGTACACCACGACTCCATGGGGAATCATTCGGCTGGCCTTCCGTCCGATCCCTTCCACTTCCACGACCCGGGATGCGATCATTAATATTAATCCCTCTGGTTGTGGCTGGAATTAATCCTCCGAGACCGTGGGTCCTGATGTGCAGAGAGACATGGCCATCCATGAACCGAGGTCCGCCTCGGTCGAGTTCATGCCGTGAACCCTTGATCCAAGGTTGGTTTGTGATCCCCTGAGACCGAGAAATAGTAACAGACCTGGTGATCCGGCATCCATCGCGCACAGGATTACTCTGGAGGATTCATTATACGCCTTCATCGCGAGTCCCACGGTCCCTACCGAGTACCAAGTACCCTGGTCGCAGGCTGGGGACACCGTTGGCCGACGCGACGACTGATGAAATCGGTAACCAGGGTATGATTTGTCGGCAACCCGTCGTTATCAATTGGAACCTCCAAGGTGGCCCTGACTATTGGGACAGACAACTGGATCGTGAAGATCATGCGTCTCCTTTTAAATTACTGCGCCTGTGACTTGGGCTGACAACACTGGAGACTGTAGCCCTTAGTATGGAGTACGTACTATGGGGCTGGCCCACCTACCCAATGTAGCACCGTAGCCGATCGGTCCGGTACAGCGCAGCACACAATGGAGTACAAACAGGATGGTTGAGCCCACATCTTTGCTCAGGAATTGTCTTGTGATTTGTTTGAGATAAATGCCTCTTGCGGCATTAATCCCTTACGTCTTGGTCTTGAAGATGCTCCACGTGAGCCTTCGCCTTTCTGGTCCAAAGACTCAGTCCGACAAACGGAGGACATCGTCCAAACCGAGCATGGACAGGGTCCAATAATAGACACTTAATTCCAGGATCAAGTCCAGAGTCCGCAGCTGACAAAGGATCTCCTGTGAGCGGATGGCCAGGATGTCGGTGTCAGGTTGGCGGATGGGGTAGGAATTGGCTGGGTCTGAGCAGCTGGTGGAGGCCGTCCAGACCATGACGCTCATCCAGATGCCTAAAGCCGTTAGCCCGGGTTAGTCATAACTGGCGAAATCGGAGGAATCCGTGATCCTTGCGGTGGTCGAGATCTGGAAGAGGAAGCAAACGTATGTATGATGTCGTCATTTGACGATCCCTGGGTTTCATTTTTTTTTTTTTTGTCTGCTCGCAAGCACATGCATCGTGGCAGCTTGCGAGCGATCAGGGGTTCCTTGTCAATTGTTCAACTAGTTGAATCTATTCAATCCTGTTGCATGCATCTGCTCCATTTCCCCAGAACTACTCAAACAGATCTAGATCATAATCTCCCCCGGGAGTAATCAAAGAAAATCAGAAACTACGGAGTAGAGAAAGAGAAAAAAAAAATCAAAAGGGACCGGGGTTGTCAATGTGGTGGAGACGTCGAGGCCCCTTATTGGATTATATAGTACCCACAGCCAATGAATGGTCCGCCGGCGGATTCCCATGTGGGACTAGACTAGGTCTGCTCGACAACACACCAATGAGTAGCCCGACAAATGCCGCCGGCAACGTGGGCAGCTTCCAAGAACGGCCTCAGAAACAAGATCATTGGTGTAGGTTGCTATCATTCTTTGGAACACCCCACAGCATCCAAGACGCCATCCTGCTCGGACTGAAGGTGTTTACAATATTCTGCTAATTAATTGCTTCCATCGGACGTCCGACTCTCCTGTACCCCAGTCGGCCCCATGCGGATCCCACACCATGACTAACAGCCCGTCCAGACCCCGGGGAAGACCGGAGGGGCAGTCAAAGGATTTGGGGATCCATTATTACGGAGTATTACTCCAGAGAATTGCCAAGCGGAGGATTGACTGCCCCTTCTCGAAGTCTTCCGTATAGGCTCACCGCGAAACCTGGAGTCTGGAGAGTCTGGGGTATGGGGTATCTCCTAAGGGTCCTAAGTGTCCGACGGAGTCCTATCATCGAGTCGTACAATAATAACGAGTACCTAGTATAAACAATATAATGAGAAACTCAAATCCACCCTCTATAAGTTAGACAGACGACAATCCCTGCTCGGCGAACGCCAACAGCGGCCTTATGAATAATAGATACCTCCCTACCCAAGTATCTACGGTGTAGACATCTAAACGAGGGATATACTTCTATCTCCTTCCATTGTACTAAGTGAATAGATAGGTAGTCGGACATCTCCCCGACTCGGACTGCCGTTGTCCGATTCAACACTAGGCATTCCCCCCCGCGTTCTCATCGGCGGTAACCCGATCACCCCCCTCCATCCTCTTCCTTCCCCTCCACGCCAAACCCGCGTTAGGCACGTTGGGACGGCATCCCTGCAGTGCACACGCCCTCTCGTGGCGCGGGGGTAAGGAATGAAGTCATCGCTCGCGCGAGTCAGCTTCGTTGGGGGTCTGTGCTAATGTCAACGTGTGGGTGGGGGAGGGGGTGCACGGGGTTAGTGTAGGTTAGTACGAAGTTCGGGCGAGAGGAGCTTGGAGCTTGGAGCTTGGGACTTCAAAGGGGAATTGCTTTGAGGGAGGCTGTTTGTCGACGGGTACTTGGGGACTAGGCTGGGATTAGACGGCTATATGCTGTTCCCTTAGGAAGGCTTATGGATTCATCCTTGATTCTGGGACAGAGGGAATAATATCCGCAATTTCCAGTTCAACTGCTTTCTACAAGTATTTGCTACTCTGGTAGTTTCTGTTTCCCGCATAGTGTAGCCAGAGGAATCGTAATCGTTCATGGTAGAACATGAGAGATATATATATCCGTCAAGCTTAAGACAGGAGCAATCCGGTAATCGTGTTCACTACCTCATATCAAGAATCAAAAAACATAATATATTCAATACTCATCACACTCAAGCCCCGTAGGACTTCCAGAACGCCTCATAACACATAAACATCAAGCTACCATGTACACTATACACTATACATGTCTGCCATTCACACCCCACGCCCCATCCGCTCGATCGAGCCCATGATGCCACTGCGCCCCGGGGTGAAAACCGCAATGCCAGACTTGCCTCCACTGTTGCCCCGGACGTGTCGGCTCGCCGGCGCTCCAATCTTGGGGATCTTCTTCTCGCCATGGCCGGAACCGGTGCTCGGAGGACGGATGCTGCTGGAGCTGCTGCGGCTCGTGCTCCGACTGAACTCCTCGGGGGCAGCTTCAATCGGTTCTGGCACTGGAGATCTGTTATCCCGGGGCTGGGGCGATTGGCGCTCCATGACCGGAGGTTGATTCTGCTGCATGGCCAGCCATTCATCCACCGCAGCGACGAGCTCCCCCTTTTCGGCGCGTTCAGCCTTCAGCTCATTGCGCAGTCGGTCACTGTCTTTCTTGAGAGCAGCCATCTCCTGCTGCAAGCCCTTGATCTGGGCCTCCAAGACGCGCTTCTCGGCTTCATGCTCGTCCTTTTCGTGTGCGATGATACTGGCATCGGGTCGTGAGGCTTCGGAAAGAGCTGCGTCGCGCTCCGACTTCAACCGCTCGTTTTCCTCATTGACAGCCTTCAGCTTGTTCTCGGCTTCCCTCACTCGCTTCTCCCAACGCCCCTCGTAACTCTTCTTCAAAGCAGCCACCTTGGTTTCGTGCTTGCTTTTGTACAATGTGTGGAGCTCACGAGCAACTTTCTCCACGGCGTCTTGGACCTCCATTGCGGTTTGCTCTGCCGTCTTGGTATTCGAGGTGCTCGCAGTGGACCCATCCTCAGCAGGAGCCGACTTGCGAGCAGAGTCCAGCTGTGTTTCCAGTTCGACCATTCTGCTCTCCAGCCGCTCCTTGGCTTTCTCCAAGTCTTCCACCTTCTTCAGAAGCCGCTCCTTCTCTCGCTCGCCGTCAACGATCTCTGCCTTCACCGAACGCAGCACATCCTCCATTTCCTGACCTCTGCGCTCCCATTCGGCTTGCTCAAACTCGAGCGCCTCCTTGCGCGCAGACTCATTACGGACCTCCTCCAGCGCCTCCCCCACACGTCGCTCCGCATCGGCCACCGCCTGCTTCAGACTGGCCACTTCAGCCTCCTTGCCACTGAGCGTCGCCTTCAGGGACGAGATCTCCGACATGAACCCGGACTTCAAAGACTCCAGCTCCCTCGGAGTGACGGTGGGAATGGACCGAGGGGTGGGTGCAGAGGGAATGTCAAAGTCGAGAAGAGACATCTTTGTAGGGGATCTCATTGACTCGCGAGCGGCTCTCAAGGGCGAACGGCGCAATGGCGAGCCCCGTTCATTCTGGATACTGTAGCGCTTGCGCTGGAAGAAGTTGAGTTGATCGGTGAAGTCGAGCAGATTGGGAGTTCCACTTGGATTGCCGGCATCTCTTCTGCGGGGCGTAGGCGACGCGTTCGGTGAGCTCATCTCGAGCAGTCCGCCCTTTCTCGGGGACCTCTTGGCCGTGGCCGGAGTACTCGGTTCGAACCCACGGTTCTCAAAGTTCTCAGCCTTGCTCGGGCTACTCGGGAGCGGTCTGGCCCCCTTGATCGGTGAGTTGCGCAACATGGCAAAGGCCGTCATATCCGTGTTTGTCACAGCCGAAAAGGTGCTGAAGCAGGTGTCATCCATTGGGTCGTGGGAGTCATCGTTCATAGCATCGTTCGCTTCGTGAAGGCTGGGGTCTTCGTCCTCGTTGATTGGTTCGTTATCATTCTCATGGAGCACAGTGCTCATGCCCTCGTTCCGCTTGTCTTCCACCATACTGTTCGCCACCTCGTGCCGCTCAACCGCCGGCTCGATTCCGAGGCCGACATCCTCCTCTTCGTGGATATTGATATCCGGAACGTCTCTTCTAATCGATCCCTTCTTATACCGCTCATCGACCTCTTCGTCGACCTCATAAGAATCAGGCCCATGCTCGTAAGACCGCTTCCGCGGCGTCGCAGAGCGGTCGCTGTGGCCAAGTGATGGATACCGCTTCTGCAGCATTTGGATATCGGCGGTATCATCTCTGGCGGCATCCTGAAAAGGCGAGCTCGGCGGCAGCACAAAGTCCGTCTGTTCATCGCCAAGGTCTGGAGTGTGGAACTCGCGATCCGAACCGTACTCAGCGGCGTGAGCGGTTGTGTTCACTTCTTCGACGAGTTTGAACGGACTCGAGAATGCATTTTCGGCGGCCCCATTCGACATTGCGATCTCATCGAGACCGCCTTTACCGGAGACGGAAGCACGAGACGCTGGCGAAAACGTCCGCGAATTTTGTCGCGAGGACGTTAGAGGAGACAGAGGGGTCGACATGACACAGGAAAGAGAGGAGATGGTTTTATAAAAGTATATTGTAGAGAAATACTGGAGACCCTATGATCATGAGGACCAGGCCCAGTTGTGGTCTCCAATATAAGTGCTGTCACGGTTGAGGTGTTGGTCTCGTTTGTTATTTTCGTCAGGGCCGTTGCTAGGAAGGCGATAAACAAAGCTAATCCTAAACCGGGTTAGAGGGGCAAATGACAGGCGGTGTGGAACGGCAATATCGACGAGTGTTCACCGCCCGCCACTAGAGGTTGATGCTGCTGGTGTCCTTGCATGATACAGGCTGCATGCTGCATACTTTGTGCATTGGTTTCTCCGACTACAAAGCACGAGAGCCTGGATACCCAGAAAGTACAGCAAAGACATACATTAACTATCCCCTGCAGTATGTACAGAACAATATCAGAACTCCCAAACACCATGCAACCGCAAGCATAAATGCCCAACGCCTTGAACGCTCTATCAATTGATCCATTTGTGTGCTTTTTTTGAATCGTGCATAGTAGTCCGTAATAGACAGTCCAACACTCATCAATGCTTCAAAACAACTCATGCGGATTCTGTATTTCCGTCAACATCGGTCACGATGATATGGACGGTCTCCTTATGGTCGTGGGAGTCTTCTGCAATGTAATGGCAGTGTGCGACAGGCTGGACCGAGACCGATGCATGTTTCTTCTGCTCAATAAACCACAGCTGCACGGCACCGATAATGGCGACAAGCGCACTTCCCCACCAGGCAAGGGCGGTGAATCCAATTTCCGACCCCGTGCTGTACAGATACCCAGCAACTGGCGGGGCGATGGTGCGGGATGCGGCTCCTGCAGAAGCGGCCAGACCGTTGATCTTCCCGAGGACTGAGTCGGACGGGCTTGCTTGCTTGATCAGGATCAGCAAGACCGGATAGTCGATGATGGACAGCAGATTTCGGACAGCCAGACATGTGTAGATCCCGACGAATAGAAGCTTCTGGGGAACGAAGATGAGGAATGGGACCATGAAATAGGCCACCGGGTGGAGCACGGTCACAATCACGAAAAGCTTCCACACCCCCAGATAATGCGCCAACGCGGGAAAGATGACACTCTGAATGACGAGAGCGATGATGCCGTCCGTGGACATAATGAAGCCTACCGTCCGAATTGATAGGCCAAGGCCACCGGGGAAGTTGAAAGCCGACTGCTTCAATATCGAAACACTGTCTGCGTGTTTGTCTTGCAAGAAGATGGGCAGAAGGTGGTCAAAGGTCATCGAATGATAGGTGAAGATGGCCAAGGCGACGACCAGCATGGTAACCCGCCACGTAAAGATTGTCTGTTTCTGAGGGATGGCTTCCGGTTTGGAGCCATCAGACCGCACCATCCAGTCCTCATCTCTATGGAGATGGATTTCGTTGAAGGTTCCATACGATTCCGCTCTCAGATCTGCCCCTGCATTGGCAGTTGCACCAGCAGTCGCCAGCAGAGGACTTTCCACTGATGTACAGTTGAACTTGGCAGTACCATCCAATGGCTGCATGTCAGGGTGAGTCTCCTGCAAGAAGACCCAGCTGAGAATAATGCTCAGGAGGAGCAGGATGGCGCAGACAAGATTGGGCAACAGGTAAGGGTAGATACCAAACAAGCCGTCCCGAGCGAACCAGGATGGAAATCCCTCTGCCGGCTTGACCAGAATGCCGGACAGCGCAGGCCCTGCAATGGTACCGATTGACCAGACAAAAGGCATCACAGCATAGGCTCGAGCTACAGTCGTCAGCCGTGGCCAGAGTGTCATATATGAATGACCCATACTTACGCTCATGTTCTGGTCGCTTGACCAATTCTCCGACCATGGTCTGGATGACGCCAATGTTTCCATTCAGTGCGCCTCCGAGGGCTCTCCCGAACAAGGCAACCCAGAAGTTGGGAGCGAAGCCCACCAGGAGAAGCGACACCATTGTACCGAAGCATCCAGAGATCAGGACAGGCTTGCGGCCGATGCGGTCGGAGAGATTACCCCAAAACATCCCGGTGAGGGCCTCGGCGAGAGAAAAGGCCGAGACCAGGATTCCGGCGTAGAAAGAAGCGTCGGAGTCATTGGCCACATGAAAGTCCTTGACCATCGCCCATGAGTAGGGGAAGATGGAGGTCAAGGCAATTGGCTCGGCGACACGACATATTGCTGGTGAAAGCGCGGTCAGCGATTGCGGGGTTCGACGGGAAGTATGAAAAGACCAGGAGCATACCTAGGAGGAACAACTGGGTGGTGGGAAATTGGTCGTTGGAAGAGATTGGACTTTTCTGCTGCGTTAATACCATCTTCTTCAAATCGCTGAAGATTCTTACGGCAAGCCCTCCACAAGACAGCCCGTCGTATACGAAGCGATTTCTTCTTTCTCCAGTACGCTGTCTTGATTCACGTTAGAATGCGACTTTCTGTATTTCTTTTCCTCTTCCTCTCTGCCGTTCTATCTTTCTGTCCTGTTTGATTCGTACTTGGCCGAATAATAGGTCGAAGACTGAGAACAAAAGGAGTTGAGGGTGGGAGATAGAAGGAGGTAGATGGATAGAACCCGGGAAAGGCAAAAGTCTAAGAAACAGGAAGATAAGGGTGGAGGCAAGAAGCACCTGACAGGAGAACCAACCAGTGAGTATGCGAGAATCGGGGCGGCGGCAAGACTGCCGGTGAACCATCCTCGGTGATTCGCTAACCAACCCTGGTCGGGTGGACGGCAAGACAAGAAATTTTCTAAAAGAACCAGGGAATCCGTGCGATCGTTTAGTAGTTCCATAGATGCTACCGCAGAGGACACAAGGTACTAGTAGGCAATAACAAGACTACTATATAAGAAATATGTATAACCAGCTACTAATTATAACTATTTGACTGTCCGTTTAGGGTGATGTGAATGCTTCTGCGGCTTCAGTCTAACTCCGAGTACAGGACGGAGGGAACACAAGGAACCATCCAGAACCTGATTTCAGTCCAGACCGCACGGCCAATGACTTCCGAATTTGACGGGTGAAACATTCCGACGCTGCCCGCATGGGTGATCGGCACTCACTCAACCCAATGCTCCCGCCCTAGTTTCACCAGCCTCCCCAGGATATCTAAACGTCTCCGCATTCAGCAGAGCCTGTCAACAGGTGCAGCACAAGTCACTTCAATCTGATAGATATCATGTCGACGCTAGGCTGGAAATGGGACTAGGCTCGGATGGCCCCGCAGACACGGATCCATCCGCCAATAACAGCGGTGGTGACTATCCATTGACCCTCTCTGTCATGAGGTAAATTAAAGTCCATCAAATGGATATGCGTTGATTGCTTATCTTAGGGTTGATTGAATAAATTCCCGTGGTGAAAATACATGCGACGATAGTGGTGATTAATTCCTTCCTGCGCCTTATAGTTGTAGGAACTTGACCTTAGACTTGTTTGTAGCTTTAGCTAGAAAGAATTGTGTGTAACAGTAGAGTGAAATAGATGAGATAAGTAGTGGATGATTGCAAACAGAGAGGGTGAAAATAGAGAAGCTCACTATCTCTACCTAGTGTCATGAACATCACTCACTAGAGACGTATAATATACCCCCTAAGATAGTAAACCGTTCGACCGATATCAAATTCTAAACATCTTAGGGTATTCCAAAAGTACATGAAGTTCGTGATAGCTGGAAGAAGCAAAAATATACACAAAGTCTCCAGGACCCATCCAAGAAAAAAACTCAAGGACCATATGGTATATATCCAACACATAAGCCAAGCGTGTACGGTCAACGACCCCCATGTTCCGATACAGGCATGTAAGATCGTCGTTCTCTTGCAGCCTTGAAGCAGTCAGTATGTTGCCAGCCATTCCACATCAGAAATCCCGATGTACTTGCCTCGAGATACTTTTCCACCCATGGTTTAAAGACCGCCCAGGCCAACAAGCTACCCGTAGCAATGATAAAGATGAACACTATCGCTTCGTCTTTTCTCGAATCTCGCTCTGTACGTCCGGTTAGCAAGGATGCCGTAAGGCAGATATCATAGCGGTCCGCCGCTTGCGATGGGATATCGTACGGAAACAAGTGGTGAAGACATCCTCCTCCTTGGCCCCTTTGCACATAGGCAGGTCATAACCCAAGCAGAACTTTCGATTGCAATCATTGCAACTCAGCGATTTGTATTTGTCCGCCCTTGTCTCATGTAAATGGCTGCTATCGTCGTTGGCCAGGCTGCGGTGGAAAAGGCTGTTCAGAGATGTCACGTCGGTTTTCTGAGGGTCGAGAGGGATAATGGTGCTGTTCGAGAAGCAGGTGCATTTGCAAAAGGACGCAGGAGCTTTATTTGACAGACCGTTAGCGAGTACTTCAAGCTTGGTGTTGAGGATCAGACAACTCACAGGAAGCCAGTGCGATAGACGTGAAAGAGACAAGGAGAAGGAAAAGAAGGCTCAGGCGAGAAGCCATGCGCGGTCGAGACATGATAGAAATTTAAGAATGGGAGAAGGGGCAAGCTTCCCCTTCTACCGATAGACTGTAACTCTGCAGATGCGCTGATCGCCGAAGCTCCGAGATGGCCGCACGATGATGCCTTCACCAGCTGGTCTCGACAACCCCGGATTCTTGGCATCATGTGACCGCATTCATTTGTCCTCATTGAGATGCTGAATAGGCGAATGGTCTACCAACTGCTTATTTCTACGGTACTATTGATTGACTAACTTGTACATGGTCTAGATCTGATTAACGACCCGCTCAACCGTATATGCAACAATATTAGGATCTATATGATGAGACTAAGATTTCCCTCTCATGCCCTTACTCCGATTCTCCCTCTGCCTCTGCTCCTTGGCGGCATCTCTACGCCTCTTCTTCCACGCGCGGTTGTTGTCTCCGCGATTCTCCCAGAACCACTTGGTAAAGTCGGATTCCTCCTTGGCGGGAGATGCGCCCTTCGGAACCGGGGTACTGGCGTAGAGCTCATCATCCACTTCCATAGACTCATCCTCGTCTGCGCTGGTCCATTTGATGGTCCGGCCCACCAGTGCAGTATCGGGAGTAGGGGCCGCGCTCCTCAATCCACGAGCCTGCAAGTCCCTTTTAGTGAAAGGGGTCTGTGGCTCGACTGGTTTTGCCGTCTCCTCTTCGGATTCTTCTATGTCCGCCTGCCCGAAGAAGCTGAATTGCGCATTGGCTTCTGGGTCGGGGTCCTGATTAGCACTGTCTGGCGCAGGTCTCTTGAACAGTGCCTCCAACGGGTGCACTTCCGAGCGTGGCTCATTGTCTTGCTCCCGATTCGATTCTGCATCTTTCACGACCTTTTCTTTCTTTGGCGTCTTTTGCACTTGCTCTTCCTCGCTAGAAGAAGAAGAAGAAACATCTGACTCGTCTGACGAACTAGACGATGCGGAGATTTCGCTTTCGGCGTCGGATGAGGAGGATTCGTCCGAAGACGATTCGCCACTGGACGAAGTCCAATCCTCTGACTCGTCCGCACTCTCCTCGGGGCTTTCAGCCTTGGCCTTCTTCGACTCCGACTTCTTCTTCTTGACGTCTACCTCGGCAGACTTTCGTTTCTCCTTAGCACCAGGCACTTTTCCGGGCTGGTACTTGTCGCTTTTGACGCGCTTGCTGACTTCTTCCTTGACATTTCCTGAGCTATCAACCCACCCTTTGCCTTCTTCAAACGTAGACGTTGGCTGTGTTCCATCATCGCCAGACCGGAGAAAGCTGGGATGCGATATGGTTTTCGAGAACTCGTGCACCACAGACTCCTGCGCCGGCTTCTTCTTTTTCTTGGAGCTTTTCTCGCTCTTCTCATCGACAGACGACCGGTTGGCGGGGACCTTGGTGCGGAACAGACACTCCGATTTCTCCGTATACTTGGACTTGGACTGAGACTTGGTCTTCTTGTCCCCCTTCTCCTTCCGTTTCTTCTCTTCCTTGCGGCGCTCCTTCAAAGCAGTGCTGGATTCGGTCCAGCCCCGCTTCACTTGACGATCAGGCGGCAGCTCATAGCCTTCATACACCGAGTATTCGTCCTTCCGCTTCTTTTTCTGCTTTTTCTCCTTGGGCGGCTTGTGCTCGGGGACGGGCTGTTCGGCCTCGTCCTCATCCCGGTGTCGCTTCTGTGGACGGGCAGCTTCCACCTTAAATTTGCGTCCCTTGAGGATCGAGCCATTGAGCTTCTTTTTCACCTTGTCGGCATCCATGGCGGGCAGCGTCACGTAACCGTAGTTATTTTCTGGGAAGGTCGGGATGTGGTGAAAGCTGATCTCCGTGGCGGACGACTGGAGGGCACCCGGTAATACGGAGGGAAGAAGTTCGGGAGTGAAAGGGGTGATATGGAGGCGTTTCGTGGTGTCGGAGGGCGCAGTCATTTGTTGCGACGGTATGCCAGACAGCTTCCAAGCTCCAGGCGGTCTGAAGAAAACAGGGATTCGGGTCAGGAGAATGGGGTTCAGCGCATTATGAAAAGAGATGAATGATTAGGGTGAATCCGAGGAATCGGACACAATCTTTTGGACGGCGGAAGTGAAGAAGAAAATCCAATTTCAGCAATCGTTGAAGAATCTCGTGAAAAACAAAGACTTTTTTTGGATGGATTTTCCCGCCGCCAAACCTAGACGGGAATTTGTGGCGCAGCAATTGCACCAGCCACATGACGTTCCCGACAGTCTTAAACCGTTTTGTATTGTAATGCACGCTACCTCGATTCAATCGGCAATTTAGGGATCGTAAATCCCGTTCGTGAGGGTCAAGAATGGCCTAATCTCCGTCAGGAGCAGTGCCAGATCTGAAGCCATCCTGTCTTGTCAATCCGGCATGTACCACAGCAGCCGCTAGGGCCGTTTGGGTACGGACCCAGTCTTATCCCGAATCGATATCGGACTGATAAACGAAGGGCACTACTCGATAAGAGACCAGATTGACATGCAGGCCCAAGACAAGCTCCAACTACTCAGCGTACCTGCAAATATCCAAATTGGATAAGTAGTAGTACTTCGCAGGTATTCATGGGCGTTGAGCTCGGTGGAGTCCAGTTGACCTGTCTTCATCTAGAGCAATGCCTAGACAACCACTAGATATGTACTACTGAAGATCGAGCTCTGGGCTTCCCCTCCATCTGTATAGCGCAATGACAGGTGTCATCAAGAGATCGATAGATGCCCAAAGAGCCAATTCAGGCTGTGTCCAGACCCATCAGGACCCTTGAGGTAATACAGCGTTGTGGCGTTGCATCCATCCTTCACTCCATGTATTGTACCATACGTAACATGACTATTGAACTCAAAAACGGTCATCGATCTCACGATTATTAGTGCAGGCCCCATTCCATCCATTATTCCATCTCTCCCTCATCCTGTTCATCTCCTTCTTTCCCCCGTCTGTTGCTTCATCGTGTTGTTGGAAAGACACACACCCTCCTGTCAACGGCCTCTACGCACGCCGCGTCATCCGGCCACTCCCCTCGTCTATTCCCCCCCTCCTTTCTCTCCCCTGAAGTCGGCTGGTTCCGCGGTTAAGCCACCAACATCCGCCTTCTGATCTCATCACCATCACCACCCACTTGCCAGCTTTCTTCTCCTACTACCATCGACCTTCGCTCACATGGCCCCATCGAGTTTCCCCACTGTCCCTTTTCCCGCCAGCCTCCGTCACTGAACCATCCCCCAAAGCTGGTCTGTCGACGGATTCACCCTGGATTGGTGTCGTTGATCTGCTGCCGCCGGGCCTCTCTTGTCCCACTATCTGCCTATCACTCGTGCTGGCTGCCACTCGCATCTCGTTTACTCCGCTTTCTTATCCGGCACTCCGCACCCTCATCACTCGCACATCGGACGCCCCGGATTATTGGTTACGTCCACTTAGACACCTACCTGTCTGTTGGATGACTTCAATTCTCTTCTTTCAATAGAGATGGGTAATTCGCAGACAAAGGAGAGCCGCCCGGCCGCGTCGCATCGCCGCAGCCATGGTGGCGCCGGGCGATCGCCGTACAGCGAACGGCATCACTCTGAAGGCTCCCGGTCCAGAGGAAGTAGACCCGATCTCTCCATCCTCGGAATCGGCGGAAGTCATCATGAACGCGATGTGGCGACGCTAGAACACCGGCGAGAAACCCGCCAGGAGCGAGAAGCCCGAAAGCTCGAGAAGGAACGGATAGCTCGGGTGAAGGAGCGAGAACGTAGTATGCGAGAGGAACATGTCGACGGAGGTTATCTGGTCACGCAGGGCGTCTATACGGGGACGGAGGATTTTAACAAGGCGATTGTCCGGCAGTTGATGGTAACGACAGGCGAACCTTTCGTACATTCGTGGCACTAACGTAACTCTAGATTGAAAGACGACTGGCTCCGTTTTGGAGAGGCCTCAACGACTTTTCGGAGTCTTGGACGGAGCACCAGCTCATGGCCGCCGCGCGCGGCCTCCCCATCCCTCCCCCCGATGAGATTCCCCCGGAACTCGAATACACGAACCCTCCTAAAGCCACCGATGATTCCAAAGAGTCCGCCGACTCGAAAATGATCCAACATTTGACCGTGCCGATTACTTCGCGATCGCAGTCGTACGGGTCCGATGCGTCCCAGTCGTCGAACCCCACCAACTCTTTGCCATCTCCTGCGTCGCCTATCGCGTCGGGAACTTCGAGTTCTCCGCTGTTCAGGACTCGTGCAAAGACGCTTGCTTCTCTCACGACATCGAAGCATAACCAAGTCGATCCGGGCCCGCGAGAAATGCAGCTTCCCCGTGATCCATTCGTCAACGGACAGCCGATTGAAGCTTACCTGTATAAGGAGGCGTCGGAATGCCCCATCTGCTTCCTATATTATCCGCCCTACCTGAACCGGACCCGGTGTTGCGACCAGCCTATCTGCTCGGAATGCTTTGTTCAGATCAAGCGTCCCGACCCTCATCCTCCGGAGCATGGCGACGCCGATTCGAACGCTCCCGCTGAATCGCAAGAAGGCGAGCGCCCTGAGAACCAGGATGGTCAGCTCGTCATGGAGCCAGCCGCTTGTCCTTTTTGTGTCCAACCTGAATTCGGTGTCACCTATGCGCCGCCCCCTTTCCGTCGAGGCCTCACCTACGCCCTTGACCCGAACTCGCGCCCCAATTTCACGTCGCCTGTGTCGTCCACGTCCTCGCTTGCGTCCGCGAACCCGGCCACTGTACCAGGACGTCGGCGCGCTACGTCGTTGTCCGCCTCGGATCCCCTGGTCATCACTACGGATAGGATTCGGCCTGATTGGGCGCAAAAACTGGCGAATGCGCGGGCTCATGCTGCACGCAGATCGGCTGCTGCGACTGCGCTGCACACTGCCGCATACCTGATGAACTCAAACCCGACTGGTGATTCGCGCAACTTCAGTCTCGGTCGTCGGGGGGTGATGCGACGGAGCGGTGCGGTAGAAGGAGGCAACAGCTCCAGCCGGACGGGCTCTCCGGCGCTACAAGCTCTGGCTTTTTTAACCGACCGTCGGCCGGCGGGTACTGATACCGACTCTGCTGAAGAACAAGGGAATCTGGCACCGCCGCGTCAAAGTTCCCGGCGCAACCGCATTGATGATTTGGAAGAAATGATGATGATGGAAGCGATCCGGTTGAGTCTGGCGAGTGAGGAGGAACGGCGCAAGCGGGAAGAGAAGGAAGCCAAGAAAGACGCAAAGAAGAGGGAAAAGGAGGCGAAGAAGGCAGAAAAGGCGGCGCGCAAGACCGGAATGTATAGCAACAACGCCAGCGGGTCTGCTTTGGATGTACCTTCAGGATTGGGCCGAGTGGTTAGCAGCTCCTCGTCCATCACAGGCGAAGAGGCTACCCCTGCAGGCAAGGGGAAGGAGGTCGACCGCGTGTCGCCTAATGCACCCGCTGAGAACGATCCGGGCGCGGCTGGAGCTTCGGATGCTGTGCAGGTCCCCGGATTAAACTCCACCGAACAACACCACTCGGCGCCACTCTCTTCCGCCCAGCCAACTTCCCGACCTTCGCATTTGCGCAATGTCTCCAGTGCCTCGTCTTTTTCGTCGCTGGTTGAATCGATGTCGGAGGACCACCCTGGGGCTGCCGAAGGTACCAGTTCGTCTCCGGAGCCGCTGTATAACTTTCGCAGCCTCGCAGCCGTGATTGGGGATGATGAGAAACCGGAAGAAGCCGCCGAGCATGTGGAAGACACCTTGAGCCAGAAGGCCGAAGGTTCGGGGACTCAGTCCGTTTCTCCAGCGACCGACTCTGCCCTGGGAGGTACGGCGGAGATACCGTGTGTTACGGTGGAGGGCGACCGAGACTGCTTGATCCCAAAGGAGCTGGAAACGCGATCCGTTGAGCTCACGGGTGCTACTCGCAATGCGGAGGCTACTTCCTGAAAGGATAGTGTTTGATCTAGTTCGATCTTCGATTTCTGGTGACGGTGGACATTTGGCGCAGGAGCGGTTCTTTTGGGTGGGGGGGAAGCGATCTGAAGCACTCTTTTGTTGTGTTTTCTTGGGTTCGATGATGAAGTTTTCCATTCGCATACGGGATTGGACGTTCGTTCTATATACATACAGGATGATAGATTTCTTTCTCTCTTTTCTTTCTCTCTTTACGTGTTCAGAGTGTACTTGCGAGATGGCTGCATATGTGTCGATTGATTGATGCACAGGGCGCTGAACAGAATGGAGATAGCCGATTGAATAGACGATGTCGGTATGCTTCTTGGAGTATACGGGAAGACCGCGTAGAGTGGGCAGTAATGAGGGAGGCTTTGGAATGTGTACATAGTGGGAGATATGTACGACCCACCAACGGAAGAATACTAATGCAGGCGTCATAAACACAATTAATCGATCGGAGGATGTTTCAGATCTCGTTTCAGCCATGGATTGGCCCATGGATCCTTTCCACAATGAAGACCATTGTGAGCGCTAGGCTACGGAAGAGGCATCTCGGTAATTAACACTGCGCCTCTTCCAGAGCATCCCATTTGTCTGTGCTCGGGTACTCTGTAACCAGGTGCCTTGTAATTATGACGCAGACGGCAATTGTTATAAGGATCAGCAGATCGCTCAATATGGGTCTGCCACTAGTTAGTTACTTGTGAATTGAGAAATATTTGAACACAGTAGTTACTGCATTCTATCTGACATCATTATTGATAACTAGACACAGGAGTAGTGGGAGGAACTGTTTCTTATATTCTTCTAGATGATTACATTATATTTTTACCTACTTACCTTAGGATATTATTAGAAGTGGATGGTCCCTGGATACGATACTCCTCCAATCTCTGCTGCAACCAGTCATGCCCTAACCGACTACGGAGTACATCACTAGTATAGTTAGTAGATTAACAAGATTAACGGTTGAATGGGTCCATCCAAGATTTTCTGCCTGTTCCTGTGATTATTGTTATTATTATCCTTGTTCTCGTTCTCATTCTTCTCTCTCTTGATTTATTACATTCCTTTCTCCATCCCACCCATCCATTCCTGTCATATCTGCCAACTCCGTCCTGGTAAGCTATTGATCTAGTATGCACTAGCCTCCCCTCGCCGCATGCGACGTGTATACCGAGTACGCTTTTCTTTTTCCCTTCGCCCAAACTAACTCGAGCTCAGACTTTTCTTCCCTTTTAATCCATGTCTTGAGACCTATTCCATCGCACCTCAACTCCCTCACCCCCTCATATATATACCATGGCGATCCTCGACAAGGAAAATCGCCGGCTGCGAATGCCCTCGCTCTCCGCCATGAAGCTGCAGAAGAAATCAACTCCGCCGTCGCCCGAATCGCCGCCGCGCAAAGACCCTGCTCCCGTCCATCCTGTCCGCTCCGATTCCGTCCCGGTCCGGCCTCCCCGGCCACAGGAAAAGGAATTGCCGCCGAATCCCATGCTGCAGAGTACCTCCCCGCCGCCCGCCCCCTTCAGCAACCCAACGCATCCCTACAACGCCCGCCCGCTCCCTAGCTTCCCGCGCGTGCCCGTCCCCAAGCCCGCAGACCCCGTCCCCGTGCAACAGAGCACGCCCCCGCCCAGCGATGGCTCCGAACCCGAGCCCGAGCGCATGCCGGAGCCGTCAACTCGACTGGAAGATGTCGAGCAGAAACAAGCTCCGGTGAACCCGGCCCCCGCGCCGAGGTACCAGCCATATCAGCCACGCGAACAGCCCCCCGTCGCCGCCGCAGACGACGACGAGGACCCGCTGGAGGATTACATCCCAGATCCGGAGCCCGAGCTGGACGGCCCCGGCGACGCCGTCGACATCGTCTCCGCCGGCGAGGACGACACGGGGCCCTGGACGCCGCCCGATTATGAGCCGGTGGCCCCGCCGCTGAACAAGCTGCACTACGCCTGCTACCAGGAGCATCGGGCGATGCTGCCCGCGCAGAACTTGTGGTATCCGCTGCCGTGTATGGCGTGCCAGAAGTTCGACCGGGAGACGCGCTTCCGCTGTGTGTTTTGCTGTCTGCGTGTGTGTGGTGCGTGTCATGAGGGGTTGAAGAAGAGTCCGCATCGCTCGCTTGCGCGATGGATGGAGACGTTGCCCGCGCGCGAAAATGGACAGGCGTCTGCTTTTTAGTTTGGGTTTGGGTTTTGGTTATGGGTTTATATATATAGGTATGGATTGAGGTATATAGGTATCTCGGGCGTATTGTTTATCGCTTTTGTCATTTCGGCCTGTCTATGTCTACCGATGTGATGTATATACGGCTAATGCGATGACCGTGTAGATAGCATCCAGAAATGATTGCTCTAATCGTGTCGTGTAGTATACAGAAAGTACCAGACGTATGCATCGTTAATCATGATCCTCCTCAGTCACCCCAGGACACCCCTCCATCTCGTCCGTCTCGTAGCGGTACTTGCACCAGAAGCAATACCGGTGTTTCTCCCGCAGATACTGCACAATCCGCGCCAGCCGCTCCCCGGGCTCCAGCGCATTGAACTCGTCCAGCTCCGGATCCTCCTGCTCGACCTCCTGCTCGAGGATCGTCGACAGATCCGGCTTGTCTCCGCCAAGCGCCGTCTTGTCCTCCTTCTCCAGCGTGTCATCCTCATACCCCGGCAGCCGCGGGCTGGGGAAGAACGCCGTCGGCAGCGACGTCTGCAGCAGATGGCGCGTCTGGATCGCACGCTCTTTCTCCTCGCGCTCGCGCACCAGCCCCCGGTATAAGATGTTGATCTGCGACGTCGGCCTGACCTTTCCTTTCTGACCCTCCGCTCCATCCTTTGCATCTTCCGCCTCCGCCTCAGCATCCAACCGCTCCGCCACCTTCTGCGCAGCGTGGAACTGCCCCTCCGCCCGCCGCGTCTCCCGCTCCTCCCGCACCCGGTCGCGGTAATCGCCCTCCTCGCGCTGCACCTTCGCCGCCGCCGCCTCCGCCTCTTCGCGGAATTTGCGCTTCTTCTCGCTGTCCAGGCCAATGCCCCCGCGGTCTTCCTTGAACACGAGGTTTAGTGGCTCTGCTCGGCCTCGCTTCGCGTCGGGTGCCTCGCCCTCGCCCTCGCCCCCCTCGCCGCCGGCGCCGTCCCCATCGGGCGCAGGCGCCGCGCGCTTCCCCAGTGTCTGCCCCGGTTTGAACCCTAGCTTCGCCATCATCTGGAATCCCTTGTTGGATGGGTCGAGCGTGCTTTTTGCGAGGGCTTCGTCGCGGCGGGCGGCTTCGCGGGCGGCGAGTTCGGCTTTCGAGGGGACTTTGGCGCGGGCTTCTGCCTTTTGTTATGGTTAGTTTGGGATGGATTGGGTGGGGAGAGGGGGAGGGAGGGGGAGTACTTCTCGTTGTTGGCGGCGCTTCTTCTGCGCAAAGGTCTCTTTTTGTGTGGGTTCTTCGATTATCATTGACATGTAGTCTTCTTCGTCGTCGTCTTGTGGAGGCATTTTGTTGGTGTGGGGGGATTAATTAGGAGGTGTATATAGGTGATAGGATTGGGATGTGTGGTGGTGATGTTAGAAAGTTGGAGATTGGAGGTTGCGGGGGAATTCTGGTCGGATTTGGTGCGGAGATTTCCCTTCCGCCTACGCAGTACTTCTACCCAGTGAGCAACAACACGATTCCAATTATATACTACGGTGATCCTTCAGCCGGCGCTCCTGGTCATTCTTGAGGTATACTCGCGCAGTCGCGATAGCACATTGACCCCATTCCAGAGCTCCTCGTCGCCATCAATACTCTTATGCGGCATCCCCACCTGCTCAATTGCAAACGACGCCCCAACTGATCCATAACACGCCGCTTCAATCACACTCCCCGTCTCGAGATATCCAACAGCATAAGCCCCTAGAAACGCATTCCCAGCACCAGTAGGATCAACCACCTTGTCATCGCGAGACTCATAGAATGGAGGAAGCCACGTAGGGACGATCTCGCGTGTGCTTACGACACAACCACATTCGCCGGCGCGGACGATTACAGTTCCATTTCCGTCTGGACCGACGCCGCGCTGCAGGAATCGTGCGGCGAGATCTTCAATCTGACTATTGTCGACCGTAGCGGGGGCCGATTCTCCGTATAGCGCGAGTAGCTCTAGGTGATTGGGAGAGAAGACGTCGAGTAGTGGTACAGCGTCCAGACATGCTTGCAGGTTCTCGGGTTTGCATGATAGAGGTGCAGGCTCCCAGATGATCAGTGGGCGTTCGCGGATGCCTGCGTCGGCTCTTCGGGCAAGAAGCGCAGATACGCGGGCTCCGATGGTTTGGGGTGTCTCGAGGAAGTGGAAAGCTTTGGAGTGAAGAAGTGCTGTGTTTGCCAGGCTACTGTCCTCGATAGAGAGGATTGGCGTAGTGTATTTGAAGGATTTGGCTAATGATGGTCAGCCACCGTCCTTTGGTTGCTCGTAAGGGTGAAAGGGCTCCGCACGTCCGAAAGTAGTATCTTTGTATACTAGCAAGCCCCTCGTCGAGGGCTGGTTTGATTCTTTCTCAACCCTCAACGTCGTGTCCCAACTCTCCAATCGTGCTTGAATTGCCGCAGGAAAGTCATTCCCAATGTGGAGCATCCAGCCTACGTGCGAGCTGAGAGCACCAGGAAGAAACAATCGAGCACCGAGGGTGGCTGGATATCATGTCAGTCTAGTTCATTCGCAGTGACTAAGAAGCTGAGATCCCACCGTACGCTCCGGAACCACCGACAACATCGGTTAATGGTTCGCGGTGGGGAAATTGGATCTCGTCAAGGACCACGAGGCCTAGGCTTGTAAAGGAGATTCGGCGTATGTCCATGCCGACGGTCTTTGGATAAGAGTACGACTGAAGTGTATAACAAAAGACGGATCTTACTAGACTCTAATAAGGTAAGACTCGTGTTCGGCTGCTCCCGCCCGTTCTATTTAAAGCAAGCCATATTCTTCCCCTAACTATAAAGAAGCCGGCGTAAGATTCGATAATCCATAGTCAGATTCCCCTGGGTTGTATGTATCTATACAAAACATTCTTCTGGAAATGGATACATCTAAAACCCTCGATCTCGTCAACCTCGCCGAGCGCGACTTGTTCGATCCCATCCCCCAAGATACCCTCGACCAGGCCCTTACTACTCCGCCCTTCATTTCGGTGCCTGGTGCCTTCAATGTCCGTGATCTGGGAAGATTCGATGCCCCATACATTCGTCCAGGCCGGGTTTACCGGTCCGGGACGTTGGCGTACCTCACTGAGGACGGCAAGAAACAGCTACACGCCGACATGGGCGTACGGCTGATCCTTGATCTGCGCGCCGTGGGCGAGAGAGCTTCCATGCCAGCACCCGATATCCCCGGGGTGAATGTAGTTTGGATCCCCAGCGAGGGCGCGCAGCAGCCATTAGATCTCAAGGACTTTGTCGGCGAAAAAGGCGGCGAGAGGGGATACACCAAGATGTATTTGGAAATCTTGGAAGTTTACGCGCCGAGTTATCGGTATGCGTTGGAGCATATTCGCGATGAGGCGGATAGCAATAGCGGCATCTTATTCCATTGTTCGGGTATGTTTGCTCTTGCTTTTGCTCAACCTCTCGCCTCTCCTTGATGTCGCGCCCAGCTGACTCTTGCAGCTGGAAAGGACCGTACCGGCGTCCTGGCGGCGCTCCTCATGGGGCTGGCGGGTGCGCCTGATGCTGCCATCGCAGCGGAGTACTCCCTCACTCGTATTGGAATGGAGCCGCAGAAGGAACTCCTCTCCCGGATTTTCCTCAAGTCCAAGCCGGATTGGAAGGTGGGCGCACCGGGGTTCTCGGAGTTTGTGAATGTGAAAGCGTCCTACATGCTGGAGTTTCTGGACGCTCTGCGGGCGAGATATGGCAGCATCGAGGGCTATGTGACGTCTCGTCTTGGGTTGAGTGACGAGGAGGTCGACAAGATCAAGCTCGCACTGAAGGGGTAGTTGTTCCTTTGTATAACCGGACTGGAGTAACCTGCTCTTGTACAGATTAGTCTCAGCCCATTTCAAAAACATCTTGAAATTGGTGTACAAGACATACCCCTTGATTCTAGAAAGTCAGACAGTTCAGCGAAAGCCAGATCTAAGACATGTATTGCAGTGCGCAGATGCAGATGCAAAAAATTGGCTCAAAGCCCTAGAAAAGAGTCTTCAATAAGGAACCTGACATTCACTTCACCATGAATCTCTCATTTGCTTCAGTATTACCAGGATCTAAATACGCCACCGTGTAACAAAGCAACATACTCATCTAAAACCCGAGTCAACAGCCACCCCAACAATCGAGGCTAATCGATAGTCGCATGTCGATCCCGTCCCTTACTCCAAGCCTCGATCCCTTCCCCCGCCCTTAGCAGATCTCGCTATATCAAACTGCAGCCACCGACTAGTGACAATACCCCATGACTTTGTCTAGCTCCGAATCCCCTCATTACAGATCAGACGACTCAATAAATCCAGCTAGCGCATAAACACGCCGCACGCCATGCCCACCGGCCTTTGTCCCGCAGGGCACCGGCCCCCTTCCTCGCGCGGAGGTATGTGCTGCAGCATTCCCCGAAGGTCTGCGGGGCATGGATTTATAAACTGCGATGGAAAGACCGACCCAGTTGAGGCGCGTCTGAAATTATCCTCCACGCGACCTGGTGTGCACAGTCCTGCATAGACTGCCCTCAAGAAACCATCCGATGCGCGTGACACCATGCCCAACATGAAGTTACACAGCATTCTTCTGGCGCTGGTCTTCTTGTTCTCTCTGGCATGCGCACGAAATCCGGTTGTCGATCTAGGTTACGCGCGGTATAGAGGACAGACGCTCTCCAGCGGTGTCAACCAATGGCTTGGGATACGGTATGCGGCTCCTCCAGTCGGTCCGTTGCGGTTTGCTGCACCGCAGGATCCTAGGCCCATGGAGGGAATACAGTACGCGGCCAAGGTAAGCCATACACCGCGATTATCGAGAGACAGGAGATAACTTGAACCAGCATGGTCCGATATGTATCCCCACTGGCAAACATCCGATTCCCCAAGGCGCGTCGGAAGATTGTCTATTCCTTGATGTTTATGCACCTGCGCAGACGAAGAGACGTCCTAGACTTTTGCCAGTATATGTCTGGATCCAGGGTGGAGGGTACAATGAAAACTCGCAAGCAAACTACAACGGAACTGGCCTCATCCAAACATCTCACATGGATATCGTTGTGGTGACCTTTAACTACCGGGTCGGTCCGTATGGGTTCCTGTCTGGTGAAGAAGTTCTCAAAGGAGGAAGCCTGAACAACGGTCTCAAAGACCACATTAAGGTTCTGCAATGGGTCCAGAAACATATACGCAAGGTCTGTTGCCATACATCCCGATAATGCGCTGCATAATTGACCATTGGCAGTTTGGGGGTGATCCTGAGCGTGTAGTTATCGGAGGCGCCAGTGCAGGAGGTGCCTCCGTCACACTTCTTCTGTCGGCCTACGGCGGTAGGGATGACCATCTCTTCCACGGTGCCGCTGCAGAGTCGCAGAGCTTCGCCGGAATGCTCACTCTAGACGAGAGTCAATTCTTGTACAACAACCTGGTCATTCGTACCGGTTGCGCAAGCGACACCGACACACTTGCATGTTTACGTCGACTAGATACTGCAAGTCTTCAACTGCAAAACATACAGACGCCTCTCCCCAGGGCACAACAAGCGCCGCTCTACTTGTACGGCCCGACAATTGACGAAGACCTAGTTCCGGATTACACTTATCGCCTGTTCCACGAAGGAAAGTTCATCAAAGTGCCCGTCATCTTCGGTGATGCCTCAGACGAAGGTACCGTCTTCGTTCCTAAGAATACATCTACTCTTGGGGAAGCAGATACATTCATCCAGAATCAATTCCCCGAGATTGAACTACATCATTTCGCCAAAATCAACAAATGGTATTTTACGGATGACCAACTCGTACCGTACCCTAATGCCGGGCATTACTGGAAAGCAACGAGCAATGCCTACGGTGAGATGCGCTACATATGCCCCGGAATAGATATGTCGTCGATCTACGCGAAAGCCGGCGTTGCGAGCTGGAACTTCCACTATGCTGTGTTGGACCCGCAGTCGGAAGCGTCTGGTGAAGGTACCACACATACCGTCGAGAGATTTGCCATCTGGGGCCCACAGTATGTGCCGGAGAAGGCGCCAGAATCTTACTTCACCTCGAACGCACCCATTGTCCCCGTGATGCAGGGATACTGGACAAGTTTCATCAAGAGCCTTGATCCTAACCTGTACCGCTATCCCGGAAGCCCCGAGTGGAAGACATGGGGTAACGGCGATGGATACCGACGTCTGTTTATTCGCACCGGAGAGACCAGTATGGAGAGCGTCCCGGACGCCCAGAGGGAACGTTGTAAATATTTGATAAGCATTGGACCGGAACTTGGACAATGAGGTGCTTCTCTTTACCGGGTCCTTTATATATATACTCAGCAAAAGCGACAATCCATGTAGATATGGAGGCCCTTGCCATCCGCTGGTTGGCTTAGATTTTCCACATCTCCCAGGGGCTTTTATATAGGTAACCACTAAGTATTCTCGGTATCAAACTCGCCTCGAAAAGACTTAGGTAAGGCTTATCTCAACACATCCTCTTCGGGACTTGTTGATTCACGTTAGTGCTAAAGTGAGCAGGCGGAGATATCGCGTTCTTATTGGCGTGAGACGTGCTCAGCCACGGCGCATCGCCCTAACAGACCGATATGCGCCAGGGCAAAAGCAATGTTCGCACACCTTTAAGGAGCCTTGTGAGCCTCACAGAATTCCTCGGACTTGGGATCGAACCTTCCCTTGCTTTGACCTGTATCTCATCAGACAATAATCCGCCGCCGAGCCAGAGATGGACCCATTAACAGCAATCAGTCTCGCGTCGAATATCGTATCCTTTGTGGATTTCGGAGCGAAGGTGCTCAGCACCGCGTGGGAGATTTACAATTCGACATCCGGCGACACCTCCAGCAACCGCAGCCGTGAATCTGTTGCGCGTCAAATGGAGATCTTTGCCGGGGCTCTTTTGGTCCCGGATACATCCAGTGGCAAAGACAAGGCTCTGTGCGTCCTCGCGCAGGAGTGCAGAGATTTGGCAAAACAGATCCTGAGCCTTTTGCAGAAAAGCAGACCCAAGGATCCAAAATCGAAACGGCAAGTCGCCTGGAGCACATTGAAGTCTTTGAAATACGACAAGGAAAGACTTGAACTGCAGGAGAGGCTGGATAATTGCCGCGATCAACTGGCCTTGCAACTCAACGAAAGATACTGGTGAGGCTGTCAACGCACAAGTACGAGGGCTTTTCTGGAGACTTTGACTAACTTAAACAGCTCTGAGACCAGAAGAAACCTGGAAACGTTGATGTCAACATCCCAAGTCGACAGTCACAGAGTGGTGCAGCTACAACAACAGGTGGAAGATCTTCGCCAAACTCTGGAAATCACACTCTCTCGGGACAGCCGAGACCATATCCAACATCTGCTGAATCTTTCGGAAGACACATTCCACGCGTTGATCAATCAGTATCTGATTGAAAGCCTGGCATTTCACGACATGTACGGAAGATTCGATACAATAGCAAAGGCGCATTACGACACGTTCAAATGGATCTTCTACGGCGACACTAATTCCGACGGCTCAGCCGACAACGCAGACGATATCACCCGGTCTATCATGGAGTATTCCTATGATGAGCGACAGGATGCATATCGGGATAGTGCTCGGGACTCTTTCTTATCATGGCTGTCATCCGATTATGGTATTTTCCACATCTGTGGCAAATTGGGATCCGGAAAGTCAACTCTGATGAAGTTCCTCTGTGAGGATGCTCGCACGAAGGAAGTGCTTAAGCAATGGGCAGGTGATCGAACACTGGTAATGGCACAATTTTTCTTCTGGAAACCAGGATCAAAGATGCAAAAGTCAATGGATGGCCTTTTGCGTGCTCTCCTCTACGAGACGCTGAAGTCATCACCGGCGCTGGCGCCGACAATCCTGCCTGAACAATGGAACGCAATATCCTCAACACCCTGGCAAATGCATACGAAGCTCGAGCTCCGTCCAGAAACGATTTGTGAAGCTTTTTGCCGGTTGATTGACTCTCACACAGAGGACCTTGCAATTTGTTTCTTCATAGACGGCCTTGACGAATATGAGCAGACGCTCCAAGAGGACCATCTTACTATGATTGAAAGGCTCGATAGCTGGTGTGGAGGGACAGATAAAAACGTCAAGATCTGTGTTTCCAGTCGAGAATATAATGTTTTTATGAATCACCTACCCAGCCGGCGCCGCATTCGCATGCAAGATCTGACCGACAAGGACATCAGACTCTATATCCAGGACAAGACCGACTTCGCAGAGAGCCCAGAACAGGCCCAATACCTGGTTGAGACTATTGCTGCCAAAGCCGACGGTATCTTCCTCTGGGTCGCACTAGTTGTCACACGCGCACGCGAACTTCACGAAAATAGCGTCGGCTTCGGAGGAATCTTGGACGAGGTTGACAGAGTTCCACGTGGTCTGGAGGAGCTTTTTAAGCATATCCTGGAATCGTTGGAGCCATCTGATCGGATGCGAGCTTATCAAACCTTTGCGATGATGATGAGGCTGCATCGAAAGGACATCCACTTTCCTCTTTTGGCCTATGCTTTCATCGATGACTATGACAAACAGTCACAAGCGGTTGACGCACCACTGCCCGCTTCAAGCCGAAAACCAGAGTCAATCAATGACCTCAAGACCCAAGCAGTCAAAAAGCTGAGGGGTTATTGCAAAGGACTAGTGGAAAATGCAACTACAGACCCGGCTCGTCCTGAGATCTGGGAGTGGGAGATTTTGCAATTCTGCCATCGATCTGTCTCAGAATTTCTGGGTTCACATATGCTCGGTGATAGAGCGCAATATATGCGGTCGTTCAAGGAAGAGGATGCTATCTCGTGGCTCCTGCTAGCCTATATTCGAAAGCATTCCGTAAACGGCCCCCGTGACCGCGGATGGCTGGCTCGTCTTTCGTACATAATATTGAAGCTGAGACACGACGCCAACTTGGTGAATGAGCCCTTTGATTTTGAAGAACAACTCGAAACCGCTTTGGCTCGTCAGGGGATAGGGGTGCCTGAAAACGGATACAAGGCGCTTCACCTCCAATCCGGCCATGAATCAATGACGATAATCATGACTCTCCATATTGGAGATGGCCACCAAGTGCATTCTCTGGCAACTCCCTATCTTATCTCCTGCTATCTTGGGCATTCAGCTTACCTGCGATGGAAGCTGGACCGAAGCGCTGCGATCACTGATAGTCCAGCAAGAAAGACGCTTATATTCTTCACTATAAACAATTTCCCGGCTCTCTCAGATGCAGAGCGAAAATGGATTTTCCAAGCCTTATTAAATCGTGGCTTCTCTCCACATACAGTAACGACAACAGGCGCAGACTCAGACATGACAAGAACACGACCTACTGTCTGGGAGCAATTTGTAGCCTATATATTTCTCCGTTCTGTCGAGCATAAAGTGAACATGAGGCTCACCCATAAACTCTATCCGCTGGTAAGAGGCTATGATAAAAACCAGAAAGTGAAAGAGAAACAGATCGCCAGTACATTCTTGCGATTGTTCTTGGAGTCCGGGGCTGATGCGTCTATCGCGATTTTCATACCAAGGGAAGCAGTGTATGCTACATTGCTTCGAGGGAAAGAGAGACACCGACTGCAGATTCCAGAATACATTCTCAACGACATTAAGATTCCATTCTTTCGGCGGAACACACCCTTCAGCTTCTGTTGGGAAGACGGCAGCCTAAGGAAACTCAGCGATATCATCGAGTTTGTGGGATTCGAAGACAACAAGATTCTGATTCACTTGGTGAGATGGAAAATACTTTCTGGCTTTTTCAGAAGCCTCCCAGCTGTATATCTATTAGGTGAGTGGGACCGAATGATGTGAGACGAGCCTACTGACACCTGTAGGCCTTCTTTCTGCTGTGCTTCTTGTGAAAATGTTATTCATGTCTGGATAGACGCCTTGTATACTCCTTTTTATGCCATGTTGGTCGGAATTCACTCAAGGGGTTAGCGGGCTTACGTATGATGTCAGTGCCAGGAAGAAAAGGCCGGAAACAAGAATCTACAAGCTTCATATGTAGAACTTGATTGCTTCGAATGTGGTAACGTTGGCGCTATGCGTGGAAGGTCGACGTCGTGATGAGCTCCATAGTTCTAACGACTTACATCAATACCTTTGATTACTGGAACTTGGAGTCAGTTAGTCTAGAACACCACATCCTAGGCGGTAATCCTCGCTCATTGCGTTGGTGTGGATGGACGAGGAAATAGAGGCCTGTGTCGCTCAGCACAGAGTAGTACCAGGGGAGTCTAATTAGACCATACTAGAACCCGGCCCGCAAATTATAGCTTTCTCTTAAGCGCCTAGCTAGCGATTATTTCACGCACCGTTGCCAGACCCAACTCTCAATGTGCGACCAATAGCTCTGAGTTCTTAAGCGCTTTCCAACCGGCTTGAGAAAGACCGGCTTCTGGCCCCCAAACAACCAAATTGATCCCAGTTGAAAGTCCTGCACATGGTTGGTAATCTTGCCCCTGAACATGTATATATATGCCTTATCCGAAATAAGTGACACGCTCTTCTTTCACTTGTCACTTCCCCCGTTCTTGGTGTGCCCTACGCTACCACAAATTACTCTTACCTTATGGACGGAATTGAAGTGGTGCATCCCCAACAGAGAGCCCAAGTTGATGATCCAGGTATACAAGTCGCCCCGTATTCAGAGAAACAAGTCCGCCAAAATTACGACCCAATCTACGTTTCCGGCCCAGACAGATCGAATGGAGAAGAGGAAGAAGACCTGAAACGCCCAAATAAGGCAATCTGCGGGTTGAAACCGACTGTTTTCTGGACCCTGTTGGTTATCGCGCTCCTGGTGGTCATTGGGGCCGCGGTGGGTGGAGGAATAGGAGAGACACTTGCAAATCGCCATGCTTCGGAGCCGTCACTGCCCACCAGGTATTTTCATGTCCTTCTGGAAAGAAGGAAGGCTGGATCGTAGCTAATATCATCGATCTATCCCCCAGCTCCTCTTCCGCACAGTCAACATCTGCCGAGGCCGCAACGACCCACGCTGCGTCTACCACCAGTTCGGCCCCCGTCACTTCCGGTACAACGGGCATAGCCGCGAATCCCTGCCCGGGAAAGAACTTGACGACGGTCACAGGCTCTGACGGCTCAATATTCACTCTTCTGTGTGCTGTTGACTGGCCGAGAGGAGAAGCAGCTTCATCGGGCAACGGAACAGTCGAAGATTTGACGCGGACCACTCGCTATACGCTACAGTCTTGCATTGCAGACTGTGTCGACTGGAACAAGCATAGGTCCGACGATTCTGCATGCAAAGGAATCATTTATACTGCCAACTTGACCGCCGCATACGATGGTGGACAGGATGGGAACTGTTTCCTAAAGAATACCGTTGGAGTCTATTATCCGAACAGCAATACTTCCATGGCTGCCGGGATGTTGGGAGGGTAAAACGCGTTCTGATGATGCAAAACCTGCATGTCAATAGTAGGAAATGTCAAAAATCTACATTAATCAAGATGAGAGGAGTCGTTTGCAGCCCATGAACACCCTGAACTACAATGCACGCAACTCAGTATGATTATGCTTGCCTTGTGATTGGGATATTGGATCGTTATCGAACCACGTACGGGCGTACTCGACTGGTACTGGGCAGGCTATCAGCCGGCTTTGAGTAATCTCTACGCAATGGGATTGGACCCCATAGCAGTAGGTATAGGTGTATGTGGTATATCGGATAGACATTCTTTGGCAACTTTTGCTGTCAAGTATTAACTTGGATCGAAATGCATATATACATCTAATAAGCATTGCATGGAGCCCATGCCCAAGAACCACATCAGAACACCCTTCAGACCCAATACGAAAGCATACCAACGTGCCAACCGACATCTCACCGCTTGCCCTGACGCATCCGCTTCTCCTTCTCGTACGCATTGGCCTCGCGGCCCTCCTGGTTCTGCACCTCTGCCACAAGCCGCTTGTACTTGCGCTCGTACTCGGCATCGCGCTCCTTCTTCTCGCGCAGCTGCTCGCGCGCGATGAAGTTGGCGTCCTTGCGCAGCTCGCGCATGGCGCCCTTGCGCTCGCGCTTGAGCTCCGTCTTGAGCCGGTTGGCCTCGGCGCGCTCGCGGTTGGGATCGTAGTGCTTGTCTGGGTTGAACGACTCCTCGAACTTGGGGATGGCGCTCTTGATCGCCAAGGGCCGGTGGTTGTGCAGGAGGAGCGGCCGACGAGTCTTCCGCGCGTTTGAGAGGTGCTGGTCAATCTTGTCCAGCGTCGATTGGATGCTGTCCGTCACCGTGGAGGACACCTTGCCCTCGCAGGACTGGAGCAAGTGGCGGAGGACGTTCTGCGCCGGCTCGAAGATCTCCGTGAACGCCGACTTATCGGCCCACAGATCCGAGGCGGTGTCGAGCAGATTGACCATGGTCGTGACAAGGGAGAGCTTGAGCTCTGCTGCTTCAGCGTTTGATGCGGGCCCAGCCACGTCCCAGAAGCGGAGCTTGCGCGGGGAAAGTTTCTTCGAGGGCTGGAGTCTTAGGGGATCCTGCGGTGTGCGGGAAGGGAAAAGGCCGAGACTGGACTTGAGTTTGACGGGGGCGAGGTTGCACAAAGCGTTGAGGATGTAGTTCATGAACTCGGGCATGTAGCGCTTCGACATTGTCTGGTACTGCAGGAACAGGCTTGCGGCGTACACTCCGGTGGCAAAGTCGGCCAGAGTGTTGATCGCGCCTTGGCCGAGGTATCGGGCAATGCACAGGTGGGCGGGAGTGGCAATGGCATGGAAGTGGTCGGAGGTTGGGAAAATAGCCGCAACCCCCGTCAGGATCACCAGGTCGCTGGGGCGAAGGGCGAGAGGACGCTCACGCGCCATCTCGCGCAGGTGGGCGCGGAAGGCCTGCGAGACACTCTCTGGGTGAGTCTTGGCCAGGGAGTGGATGTGACGGAGAGTGTTCTCAACGATGGCGAAGGGTGGATGTTCCGGTTGTTCGGTCATGTATACGACATGCTTCACGAGGATAGCAGCAAACCGGCCGAGCTTCGTCTTGTTGTCGGCGTGAAGTCGAGGGTGGTGCAGAGCTCGGATTCTTTGGATGACGGTGGGGAGATCCTGCATTGGGACGCCGTCGATGATCTGGAGGAACTCGTCATGGCTGCCAGGACAAGGGTATGTGTATGCTAGCTCTTCGTTGCCTCCATCTGCATTGTCGGCGGCCGCTGAAGCCTCGCCATCCTTGCCGGCAGGAAGCGTAAGGCCGTTGATGAGCTCGTCTTCTTCTTCTTGCTCTTCCTCCTCCGACTCTTCTTCTTCAGACATGACAATATCGCTCTCATCAATCGACAAGCTAACGTCGGACCGGGTCTCAACGAGGTCATCGTCGATAATGAAATCGTCTTCGTCTTCCACTCCAAGTTCCGGACGGTTGGCGTCCTGATCAGCGGCTTGTTGCAGTCCGAAAGCCCTCGCATCGTCCGGAATCGATTCGTCTTCGGACATCTCACTGGCTTCATCCTCCCCACTTTCTTCTTCTTCCTCCTCGCTGAGCTCTTCGCCCCGCATTCTTCGGAGACGCTCTTCCTCAAGCTTCTTCAGCCGCTGTGCTTCTTCTTCCGCTTTCTCTTCGGCCGTCTTCGTACGATCAGTTGGTGCTGACCGCTTATCGAATGTTAACTGTTTCAGACGCTGGTCGTATTCCTTTTCTTGATCGTCCCTCGACTTCCCTTCCAACAGCGCAGCACGGTCCGGGTTCATGGATGCCAGGTCGTCTTTGGGAGGCTCAGGTTTCGGCGGAGGCTTGACGCCTCGCAGCATATCGAAGAGGTCGGGAAGACCTTTGTCGAGCTCTTCACGCAGTTCATCATCGTCTTCCTTGGCCTTTTGCCGCTCATACTTGTAGAATTTCGACTTGGCAATGACTTCCTTCATGACCTCATGCTTTGATTTTTTCCGCTCGGGCTCATCCTCGCCCTCGGGACCATCGTTCTCCTCTAACTCGCCATCGTCTTCGCCATCGAAACGCTTTCTCTTCCGAAGGAACTCAGAGTCCGACATGTCATCCTCTTCGGCATCGCCCAAGTCGCGTTCTTCAAAGTCATCCTGGGGCATGCCGTCGCCAAAAGACAAAGTCTGACCTTTATGGGTGAGTTGGAACTCTTCGTCATCGTCGTCATCTTCGAGGTTGAACATCGAGTCCTTGCGCATCTTCCGTTGGCTTTCTCTGGCAAAACGCTCGGCGGCTTTCTCCTCGGGGGTCATGTTCGGGTCGTCTTCTCCGAAACGGCGATCGTGAATTCCGCCGACTTTGTTGCGCATGTGCAGCTCTCGCAAAAGCGTTTGACGTCGCTGGCGGCCATTGTAAGTTTTAAGCCCATACAAACACTGCGACTGGACTTACCTTCTCTTCTCCAAGCGACTTGGTAACACCAGGCCGGGCCCGCACAGTTGCTTCTTTTCCGGCGTCCCTGGTCGTCACGTCGAACTTGCGTTTCGTCGCGGTTGTCTTGATCTCGAAGGGATTGAACCGGTCCCGAATAGCTTGCAGAGCGGCATTGCGCTGGTTCCGATTTTGCGCCGCAGCACCAGTCTTCGCATTCTGACGCTTCTGCTTTTTCGATTGTTGAGGACCCAGGACCCCACTCTCACGGAGAGAGGCCTTGAGCTGCTTCAACTGCGACGGCGGCATTGTGGTGCTGAAACGTCGATGCAAGAGCGCGCTGGTTCTCCACCGAAATTTTTGGATGAGCGGCGGCTTTTGATCGTCGCCGAAAAAATTATGTGCTCACCGCCTTTGTCGGCGGGATTCTGCCGGACCGATGTCCGTCATCGTGACGCTCCACTTTCACCACTCCATCATGAACGACACGCTTGGACGGCTTGAATATGGCCTCTCATTTGAACGATCGGCTACTATGGCTGTGTCTGGGTATGTATATTACCTCTTACGCGCAACGGATCTAACGATCATAGGCGTTTCGCTCTTCTTCGCCGTCCGCGGCATCACCTCAGATCTGCGGAGGGTGTCCGATCTGACGGAGATCAAGCATGTCGAAAAGGAAGATAAGATGATCAGTGAGGGCACAGAAGACGGTTGGTGGATTAGCCCGTACTGTGATCTTCCATGCTAATCGTGCCCTAGCTCTCAATCTCGACACATTGCTAAAGCTCTCCGAAAGTACGAGTTACGATCTCCGAGCAGCGTACGCCGACCATGAAGTAATTGGGCATTGTGACAGTAACTGACAGTGACCAGTGCCCTTCGGATTATATCCGAACGATCTACGAAAGGCGAAACAAGGGATCTCCTCCTGCAAGACCTAGCGAGCAAGGACAAGGAACGGCGAGGTAGAGCGCTCAATGCGATATACTTCCTTGTATCCAATCGAGCCTGTACGAACCAACACAACTAATTCCCATTGCCATTGATGATGCTGATTGATCTCATATAGTGGCCCGAACGTCCGTGTGTTCCCGATTGAAAGACCTCCCAACATTCAACGCTCTAGTCGATTGCCTCTGCAACTTCCTCGAAGAACACGTCGAAGAGACCTCCACCACAGTATCTCCTATCCTCCCAAAGACCAGGCCGCTGGGTGAGAAGAAGGCGCTAGGGGCTCTCAACATCATCCTCCAAGAGAATATCCCAGCGGCGTTGGAGGCAGGTGTCATCAGTCGCTGGCTCTCGAGATACCCATTTCCCTGCGCGCTCGCGACACCCTCACGTCGGCAAGACGTGGTCATTCTCATGAAAACGTGGTGGTCTGACGATGCGGTGATGAGCTCGATTTTCAGCACGCTCTCTTCTCACCCAGAGGGCACAAAACAGCTACGGAAATACGGTCTCATGGGCAGCATGATCGAAGAAAACGACCAAGATGAGGAGGAGGCTGAGGGGGATAGCGATGTGTGGATGGCAGATGGGGATGATACGGCCGGATCAAGACCAGCTTCTGGGCGACGGTTTCGCGGAACCGCGGAGGAGCAGGCTGTAAGAAGACGAAGAAGGGAAGCTATGGTTTTGACCGATGGAGGGAGACCTTTCGCAAGGGACGACATCATCCAGCTACCCGAATATCCGAGTGATTGATCGCAAGTTCTTGCTTCAGTTCCAAGGGTCTCTGGGTTCGGTTGGCGGTGCATTACAGTCTGTTTAATATGTTTATGATACCCATGATTAGATATTGCATCTTATATGACCAAGATAGTGATGATATACAACATTCATAGTCCCATCCATGCCGTCTTAGCAACATGGTCGGTCTTCTTGCGACTGTTCTTGACCACTCCAAGAACCTTCAACTCAGAAATGGCTCTGTAAAACAACGTCATGATCACACGTTCATCACAGTCACCACCCTGATCACTTTCGAACACCGCGTAGAATGCCTGCCAAAGATCGTATATATTAACAAGGGAGCCAGATTCAAGATATAGCTGATATAATATGGCCGTGGCGGGTTGTTTTGCAGAGATCTTGGTGTTCGCCGTCTCCGCGTCTGATATCAGGTAATCGAATGGACTCGACAAAGCTCGCTCAATGGCAAATCGAGGCCGGGGGGCGAAAACTTCCTTCAAAGGATTCTTCATGTCAATAAGGAAGGCTTCGTGGAGGAACAAGTCTTGCGGCCGAAGCAAAACGTCCGTAAGGGAGGCCTCTGTCAAGGAGTAGAAACGGTCCACGATCTTTGTGTATTCAATGTCTGGTTCGGACAGCTTGGCCTTGCCCTTATTGAGTTTGACACGTTGTTGGACGACTGTTGTTGACACAACGGAGTTGTGGCTGTCATATTCGCTCCGGAAAGGTTGTGCGTCGGGATATGTCTGCACGAGGGTTTCAAGGTCTCGCTTTAATTCTTGAAACTCAGACGGTTCCATCAAAATATCCGGAAGAATAGCAAAAATTTGCTGTAGCGTGGTAGAATCAAGCGTTTTGAAAGCCCGTAGGATATCTTCAAGGTACGACGAGTTCTGGAGCTCTCCTGCCAGTGCGCGGACAGACAGGTCCGAAATACTCGCCCGTTTGGTGAGGTTAAGCTCCTTGAGGCACGCATGGACAAACGTCACCGCTTGGAAAATCTCGCGCATCCTCTGCTGTCCGTATTCAAGATGCTGAAGGCTTTGTTGCAAAAGGCATTTGTCGTCCTCCAACAAGTTGCGCACCTGTTCAGCGCAGCCTTCATCAAGTAGATTCTCACAATGCCTAACATGTTAGCTGAGAACAACCGAAATGAGGAGTGTCCTTACCTTCTGAAAGAGGGAACGTTTCGAACGGCCTCACAGAAGCGAGTAGACGGCAGATCAGAAGGCTCCTGGTTGGCAAGGAGCACTGCTAATGGATTCGTAAAGAAATGTGTCATATACGCATACTACTTCGGTTAGATATGGCCGGTAAGAAACTGGAATGCATATATACCTTTACAGTTCGACTGAACGCCTCCGGGGTCTGGAAGTAGTCACTGGACCTCTCAAACAAAACGGCGGTGATATTTCGTCCTAGCCAGAAACGCCCGTCGGATCCCGCCTGCAGCCGTTCGTAGATGCGGTCGACGCAGTTACTCGCTTCGTGAATCTCAAAGTACCGTCCTCTGAGTAGGGCAACGACTGAGCGTGGCAGTCTTCCTTCAAAAAGTTCAACGGATGTCGAAATACCGAATAGCAGGGTGATAGGAATGCGGTCGAGCCACGAGCTATAAAGTTAGCTTTTAGCCATGGGCAGCCGAGGCTCAACCTACCTCAACAAGGACAGCAAGTCTGTCAGGATACTTGGATCAAAAGCTTCGCTGTCTCGGAGCGCAATCACTAGCTTCTTGACCCCCTTTCTTTTCACATAGTCTCCCAGCAGATCAAGGTCGTATCCGAGAAGTCTCGGACCCTAGCAAATCAGTGATTGTTTGCGACTCTTTTTTATTGAAAAAAACTTACATCTCGGTCCGTAAGGAACCTATGGTATCCTTCATTCCCCTCCGTGTTTGTAATTGCACCTCGAATGATATTCTTCAATGTTGTCTTGAGATTCGGCGCATCGCCCGATTCCAGCGCGACAACTCCCCCTTCCCCAGTTGTGGTCAGTTGTTCATTGAGTCGAGTTAAGAGTCTGCCAAGGGACGAGACGTTGGATCCGACTGTTATTAATGCGGTGGGAATGCAGCCATCGTATCTGCCTGGGATCAGACGTGTGTGTTGCATATTCGCGAAGGGCTAGCTCACGTTTGGGGAGAGCACGATGTGATGAAAGACGACACATTTTCAAGCACATCGAAATCAACATCTTCAAGAATAGACTACCCAGCAATCAGCATTGTGAAAACCCGGTATATGAGCTGAGCTTGCATTACCTGGATCTTTTCTTCCTGCGCAGCCCACAACTCTTGGTAGGCCTTGTACCTCAACTGCACAGACGCTTCGGACTCGTCGCCATTCAGGAGCGGAACAAACAGGCGGGACTCGCTATCGACTTCATCATCCGGCTGCACCTTGCGTCGTTTCGAGGGCCGTTCGCCCTGGGCTTTGGAAGGTCGATAGATGTAGACGCCCTTGAATATGTTAGCATAAATAAACCGTTAAGACGCTCAATTCCTTGTCGCAAGGACATACTTGGGTGTTAGAGCCATATTTGGCGCCAGAATGCGTCTCCGTCTCCAGATGTTCCGCATCCATTGTGCGCAATTGCGAACGCCGCGAGGATACTCAGCGATGGCAAGCTGATGCTTTGAGGCCGCAGGAAATCCGCGGCGGAGCTCGCGTCGGCGCTAAACCGGATCGGGTGGTATTGGTTTTCCGCCGCGGAGCTTCATGACGATTATTTCGCCGCAACCTCAACTCACCCTTCGCACGCGACTCCCTCCCCCCTCGTCTCTCGTCCGATGTTTCAATAGATCACACTTCATGCTCCGCCAGACTGTCAAAGGAGCGCGGTGGTACCAACATGTGGCCTGCAGATGCTCGTCCACGCCGTCTCCTGCGCCGCCGCGCACCTTCTCCGTCCTAGCGCCACGCTCGATTCAATATGGCGGCCCCAATGATAAGGTCCGATTCTACGAACAGGATACCCGCGGGAGCAAGAAAAGGAGACGGATCGATCCAGAAGCCGAGGACAAGGCGGACAAGAAGGACGTGGAGAGCGAGCTGTCCAGGCTGGAAAAAGATCTACAATTGTTGAAAGAAGGCCCCTACAGCCCGAACAGCCCTTTCATCCAGGAACTGCCCGAAAAGGAGAGAGCGATTGCGCTGGAAGCATTAAGGAAATACGAAGCAGAACATGGGAAGTCGGAGCCGGACGTTGGTCTCGAAGAGGTGTTCGATGATGAGCTGGACGAAATGCTGCGAGAAGAGTTTGAGGGCCTCGCGATGGAAGAGGAAAACTGGCAGTCATCGGGAAAAGGCGAACCGAAGAAGCCTGTGGTGGTTCGACAGCCATTCGAAGTGGTACCTCAAAGCGCGGAAAACCAGGCCTATGTTGAGAAGTTCAACGACTGTCTAAAGCGGCTCGCGAAAGATGCTTCTGACGAACGACTGGCGCAAGAAGTGTGGAAATGGTACCGTCGCTGTAAACAGGTTGTGCCAGAGTTTCTGCAATCCATTCCCGACGAAGCCATGGGGTTGCTGTGGAAATCCCAAGCACGCGGGGGCGCCTTAACCTCGCGAGTCCCCCATATACAGATCATCGCAGAAGACGCTATGTCTGTCGGCAAATCCCTACCAACTCGGCATCTACTCTCCTACATCGATTCTCTCCACCACTCCGGTAAGACGAAAGAGGCCCTAGACCAGTGGGAAGCGCACCAGACAGGGCTTTCGCAGAAGAAGGACGATCTTGAAGCATACTGGAGACTGGGAGTGAGACTTTTCGCAGCAGAGAATGACCCCCAGCGAGCACAAGATATTGCGCTGGCTTTTTTGGCAAACGACAAGTCGCGTCAGCCTCGAATTCTCATCCCCGTTATCACAGCCTGGGGCAGACAGCCCGGAAAGGAAGCAGAGGTGAAGGCGTGGGCGCTATATCTACAGCTGAAAACCTTCCTCCAGCACAACATGACGATGGAGGATTACGACAACATCAGCATCAATCTACTAAAGTCCGGCCGGCCTAGCCTGGCTATCGCGGTGTTCAAAGATATGATGGTCACCGGGCAGGACCCGTCGAACGATTCGACCTCGCTCTACAAGAACGCCGTGGGCCTAGCGGGCAATCTCCAAGCGTCCAGTATTTCCGAGCGTGATGTGAACAAGATCTCGCTCGCCACGCTGACGGTCCTACCTCGCCGGTTCCAGAACCGGTTCTTCTACGCCAGTTGGATGAAGAAGCTGATCGGAATGGGCGAGGTTGACTCTGCCGCAACGGTCATCGAGTTGATGTACGAGCGAGGTGTCAAGCCAGACCCCAAGCACCTGAACGGCCTCATCGCCGCCTGGCTCCGCGAAGGCAGCCCCTCCGCGCGGATCAAGGCCGAGCAGCTCGGATGGGCGATGGTGCAGCAGCGCATCGACGCGATTTGGGCGCGCGCCAATTCTCAGGAGAAGCCTCCGCAGCTGCGGGTCAACCAAGACACAGAGGACGTGCGCATGCCAAAGTTCATGCAACGGACTATCCCACCGGGCAACATCGAAACCTTCTCCATCCTCCTCCTCCACTACACCCGGCGCAGCGACGACGGCATGATCAAGTACCTGGTCAAATGCCTCGGCGATGCGCGCATCCAGCCAAACTCCTACTTCATGAACCACCTCCTGTACGCCGAGCTAAGAAAACAGGACATCGCCTCCCTTTGGAACAAATTCCAAACCATGTCTACCTCCATCCAACCCGACCTCGAGACCTACGCCTGTCTCTGGGACTGCGGAAAACTGCAGTACGACCGCGGCCGCACGGCCTTCGTCGCTGGCTTCCCGTCCGCTCGCGAGCTCTACGCAGACATGATGCGCTGGTACGCCCAGCTCCCGGCGCGCGGGAAGGCCCTGGCGCAGGAAGAATTCTCCAAGGAACTCTACGACCAGATCATCCGCTGCTTCTGTCTGTCCAAAGACCTCCCGGGCACGCTGGTCGCGCTGTTCTCCCTGCGCGCGATCTTCAACTTCCACCCGGACGAAGTGACAGCCCGGTTGATCGTTTTGCAGGTCGCCCGACTAGCCGGTGTCCCCGCCGGCACGCCGAAGCGTCGTCTGCGACGGCTCTCGACCACCCCCAAGAGCAAGGAGAACATCGCCCACGTAAACAGACTCGTCGAGATCCTGAGCGAGCGCAAGATCGCGGCCCTGCAAGCGCGCGCTCTCAGCCTCGACACTCTCGAGCCACAGGAACGGGAACAATACCAGCTCGAGATCATGACGGACCTCCTCCGCATCATCATGGGCCGGACGGCCACCGATCCAGCCCAAGTGGAGGACCAGATTGCGGCTGCTGCGTCGGCGATGGGCGTCGCGGGGATCGACCTGGGATCGTCACTGGAAGACGATAACCTACTGCCGTAGATACTGGCATTATGTACACTATGGATGGCGTGAGCATATAGAACGGCGTTTGGGATATGTATATACCACTACACACACCTCCGTTATAATCAACTCCCACTTCAACTACAGAGACACGTATGAAAATCCATAACCTTCCCATGCATACAGAGCTAAGAGAAATAAAATAAAAAAATACCATATCTACCCCAATGCAACCGCCTATTTCTTCCCCTTCTTCTTCTTCTTCGACCCCGTCCCCGCACCACCCTGCTCATCCGCCTCTACCAACACCGCATCATCATCGCTCCCAGTGACAAACGACGGCGCAGCCGACGACTCGGGCGTCTTGACCGCAGGCGTCGACGACCCCGTCGTCGGGGTAGCGGCGGCGCCCTCAGCGGCGTCCGATTTCTTCGCGGACCCCTGCTCCTCCTCATCCAACTCCTTCATAAAGCCCTCCTGGATGCTGGCCTTCTTCTTCTCCCACCACTCCTTCTCCTCGGCAACCTTGGCCTGGTGGAACTCCATGCGCTCGCGGTAGATCACGTTGTTCATCATCTCGTTGGCGGACTGGAAGATCGTCTGGCCCCAGTTCGGGACGTATGCGTTTGCCTGTCGCCACTCATCAGCACCCTGAACACTCTCACCCACATATTCAAGATAAGAAAGGTAGACAAACCTCAGCAACAACATCCCTCACCTCGTCCTCCATCTCCTTCTCCGCGCGCAGAAACCGCTGCCACAGGTCGTCGCCGACGCTGCCGCGCTGCAGCAACATCGCCAGCGCCTGCTTCTGGCTCCGCAGCGTCATCACCCGCTTGATGTCCTCTGTGGCGCGGCGCAGCAGCGCCGCCTTGAGCACCGACTCCGGCACCGCGGGGGGCTTTTTCTCCTTGCCCGAGGTCGAGGTCGGCGCGGGCGGGTCCAGGTGCAGCAGGGAGAAGTAGATGTCGCGTTGGAGGTGGGCGGGGAACCAGGGTTCGAGGGAGGAGGCGTTTTCTGCGTGGATTAGTTTCCTTTATTGGTATGGGTTAGAAGGAATATGGACGTACGGGCTTTGCGCTTGCGGTATAGCGAGGAAAATGTCGCCAGGGAGCCGATCAGGACGCCCAGGTAGGCGAACGGCACCATCAGATTCAGCCAGTTCACCATCTTGGCGGTTGTGTTGCGGTGGACTCAGTGTGAGGAATGTCGGGTCGGCGGAGGTGAGGTGTTCAGACTGGGGTCATAATCGTGTAGGGTCTGAATGGACGGATAGTGGTACGAATGAAGAAATACTCCGTCTGCGACCCTAGAATTGGAGTTGTCCGGGAATTGAGAGTGAGGGGAGGTGAGTGGGAGAAGAAGGTGTGCTGTTATTGTTCATCGCAGGGAGTTTGCTTTGCCTTGTTCGGGAAAGGCCAGGCTGGTGTCTTGGCCGCGTCACATGCTCTCTCTGCCCTACTTTACTTCCTCCTACTTCTACTACTCCGTACTACTCTGTATACAAGCAGTCCATGCAGCACCATCAATGTCTATCTACATGATCTAGTAAATTCCACTCTCGATAAATACATGTATGACGCTACATAAATCAGATCGCCAACCCAGAAATTCAGAACAGAAACTACAAAAAGACGTGGGCTATGCCTTCAAATCCATATAGCCATTCCGGTGGATAATAAACAAGAAAGGAAATCCGCATCGACGTAGGTATAAGGGTGGGAGATCTAAAAACAAGAGAGGGGGAGTATGTATACCATCAACTTCATTACACAAGTCCAGAGAAGAAATCCATCCAAGACAACGAGTTTACATCTGGAAGCTGGCTCCGCCCAGTTGCTCTCTCGTCTTCTGGCTGATGGGTCCGATCTCTTGCATCGCCTGCATATCCTCCAGGACTTCGTTGAAGGTCTCCTGAATGCCAGCGGCGACCTTGCTGCGGTTCCACTCGCCACGTGTATGCCAGAGATAGTCCATGAGGTTGGTGTTGATCTGCTCGAGCTGCTCCACGGAGCAGCCGCTTGTCCGTTGCGTGAGCTGTTCATGCAAATTCTGAACATAATCATGGTCGATGATGAGTTTGGGTGGGAGATCTTCATTGTTCAACAGCGACTGGAGATTGGCTGGCACGTGCGAGGCTTGCCGAGAATCGTCAAACAGCGGCACAGGAGGTTGCGTCTTCGGTTGCGATTGACCAACATCCGGCGCATTGCTATCGGGATTGGAATCTGCGTTCCCAGTCAGCGACTCCCGCGGCCGCGGTGAAGGTTGGCTGCTACCTTCCTGCTGGGTGTCGGGAAGATGGGAATCTTCCTGCGACACCCGATCCGGGTACTGGGTAAGATCGGGGAAATCGTGCCTCATGCCGGGGCCGGCCACAGGGCTCTGCGTGTGGTTCTGGGGGACGGACGACTGTTCCGACGACTTCTTGTCAGATGTCGTTTGCGTGGTCGACGCCTCATTGCTGTAGTCTTGTGGCTGAGATCCAGGAGCCATAGGTGTCATTGGTCCTTTTTGCGAAAAGCTCGAAAGACCGGATTCGCGTCTCACCTGCTGAGACGGCGCAGTGTGTGAGTATGGCGGTTTGGGTTGGGCTGACGGGCCGAAGGAGCTGCCTTGCGTTTCCCTTTCTCCCGAGTGGTCCTCCGAATTGGTCATGTAGATGTCGCCATCGCCATCTGGCCGCGATCCATGAGACCCGTTGCTCGTAGGGCCGTGACCGCTATCATTCAGATCGGAGCCCCCACCATGATAACCATTGGTGAGGAAACTCACGGCCGAGCGTCGGTTGGGGGTAACAGGTCTCGCAGGGCCCTTGAAGCCCCCGTTTTCTGGGAACGTCTCACCTAGCACCACGGGACCACTAGACGGCCCAGAGTCCGTATTGCCGTGTGGAACGTTGTCATCGGCTGCTCCGGACGCAAACGTCTCCTCCGCTCTCTTGGCCTTCTCCATCGCGGCCTTTTCTCTCTCCAATTCGCGTTGGTAGACATTCTCGCACTCCGCGACAAGCTGCGGCTCAGCCTGCTCAATAGTGGCAATGTCGACCTCGACGTTGGAGAGCAGTTCGTTGGCTCTGAGCAGTCGTTCCTGGTCGCCCAGCTGCCGCGCATCCTTGGCGAGTCGCTTGATGTCGGCCAAGAAGTCCTTGGGTCGCTTGTAGTAGCCATTGGATAGACGCTTCTCGATGGTCACAATCTCCATGTTGTAGAAGAACTTGCCCGACACGGTTTCGCGAAGACCAGGGACACCATGCTTGTCCAAAGCCTTCTCGAACGGCCGGAAGGTTGTCCGATGCTCGATGGGCAGATCACTCGTGACAATGTTCGGGTCATCCTCTTCCCAGAGATACCGGATCTGAGACTCATCGATCACACCAGTTCTAAATCTCTTGTACTTCTTGATCTGGTCCATGATCGGCTGAATCCTAATCTTCAGCAAATTCAACGTCTGGTGATCCTTCTTCTTCTGGGCCTTGAGTTGTTCTTTGGTAAGTGGCGCGGCGGGTTTTGGCGGAGGTGGAGGTGCGACCTCCAAGGTCTCGAGTTGTCTCTTCTTGCGGTTCTCTGGATCGGGGAAATGCGCGGGCGACGTTTTGATATATTCAACCACTTTTCTGAAGAATTCGCGCCTCGAATCATTGCCAGGGGCCTTCAGATCGTAGAAGTTTTTCTTTGAATATCCAAACAGATTCCTGATTAATCCAACATCCGTCTCTTCTGCCATAGACTCTTGTACTCCAAGTAACAGAACCGGATCTGTGGGGGGTATAGATCGCAGGAGACCCACGAAGGTAGAGATCACAGCCTGTCCGATAGTATCAAACCAAGATTGGATGTTGGGGATGTAGATCACGCTGGGTCGATGCCGTTTGACTTCGGCAAACAATTGGATCACCGCTGCTTCGGGAGATCGAGTGGAATCACTCAGCAACGTTGGGAGGTCAAAGGACTGAACATGAAGCCCTTCAAAGTGGTGCAGGAGGGCGGCAGCGAGATACTGTTGGCCCATGCCCAACGGCCCCCGAAGGAGCATTCTCGGTCTAAACACTCGCGATCGATCGAATTCTTGCATCATCTGCTCGCGACGGAAGGTTCCGTCCGCAGGATCCTCGAATTGAGCCTCCTCCAGGGCAGTGAGCCGCTTCCTCTGAGGGAGCACCTCCGCCAAGAGGCTTTGAAGTTCCGCGAGAGGACTGCGCAGCAAGGGCTCGATCTCCTTCGGCAACGGAGACGCACCAGAAGAGGTAGACCGCTCCGACGACGGGACCATCTTTTTGATCGCGAGCATGAAGTCCTTCGGCGTAACATCAATCTTCTTGGGATCAATAAGCAGTTTCTTATCGGACTTGTAGATCTGAGGATATCTTCTCTGAACGGCGTTGAGGGCAGCCTCTGTACACAAGGCGCGAAGATCTGCACCTCCATACCCCTTCGTGATCTCTGCCAGCTCATCCTTAATGGCATCCGGCAGAGGCGGGTCCCAGCCTCTGGTATGGATATCCAGAATAGCTCGTCGGCCTTCGGTATTCGGCAAAGGGAAGTAGAACTCGCGATCGAACCGACCAGGCCGGCGAAGAGCAGGATCAATGGAATCAGGTCGGTTGGTAGCTCCGATGACAATCACCTGTCCACGACCATCCATTCCATCCATCAACGCTAAGAGTGTCGAGACAATCGATGCGTGAATTTGCTCCTGCTTACTTGACCGCACAGGGGCCAGTCCTAAAAAAAAGTCAGCTGACCATCCAGAAACAAACATCACATATCAAGGACATTACGTACCGTCAATTTCATCAAAGAAGATGATACTGGGCTGGGTCTTGCGGGCCTCATCGAACAGAAGCCGGAGTTGTCGTTCAGCCTCGCCAACCCATTTACTCAGGGCATCCGCTCCCTTCCGCATATAAAAGGTCACCTTGCGGCCTTCGGAGCTGACACTGTTGGCCAGTGCTCTTGCAAGTAGCGTTTTACCCGTTCCAGGGGGTCCATGGAAGAGCACGCCCCGCGGGGGCACAATGTGGAAGCGTTGGAAGATCTCCGGGTATAACAGCGGCAAGGAAACCATCTCCTTAAGCTGATCGATATGTCCTTGCAAGCCACCGACACTGTCGAAATTGACACTCATGTCCACGCCTAATGGATCCGCATCAGCAAGCGCCTGTTTATCCTTGACCTTGCCGAAGTTCGCAGGCGTGCCAGACAGGCCATGCGCGGGATCGGCATGAGTTTGTGTGTTCAGTAGTCCGGGGCCAGAGGGACCAAGGGCCGGCCCTCCGGCACCGCCTTTAGCCTGCTGCATACCCTCATCATCACTGCTATCGCTGTCAACCCCACCCGTTGCACCTGGCGCTCCGGGAGGGGCCAGAATTGCAGACGGCCCGCCGCCTCCAAAGGGCCCGTAGGTAGGGAAGAGGGTGCGTTCCCATTTCCCGCCACCACCGCCTCGCCCACGGCGCGAAGGAGACTCGTTTACTTCGTTCTCCGCCTCCTCCATAGGCAAAAGCAGGTCGGGCCGAATGATCCGGTAATCCACATCCTTTCGGCTGCGCCGTGGTTTCTCGTATACGATATCCGTCTGCAGCCTTCGTCGTGATCGACCGCCTTTGAGATCTTCCAGCTCCTCCGCCAGCTCTTCCGCGATATCAGCCGCAGCCTCAGATTGTCCGCGGGACCGAGACGCCCGCTTACGCAGACCAGGACGCCGGCCGGCGGTACTGTCCTCGTCCTCTTCAGGGGCCTGACTTTTCTGTGGAGAACCATTTCCAGACTGAGAGAGCTCGTCGTCATCGTTCGATTCTTCTTCCTCCGGCTCGAAATCACTCTCCTCGTCCTGTTGCTTCCGTTGAGAACTTTTGGGTTTCTTGCGGCTAGAGCGGCGTGGCTCCTCTGGTTCTTCCTCGTCCTGTTGTTCCGGCTCGTCTTGCTGACTTCGACTAGGTCGGTTCCTCCTCCTTGTGATCGGTCCCTCATCCTCGTCGTCGTCGTCGTCGTCTTCGTCCTTTGCATCCCCATTTTCAGATTCGGGTACCACCCCCACGTCGTCTCCAGCAGATTGCTGCCCATTGCTGGGAGGCGCTGCTTCTTCAAACGACTCGTGGTATTCGCTCTCCATAATCTCGAACTGGGACCCCTTGACCTCCGTCGTCGTTTCCTCGACGTACTCCTCTTGAACGACAGGCTTCTCGTCCTCTTCCGCAACAGCGGGAACCTGCTTCGCGGCACGAGAACCACGGCGCGTGGACCGCACCGCCTCCGGCTCGGGAGTGTGCGTCCCACGTTCGATCGTCTCCATATGGCGGCCCGAATTAGTCAAAGCATAGATATCTTCCGAGGGACCGCGGGTGCGGCGAGTGGTGCGTCGATTCTCCAACGGCGAGAATTTGAGAGCCTCGCCGACTTTCAGCTTGACCACGGCACTTTTTCGTTTCTTCGGCGGAGAGGCGGGCTCGTCGTCTTCTTCGTCGTCAACTTCGGCGCTGTCATCGTCGTCGTCTTCGTTGTACAAGGGTCGGTTCGTGGCGGCCCTTCGGGCGACCAAGCCGCGAGCATTCCTGGGCGCATTGAGATCTTCCTCTTCGGACTCATCGAATGACAGGTCGTCGACTCCGCTCAGTAGGTCATCGTCGGACAGGATATCGTCGTCGGAACCGCGACGGGCCTTCTTCTTGGCGGGTTTCGACTTTTTCTTCGACTTGGTTCGAGAGGTGGAGCGCCGAGACGTGCGCACGGGATGATCACTGTAGTCGTCGTCGTCCGAGTCGGACTTGTTGGCCAACTCTTCAATTGAACGTTTGACGCGCGGCATCTTGTATCGAAAAGGGTGTAATCAAGGCCTTGGACGACGGCGTCGGGACGCAGCTGCCAGATCTCACGACGGTCACAACTGTACCAAGGCAAGCGACCTCCACTCAGCAAGCAACAATGCTGTGCACGGCGATCATGAAAGCCGGCAGTGAGTGATCTTCTCCCTCGAGGGCGTCGCAACAACGATGATAGACGTGGGAAGACCGGGACCGTCGCGTAGAGCTCAGGGACTCGCAATATAGTGCAACAAGACGACGGCGGAGCGCAGGACGGTCGACGGTGGGACGAAAGGCGGACGGTAGTCTAGCGAGCGATCACAGCCGATCCGGGGAGTCGGACGCGTCGCATCCAGATGCTGAGGAATGGGCGGAAACAAAGAGAGACGAAACGTCACAGTCCAAGCGAATCAGAAACGAAAGATGGGGAAGTGAGGAGAGAAATAGGGGAGGAGATGGTGAATGACGGGGGGAGGAAGTGAGGGAGCAAGGTGAGGTGAGGTGGAAAGAGGTCGGGGACTGTCTAGACGGGACGAGAGAATAATAGAGAGCGAGAGGACCACCACTCAGTCAGTTTTCTCTCCCTAGCAGTCCCAAAGGGGACTAGCGCAGCCGCCGTGCACGTGCCCCGAGCCGCGTCATTCGACGAGCCTCGCGCAAAGACGGGCGAATTCTCCCCACCATCTCCATAGCAAAATACCACATCAACACTCGCCCTTCCTGCGGCCATCTCAACCCCCTTTTCCCACCGCCCCCCAAACCCCCGTAGACTCCACTAGAAACTCATCGTTTGTAGTCGAAAAATCATCCGTACATGACTTGCGGTCGATTTGGCCTCTTTTGGGGCGTGTGGCCCCCTCATCGCCCGGGTGCAGCTCGGGGCCTCTCGCGTCAGTGAGAGGAGAAAGAGTGATGGTCAGGAACAATCGATCATCGCCCCGGACGTCAAAGCTTATCGCCTTTTGGCTCGTCCCCGCCTGTTCGCCGTCGCTTAATCCCCGGCCTGATTTGACCCAGAGCCGCTCGCTTGAGGACGGTCATGTGATTGATGACTCATCCCGACCTCCGTCCATCGCCGCCTGCTTTGCTGCCGAGAGTAAATACTACCTCTGATTTTCGGTCCTCTCGTGTAGAGATTGTATAGAGAACACCTTGATCTTCTTGTCGTCAACTTCATCATGTTCTCCCGATTGCCGGCCACCCGGCCATTCTCTGCGCGGTCTCTGTCCGCGTTGCCGTTCGGCAGCAGGTCCTTCGGCAGCTCCCATTCCCGGCTCAACAGCGCCAAAGAGTCCAGTTCCTTCAAAGAGGGTGTAAGTCAAACCAATTAATCTCCTTTATTCTTTTAGCGACAATATCTCGTGCCGTCATACAAGAAGATTCACTACAGGCTTCCAGCCTATCCCAGTTGTACATGTGCATCTAACAACAAAACTAACGGGTGACCATAGATGGGCCGCTACAAACTGTTCGCCAGCCCCTTTGCCAAGGTCTTTCTCGGGGCCATCTTCACATACCAAGTGATCTACTGGACGTGGCTGAAGCTTGAGATGGACGAGTCGAAGTTCGAAAAGAACCGTACGTGGGTCCATCACATTCTTGATCCGTTTCTAACAGTCAACAGAAGAGGTCGCATCTCTGGAGAAAGAGGCAAGGGCATTGACTGCTACAAAGAAACAATAAGCCTACAGGCTTCACTGCTGTATGATACCCATGCAAGACCGGATTCTACTTAGTCTGAAGAAGACGTGATATGGAGTTCTACTTGCCAATTGTAACTATTTAACTATTTCATGTGATTTTTTATTATTTTTGCTATCATGTATGATTATATATATTAAGGTATATACCGACAAAGGAGCATCGTTAGTGTGCCGGAGTTGGCGACTTCAACAGGCCAAAGTCAGTGCACTCATGGACCAACCAACCCAACAGTCATTCACGCAATACACTAGGCCATAGAACTGTAACCTTCCTGGGACTAGTATGTATCACCATCCCCCTTGCATTGGCTGAGCATCCGAAAGCGTTGGATTGAGCATGTTCGAAAAAGGTTCGGCTTTATACCGCTTCACACCCGCCGCATCATGCTCCGCACAAGGCCCAAGACCAACCTTCCTTTTCCGCGAACTCAGTACGGACTCGGCATCCAGCGAAACAACCTCATCCGGATAGACCTCGCTATCGGAGTGGTGCACACTACTCGTCGAGTCGTCGTCGCTATTGTATTCGACGTCCGGCCCGCCGTCGTCCCCCGTGACGCCGTTCGCCAGCGCCCGTCGCATTTCTTCCTCGCGTTCTGCGCTCTTGGTCAAATGTCCGGACGGCAGAAGCCAGTCGCCAATGCGCTCGCCTCGCTTGAAATGCTCCGCATCGATGTGGTTGAACCGCTCGTTCCATGCATCGATGCCCTGGGTCTTCAGAGGCACGATGTCGCGACAGAAGCCACACCAGAAGCGGGACTGTCCGTTGCGCCCCATGCGGTTCTTGTAGAGGGCCTCCCGCACGACTCCATCATCCGCCTGATGGTGCTTCTTCAGATGCTGTACGTATACCTCCTGTCGATAAAAGAGACGGGCGCACGGCATGCGGCCCTGGGTGACATCCTGCATTGTACAGCGCCAGCTCTGCAGATGGAAATGCTGCGAATTTTCGTGTCGCTTCCAGTCGGCTTTGCTGCCGAATGTCTTATTGCATCGATCGAATGTGCAGCCGTACGGCCGCTCATGTCGCTTCTGATGTTTCCTGTGAGAACTTCAAAGTCAGCCCCGTCTATCTTTCAATAGCTGAAGTGGTCATCATACTTCATCTCGCAGCGTAGGCGCGTGCGCTTTGAGCAAAACTCGCATTGAATCCACCCTCGCTTGTCCGCGTTACTGTCTGAAGCGTTTTGAGTGCTCGTCTGGGCGGGTGCGGGGTCCCCAGACAGCCGTTCCAAGGCCGCCGATAGGATCCGTTGCAGCATCTCCTTCTTCTGGCCCGTCAATTCGACATTCTCTTCGATGTCTTCACCATCCTCGGTGACATGGCTTCGTCGACGCTGATTGCTGTTGATCATCTTCGTCATGGCATTGATCATGTTTGTCGCCGCCTCGTTCACCATCTCATCCATCCTATCGTTTTTCGAGAGACCTGATTGAGTCGCGGTTAACGGGTCGTGGTTCGTGGAGTTGAGATCGAGAGCCTTGAGGGGGAGTTCCAGGTGCTGGGAGGCGGTATGCGGGGGTAACCGGTTGAAATGTGAAATGCTCTGCTCTGCCAGACTCTGGGTCTGGTTTTCAGAGATCTGAAGGGTAACATGCGCTGGAGGGGAGGTGGTGAGGTCTTCCGCGGGCTGCAGCAGGGATCCTAGCACTGGTACCGGCTCTGTCTTGGTAGGGATAGTCCCCTCAGCGGAAATATGTGCCATTTCCTGTGGTTTGACACAGTTTTCGTACCAATCGTGTGACCTGGCTCCAGTATTAGCCAACAGTACGCCTTAATTTCCTTCCGGGGCTCACTTTTTCAACAACTCCTCTGTATCCTCGTCGTTATGCATCCGTGCCAGATGCTGTCGGAAGTTGTCCAACCGGGGCCATTTCTTATTTCTGCGGGGACAGTTCTGCCCAAAACACATGTAGAGCACCTTCGGGCCGCGCTCCGGCTCCTGTTTGTGCACGCACTTCTTGTGGCGTGCGAGATCATTGATCGTGCCAAAACCTTCCTTCCGAGTGCAGTTTGGCTCATTGCACTTGAACAGCTTCCGATGTCTCGCCTCATGTTTCCTTCCAGCATCCAGTCAGTGCTACCATCACTTGGCGCATGTATCTATCACATACCGTTTATCAGACGGGCATTTCCCCGTCCATTGACAGCCCGGATAGTCGCAGCGTATCACATCATGGTATAACAAGGACGACATGTCGACGTGCTCGGCCGGGTCGACCACCGGGTTGAGATCCAACGTCGACGCCCGATCATCCTGCTCGGACTCGTGGGGACCCAGATACGGACTGCAGGCGGACTCCATGACATAGGATGGGGTCGTAACGGAACGGGTCGCGCAGCTGCGACTGCTATAGCCAGAATCGGACGGATGGATGCTGTTGTACTGGCTCCCGTTTTCCGAGGGGGTGCTGTGCTGGCCGATCGAGTATCGCCGGTCCAAGCCGCCCAGTGGCTGAGGCTTTCCCGGGTGAGGGGCCATGGGAAAGGCCGGAGGGTTGGTGGGGACACCCGTTACCTGGAGCGGATTCCAGGCATCCTGATCGTTGGTCAAGCGCGGATGGCGGAACTGGGGATATTCCAAGACTTGCGATGTCGGTGACGAGGCCTGTGAGTGATATGACGGCCACTGGTTGAGGATGGATGTGTGGTTATGCGGGATGAGTGTAGGCTCGGGGCCGAACTGAAATCCCAGGAAAGAGGCGGGATCACCGAGGGCGAGGTCCGACGGTGTAACACCATCAGACGACACAGGATCAAACTGCGATGCAGACGGAGCCATGCGGGAGGCCATGATGCCTTGAAGAATGTCGCCGGAGTTGTCCCATGCGGGCTCGTGAGTGCTGGAGGGCTAGGAATAAATTAGCCTTTTTGCTTTTCTTGCGACGAGGCGGTTCCAGATGGGACAAGGTAATGGAGGCAAAAGGTACATACGCTCATCATGGCTGTCGGCGTGCGAAGAAGAGGATCGATCGGAGAGGGGAGGGTCCGGGTGGGCGTGTGGTTGATATACTCGGGACGGGGCCCTCGAATCGCAAATGAGCCAGCTGAAGATCGGAACTCAGATGAACGTCATCCGCCCTGTGCTTTCTTTTTCCGAGGAGGTCCTGGAATGAGTTGGCTGAGATGAAGAGGTCAGGCAGCAGCAACCGAAGGAGTAGAAGTAGGTTGGGTAGAGGACGAGGACTCCGAGGAAGAAGATAGGACTAAATGCTGTGAAGCCTGTCGATCGAGCAAAGACGGACACCGGGGATCTAAAAAAGTAACGACCCTAAAACGAGGGAGGAGGAAGATGAATAATAATAATAACAGTAATAATAATTAAAAAGAAAAGACAAGACAAGACAAGAAAAGAAAAGAAAAGAAAACCAGTGTCAAATGAAAAGATAAAATAGCTCGCGATGCAAGACAGTCCAGTCGACCACCCCGAGGATGATCGCCCGCCCCAAAAGTAGGTAAATAGGTAGGTAGGAGTAGAAACAACCACCGAGACTGGATCGCAGGCGCAGCAGCGAGGAAAGAGGACAGAAGAATGAAGATGACAACGATCGACCAACCGTCAGAGTAGTCCCACAAGTCAGTCAGTCATTGTCGACTCCCATTGTCAAACAGACCCCACGCGATAACGTGTCGCCGGCGAGAGAGTTTGTTTCTGTAGGATGACAGGAGGAAGGGAACCCGAGACCCGCCGGACTGGCATGTCAAGGAAAGTTGGGTCCGTTCGTTCGTTCGTCCGCCGCTGGACCCTCCGGACAGACCTGTCACAACGGTGGGAGTCCTCGGTCTGCCCTGTCATTTTTCGTCGACTGCAGCACACACGACGACGTGGCTGCAGTGTTTCTTCCCCTGCCATTCGTTTCCCCCCTCCTAGTACGGAGTACATACGTACGGTACTCCGTACTCCGTAGTATGTAGCTAGTGTGGACAGAGGGAATTCAGGGGCTTCGTCAGCGACGAGCATGTAAGGTGGTCTCGAGGGATCACCCCCCGACCAGGGCACTGATTGGTGCGATCCCCGGGGGATGAAAAAGCAATGGGAGCAGAGTTCGGTCTGGAATTACGCATGGCGACGCATTTTTTCCCTGGACACCGGTGGCTGTGCTGGTGGCCATCGGTGCGGTGCGCGATATTCTTCTTTGCGGGTAGGATTGTCGGCTGGAAAATAAGATCTCCCCCCTGAGCTGCACATCATGATCTCCTGGAGATCGGTTGACAGGATTATACTCCTGGACCCTGGAGATAGTTAGTTAGATGGAGAGAGATCCGTTGGGATTGTACGAAGCTGTCTAGATGGTTACGAGTACAGTAATTACATAACCCCTGTCCCGTGACCGACGACGACGCTAAAGCACACTGGCTGCACCCGCCCCAAAAGAGACCGTCGAGATCCTGGAATCTGCTGTTATTATGGTCTTTCTATTCAATGATAGCTGTTATACACCAGGTCCTCCGTATTATGGTACCGAATACCCTGGTGATCCCGTCTTTAGCGTCGGGGTGGTCCGTTCCAAACCCGCGTAGTGGTTGGGGCATCCCGCCCGTTCCCTTGGTCCATCTCTTGGCTACCGATCACTCGATATCTCCGCGGTCCCCGTCGTAGATCTCCGTACGTCTCTTACCAAGGCGCTGGTCACTGTTGTCACAGACCCTGGAACGCTCCTACGACATGCATCTGAGGCCGGGGCTTTCGCCGAAGAAACCCCGGTAAAACCAACTAAGAACAAGCGTCCTCTATTATTCGCCGTCTCAGGACCCTAGCATACTCCGCAGTGACCGCAGTGACAGAAAAGACATCCCGAAACCGAAAAGCGTAAACAACTGCAGAACTCGACAGACGACGCGCAAGTGCACCCGCTGAAACACCAATGAAGTAACCCAAAGAGAACCAAGGGGCCGTGGGACGACCCGACACATGTGGCCACCATGCAAAAACCGTTCGGCAAGAGGGAAGGGATATGCATGTCGTAGGAGAATGGATGGTGATAAAAATGCCGATCGAGGACAAGCGAATCAAGGGCGCAAGGGTAACCACGGAACAAAACATGGAGCATCATGTGGTTGATAGGTGAACAGAGTTAGGCAGGCCGTTTCAGATGAACTCAACGTACGTATTCACATCCTCCGAGACAGGTCAAACTAGGGGCGATTCGGGTATCATGTGCATACATACAAGGGAGGAAAAAAAGAGTAATCAGAATAAAAATAGAAAAAAAGAAACCAAGACCAAGAAAAATCCCCCCTAATCTCACAGACGGCGCCGCCAACCATGTGGGAAAAGTCAAAATGCTGTCGATGCTAATTTTGCCCCCGGTACCCTTGCGATGGGTCGTATGACATCGACTGGCCCATGGGGTGCGCGTAGGGGTAGCTGCTGGTCGCCGACGGTATGTACATTGAGCCCTGAGTATCATACGTAGCTGCGGGCATCTCGGTCGAGGGTATCGCATACGAGTACGCATCTTGATAGACACTCAAGTCCGGGTTGGAAACCTTGAGCCGTGGCCCGGCCGGCGGGTAAGTCACGGAGTTCTGATGCACAGGCATGAACCGTGACTGGTCGCCTGGCACCACCAGATGCAGTCCCGCCGGTGCGCCGCCGTAGGAGATCCCATCAAACGCCTCCATCGACTCGGGTTCCTCCGAGATGATACCGTCCGGCATGGTTGTCAGCTGCGGAGCATATGTGGGGTTGAACGGCGCAGTAAGACCGCCGCCCTCGGTGTTGTTGCTGCTGGTGTGGTTGTATTGGGTTTGTGTCAGATGTATCGACACGTCCGGACCGGGTTGGACCCCCTCTAGCCGAGGAGCAAAACTCCTTGTTTCATGCATCACAGGCTCGGCCCCAGCACGGCTGCCTCCAGGGTGATGACACGGGTCCCGCTCCCCGACCAAACCAAGAACAGGCATGGCAATCTGCTCCATGTGTTTGGCCAGATGCACCGTAAGCTTTTTCCAGCTGCTGCAGACATTGCCGCAGAACCGGCACGGCTCCTCGCGAGGACCCTTGGTCGTGTCATGCCGGCAGCTCTCAACAAGGTTCCACAATCGTTCAATCTCGCGCTCCCGGTTGCTCTCTTCCTGCGAGCCTGGACCCCCGGGGCTCTTGTTGGCAGCATTCTTGGTCTTGGTCTTCTTGACCTTTGGCTCCGGCATCTTGTGCTCACGGACCAGGTGCTGCACAAAATTATCTTTCCGGTAGCATTTGTGGGTACAGTCCGCGTGGGTGCAGGTCCACCATTCCAGATGCCGGTGTCGCTCGCTCTCATGGCGGACCCAGTCTGCCTTGCGCTTGAAAGACTTTGGATCCGGGCAGTCGGGAAAGGTGCAGGTGAATGGCTGGATGTCTTCATGCACATGCTTGGTCCAGTCGGAAGGCTTCTGGAATTTCTTCACCTGGAAGCAAATAGGGCATTCGAACTCGGCCGGAAGCCGTGCGACCGGTGGTAAGAGGACACCGGGAGGAAACTGAGCCGCAGTCACGGCCCCCTCTCCTAATGCCTGGGGGTCGTCAGGCGTCTCTCCATGACCAGGGATGTGAAACTGCGTATGCGCGGCATCCGCATCCTGGGGGTTCGCCCGGGGTGCCAGGAGTTTGGCTTCACCACCCTGTGCGAAGCAGTACCCTCCAGAGGGACATGAGTTGTTGCTGGCGGCTTTGGCATGGGCCTGCTTGCACTCCACCAGATTCCGGTAGCGGCGCAGCTGCTCGTTGGCAAAGCGTTCAACCAACGCGGGTTGCAGCCGAGGGTTCAACTGCGTGATCTGTGTCTTGAAACCCTCGAGTGTAGGGACCGGCAGACGCGACTGCACGGGGAACTCCATCACCAACGCCTTCTCGTCGAGCATATCCTCATCATCGTCATCGTCATCGCCCGCCACCTGTTTCGACGTGGACGGAGTCGGGGCCGCGTCGCGATGGCTCACCAGCTGCGGCGACGTAGCAATGTTAGCGACGGGCGGCCCACCATGGGTCCGGATCAGTTCCATCAGTCCAGGCCCCGCGTTTCTGGGAACATCGCTTCTGCTTCTCCCACGCTTGAACGAAGACCAGGAAGGACTGGTCGACGAATTGGGGGATGCCACTTTCATGGTGTCCTTGCCGCCGATCGCGGCCATCTGGTTCGTGATGGCCAACACAGCGCCCCCAGTGCTCAAGCTGGGCGATCGGGACGACCGTCGTAAACTGATATGGGGGAAACTATCTTTCCTCTGGGGAGGGCTCTTGACCTCGTCCCCTCTGTTGTTTGCGCTGTCGGAGCTAGGCAGCTTGCTGGATAAGTCAGAGAACTGTCGTTTCAAGTTGTTTGGCGTCTTGATCTGCAAAAGCTTCCGGAGGCTTCTCTGTCTCTCATGTTTCTTGCGCTTCTCATTAATCGTCAAAGCACCAAAGGCGCCTCCGTCCCCAATGACACTATCAATGTCCGCCTGGCTGAGTGGTCGGGTGCCCCACGTCGCAACACGGGAAATATTGTCCAGTTCCCTATCACGACGCTGAAACTCCATCATCGCCTGGGAGGAGGTTGACGGTTGCCCGCGAGTTGTGTTGTCCGGTGTAACACTTCGAGGGTCGTCCCACGGGGACCCGCGAAACTGGCTGGGCGAAACCGGCTCATCCAACACCTGCTGCTTGGGAGAGGACGAGCCATCTGGCTGGTCACCATCCACGAGGGACTCAGAAATGCTACCCCCAGCATCTGAGCCATAGTCGGTTTCACCATCATCACTGCTCACATGAACCAGCATGCCGGGGCCGGGAATGGACGCGTCTTTGGAGAAGGAGAAGTAATCTTCTCGCAGGGACGGATCCCCAGCACTCTTTGCCCGGCGCCGCGAGCCAACATGGCCCTTACGACCGCGGTAAGGGCTGACTTCGCCCGCATCGCTATTCGCCGCGCTCACCGACTCCGACCAAATACGGATATCGATATTTCTCTCATCCAGATGGCGCCGGAGATCCATCTCATTGGGGCTGGGGACCATGACATCCCCGCGAGACTGTGGATCAAGGCCCGCTTGTCCAGTCGCCGCGTTGGGAACCCACGAGCCATCTTGGCTCCGCGGGACTGACGGAGCCGTGTTCAGGAACCGATTCTCCCGGCCTTCGTCCCCGGATTCGCTAGATTGGTCACCGGGCGAGAGATGGACGGCGGAGCGACCTCTCGAGTAAAAGGATAGTCGGTCTGGCGAGTCCCCCCTGGAGACGCTCTCCACCTTGACGATCGGGCTCCGGGCCATGGCCGAATCGGGTGCATCCACGCGGAGTGTATCGTCCGGAGGCGTGGTGATCAGAGTGAGAGACTGCGATGGATGGACATTGTACCCAGAGTAGTCTTTGGAGTTTGGAGAGGGACTGGGGTTGCTCGTATGGCTAGGAGTCACGAGATTAGGGGTATGAAGGGTCGCTTGGGGCGAGATCGTGTCGCCATAATGTGGTGGAGATTGCCAGGAGTGGGAGTCGGAGTTAGTGTCCATATGGAAGGGTTCGACCAGGTAATCGGCGCCGGGAGAGTTGTTCGAGCTCAGATTGCTGGAGAAGTCATCGACCGGGCTTAGAAAGTCCGAAAAGGACGCGGTGTTCCCATCACCGTTCGTCGAGCCGTAGTCGCCCCGGTTCAGCGGGGAGGGCGACGTCGCGCCTTTGCTGGAATCACCGCCATTGACTGGAGTCAACCTGATAGCGCTAGATTCGAAAGCTTCTTCTGGGTCGTATGGAGCGGAGAGAAAGGGGTCGAAATTGGTATCGCGGAAAGTCATGTTGGTGGGAGAATCACTCCGGACGAATTGGGTGGATGCGGCCATGATGAGTTGCGAACTGAGTCAACTGACAATAGAGCTGGAGGTGGAGGAAAGGGTGTGCTCTATCGTATAAGACTCCGATGCCCACAGGGCTTGATATTTAGCAACGGAACCGACCGAGGAAGAGGATGTGCATGTCTAGCAGTGAACCGTAAGTCGAGTGAAGTCAACGAGGGCAGTTTTATTGAGCGTGGGACTGCTGGGTGCGATTTATTCTCCGATATGGTGGGAGACTGTAATAGTTTCGGGTGGTGGTCTGGGCGGAGGAGCTTATCGCGCAGGGATGTACAGCGATGGGGGAGAAAGCGGACAGAAGAGTGAATGGAGGGGGGAAAGAAGCGAAGGTTATCGGGATATAAAAGAGATGAAGAGGAGGAAGAGAAGTAGAACGGAGGAAAGAATCCGTGAGAGACGCAGGGGGGAAGAGGAAGGGAAGAGAAGAGGCTCTGCTGTGCCCGACAGAGAGAGGGAAGTGGAGAAGAGATGCAGCGACGAGGGGAGACAGCAGGGACAGGAAAGACGCCTTGTGCGAAGTGACTGAGCCACAGCTGATCGATCGGACAGGAAAAGGAGAGCACGAGCGAAGAGGCTCAAACGGGCGAACTCGGGTTATTATTATTATATTATTATTATTTGACGGGAGTTGTCTGATGGTATGTGTCTCTGGCCGTTAATTAGGGTTGTCAGATGGTGCCTGGGTGAGATGAGTGAGATGAGATGAGATGATGGTCTTCCGTCCTGACCGAACAGAAACGATAATAATAATCCCCTCTATTCTCTCCCTCCGTGCGGCCTTCCCTCACTGCCTATTATTATGATGACTCTTAACACCGGCGCAGACGGTGGGCGCGTCGACAACCAGTGAGCGTCCGGCGGGGTCGCTTTAGTTCGTGTTGGTCGGAGGGAGGACGATCCTTTCATCTCTCTGCCTCTCTCCACCAGTTTTCCTAGGGAATTCCTGGTTATGACCGTGGCAGAGGAATACCGTCCACTCCGAATGAAGAGCATTCCAACAGGGAACGACCGATGACTTCATCCAAACAAGGATATGGTGGGTGCTATTCTTGTGTCCAGGATGGATCTAGAGCTCCAGGATGCTAATCCCTGAGGACGGTGAATTTTGGCCCCATTCATCAGACATGCAGGAATTCTTCATCAGTTTACCGTGATTACTTATTTATTCCATAAAACGCTGGAGAAGATTAGATTGTACTTGTAGAATTCCCATAGACAATAGGAATCAACAATAGGAGCAGGAGTCAATAGAAAATTAACTTCTTAAGGCTATTTAGTCTCCACTGGTTCCCCCACTTGATCCATTGTTCCATTTTTATCCCGTTAGTAATCACCATCTATCTCCAAGTATATATTTCGTAGGAGCATCGTAGCCATACTACCGCTTCCCATCTTCGAGGTATCTCAACTTCTTTCTGTATATCCCGTCCAAATCATACCATTACCAAAGCCACTCCTACAGTGGACCGAAGTGGACCAAATCAGCCCTGTGAGGCTGTGTAATAATGGGCCTCCCCACCCCATCCATACCTCTCGTGGCGTAGCAACGACAATCCCATAAGACGCGAGATTAATGATCCTGAATCAGTCTGCCACAGCTCTAGCCACCTCTATCCATCTTCTGACATTGTTCGCCCGGGTGCACACCGCCACCGTCATACGCCGCAGATGTAGGAGTACCTTGGATGGACTGGCCCAGTCATCCCTGCACTGTCACACCCAGAACAAGCTTTCTCAGCGAATCTGTCAATAGGCTTTACGCCCTTCAGCCGTCTCACCGTGGCTACTGACATCATGATGTGGCGGTGCGGATGGCATATACACAGACAGATCACATTATCAGATAATACAACAATCGCTAATCAGAAATACCAGAGATAGAAAAACATGCCCGGAATGATACTCATGCAGAAACAGAAAACAACCACAAGAACAAAATAAAGTGATAAAAAAGACACGAGAAAGAAAGAAACCGTACAATCACATCCGTCTATCCATGTATCCATCCATCAGGCCTTGACACCCTCAGCCGCTACCTCCTCTCCACACGCCAACGCATCCGTCGACTTCTTCGCCAGCTCCTGCAGTCGCGCAATCACCACCGGCGAGTCCGAGTACAAGACGCCGCCGCGGGCGTAGATGCAGGGGGCGGCCTTTTCGGGATCTTCCGCAAAATCCTCATGCGCCGCCTCGCGCATGATCCGTGGGAACGTCCGCAGGATGACATGTCGGCTGGGGTCGTCTCGAGAGCCCACCGTGCCTTCCTTGGGGGTGCCGCACTCCTCCCAGTCATCGTTCGAGGACACCTCGGCCTCCGGGGCCGGGAGCGAGGCCAGGATGAGCTCGCGCTCGACGCGCGCATGCCGCCACGTCTCGGCCGCCAGCTTGACAATCTTGCGCACGCCGACCACGAGGGAGTCCAGGCGGCGGGGGTCGGCAAAGTGTTTGAGGTGGTCGACGATCTCGTCGACGATCACGGCGGCCACGACGTTGATGGACTGCTTGGCGTCGGAGGTCGTGTAGGCGGCTTTGAGCGTCTGCTGGCGCCAGAAGGCCTCGCGGCGCACGGACTTGCGACGGATGTCCATCGACAGCATCTGGAAGAACGTGTCCGCTTTGTCGTACCGGCGACCCAGGGTGAACAAGAATGGGTGGAAGATCCGGTAGGTCAATGTCTTCGAGATGACATGCTGTACGTATGCAGCGCGCAGTTCACGCGACGCAGGAGTGTTGTCGAGGAACGACGGTAGCTCCGGAGGCAGTTTCGACAGGATATCCTTGGGAGGGTCAATGGCGAGGTACGTGAAGTGCTCCTGGGACAGGGAGACAATCAGATGGGAGAGCTGGCCGAAGCAGTCCAAACTAGATTTAGAATTCTTATCAGAACATGTACATTGAAAGCCTTATCCACATATCGTCATAATCATCATAAATCTATCCGAGAAAGAAACAAAGGAAAAGTAGTGAATGTAGGTCATGCCCAAGAAAAAGAGCGGGTCATAGAATGAAAGGAAATGAAACAAATGAATGACAGAAACATTCTCAGTGCACCAGGTCACTTACAAGAATGAATCCCCCTTTGTGCTCTTCAGGTCTGTGGCTTCTCCCAGGCTGTGCAGGGTCTTCCGCAGCCTGTCGCAGTCCTTGTCCAGATTGTCAATAGTGGTCCGCATGCCATCCACCGCATGCTGAAGCTGCTGCTCCTTGACCAGGTTGTCTTCTTCCAATTTCTTGTTCTCACGTTCGACGCCGGCACACTCGTCGATCTTGTCCGTAAGTCGCTTTTCCAGGTCGTTCTTTTCTTCAGTCCAGCGCTGGTTCATTTCAGCCACTGTCGCCTCGTGGCTGTTCTTCATCGACTCGATTTCCTTGGCATGCTGCTCCCGGGTGTCGTCGAGTTCCTTTTGTTTGTCGTCGAGAGCTGTCTTTGTCGATTCCAGTTCGCTGACCTTCGAGTCGTACTCGGCTTGGAGGGCGTCGTGAGATTCTTGCATCTGCTGCTTCTCCTTCTCGTAGTCGGCCTTCATCGCCTCTTGCTGACCAAGGAGCTCCTTTTCGCGTGCTTCGAGGTTCTCAGCCGCCGTCTTCTCATCTTCGGCTCGGATCTCCTCGAAGAGCTCGGTCAGCTCCTGCTTCTGAGAGGCAAGGGCTTCCTCCTTCTCCGCCTTTTGTTTCTCCAACTCCCTTTCATGGGCTTCCTGTGCTTCGCGAAGGTTGTTGTTCAATGTGGTAATCTCCCCTTCCAGCTCAGTCTTCCGGGCTGACAGCTCTTCGTTGGACTTTTCGGCATCCTCGAATTTTTCCTCAAAGTCCTTCCGTTTCTCTTCGAGATTACCTAGCTCCATCCGGAGTTCGTTGATGGTATTCTTGAGTTTTCGAGACTCCTCCGCAGACTCAGCGGCCGTTTTCCTCATCTGATTTTGCAAAGCCTCAATGTAGAAATCCTTGTGCATCAGGTCTTGTTCGTGTTGGTTGGTCAGATGCTTGAATTCGGCCTCGCGTGCATTCAGCTTCCCCTTCGTGTTCTTGTAGCTGTCGAGCAAGCGGTTGATGTCGGGGATGGCATCTTGAATCCTTTGGAGCAGCTCAATGGGCTCCTCATGCTCTGGTGGAGACATGGTCCCTTTCCGATTGATTCCGTGGCCATTTGCATATGCGAGATCCCGCAACGCCTGGAAGGATGTTGCGGACGGAGGATCGATAGAGCCCCGGGGAGTCGGCATGTTCGGTGGCGGATGATGGTAGTATGCATATTGTGGCATGTATGGCGACGCAGTCATCACAGGGGAGTGATAGGCAGTTGCGTAGCTGGGAGCCACTGATGGAGACATACCGGGGACTGTCGGAGCCGGTGGCGGCGGTGACGCATGTGGGGACATCACCGGAGACATGTAAGCCGAGCGCGCCAGGGGACTGCTGATCTTGGGGACAGGTGAAGCAGACTTTGGAACCGGCGACACCAGTTTTTGCACTGGGGATGCAGGTTTTGGGACGGGGGAAGCAGCCTGCGGGGCTGGCGAGGGAGGCTGTTGCATGGGCGAAGCCGCTCGGGACACGGGGGTAGCAACCTGCTGTGGGGAGGCAGCTTTATCCATAGGCAAAGCTGCCTCCTCCTTTGGAGAGGCAGGCTGCTCCATCGGGGAAATGGCTCGAGCCAAGGGCGAGTGCGTTCGCGGGACCGGCGAGGCTGGTTTAGAGAAGGGTGATGCGGCTCTGGGCGAGTGGGACGAATAGGGAACTGGTGACGAGGCCTTGAAGCCCGGCGAAGCAGGCACGGGGGTTGAAGCCGCCTGGGGTGCCGGAGATGCAGGCTTGGACCCAGCTAGGAAGTCCTCGGTGATGGACGAATGAGCCGTCGAATCAAAGAAACGGTTCGTTGGAGTAGTGAAAGGCGGGTCTGATTCGAGATCCTCCGCGTGGGCGCGGGGCGAAGTCGCAATGAATTGGGTCTCCGTTGGTGAAGGGGATGGGAGAGGAATGGATGCTGGTCCAGTTGAAAGTAATGGAGTCTGGGGTGCCGTGACTGGGGTTGGCTCGGACGGTTCTGCTGTGCCACTTGGGACTTCCGACGTGCCTTTGTCTTCAGAGATGATCTCCGTGGTCTCGAGAGGACGTTCAGAGAGATTTATATCCTCAACGTGGGACTCGAGGGTCGGGCCAGACTCTGCCCAAGCATCTTCCACGTCTTGGTGTTGATGTGAGGCAAGTTCAGGCTCAGTCTGCTGGGTGGGATGACCTTCCGCAGGGGGCGGTGACTGAGGTGGATGTTCGGCTGCTGGAGTAGACACCTCCTCGACTGTAGGATGTTGCTCCAGTTCTGCTTCTTTCTCCGGGAGCACCTCCAGCTCTGGGATGGGCTCCGGTACAGAGTCAAGGTTGGGTGTGACTTCTGCTTGTTGAGGCTGAGCCTCTGCGTCTGCCTCGAGCTGCGAAAGTTCCTGCTGGGGTTGCTCTTGTTGCTCAGGAGGAATCTCCAGTTGTGGCGTCTGGCCCTGGGACTCTTCCTGGTTCTTCCCCTTCTTATTCTTCTGCTTAGTCCCAGTCTTGCCTTTGCCCTTCTTGCCTGACGGCGCCATAGTGGGAGAGGTGCGTGCCCAAGTTCTCGCAACAGAATCAGACGTGTTACCAGTGGGCTGGGACTTTTGTTAGCAGCGAGTCGATTGGATGGTTTGGTAGGGGTGGTAGGTACGTTTGTAAGTGCTTGAGGTCACTGAGAAGGTATTCTCCGTCGATATGGGTGTGTGAATGAGTCTAGAGGTGGGAAGACTGTACAATCACAAGATCATGTCTCGGACGAAGAGGTAGAAGATCAGAGAGGAAGGCCGTCGAAAATCTTCGAGCAGGGAACCCTGCAAGCATGCGCAAATCGCAAGAGTCCACGCAAACGGATGGGCCGATATCAAATGAAGGTTCAAGCAAGCAGACAGTTTCGGACGTTGGACTGTGGCGGCAACAATGGGAGTTGAACGATTGGATTTCTAGGAGATAGGATGGAGGGAAACAACAGGAAAGAGAAAATACGACCGACTAATAAGCTATCTCCAATGACGCCCAAAAAAGAAAAGCCCGACACTAGGGAAACGACATCCACAGCCTCGAGGGGGCTGGCAAGGCGGTAGACGGACCGAACCTTGTAAAATTGATACCCATCCATAGTCGAACAGGGAAACACAAGAGCGCATGCTTTGGAGTCCAAGGGAAAGCAAGCGAGGTGGATCTGAAGCCTCGACTCCGATGCTGCACCAAACCCAATGGCGGTTGGCTGTCGCTTAGCATTGGGCATCAATGGGTCTGTTTTTGGGAGTGGCTGGAACGGAGACACCAACAAGAGGAGTCTAAAAAAATCGACAAGGAAAAAAAACCACACCATGAACACACGACGACTTGTTCATTGTGGACAGTCGCAAACGCCGGGGGCAGGCTGGTGGAGTCAGTAGGACTAATTAAAGACTGATGACATGTCGCATTGGACATCCAGACGTTTGGCGAGGCTGCAAGTTAGTCGTCGAGAAGAACCCCAATAATCGTTCGACTGATGGGGAGCAGTGGGGAGCGTTCTTTGAAAGTGAGGCAGTTAGCCATGCATTGGTACCACTCTGAATGCGGTGTGGCAGAGGGTCATCGTTCTTGACTTGGTGGACAACACACCACGACCCGCACATGTCGCTAGGGCGGGATTTCCCCAGCCCCGATCAAAGCGATGCATTCCGGGATCCCTGCAAGACCCGAGCCAAGCGCGAGTTGCATTGGTTGACGTGATTGTGTCGGGTTGGAGAGAAGATGGAGTTGTCAGAGGAGTAGTTTGTAGGTGATGAGGTATGTACATTGTGCAGATGGAGAGATGGACGAGGTAAACAACACCGCGCTAATCCCAAAATGGTAACTACCAGTCATGGGCGGCGGTTAGTAATCGACGGTCGCCCTAAACCCTATTGAGGACATCACGTGGCCTCCGCGGGAACCGCTCCTCGCGCTGCATTCAACGGAACCTCCAAATCCCCGGCGACGGCATCATACCAGTTCGGCGCTGCCAATTGTCTCTCTCCACACCATGTCCTTTGCCAGGCGATCGGTCGCTTCTGCGCGGCTGCTGCTGCGGAACCAGCCTCCCCGACGATTCGGCTCTCACGCCGCCGGCCACGGCCATGCGGAGCCTGTGAACGAGAGCTTCGGCGTACGTTTTCCTGCCCCTCCCTTCTTGCGACACGGTGGGAGTGTCCGCCAGTGGACCGTTACGTCGATGGCCATGATTCCATGATGATTGTGTGCAATGGCTAACTCCGCCGTTTCGCACCCATACAGCGCAGTTTCTACGTCACCATTGGCTCCTTCGCCTCCTGCTATGTCCTCTACCGTCTGAGCCAGGCCAACGAGAACTCTGGATCTCAGTCGTGGATCTCCAGCCTCATCGACAAGTACACGCCCTCGGAGAAGGTGTTTGAGGAGCGCAATGCCATCCACACCGTCGCCATGGAGAAGGCCGCCCACGACCGTCACCTGTTCCAGAGTCAAGGTCCCCGTGCTGCGTTCGAGCTGAAGCAGCCTGAGTACGTCAACATCACCAACCCGTTTGATAGAACACGAACTAATCATATTTATTCCATCTGTGTAGGGTCAGCTTCCACGCCGTTGCGCCGTACAACGTCCCTGCCGGCTACGACGTGGATCTGAGCCATGTGGCCGCACACTACGAACAGGAGAACAAGGCCAAGGACGAGTCTCGCATCGCCCGCATGAAGGACGGCAAGTCTCTCTACGACTAGAAAAATCGATATCGTTGGTTGTTTGGTTTCCCAATGTCGGTAATAGACATGCAATGCAGGGGCGTGTACATATAGCAGACCAGTCAAGGTTCTAAGTTGTTTCGTTTGACATTCCAATCTCGTTTCTTTTGTTTCTATCTCAGATCTATCCCGCAATCTCCAAGACTACCCTTCCCACCCCCTCCGACTTCACGTCCAGCCGCTCCTGCACCCTCACCGCATCCCCAGTGAGTCCTCTAAACACAGCCAGGAACTCATCCACCCCGCCCCCAACCCCAAAGTAAACCTTCTTAGCCGCAACCAGCGCCCGACTCCGCCCACCGCCCTCCGTAGACCGCCGCAGCAACGCCAGCAGCGTCTCCGAGAACGCAGACAGCGACGCAGGCGAGTAGATGGTCTCGCTCGCCATGACGAGCGTGTCCCGATGGCCGGACCCGACACCCGCAAACACCAGCTCGACAAACGCCGGCGACCAAGCGCCAGAAATAAACTCCACCGTGATCCCCTTCTCTGCCAGGTCCTTCACAAACCGCTCCAGCAACTCCGGGGTAACATCCAGTTCCTCCTCCTGCTCAGTCTCCGGCGGAGCCCCGGCGGACACGGACGTCCGCTGGCTGACGATATAGTTCCACGTCAGAAGGAGATTAGGCAGCGTGACGAGCCGCAGCACAGCAGAATTGTAGTCCGCGAAGGTGAAATGCGTTTTTCGCCCGCTCGGCTCTGGGCGGGCGAGCAGCTGCGCGAAGAGCGCCAGAGACGGCACGGCGGTGCCAGCGCCAAGCTAAATGCGTCAGGCTCGGTTCATAGAGATATAGATGTCTATTTGGGTCGGGGAGGGAGCCTACCTCGATGATATGCAGATCTTGGGCGCTCTCGGACGCCACGCCCTCGGCAGCGACGAGCTTGGCCAGATCGAGCGCGCATTCCCACGTCTTGAATCCCCCCTCGTAGAAATTGGGCTTGATGTCGCCCTCTTCCAGGCCGGAGATGAGTTCTTCGTTCTCGTGGTCGGCTGTGTCTTCGGCCATGAGTTGGGTGCGGATATCAAACACCTCTCGCCTGGCGAGGGTGAGCGACTCATCTGTCCCTGATACCTCGATGGCGAGTTTGTTGTAGGAGATTTGTGAGGGGAATGTTGGGATCTGGGGATGTCAGTTGTTGATTGACTGATATCGTTTGTATATATTGGGCACTTGTAGGGGCTGTCCTTCGATATGAAGAAACAAGGCAATCCCAAGAGATACACCCACTTACCCACTCCTTAATATCATGTTTCTGCGCCGGCACTAGAGCCGGGAGACCATTGTCCTCGGTTTGGGCGAGGTTGACTCCTTCTTCATGCAACTCGGAGTCGTCAATATCAATGTCGTCGCCGGAGAAGCCAAAGCTGAACGCCATGTTTAGTAGTTGCAGAAGTGGCAGTATTTATGTACCAGCTCCTTTCCAGCAGAGACCCTCCCAGTTCTAGACAGGAGAGGCGATCGGCGATATACAGCGTCCAATGTTCCTACTGTCGTGGGGTAGTTATAGATGGTGCCCCGCAGGTGAAACGGGAGAGAAAATTTTGACAAGCGTATGCTCGACTGGGGTAGTATCCCTAGAACGGTTCCTTCAAAAAAATAGGACAATATTGTAGGATTTGCTTGAATAAAAGACTGCTCTGCCAGTCACATTTCGTTTGAGGTTTTTTTCACTTATCCCACGGATGACTAATCGCCATACTGATGCTTCAGTGGGTAACTATGCAAATAACTATACAGTCCACGTCCTTTACATTTGAGTATACTAGAATAAACAGTGCTATGTTAAAAACAATCCATATCATTATTATCCGTCTAAGGTATATCTATACTCTATCAGATCTATGCAGTCCCGTTCCCGTTCTGGCCAGCAGTAACCGCCTTCTCAAGTGCCTGCAGCGCATCCGCCACGAGATCCTCCGCATCCTCGACACCGCAACTCATGCGCACCAGATCGTCAAAGACACCGGCGGCCTCCCGCTGGTCCTTGGGGATTCCAGCGTGCGTCATGCTAGAGGGGACCTCACAGAGCGACTCGACGCCGCCGAGACTCTCGGCCAGAGTGAAGACCTTGGTGTACTGGCAGAACAGATGGGCCGCCTGCTGGCCGCCCTTCATGCGGAAGCTGAGCATACCGCCACCCATGCCCTGGCGGTGCTGCTTGATGGCGATGGCGCGCTGCGGGTGCGACTCGATGCCCGGGTAGTTGACGGAAATGACGTGGGGGGAGGCCTCGAGGGCGCGGGCGACGGCCGTGGCGTTGGTGGTGGCCTCGCGCGCACGCAGATGCAGCGTCTTGAGACCGCGGTGGGCAAGCCAGCAGTCGAAGGGGGACGGGACGGCGCCAATGGCGTTCTGGAGGAAGGTGAGGCGCTCCTTGAGGCTGTCGGAGTTGAACGCGGCGACTCCCATGAGAACGTCCTGGGGATGTTAGTCAATTGCTTGCATGAGACTTATAAAGGGAAGATGTGCGTACCGAGTGACCGTTAATGTACTTGGTGACGGAGTGGACGACAATGTCGGCACCGTGGTCCAGAGGGTTCTGGACGTAGGGGCTCATGAACGTGTTGTCGACAACGACCAGGATTCCGTGGCGATGTGCGACGGCCGCGACCTTGCGGATATCCACCAAGCCCAGCGTGGGGTTCGACGGGGTCTCGATCCAGACCAGCTTGGTCTCGTTGGGCCGGATCAGTTCCTCCACGTCAAGTTCAATGCAAGGCGAGAAGGTCACATGCACACCGTGCGCGGACGCGACCTTGGTGAAGTATCTATGCGTACCGCCGTACACGTCGGAGACGGAGACGACGTGCGATCCAGCGGCGAGCGACTGGAGGATGACGGCAGTGGTCGCGGAGCCGGAGGAAAAGGCAAGGGCATATTTAGCGTGTTCGAGCGCGGCGACAGCCTGCTCAAAGTTGTCACTAGACCGGGTTAGTTGGACCGTGTCACCGATACACAAGTGCGTTGGATGCGCAACAGGCGACATACCGATTCGGGTTGGAACTCCGTGTGTATTCGTAGAGACCGACGGGATTGCCGACGCTGGTCTGCGCGAACGTCGTGGAGAGGGAAATCTAGGATTGTCAGTCCATTGCGGCTGACGCCATTGGATTCTAGAACGGATTGACTGACAGGAGCAATCACTGCGCCGGTGGTGGGATCATGAGGGGCGCCAGCATGAACGGCCAAAGTGCCGAAGCGGCGATCCTGCGCCAGGTTTCCATTCTCGTGACCGGTCATTTTGATGTGTACGAAGTAATCAAAAGCAGATAGAGAAGCGCTGCGAATTGATAGCTTTTTGGGGCTAGAAATGCGACAATAGTAATAATATCAGAGGGATTGTTGGTGGAAGAAGAAAAGATGGGATGGAGGTACGATGAGATCACAGGGAGATGATCGATAAGAATCCCTTGCGGTAGTTATATGCCCCGAACGGATGATTTATAATATGTACAAAAGGCAGTCAGACCCGATGCTTACGGTGTCCGAGTTTAAATAATTTGTAATTTTCCTTTTAATTTTTTCTTCAATTTTTTTTTTCTTATGAAACCGAGAAAAATCTGATGCTTGACCGCGGTTTCTTTTACGTTGCGGATTCCTGTCGATTGGGGCCCGCGCGGGTTTCCAGAACTAAAAAGGGACTCCACCGCCGCTCTCCCGCCACTAACCGAGTGCCTCAAATAGACGGAGTACATTGGCTTTATTCTAGATAAGCTGGGGGTTGAAGAGTGTCAAAGTATATTCCTAGGCCTAATGATATCGATTTTTTTAGGGATTGCGCATAGTAAATGTCCCTCATGACTCATAACACGGAAGGCTCGATTAAGGCCTCCCAATCAGATACTTGATGCCAAAGTAGAAGGGTGATTCAGAACACTCCTTAGGGTAGTTCTATAACTATGTGAATGCACATATATTGATATGGATCCGACTATGTCTCCAGTTGCGCTACCAGACGTCAAAGGGTTATTCGCAAATTTCTTCACATGGGTATGTTTGGCTCTGGACTGCCTAAGTGAGTAGTAAATACCTGTAGCCCGTATCATTCACCCATAATCAACCTGTTTAAAGATGATAACAACGTGGACTAAGGAACACAACTTCTCTTCTTCCTCTCGCTGAGCTTTTCTCACCTTTTCTCTTCCCTTTCCGCCCATGTCAGTGCCTAGGGAACCAAACGTAGCCTTGAGGAAGCCCGTGGCATCGAACTCTCCTGATTACCATATCTTCTGATTCAAGGGAATCTGTCAATCAAAAATGACTGCTAGGTCACCTAAATGTGAGATTTTCTGGTGGCATAGATGCGGGGGAACAGTCTGATGACTCAACAGTGGGATCGAAGGGAATACGAGATGACTGACAAGTGTATGTTCTTATGATGGAAATTATCAGCCAAAATGATCACTGCACTACCAAAAAGTTGCTTAGATTGTCTCTGGCATGCCGGTCTGATTGGGCCTTGCAAATGGTCGCCAGATGACAAACCGGCTCTCTGCCGGGTGTCGTCATTCCCCTTGCATCTTAGCAATCAAACTCTAAATTTGTCCATCGGACGTTTGGCAGCTCAGCCGCAATAGTTAGGTATCTTAGGTTGGATTTGATATTAATATCAAAGTAAGAACCGCAAAGAAGTCAGAAGAACGCAAACAGGCAGCAAATTCGTAAGCGACATGTCTAGTCTCACTACCACCAGGATATGGGCCCCAATCCGGCCATTTGCATCGATCCCTGCGCGAGTTAGAAGATTACTCCAAGTCGGAGGTGACATAGTTCGGACGTACAATGATCGAGTAAGGCGGTTTTCGCTCGCTGGTCGCGCCATCGCCCAGATCCGGTGCGTTGGGAATCTGGTCATGCCATTCTTCCATCTCCACACGGAGTCGGACAATTTCGCCCACGTCAAAGTAGAACGTAGAGCCGTCTTCGTTTTCCCAGATCCACACTTGGTCGGCGTAGTCACTGCTCTCGTCAGTTCCCTGGATGCAATAGACTAATGCAAAGAGACTTACAATCTTGCGCCGTCAAGGAGCAGGTTAGGGGGGACGAGGATGTCGTTGAAGAACTCGACACCAACTGGAATGCTCAGTGGGGTGACCGTCGTCGCCGCAGGAAGGGACATACTCTTGATGCCGTGCTCGGTGGCGCTGGAGATCTTTCCCAGCATGATCTCGCCTTTGAAAGGGCGGAAAACAATCAGACGGAATTTCACTGAATCATCAGTCAGAAAAGAGAATCAGCGAGAGAAGACGGCATGGACAAACCATTCACATTCACCAGACCGGTTCCATGGCCAATGAGACCGTCGGAGGATTCGAGCAAGTCATAGAAGCCAATGCAAAGACCAATCTTTTGGATGACCTGTGATCGTCAGGACCTCATCCTGGAAACAGATCGTCCGAACTCGAACTGGGAAGGGATCCTACTTTATTGGCGTACTTCTCGTTGATGTTGTCTTCAATAGCCACCGAACTATACTTGGAAAAGTCTTCGGGGGCGATCTGAATCAGATCGGAGAGAGTGGTCTGCAATAGTCATTAGTATCTGTATCATTCCAGGGACTGATGCAACTGACAAGGATGAACATTGTGGTTCACGACGGCGCGACGGTGAAAGCTCTTATCCTAGCGTGGTGACAAAGCGAGAAGAATTCTGGGACATGTATTCCATATTCGACAGACAGACAGCAAATACGCGACGATCACTATGCCATCGTCTACGCCAGTCTCATCGTCGTGGAGCGGAAGTATACAAGCAGAGGACTGGCCAGCGATGTAAGGTACTGCAGTATCAGTCAAAGCCCTCAGCCTGTCAACCAATCGCAGCCTGTTGATCCTCCGATTCTGATTTTCTTACAAACACGGCACGTGACTCATCGGAACGGAACAACGTGGATGGGCCCATCGTGGTCGAGAACCGCCAACCGCCTTCCGTCCCAGGAATTTCTCAGGGACGGAAAAGAGGCCCGAGCTTTGCGAGCTCTTCCGCTCACTTTCGAGTGTCTTGGACGATGGCGTGGATGCTGTCGTTCTGCGAAGGTCCGTGATCTTCGTCCCCGCAATGAACTCCCAGGGGTTTTCGTTTCCTCCTCCCCCTCCGCCGCCGCCATCTTCACAGCAACCACAACAACCGCAACAACCTTATGGGAACCCGCCTGGTGCCTATCCTTCCCAGTATGGTCAGGGTGCTTATGCCCAGCGAGGGGGACGTTCCGGTGGTCCTCCACGAGGACGGGGACGAGGATATGGGAATAGGGGCGGAGGCCGAGGAGGCCACTATATGGCTTCGTCCGCACCCGCTGCTCCCTCCTACGCTCCGATGAACTATGCATCTAGTTACTCGACTCCAGCATATCCGAATCACCAACAGTACACATCTCCGCAACCGCAGGGCTATCCGAATGTGGCCAACTCGACTCCCTACACTGCTGCCAACCCATATGCCCACCCTGCAGCGACACCTGGCTCGTCCTATCAGCGGCAACCAGGCTACGATGCCGCTTACGCGCCGCCACCATCGACGACGCAGTCCACGTCGACCTACGCTCCAGTCATGCCCAACCCGCCGCATACGCAGCCCGCCCCGCCCCCAATGATGGGCCCGCCTATGCGCTGGGGATTTGAACAGGGCAATGCGAACCCCGCGGGCTCGTATGCGGGGGCCCAACGTAACCAGCGCGGTCCGCGTCCGTTCAATGCCTACGGTGGCCCGACTCCCACCGGTGGACACCAGATGCACCATGCCAACAAGCGTGACCACAAATCGGCGTTTGGCAAGCCGCAGTCCATCGGGCCGCGAGTCCCTGCACCACCGCCAGTGCCGAGCTTCGGTAATCCGCTCCCGTCAAAACCGCCCCCTCCGGCGGATGCCGCCCGGAAACCGAAGAAAAAGAAGAGAAAGCACAACCAGCTGGGGCTGACGCCGAAGACGGAGGAGCATGAGTCGAGCGAGGAGGAGGACGACGTAGACGAAGAGTCCAAGTTCGCGCAAGGGGGCGCCGCTGCAGCCGCACTCCAAATCACATATAGAGGCCGAACGTCGACATTACAGAGTCCTGAAGATATAGCTGCGTGGATCGAGGAACGAAAGAAACGGTTCCCGACCCAGGCTAGAATAGAAGAGAGAAAGAAGGCTATGGAAGAGGCGAAGAAGGCGCGCGAAGAAGCTGCGCGACAAAGAGAACAACGCCGACAGGAGACGAAGCGGGCGCAGAAAGAGCAGGCTAATGATGGGGCCAATCCAATGGATGAGGCTGCGAAAGCCAAGCAAAGGGCCGACAAGCTACGGCGAAAGCTGCAGAAAGAGCAGAAGCGTGTGGAAAAGGCCGAGGCTGATGCCGAGCGTGCGCGAATGAAGGTCGAGGAGTTACAAAAAGCGGCGTCTGCTCAAGCTCAGCCTGGGGGCAGCGGATCGGACGTGGCCCCTCAAGGGGTTGAAACTACAGATGCCGTCTCAACCGACACCGCTAATGTCGTACCGAGCAAAGATGCAGTGGAAGACGATGCAGCCTTGTCATCCCACGCCTCGGAGAGTAGCGATTGGACATCGTCCAGCGGGTCGGATACATCCTCAGATTCTGACGATAGCGACGATGACTCGGCGCCCGAAGAGGCCACTTCTCGACGCGAGGGACCCGAACGGGTGGCGCCGCCTGCAAGAGAGAGCAAGAAACGCATATGCCGTCATTTTCTCCGGACCGGGCGCTGTCTACGGGGAGATAACTGCAAGTTTCTGCACGAGAAGCCAGAGCGGCCGGTCAAACAGAAGGCTGCGGAGAAGCCCGGGCGGAAGGGACTTCTTCAAGCGGTGAGTTTCCTATATCAACAATCTTGGGTGTTGAATGGCTCTAACGGATATAGCTGCTTGGTCGCCAGAAAGAGGACGAAGATCGACGAGCGATGGAAGTGATAGTGTGGTTGGGAGAGAACGGGCTGTTGGAGAAGACCGAGTCTGGCGACAGTGCTCCAGCGACGGAAGCCCAGCATGATAACAGTGAAACTCAGCAGCCGGTTGGATAGACGAGTGACTGGCGCGGTGTCTGCTTGTACATATACGCTGATATACGCATCTCAACATATACGGAAACACGTGGTAATTCTGCATGCAATTAGTCAATACTCCAGCTTCTTCCCCGACTGGGGTGGAAACATATGCTACTACTCGTACTTATTAGCTCCACCTGCATCAACCTCGGTATTCGGCCAGATATAGCCTGGGATCTCCAACATTGTTAACCCACACTTTTTTCCCTGTACTCATCAAGTCCAGACAGTCGAGACCATGTTTAACATCCAGGAACATGTCATTCCGTGCCAATTCGTCCGCGAATACCCCCGGGCGACAGCCGACGGCCAAAACACCGGGCTCTCGCTAGCCGTCAAGCAATATACTCCGAGCACGACGCCGGACCCTTCATGCCAACGTATCACCCTCATCGGGGCGCACGGGAACGGTTTTCCCAAGGTGCGTCGCTTGCCATACTTGCGTATAGCGCATCCATACACGTTGACGAAAATTAAACTGGATATACTGTAGGAACTGTACGAACCGCTATGGGAGGAGCTCCACGACCGCCTCCTCGAGCAGCGCATTGCCATCCAGAACATCTGGATCGCCGACGCCGCGCACCAGGGCGCCAGCGGACTCCTTAATGAAGAGAAGCTGGGGAACGATCGTACGTCTACCCTACTACCTACCTTACCTTCTCCTACCCTACGCTCCTACAACGCAATCCAGAGTACTCACAGACGGTGTAGCCTCCCTCTTCGACCACTCCCGCGACCTCATCCACATGATCAACCACTTCCAATCGCAAATGACGCTCCCCCTGATCGGGGTCGGCCACAGCATGGGCGCCACGCATCTCATCCACGCCGCGCTCACGCACGCCCGCCTCTTCCACGCGCACATCCTCATCGAGCCCGTCCTCTACGACCGTCCCCCACCCCCAGCCGTCCGGGGCCCTGCGCACGCCGCCGCCGCCCGCCGCGACCGCTGGCCATCGCGCGACGCCCTCGCCGCCTCCGTCGCAAACAGCAAGCTCTACGCCACCTGGGACGCGCGCTGCATCCAGCGCTGGCTGCGGTACGGGGTGCGTCCCGCCGCGACCCCAGACGGGGCCGACGCCGTTACCCTCGTCACGACCAAGGACCAGGAGACCTTTGCGCTGACGCGGCCGACGTACCTGAGCCGGCCTACGGCTCCTCCCGATGGGCTTTGGGCACCGCCAGGCCCGGACTCGACAGCCTCGCTGGACAGGGCGCTGCGCCAGTACGCGGCCTGGCCGTTCCTGCAGCCCGAGCCGATGATCATCTTCCACCAGCTGCCGCTGCTGCGGCCGGCGGTGCTGTATGTATACGGGGCGCAGTCGGAGTTCCTGCCTGGTGGGGTGCGAGCGCGGGCGAGGTCGCGCACCGGGGCCAGCGTGTTGGGGAGTGGAGGGGAGGCACGCGGACGCGTACAATCGATGGAGGTTGAAGGAGCGGGACATATGGTGCCGGTTGAGCAGCCGGGGCGCATTGCGCGGCAGACGGCGGCGTGGATTGCGGGCGAGGTGCGGCGGTGGAGGGAGGAGCAGACGGGTGTGGAGGCGGAGTGGCGGGGGAAGACGGGGGCAGCGAGGAGGACGTTGGATGAGGAGTTTGTGTCGCGGTTGGGAGTGAAGCTGTAGAGGTGAGTGATTGAGTTGAAATAAGCTTGACCGTTGGATGGAGGGTTGCATGAGTCGGGGGATGGTGAGGGAGTCGGTGTTTCGTGTCGATCAGTGGGGATATACGAGTAGGGGAGTACCTAGGACATGGGGTAGTGCGGAGAGGGAGGGTTATACCTACCTGTGTATCTGGTGCGTTGAAGAGCAGATGAGTGTAAGTAGACGTTATGAGAAGATGATGCAGGACTACGGAGTATATAGGAAGGTAAGTAGGATGATATTGGTGGAGGATAACCCAGTTTGCCAAGGCTCGATCTCGGTAAGCTTCAAGTTTAATTGCAATCAGTGGATCCCATTGAGTGTTCGAGGGATTGTTGTGTTCTATTGATTCATCCATTCGTGTACATGTATGGAGGTAGGTACCAGGCACTTATATGCACCTTGTCTATGGATGCCATAGATGCAAGATGGAGAAATTCTCCGCATGCCTCGACGCAGGAGAATTCTGCGCATGACAGGCAAGGAATTTACAGCCGACGGGGATCGCGGAGATGAACGGTATGCGCTAGTAACGACGGTAGCTTGGTGTATCTCTAGGCAGTACCCAGGGACGGTGTCTGGGTTCCATGGGACTGAATCTATTATTATCGTGAGGAGAAAGAGAAGAGAATGAGGAAAGGGAAGAGAAGAGATGAATCAATTGAGATCAATAATTATAAAATAAGAAATGGAAACAATAATAAATACTTTACTCTATACTCCATACATACCAGTTGGACAGACGAGCCCATTGGCTCGCACTAGTAGACGAACAGACTAGCCCAACATCAACATTACACCGCATATACATAAACCCCGTCTTTTCCCTCTTTTCCCTCTTCTCTCTCTTTTCTCCCCCTCTCGCTTCGTCTTCCCATCTCTGGTCATTCTTTTGCCCCTTCGCCTTCACCCTCCCTCTCCCTTAAAAACTCCTCACCCTTGGTTGAGTTGACTCTCCAACTCTCCGTCCACTCCTTCTGTCCATTATTCCATCCCTCGTTTGCTTTACTATCCCTATCACCATGCGCTTCTTCTATCTCTCCCTCAGCGCCTTCGCCGCGCTCGCCGCTGCTGCCGACAACGCCAACCCCTTCAACATTCCCACCGAGGGTTACACCTTCACGGCCGGCAAGCCTACCACTCTCACCTGGCAGCCTACCACCGAGGGCTCCGTGACCCTGCGTCTGCAGTGGGGTTCCGTCCTGACCGCCGATTCCGGCTCCGTCATTGCCCGTATGTCGACTGATTCCTTTGTCCCTGGTCAGTTGCTAACCGCGCACAGAGGGCATCGCAAACTCCGGCCACTACACCTGGACTCCCCCGGCCAACCTGGCCGCCCAGCCGGACTACACCATCGAGATCATCGATGACAGCGACACCAGCGAGGTGAACTACCTCCCGCGCTTCACCGTGGCTGGTGCTACCGCCGTGGCCACCCACAGCGCGGCCACCACCACCACCTCTGCGGCCACCACCTCGTCCACCGAGGCTTCTACCTCCACCGAGGCGTCCACCTCCACTGAGAGCAGCACCACCAGCACCGCGAGCTCCAAGTCTCACTCGCACACCACCATGGCGACCACCACGAGCGGCAGCTCCAGCGCCGCCACCTCCACGGACAGCTCGTCCGCCGCCAGCAAGACCGCCGCCTCCACCACCACGGACTCCAACGCCTCGAGCACCTCCAGCACCGCCTCCGGGACCACCGTGCCCAACACCAACGCCGGCATGGCCAACCAGGTCTCGGGCGGTCTGATGGTCGCCATGCTTGGTGCTTTTGCCCTTCTGTAGGGGGTCCCTTCCGGACAAGGGGGGTCTCGTGCTGGACGTGCAGTGCTGTCTGCTGTTTAGTACATATTGTTTATTTTCTTTTTCTTTTTTCTTCGGCTACTTTCGTTGAGCATTTGCCCCCTTGCGTTGTCTCCCGGACGTGACTGATACCCCCGGGGTATGTAATGTTTGTCTTGAAGAGCGAAAGGAATTTTCGGGGTCAGCCTGGCCCCTAATTACTTGATTTCTTTTTTTTTACTGCTTATTTTCTTGGATGACTGGGTGGGATGCCCGCGTGTACGATGGGATTCGATGTAGATATGTATGTATTCTAATGAATTTGCACGTTCGCAGCATTCGCCGGGGGACTTGACTGTAAATCCCGACGCGGAGATAGGATAGGGGCGGCACAGCCCCCAGTAAGCAGGTACTGTACAGGTACCGGTACTTACGGTATGCATACCGGCCGTCAGCCGATCAGGTACCAAGTACCTCGCCCCCCAATCAGCACCGTTGACGGGTCCGCCCAGCATGCAGGTGGGAAATTAATCCACCGCGTTCTGGCGGAATGAACGCACGGAGAAAATCTCCCACACAATCAAACGCAGGCCAAACACCCTGTCTCTCTCTCCTGAATTCCTCCCTGTGCGACTTGTGCGACCGGCCTCGAGGAGCTCGCAGATTGGCCGGGACTCAGGCCCTTCGCGCCGCCGAGGATTATCCTAATTTTAGGAGGAAGCGATCCGTCGCGATCAACGCGGTTATCAGCTGGGTGGGGCTGGGAAATTGCGCTTCATTATTCTGTACTCCGTAGGTGTTGGTTCGGTGTCTGTTTAGTTAGTTAGTTAGTTAGGTACATACTAGTAGTTATGTACATAAGGTAGTTAAGGTACCTTAGTTGGTGGTTGGAGGGGTTTACTTTGTACGGAGTACTTCTCAAACGCGTCGTTTGGTGGTCAGGAATGCTGGTTCGATTCTTGATTGAAGGGTGGTATGTACGGAGTATGTTGATCTCCATTGTGCTCCATATGCTCCATATGCTCCATACTCGATGTGTTGCTTGAGCTGTTATCAGGTGGAGTCGGGATGTGATTCGGGTAATCATCGGCGTTCAGTATCTGATAACCGATATGATAAAGATCCATATCTTGGACTTCATGCATACGACTATTTGTATGTGTGCAGCTACAGCAAGTGTCGGGGTCTGCTAACCAAGTAGTACCCTAACTTCTCGTGACAACGACTCCTACAGATTGTAGCACAATTGTCATAATCATCAATTAAGGATAAAGTATAAGAATACGTCACCTTCCAGAGGCCGTATCTAAAGCATCACTGCAACGCCACCCACTGCGGACTCACCCGCCTGATGAACTTCATAAACTTGAAGAACCCAACTGCACTCTCCACATTGCCATACGGATCGACCACCCGTTCCGGGAACGCAATGCCCGCCCCATACAGCCCCGACACCGCCCGTCCACGGCCGTCATGGAACCCTCCCGAAACGGGATCAAACACCGGGTCCAGAGCACACCCGTTGACCGACAGCTCGGGGAGCGGGTCGCGCGTGAAGCCGACGGCCTGGACGAGGTGCGAGCACGACGGCAGATGGCGGCGGTACTGGGCGGGCTCCTGGCCGTTGCCGCAGTCGATCTTGGTGATGAAGCGGCCGGCCTCGGAGTGCGGCAGCATCGCGTCTTCCAGCTGCTGGCGCGCGAAATCCGCCGCCTGGCCTTTCAGGCCGGTGTTGTCGCGCAGGATCCACCCGTCCTTGTACTCGGCGTACCGCAGCGCGTGCCGCGTGAACCACTTGATGCGGAGGTGCGGGTGCGTGGTGCGGGCCAGCTCGACCAGGTTCAGGAGCGCCAGGATGGCGCTGTGGGATGCGCCCACGACGGCTATCGTCTGTGGCATGTCCCGCGGCAAGTACGAGACGAGATCGCTGGGTTTCAGCACTACATCCAGGTCCAGCCGTTCGATGTGGTGGTTGTCGTCCAGGGTGGGGATGGGGAGTTCTGTCGGGGAAGCCCCCGTGCAGAGGATCAGACGGGGTGTGAGGACCTCGATTTCGCGATGGTCCTGGAGTGTGATTCGAACCGTCCATTGCAAGGTCTAGATGCGAGATTAGTCACTGGACGGGAGAACTATAGCGCCAGAGACGGACCGTTTCAGCCAGGTTGGCGGCCGTGACCGCGCCCCGACACGCCAGAACCTGGTCCATCTTGACGATGCCGTCGGTCAGGGCCCGGACCACGTCGGCGGCGTGGTGCAGATGACAGGTCTTCTCGGGGTCCAGCTTGGCCATCGTCGAGAACGGACTGGGAATGCGGGTGCTGTTGATGACAGAGCGGAACGGCTGCACGGCCGTTGCATATGCCTGGAAGAAGGATACTTTGGTGTTGCTACCCGCAGTCAGTCGAAGGAGTTCGTCCCGACTATGACAGCCCGACGGAACACCCACCTGGGTACTTCACGGTATTTCCGATGTACTCGGCCCGCTTGAAAATAAGGGTCAACCCAGGCGATTTTACCCCCGAGCTGTTTCTCCAGCAGATTGCCCATGACAGCCAGACCGGCCGGACCAGCTCCCACGACAACCGCCGCGCATTTCTGGGGTGGGCTCATGGCGGGAGATGTGTGGTAGAATGTAGGTTCACAAGATCGGATGCAGATGAAAAATCCCGGGATATCAGAACATGAGATGTCTCCGGGCACGTAGACAGACAAGTCAGACGGTTTCTAGCAGAAATCGGCGAAGTAGCCGGGAGGACGGTGGGCTTTATGCGACACTGGCCGCAGGGAGTCGCCGGCGACTCTTTCGGCGAAACACGCAACTCGAGCGCATGCTGCTGGCCTGGCCGAGAGGGGCAGCCCCCTCCTCCCCTTGATATGCGAAACGGGAAGGCATGGGGCGAATGACAGGCGCCAGAGCGCAAAGTCTAGACATGGGAAACAGTTCTCGGGCGAGACCAGGTGCGCGCTGCGTCATTTGCATCGCCGATGCGGTCAGGCGGTGATATCCTCACGGTCCCCGAAGCCACCACGATTCGTCCGTGTGTGCATCGTCGCTCGAAGCAGCATAGGCTGGCCGTTGCGCAATCAATGCAAATGCCCCACCATCATTCTGAAGGGTAGATCCTGGCCGGTTGGCCTCGGACTTGTTCATGTGTTCAATCGCCGATTCGGGGATGGAGATGGTTCAGTCGGCGACTGACAGAAGTTGCGCGGGTTCGCGAGGGTTGCTCGACATCATGTTGGAGGGAGGCATCACCGGTCTTCTCCCGTGGTCTTGTCGCAGAACCAGAGCAGAAGACTCGCGATGCGGTCGTGGAGGAGAACGCGGTCCTTATATTCGACGGCCGTCGAGGGCTGACTGGTGGGGCTTGGCGCAATGGCGTGATTTCGCTGCCAGATGAGGTTATGGTGACATGCCCGAAGGAGTAAGTTTCCAGCAGATTACCTGTTTGGGCACTAGATCTCGATCACCTCATCTCTTTGGGCTGCTATAGGCTTGTAGGTGGACATACATGTAGGCGTACGGAGTACGGAATCTCCAGGTGAGTTACTAGGTTGGTATACTCCGGAGTGTGGTTCCGGTGAGGTTGTCTTACCCCTCAGCTGCCATGTACATCCATGTATGAAGATCAAAGTACAGTCAACAACAACTACTGGGAACAACATAACTACCTCTCAACTAGATCGCCCAGAACACTCGCACCGTGAGCTCTTTCACAATATTTAGCCATCCCATGTACCGCGCACGCCCCCAGACGGAGATCGAATCTCCAAGTTCCAGCGACCGGACTTGACTCCCGTCCAACGTCGCTCGGCCTCGGCCCTGCCTCTGCTGGATATCCTCCGCCTCGGGCGAGTCGGCCGGGATATTGTCGAGGTAATGCCAGACGACGACATGTCGGTCCGGCTGCTGCGACGCCGTCGGGTCGGCACCGTTGGATTGTAACTTGTTCGGCCCCGGGTTCAACAGCGGATGTCCAGACCGTAGACGCAGGCCGTCGGGCCCTCGGGGAGGGACACCCTGCGTCTCGACTGGGTGGTCGGGCAGATGGGCCGAATGGACCACTTCTGTATCGAACCAGGTGTTCGACCCGTCATACGGACGGGGGCGCCGCCCGCCGCCTTGGTCGTGGGAGGAGATCGAGAAGACGATCTTGCGGCATGGATGGATGGTGCGGTGGGGTAGTAGTTTGGGCGAAGGCGTCCCTATCGTCTATCCCCCAGCGTGGACGTTGTCAATTTCAATCCATGGGAGTCACGGGAGCATGGCAAACTCACCTCCGGGTCATAGCATAAGGGCCATGTTCGCACGAGCACTTCATCGCCATCTTGGTGAATCACCCGTCGGCTGTCCATTCGTACCTCGGCGGAGGCCCAGTACTCGGCCGCGTCCATGATCATGTCCACGATCTCCACGGGAAGTCCTTCCGGAACAAGCTTCCATCGCAGCATGAAGCGGACCTTGAGAACATCGTAGACTTCCGGGTAGTATGGTTCCTGCGGACCAGTCGTCTCCTGATTGTCCTCGTTTGGTTGTGAATCATCATTCGGAGGCGACATGGTCCTTCTAATCCCAAGTCGGTTGAATGCCGCAGAGACCGCTGGGAACATGGGTAGGTTTGTTGAGCTCCAGCTCCTAGTACCTGCTATCAAATAGATCGGTAAGGTCTGAACAGACAAGGCCAAGCACTGTACTCCGTACTGTGGCTATGAAGACGGCTGACGGTCAGATTGAACGGACAGGCACCAATGTAACCAGCCCCAACAAGGACCTTGTCTAGCTGCGCCACTTGCTAGACGAATATGAGCCGTAAAGAGTTATGCTTCTGCTGAATATCTTCTTTTCCTGACTCCACGTCGGTTTCTCCGTCGCTCATCTGATGCAAGAGTGTTGCTGCCAAGGAGGTCGTTCCTCCGCACCCCGCAGGATAAAGTAGGCGGTGATGGTAGGTAATCTTCGTGAAGTTACGCTGGTTTCATGTCACCAAGAGTCACTTCGTCGCTGATTGCGGGTATGTCTCATCAAGTCTTGCTATGCAGGTCAACATCAACAAATACAAGACCAACTGATCGCCTTCAGGAAGAACTACAAGAGGGGACCTCTACAATGACGTCACAGGCTTCCAGCACAGTTGGTGCCTCAGGTGTCATTGCACCCGACTGTCTACAACAAAGATACAACAAACGTTGACTACTCAAGATGATGGAGACGACGGGTATAGTAACGCAATAGTATGTGCCGCCGTGCAGACAGATCTTTCCTAAGATACATACAAAGTGAGCAGTCCTCTCACATCAACCCCGGTCTACTTTCCTCCGTCCGCTTTCTTTCCTCCGGCAGCCCGGAAAGCTGCTGCTCGCTTACTGCTGCGATTCTTTGGCTTGCCCTTGGACCCGCGACTCTTCGTCTTCACGCGGATGCGAGACCCATCCTCTGTGGCCCGATGGCCTTCAAACACCAGAGAGTTCTGCGAAATGGTCTTTTTCGCATCCGCCTTCAGCTTGGCTGCCCCGGCTCTACCAAACAGCTTGCCGGCACGGCCCTGGAGCGTCTTGTCGGCTTCGCGAAGGGTTTTGTTCGGAGCACCGCTGTCCTCGCGCTTCTTCATCACCTTCTTGGCCCGTGACACGCGGATCTTCCGTGGGAGCATGGGCGGAAAATTCTTTCCGTTAAGCAATAGGGCCTCCTCCACGCAATTCTCGTCATAGAACTGAACATAGGCAAATCCTTTCCCGACCCGAGTCGCACGATCTCGGACAACACGGACAGACTCGACGCTTCCTTTCTTTGCATCGTCGCCCTTCTTAGACCCACCCGTGTGGGCATTGAAGGTACGCCAGAGGCCCTCTTCCACATCCGCAGGGGCTCTCTTCTTCTTCTTTTTCTCCTCGCCCTCCATTTCGCCTTCTTGGTCCACAAAGTCGAGGTTCCCAACGAAAACGCATCGTTTGTTGTCGATCTTGGCCGGGTGCGCAACGCTGTCCACGCGCAGATGCCGGTCGAGGACGACCGTTCCGTTCAAGGACAGAGCCTTCCGGGCCCCCTGTATCGTGCTGTAGACAGCATATGCGTTGGTGCTGGGAGTAGTCTCATCCAGGAGCTCCCGCTTGGCGAATGCAGCTCGCTTGGGGATCTTCCCGCCGCTTGCAAAGGCCGTGGAACGGAACCGAATTGATTCCACCTTGTGCGGTCCCGTAGACTCGGGCAGTGTAGACAAAACCGATGCCAGATGGCGCAGGAGAGTCTTCTTCGCGGATTTGGATTTGATGGCCTCGCTAGAGACGTTGCCCAAGAACACCGTGCGGTTGGATCGCTCCAGCTCGTTCGCTGCCGTATCGCCTGTTTCCGTCTCGTGCTTGGGGACAGTCACCTCCTCCTCCGAGCTCTCATCGTCCTCTTCTTCGGACTGTTCCGAGGTGGGCTCCGCATTTTGTTCGCCATCGACTTTCTGTCGCTTCGCCTTCTCCTCACGACGCTTCTTTTCCTCCTTCTGTTCCTCCTTCGCTATACGGCGCATGTAGGAATCTTCCAGATCGTCGGTCGTCGTCGTCCGCTTCCGTTTCCGACTAGCGCCCTCGGTCTGTTCGACAGGCTTCTCAGGAGCCTCGACGGGCGATTCCGCGGCGTCCTGCATGGATTCGTCTTCATCGGGCAGCTCCTCTTCGATTTCGGAGAGTTCCTCATCTTCGACGTCTTCCTCTTCCTCGGCGCTGGGCTTCGTCTTGGACGGCGCGGGAATAACAGCAGGAATGGAGGGAGCCTTGACAGGGCCAGACTGGGATCTTGGTCAGTGAGAGGTCGGAACAAATTGAGAACATTCAACACGCACACTGTTTTCGAATAAAGATGCCAATGTGGGATCCACCGAGGTCTTCCCGCTCAGAAAAGGCAGCGAAGAGCCCGTCTGCGGAGGATTCTCCGACTGTGACTGCGACTGCGACTTGGATTTCTTGCCCATTTTGACTAATACTAATTGTAGGAATCCAGTCGCTGGAGGGTATACAGTGGCAAAGAGGAAAAGGAAAAAAGGAATTCCGGGTTTCAGGCCAACAATGTGGAGGGTTTGTCTCTCCCTCAACGCGGAAATTTTTACTTCTGTATCTTTTTTTTAATTACGGAGCTGATAGCCACATCACGTGGCATCCTTGCCCCGGTTGGGTTTTCCCGGGCGGTCAGAGAAAACTCCAACGAAAAAAGAGACAGTGATGGCAGAGATACCAGACTGCTTTTGATTGTCGCAAGTCCTCACAGTCAGGACTATTTTACCCTTTATATATTAACTATGAAAGTCTCCAGAGTGAGCTGTATAGACCTTCGTGGGAGGTGCTTGATGGGTGTTCCAGGCGGTGAACATCCCAAAGTCTGGATAACACCGGCAGAAAAGCGCCTCGCAGCGTGACGCTCTCCGTCGCCCTCCCTCTCGCTCTCGCTCTCTCGCTGTGATCTGCTCTTCTGCTTCTCCTCTTCCTCCTCTCTCGCTCCCTCACTCTCCTCCTCCCCCCATCGTTCGACCAACGCTGTCTCCCCTCGACTTCTCTCGACTTCCTCCTCCGAATGCAATCATTCCTCCGATTCGCTCGCTCAGCGCTGTTTCTTTTACTTTGACGTCAACCTCGTCTATGCGCCCATCCCGCGCTTCTCCTCTCGTGTCGCCCGCTTCCATCTCCATCTCCCTCCCTCCTCGTCAGGTCCTCCACCGCGCTTCTACCACAAAGAACTTGTCGGCGCTGGCCTGGGTTTTGGAATCGCTATAAAATAATATATCCTGTCCGACGAGCTTTTCCTCCTCTTGTCGGGTCCTACCGCGGCCGCTGACACAGTCAGTCCTGCTCGGTCGCTGGTCACAGCGGATTTCGCAATCGGCGCATTGTTGGATGGTACGTTTTTGACTTCCCTACTGCATCTATCCCAATCTCTTCCTATATGTCGACTCTACACTCGTGGTTTCGCGATGTCGGGCCCTTCTCGGTGCCGCGACCAGCACTCCAGCCGGGAACGACAGCGATAGCCTGCGAGTCTGGGGTGTGATCAAATCTCCGCACCGCCTTTGCTTGCAACTCCTACCTCGCTTCGTCGCCTTCACTCTCCTCGCTTTGATGATGGGAGCTATTTTTCTCTTCCCTGAATTTATGATTTTTTTTCACTTCCTCATAATGGCTTCAAATTTCACCCGCTAATAAAATTTCCTCGCGAAACTAGATCTTCTGCCGACTTCGCCATCCGCACCACTGACTTGCCTCCCCACGAGCTTATCCTTCCGCTAACCCGCTCAACCCTTTTTTTGTCCACCTTCACCTCCAAATCCACACACTCCACTACATCGCCCATGGAGGTGGCCGAGAGCACAGAAGGCACCTCGGTTGGTCCGTCCACCGGGGTGGATTCAACTCTCTCCAATGGCGCACAAAATCTTCTCTTCGACCATCCTTCTCTGATCGACGACGATGGCCGATCGAGTAGCTTGAGTGAAATCGATGATATGCCTTCCGACTATGAGTCCCCCAAACCCGAGAAACTGGCGGAAAATGACTCGGAGGCGGAAACGGAGCGCATTGAGGATTCCCCCAACCGCTTCCGCCCCGGGGCAACAAACATTGTCGTGAGTTCGACTGGCGTCAACCCCAGTCCAAGCAAACTCGCCCAGTCAACCACCTATGATGACGTGGAAGACGATGAGGAACAACTGGGAGACGATTCCCCTAGCAAACCTCGATCCAAAAACCCTCGAGCCACCGACGCCGCCGACGAGACCCCCGGCCTTGACGACTCCGCACTTTCCGAGGGTATGGGGAAGAAAAGGAAACGGTTAGGGTCTGGCGACGATGCAGGAACAGAGATGGACGACGAAGATGGGCCCCCTCAGAAGCGGCGCGGTTCCCTCCGGAGTGAGCTGAGCGACCCGCCGGCAGAAGACATCACTCTCACGCCTGAGCCCATGGAAGAAGAACCTTCCAAGGCTAATGAAGAGGAAACACCCGCTGACGATGTCCCTGAATCCGATCATCCTGCCCCGCCCGCGAAGGGCAAAAAGAGCAAGAAGAGCAAGCGAAAAGTACGAAAACCTCGAGATGCCGATGAAGACGTGGAAGGCACCGCAGACACCGGGGCAGAAGGCGGCCCCGATGATCAGGCTGGGGACGACGATACTGCAGAACGCGACGACGCCGACGACGCCGAAGCCGCCGCCAAGCTCGAGGAAGAATGTATGTTTTCACCCGTTGCTGCATCTTCAAATGTATCTGACACTCGCACAGCAGCGAAACGGATCTCCGCCATGGAATCCCTCTCCGTTCTTGAGAGAGAGTTTGCGACACTCCGCGACAAGTGAGTGGGCCTACATATGCAGTTTGGATGGACACTTACTGACAATTTGTTGGATAGAATCTACGACGAGCGAATCTCCAAACTCAATCGCGAACTGGAAATGCTGAACGGACCCAACCCCACCCACCCCGAATACCTACAGAACCTCGAGGTGATCAAGCGCCATCGTGACGCTAAGATCAACTACGAACACACGCTGTTCCAGTACCGGATCAAGGCTCTGATGAACAAGAGTCTAGCCGAACGGGCGCAACTCCATAGCACATACTTTCAACGAGTCCGCGACATTCGCGAGAAACACTCGAGCTCCATCAGCAAACAGTTTTACGCCATCCAGCATGACCGCTTCAAGACAGACGAACTGAGTCCCCAACATTATATTCCCTTTCCTACGCGCCGCTCGCAACAGATCGCACAGCAGACGGCTTACAACCAGGAGGTGTCCATCATGGCTGGCGTGGCAAAATACGTGGGCTTTCCAGCTGCGCCTTCACTATCCGCCGCACGGCCGTCCGAGCTCGAAGATGACTTGGAGAAGATGGGCGTGAGTTCGTTCTACTTTGTTTAATCAATGAAACCCCAGCTGATCAACCATGCCAACAGATATCCGTTGAGACCCGAGCACCGGCCTCCCAATCGCAAGCAGCGCTCCCCCGCGGCGCTATGCCCGCAATGTCTTCGAGTGTCTATCGGACCGCTGCGGAGGAGGCTTTCCTTGAACAAACGCCATGGGCAAACCCACAACATCCGATCCACCAGCAACAGCAGCGACCTCCCAGTCAAGTTTATGAGAATCCACGAGCGCCAGCATACACAACACCTGCCGCTCAGAAACGGGTTGTGGATGTGAACGCGCCGAATGGGTCGGCCTCCACCATCGCCGAGAACTCTTCCGCGAACAATACCCCCTACGACCAGGAGCAACCATCCCAAAACTTAGGGCCATTCGCCAACCCCGACTACGGCGCAGACCGAAGGTCAGGTTTTCGATCCTTGAGCTCCTCGCCGCTCGACATGCGGAAGCCCCATCCCGCTGCGTACCATGGGCTGGACCACCGCTCACCGCAAGGGGGCCTCCGAAACGCCGCCAATGCTTATTCTCCGCCTCCCGCCCGGCTGGGTCTCTTCCACACGTCCGCCGCGAAGCGGGAATCGTCACCACCGCTGTCTTCTTCGAAACCTGTAAATCCCCTTCATCACCAGTCGAGCGGGCTACTCGGCGGGGCTGGGTCCAACCAAATGGCAGCTCGATAGACACGACGACGGTGCTTTTTCTACGTATATCCCAGCATTTTCCGTTTTATACCGATCTGTTTCTCCGGCCGGGAAGTTTTGTATAGGGTTCACCAGGTGTTGTAGAGTATTGCTGCTGTTTATACGATGGTTCTATACTCATGTGTTCTTGATTGGTAATGTATGTCCACGGATCGGCTTGTATGACTGGACCTGACTGGAACGACGTCAAGTCCTCGTTACTTCCTCTCCAGGGAGAAGGTACTCCGTCTTGGTTGTGCGTTGGGGCTTATATCTTGTCACGTGTGAATATGGGCGAACTGGACGGATACATTGGCGTTTTTCTTTTAACTGTTTTTTATGGACGAACAACGGATGATATACCGACCGCGGTGTTGTCATGTTAAGCCTTGTTTCCCAGGTATACCCACAATGAACTAGAGTAGAATTTGGTTCAATCGAGATCATGGAGTCTGAGTACCTGTCCCCAGTAGTACGCGAGAATAATGCAGAAAGGTTCGTTCGCATTTATACACGTAGTGTTGAAGATTAGAAGAACTCGTGCCCATCTAATCCCACCTTCAGATAATCCCGACAATAGACAATCCGAGCTAAGATACAATACAGACAGAAATAGCAAACATCTATGAGAAATCAGAGTCAGGGAAATGTGTCAACATGTCGATATTCTCCATTGCACAGTCGATAAATGATGGTACTTCGCTAATGTGTCAAGAGTAAAAAGAAATGACAGGAATATGATAGAAAGATTATGAAGCGGCGGCGGTCGACGCCGCGGCCTCTGGTTTCGGGCTGGAGTTCTCGGATGATGCTCCATCTGGAGCGCCGTTCGGTGGCCCGGCGCGGTTGGCGAGTGCAGGTTGCTGGTCTTCGGTTTTCTTGGGACGCCAGCGCGCGAGAATCTTGCCGGCCGAGGGACGGGATTCCTCGTCTGGGTGTGTCAGTTTTGCTTGTTCTTGGTTTTGGTAGGGATTGTAAGAGCTTACATGTCTGATAGACGTCCTCCAACGCGTTGAGACATATTTCCCGCGCGGGAGGCCGGAACATGATTAGATACCTAGATGATCAGGGTTAGCGTCATACGTCGGTGGGCTAGAGGAGATACGTACAGCAAGGACTGGACGCAGAGGTTCACGCGCTCGGGGTCCTTTGCAAGACTAGCAACACGCTTTGTGATGGGGATGGTGACTTCGGGGATTTCGCTAAGGAAGCGGATGAAGATCTTCATGTCTCGCGAGTCCAGATACGGCAGGAATCCATCGAGGAGCTTCAGGGCCCAGTGGTCGTAATGCAAAGGCACAGACGGTTCTTCGTCGTCGTCGTCACTGCGGTGCGTCGCGACGAATGTCATCTGCACTCGATCGTTATACCACTCTTCGTTCAGCCACATGATGCCCACGTTGACCCGGCCACGGAAGTCCTCGAGGATGTATCGGTACAGAGTCTCTCGGATTGAATCTGCGATAGCTGGTTTTCGGGAGGCTTCATCCGCAGCCTTCTTGCCGTCCGCTTCCAGGCCGGCGGGGGCTCGGGTCGCGAGTCGAGTGAGAACAGTCACCCAAGCGTCTCGGTCGAACGTGCTGCCCGCCAACCGGGCAAAACCAAGATGTTGTTGTACTTTTCCTTTCGCAGACGCAGGGGCCACTTCAGTGGTTGCTAGCATGCCGAACACTCTGCTCACTGCTCCCCGGCCAATCTCGGCGGCTTCCTCCTCTTTCAGAGGCGGGGGTTGGGGTAGTACGAACGGTCCCAGAGATACTAGGTCCGGTTCGGCATCGGCCAGTCCGGCAGCGGCGGTGTGAGCTGGAGCCGCCATCGGCTCGGAAACGTCCATCGGCTGGTATTCGGGCTCATAATCATCATCTTCATCTTCGGCTGGGGCCGTAATTGTGCGAGCGGCATGACGTTGCAAGGCGACCTGATTTCGCATGCGGACAGCCTGGAGTATATTAGACATGTTAGGTTGGGGGGTTATAGGTTGACATACATCAACAGCTTGCTGTAAAAGGGACTGATCTACACGAGAGATAATGGAGGGTAAGATCCTGGCGACAAAGTCGGCAGGCATTGATGATCGTACATCAAAATTCTGCACAGCCGGATCTTCGGTGAGGGTATAGAGTTGTGCCCAGGTGATACGGCCTGGGGGCATAGGAGGGATATACAGCGAGCGAGGGGCTTCAGCACCGAGTCTAGCTCGTTTGGCGCTATCGAGGCCGTCGGTAGGCTCAGAGGGTAGTCCACGTTTGCGCGACGAGTCATCAACGGCTTCTATGCGTGACTGCATCAGTCGGTCGATGTATTGCTGCATCTTCCCCGCAAGAGGATGGCTTGGATTTCTGCATCTCCGTTAGCGTTCGTTTCTCTACCCGTGGCCGGGCTTTTGCAATCCGACCTTTTCATTATATTGATCATCAGCGACCTGGCGGTCCTCTCCATCGACTTGACCGCAACACGTATCGTAGGTGTGATTGGACCGCGCACTTGCTTCGCAGGGATGAAGTTCATGACGGCGTTGATTATCTTATTGCCAACCGACTGTCTGGATCGTATAAGGACGGAGAGGGAGTTCAGTGTCGCATTCACTAGGAGGGGATCACTATAAAGGGTTAATGCCGACTCCAGGGTTTCGGATGATAGAAAACAGAAAACAGAAAACATACCTCGATTCCTCCTGGAAGACAGACAGAAGGCGATCCAGCAGGCCAGAGGCTTCTGCTTCCAGGTTGGGAAGTGTGAGAACGGCATGGTTTCTAGGGACGATGGCTAAAGAGGTTTCGTTTTGATCCGGACGCTGTGGTGAAGTGTCAACATCAATAGCGCACTGCTATGAGCCTAAAGGGATATCCATGCAATTGTAGACATACTCTAGGGTCGGCGATTAGGCCATGGGTCTGAACTTGGACGACCCGCTGCACAAATTTGATACAGCATATTTTGACCGGATAAGGAAAGGAATCCCATCGGCGCAAGATGTCTTGCTTCATGGCCGTCATATTCTCCCAGACCGCGGCGTCGTCTGGGTGGTTGATACTGCATGATTCCCATGTTAGTAGCCATAACACTTATGGGCAAAAATTAACGGATATAAGCATCTCTTTCGTTGCAGTCGTCCGACTTGCATCTACGAGGGCTCCTCCTCCCAGGTGAACAGAACAGAGAACAAGTACTGATCACCTACATATGTCTAAAGACCAGGGGATATAGACTGGCGGCGGTCTGGACTATGTATTTCAATGTCGCGGTATCCCGTTCCGGCAGCTCCAATATCTCCCGCAGAGTTGGTAGCACACTGGTCGCCAACTGTCTCTTGGGGCCCGAATTAAACGCCGGGCTGGCGAAAGTCTCGGCGAGGAACTCAGCTCCCCAGCGCCGCAACTCCACGCGCGCGCGGGGACCGATAATCGGAAGGACACCATTCACGATCTGAGGATAGAAGGCGGCATCGCCGAGGACGAGGTTTCGGGCCGCATTGAGCTGGGCGATTTGGTCGACTAGGTGATCGGCCGACTGAGCCATGGCAGCTCGATTCGCAGGAGAGGCGCCGACCGGCGGAGAGGAAGAGACGGAAGGATTTGGAGGATGACTCGAGTGGTCAAGGCGCGCAAACGAGAAGTTCTGTGACGGTTTGCTACAGTCGAATTGGGTTTCGTGAAAAGCGCGACCAATGTTGACCGTCCGCAGGTCGAATGAAACGCGCCCCGGAAAGAGAGGGCGTCAGCGTGGAGTCGGGGGTTCGCTCTCGTTCCTCGATGGCATAAAATGAGTGAATGGAAAGGAACGGGGAAGATCGATCCTACGAACGCTGGGAGGAAGTTGGTGGAGAGGAGATGGAGAGAAGAAAGAATGCCCGATGGAGAACAATGATGAAGTTCCTTGGCTGATGGAGATTCCCAATCGGGAAGTCGACGGCCCGGCAGTTCGGCCGAGCCGATTTAGTACATTTGACGGAGTATACAACTAGAATTTGATTCTACGTGTACCTAGATAATGTCGTTCAAGATCAGAGTGATTTGGGAAGGCAATTAATTATGGCTACTGCTGAATATACATCATAAGGATGACGTCGTCTGCGAAAAGTGCACTACTTTACTCTGCAGAGATATATACCAACGGACGACATGCGTTGTTTTCACATGCTCGGCACCATAGAGAGAACGATAAATACACTGCAGAGATATATTGCATGAATAGTTAATATAACTAGAGTTCTGTGGCTGATTTGTATCATGCGGAGGACGCTGACGCATTTTCTCAATATACAGGGGTTTTAGTGGAGGATATTCTTGGTCCATGAGGGGTCTATATAGACAGCATAGACAAGATCTCCATCCGACCAGGTCCAAGATCTTGCTTGCTTGCTTGCTCATGTAACGTACTAGTACATTAGGGGTCGTTCATGCAAAAGTGACAGAAATCAAGGATTGCTTGATTGAGCATCCTATCGGCGCATCGCCTCATCCAGAAGGCTCTCTGTATGGCCCCAGACAAATTCCGGTATCTTCTGTTCCCGATACTGTGCCAAAATTTCGGTGCTCGGTCTCACATCACCCTTCCAATTCAGAAGATAAGCACCACTTCCGGCTTCGCCAGTAGTACCAGTCGCTACGTCCCCAGTCTCCAGCGGAACTCCTTGGGACACGATACCCTGCTTAGCTGGGTAGCGCGCAGAGCTCAGATGGAATAAATGCCGCTCGCCACTTTCACGGAGATTCACGGAAAAGGGCCACATGAATGGCCACATGGCGTAGTTGTAGAATGTCGACACCGGTGCAGGGAAGCTGTTGGTGTAGATGTTGGTACCAACAAGACCCGGGTAGACGTGAATAAAACTGACAGCCGGGTGGATGCTGGCGAGGTGTTCCATGCTTAGGGATGTCATGGTGATGGAGTGCTTGTAGGCGTTGAGAAGGGAGAAGTTGTGCTTGAGGTCGAGGTCGGACGTATTGATGGAGTACTCGAAGCCGCCACCGTAGACACTGACCACTCGACTTGGCCCAGACGACTCCAAGAGTGGGAGAAGATTCTGGATAAAACGCATGCGGGAATAATAGCGGAGAGCGAAGAGGTAGTCGATACCTTCGACGGTTTCTGGGATCCTTTTGTCAGCACAATGCACTCCCTGACATGAACCCCATCTGCATACCGTTTCGACCCCCGAGAGAGATTCCTCCGGGGGTCATAAAGAGAAAGTTCAGCTGCTTCTGCTGCTGGAGGATCTGCCGGCACGCGGCATCCACATTGCGCACTAGCGATACATCCGCCTCGATAAAGTGGAAGCGGCCCTTGGGATTCAGTTGGCGCAGCTCAGACAAGAACGGCCGGGCGCGCGCCTCGTTGCGACCGACGATATAGGCTGTAGGGCTGTCGGCATGACGAGCCAGTTGGCGCAGGGTGCTCTGGCCGATGCCACTGGTGCCACCAACAAACAAGGCAGTGATGTTGGAGAGGGCCCGAATCCCGGCGTTGGATGCTTGTACTGTCTTCAGAGATACCATTTTAAATGTCAATGAAATGGAATGGACACGACTGGAAGGATTGTGCTCTTATAGTATTTACGGAGTATACATTCGGCCCCAGGAAAGCCGCATCGGTGATCCCCCGCCGACGGATCACCGATCAACCAAAGCGGGACCCCGCGATCCCTCCCGTCCGACGGCCCGAAATCTGATCGGATACTGATCTAAAAACACCATGGCCAGCCATGGTCTTCTTTTCCCTCCTTACCTTCTCGTCATCGACGACATCGTCTGGCAGCCTCATGCGCATTCCGGGCCGAGCTGCGCAAGAAAACCGCATCACAAAAGGAACATCGCAGCTTCGCCGATTCCCCCCTTCGCTCCCGCTGATGTCGGATCAAGTTACTTCGGGTGGAAAATAATCGGCCGTTGCAACAGGATTCCAAACAGCGGAATGCTTCCGACTTCTCGGACCCAGGTTCTCGATGGGGGAGAGAATTGTCCGGTTGGGTGGTGAAGGAAAACGTCTTAGGTCGGTCGCTGGGTGGGGGATTTTGATTGGGATGACTGGAAACTGGAATCAGTGACATTCTGAAGGTGAACTAGAACTGGATCTATGAGACAATGCTTACCTGGCCGTCTGTAGCTCTCGCAAGTCTTGTCGAAGACGCTGAAGTTCCGAGACGAGATCTGGCCTAGAAATTGTACTCGATGCTGCGCTCTGATCGGGGTTGGTCGTTCTGATCCCGGATCCTAGTCCGCTGGACAAACTAGCGGTGCTACTGGAAGGGAACACGGGTTCATCCTGAAAAAGCCCCCAAGCTTCGCTACGAAACTGTGTCAGCTGCGTGTCTCATTGCGATCATGGTCAGTCGTACCGATAGGAGGCCATTAATATTGTGGTGGTAGAGAGAGAAGCTGACGTCGGGCGGGGGGCCAAAGACGCTGTCTGTCTCATTTCGGTCTAGTCCCGACCACCTATCGTTTGAGGTAGTTCGCCATGACCAACAACGTCCTCCTCCTAAACTACCAACGCCCACGCGGTCGCTGCATAGGCTAGAAGCGAGCTACCAGATCCCCTTTCTGGACTCCAACCATCGGGCCTTCTCGACAACCTGGTGCCACAGCTTGCAGACTCGGCGAGTGAGACGCTACAAAGAACACAGCCAGATCTTTCTCTTGCCCGAAGTCCGGCCTCTCAACATTGACGCTCCTGATTCTCGATCTTGTCCGATCGATATCAGCATGCACCCGTGGACTTCGGGAAGAAATTCGCCGTTTTTACCTCCCGACAACGAAGGCGCGGCGGAGTTGGGGGGTGTGAGCATGGGTGAAGAGCAGCAGCAATTACAGGAGAGGCACGCTCAGCACCAGAAGTTGTGAGTACAACATGTCGAAGCCGATGAGACCACCGACGCGCCTTATTTATCAAGCTTTTTCAACAGCAATAACCCCCGAGCATGCCAGTCTTGCCGTGCCTCTAAAGTAAGATGTGACCAGCCTAACCCTGGCATGCCGTGTCTCCGGTGTCAGAAATCAGGCAAGCCTTGCATTGATGCCGCGAGCCAACCAGGGAAGAGACAAAGCCAATTCAACAACCGCATCCTCGAGCTGGAATCGCGAATTGAATCGATATTGTCGTCCGCAGAACTGCAGGACAGCGTAGGGGACAAGGATATCGCCCAACCTAGCCCTCTGCGTTTGCCTTCAGAATTGTCGCACAACACCCAACAACATGATCGGAACCCGTCCATGGGATCCATGATACCGTTCAATGGTGGGTTGGCCCGGAACCAATCCGGAAAGTCGCGAGTTGCATTCATCGCTAACATGGCCAACCATCCGTCTGTATGGGTAGGAAATTCTGGGATGGAAGATCTGAATTCTAGCATACAATCATGGCTAGATAGGAACAATACAGACTTGGATGATCATACCACAGAAACGATTTTCACTCGTTATGTGGCCAACATGGCGTCCACCTTTCCGGTCGTCGTCTTTCCACCAGGCACCACAGCGGCCGACGTCCGAAGGAGTAACCCTGTCCTTTTCCTGTCTATTCTCGACGTGGCCTCGTCAGGATTCTGTGAGCTTGGAACTCAGAGGAAACTCCGGAAGCTGATTGTTCAGGCGTATGTGTATTGCATGCTGCGATCCAAAGAGTATACTCTCGGATTGCTCCAGGCCTTGATTGTGTCTGCCACTTGGTATCGTACGATTGAGCCTGTCGAGCCTGGGGAACAGATGGACATCTACCAGATCAGTCACACAGCAGCCAATATGGCCTTGATCATGAGATTGGGGGAGAGTTTGAACGACAAATCCTGGCGGAAGAAAAAATGTCCTGGAAGCGCCCTCCAGGCGGAGTCGCTGGAAGCTCGGCGAGTGTGGCTAGGGTGTCACTATATATGCTCGAAGTAAGAGAGAGAAAGGTATGGAAAAGCGCCACAGCGTTAACCTAGTCTATGCAGTACTTCCATGTCCCTCCGCGCCCCGAATGTCATGAGATGGACCCGTCTGATGGACGAATGTCTGGAGGTATTGGAAACTTCCCCGGCAGCCCTTCCGTCGGACAGGCTTCTGTGTCACCATATCCGGCTGCAGCATATAACCGAGGAGTTCGCGATGCTTATGTCTTCGGAAGAGACTTCTGCTCCTGAGAAATCACGAGCGACCCAGATCCAGGTGACCCATTGTGCTTCCAAACGGCAGCTCAGCGAATGGCGTCGGAACGTTGCCGACGGTTGGGATGGTAATTCCTCCATTCATGTCCTTGATTTCTTGCCCAGCGACTGACGCAGAGTTGTAAAGAGTCCCTCGAGTTTTCGTATCATTTCTCATGCTTGTACATAAACGAAGTGGCCCACTGCACGGCGACGAGTGAAGAGCTTCCCAATGAAGACAACACTCAGCATTCGGCGCCACCACTACCGATCGTGACAGTCGAGCCGCATGCGGTTACCGATTTTATGGAAGCGATAGACGGCATCTTTCGAGTGTTCACCTCGCTGGATATGTCGACCATTCGGGCCCTACCGGCGATGCACCTGATTCGGATAATCTACACATTCATCATTCTGGTCAAACTATACTTCGCGGCAGCCAAACTACCGACTCAGAACGCCGTACTGCAAGTCGACCGACTCCAGGTCTCTGAGCGCCTCAATCGCGTTATCCAGATGACCGCAGGATGGGGACCTTTGTGGCCCGCTACGAAACTAACAACCGTGTTCTCCAGAATGCGGTCGTGGCTCGAAAGCGGAGAAGAGGGCAGTCGCCAGAGGTTGCAGTGGGCCGGGTCGTGGCTCACTGTATGGGAGTTCAAACTGTCGGCCAGTAGCCGAGACAAGCACGCCATGAACATGGTCGAAGCCGCCTCCGGTGGTGGATCGATAGTCGCTTCCAGTTCACGAGATCCCGCGTCCTGGGCTCCGTCGTTGGCGTCCACGGACATAGATACTCTGGCCTTTTCGCTCGAACCACCTCTTGACACTGGGTTCTCAGCACCCCCTCCACCTGCGGAAAGCCAACGTCTCGATGATCTTCCAGATATAGATCAGATGGACGACATGGGTATGGACTGGAGCCAATTCTCAAACATGGACTTTGACTTGCACAATTTAGCCGCGCCCTTCTCGCCAATCCCCCCTCGTGGCTTTGATCCTGACGCAGCAATGAAGGGAAATTACTCAAGTGCACGTTATGATGCTATTTAAGTCTCGTACTGACAATTTAAAGCGGATATCAGTATCGCATAGAGTCAACCATTATTGCCGGATGAGGCCCCCATCCCACATTATACGAAAGCCCAGAGTAGGCATGCTACTTTTTCGTTTCATGGCTTGGTAACGTTGGATTACAGGGTAGACGCAGGGACAGGTTCAGTCAGCACTATTCTCCAGCTGGAAAACTTGCATGAGGTATACCTACAGCGTTTGCTCCTTATGAACACTCGGAATAGTGTGATCGCTGACTAAGGACCAAACTATTCATAAATAAAGCCAGTATAAGTTTTGTAGTTGGCTTGTAGACGCGCCACATCTCATCGTATGACTTTGATAGCATCTGTTTGACAGTATAATTCAATCCAAAATATTGGATCATCCATCTATTATTGCATGTCCTACCTGCATTTATGTGTCTTAGGACCTGGCGTATATAAGACAGTCTATACCGCAGTGCCAAGCCCAATGGTCCGATTCTCTTCCGCCTCGACTTCTTCCCCGACGACTTTCCACTCAGAACTCCAATCCTCCTTTGTCCGCTCACACAGCTCACAATCACCATGCCTGCTGGAATGTACGTACACCGTGGTCCTCCGAATTGCATCCCCTCCAAACACCATCTCCCATCCCTCTGGAGCAAACTACCCCGACCATTCAATCCATTCCCTGACTGACATCGATCCAGCTTCAACTCCACCTACTACGGCAAGGACTACCGTGCCGGCGCCGCCCTCCTGCGCGCGCGCCGTCCATATCTCTTCAAGAACGCCCTGACCGGCCTCGGCCTCGTCGCCTTCACCATCAGCGTCTGTACGTACCACACCCTACCCAGCTCTACCCCCCGATGCGACAAGTTCTAAACCCGGAGATCCGCTCCACACCTGTCAACGGTTCACACCCCCCATGTAAAACTGCATATACTGATCAATTCCTCGACCGATAGATGCCTACACCATCCGCGCCGTCGGCCAGGATGAATTCTCCGACGTGAAGGTTCCCGACGCCCCCGCGAAGAAACAATAGTTCCGAACCCGTCCCTCTCCCTCCCCCGAACATATCTCTTGCTCGACACGTGGGTTCTTCTTCGCTTCTGCGATCTAGTCGACTGTCCTTCAGCCTGTGGAGTGAGCGTGGATGGCGCGGATCTGCCTCGGTCATGGTGTAACGCGTACGGAGTATAATGGTGGCAAATTGGGTCTGTGGTCTTTTTTGCGCGGTCCGTTAATGCGGCAATCTTCTCGTGCCAATGGTGGAGGTTGTCATGGAGGGGTTTCTCTCTAGCTGCGAGATCTGATGGCTGCGGATTGCCTGGGTGCTTACTATCCTGCTCCTGATGCCGCCGGGGACATCCACTCAGTTCGGGCCAGGATCTGGCGGAGTTGCCTGCCTTATACTTGAAGTCTCCCCACTCGCGAGTTTGTTTCTACCAGCTCATGTATATCTAGCGATGTTGAATATGTAAAGATACCATCTCCTCACAAGTCACCTAGCTTCCGATACCAAATACTGTAGTTACACATTCACACATGCTACGCATTTGACGTACAAAATTTGTCAATGTCTAGGTGCACCGGGAATGGTGTTCATAAATACAATACAAAACTAGCGGAAACGAGAAGAAATGCTAAACAGAAAGAAGAGACTCGGATCCCTCACCCGTCAAGACGAATATCTCAGATTTCGTCCTTCACTCGGTTCGCAGAACCCGGGGACCCTTCTTCTTGGTCGCCCGCTTTCTCTTATGACCTCGGTCAAAGGCCGCCGCACTCATGTGGTCTCGGCCCAAGTTGTCGAGATCCTTGACCTTGTAGATACGGATGATCCAGTTCTCACTAGTAAAGGCCTCCTCGAGCGTCGACAGTTGGGGTCCTTCGGCGGGCAGTCTGGAGCCACGAACGCGGTCCACGGCCTGTCCCATCTGGAACATGGAGTTGAAGTTGTAGTAAGACATTTTGTACCTGGTGGCGGTCAGTACGGTTCAATTGTCACGAGACTGGGTATGGTCACTCACATCAGACTGTTGCGCATAGTGGGAGTGGCCTGATCGTCCACACGGTATTCACCGCGGGCCGTGAAAAAGTCTCGCTCCTTCACCTCGTCCGGCCAGATACCCTCGGCGATCCGGACCATCCACAGGAACTTGTTGATGTCGTCTCCGGAGTAGCCCAGCAATCCACCGAACACCACCAACACATAGTCGACATCGTGCTGACGAAGAATAGGGTAGCTCACCTCCTCGCGGGAGCTCATCGCCTTACCAACGGTCGCAATGTGGGTGTTGTTCCAGGTGTTGTTATCCACCAGAGTGGGCCGATCAGCCATACCACCGATCTGGTAACCATAATCCCACCAGGACATGATTTTGGCGTTCTGGGGGGTGTTCTGGCGAAGCCAGTAATACGCCTCGCGGTAGTCGTCGATGATGAATTGGCTTCCATCCGGCAACCGGCTGGCCAGGACGACAGACGGCGAGGAATAAGCGTTGGAGGTGACCCAGGTGCAGTGCGCAACGAATAGAAGCAAGTAGACAACCACCGAGGACGTCATGATACCCTTGGAAAGATAAGACGTGATTCCAACGTCGGGGTTTCTAGTAGAGCGAAGACCATCCGAGTTCTCAGTCGAGCTGGTTTTAGGGTTGGGCCCAGAAGAGGCAAACACGTAGGTGTCTAGGATGGAAGACAGCGCCAGCGCAGCGGCAACACACACAATGGGGGTCAGAGTGAGCATGAGACGAACCATGACACCGGCGAAGTAACTAGCAAGGACGGAGTAGATGATCACAAAGACGTGCTCGTCCCGGAGCTCGCGGAAGCACATGTAGACACCGGCGGGGAAGAGCCAGATCAAGAAGTTCAAATCAAAGAAGAAAGAGGGCCACGCAGTAGGCTGGTGTTCCGAGACCGAGGCAATGATAGGGATATGGATCTTTGCGTAACCGGTATCCCACAAGGAGTAAAAGCGACCGCTCCAAGGGGCGATGACGCCAGTCATGGAGAGGACGGTGAGCCCGAGGAAGGCAACGCCCGACAGAATGATGATTGAGGCAGTGAGAAGTCTCTGGAACTGCTTGCCAGGGACAAAGCCTCGAATGAATTCAGCGAAAGCCACGAGTTGAATCAAACCAAAGACACCTGGCATCATGTCAGTTATGAGACTGAGAATACAAAGTTCAGCTGGCGCATACCCAAGGCCGACATGTGGTCGCTGTTGCGGATGGGCAGGAACCCGACGAAAGGAATCTGCATGCTAGCAAGTGTGCCCAAGGCATACCACGTCGTGTAGCTGATGTACAGCCGAGGGCTATATCTTCCCATGCAAAGGAGAACAAACACATGCAGGGGAATCAGGTTGGTGATGAAGACATAGCCTCCCCACGCGGACACCATGTACCCATAGAAAAGCGCCGTGAGGGCTCCCCACATGATCGATCCGTTCTTGACAGCCTTAATCCACAGGAAAAAGGTGAAGACCAGCAGGAAGATGGCAATCGCCTCATTGTCGTAGCTACCCGCAACCGAGCGAGAGATATAACCCGGAGCAATGCCCATGAAGGCAGCCGCAAGAAGACCGGCAGAAGGCGAGTGGGACATTTCGCAGGTGAGAAGATACATGGCGAACGCTGTCAATCCGGAGAATGCTGGCGCAAGCAAAACACAGATGTTCCGGATGTCGACCGGAATGGTGAGGAATCGCAGAATATGGTAGATCACGCCGCTGGTTACCATCAGACCAGGGTAGAGCGTGCCACCAGTGACACGTCCCAGAGGGTGCCATGTTCCTGAACAAAGGTCTCAATCAGCACTTGGTAGCTTGATTGATCAACAGATACCTACGGTCGTCGAACCAATCCCAGAAGCTGTAGAAGCCATTCTCAACCAAGTATTTTGTTGCTCGGAAGTTGAACCAGGGGTCGACTGTATGGATCAAGTTTCAATCAGCTTGAATTCGTCGCAGTCGACACGGGAGTAACTGTGGTACTGGGGCCAGGTCGATGGTAAACATACACTCGTGAATAATGCTTTCGAAGCCTAGAAATTCGGTCAGCGTTATGGCCAATTGACACTAAGAAGATTCAGCCGATTCCATAACATACGAATTACACTGAACAGTCGACTGGACACTGCGGCGGCAGCGATGGTTGCTAGAATGATAATCCGTAGCAGGCCGCGCGTATTCCGGCCGGAGTCGCCCTTGAGAAGAACATCAATGGGTGAATCGGCCATAATGGCCAGGGAGATAAAAGAAAGAAGAAGCCAATGGGAGAAAAAGAAAAGGAGAGATGGCTCTCGACCGGCCCAGGAAGCAGAGGTGGGGAGAGAAGTTGGTTGAGGAGAAGTATTTCAGTTGTGGTGGTGGTGGTAGTAGTAGTAGTAGCTTCGCAAGGTGGTCACTTCGGGAAGGCTTGGCGGTCTGGTGGTGTCAATCGTCACTTTGGGGAAACCTCCGACTGTCCCCGCACTGCCCTGACTCCAACACGCCGTGATACCACAACGCGACTCAACTCGACTCTTCGTCACGTCCAGAACTGTCCTTCGTTGGAAACTCAACCAATACACCTTCACTCAGATCCGTCCTCAATGGATCTACCGCCTCTCTCCCCCGATCAACTGTCCGCGGTGCTGAATGCTGCCCGCTCACCAGCAGAACTTCACGAGAAACTATCAGCCTACGAGACGCAAGCTTGTCTTCTGTCAATAAGCGATGGAGATCATTCGGATTTAATCAGTCTGTTCTACTCGACGTTTTTCTTTTCGCACCTACTGAACGATGAAATGTGAGCCCGCCTTTGTCACACTGTTCTCGTCCATGACTTCTGACAAGATCCTTGTCGAGTAGACATGAAGCCCGTGCGATGACCCAACGCGTGCCCGAAAACTTGTCTTGTAACGACCCAACACTACAAAACTGCCTTACTTTACTGCGCGCCGTGTGGCAGAGGAAGTATGAACAGGTCTACACGATCTTACGGCAACTACCTTGGCCAGAGACACTAAAGCCGATGGTTACCAGCTACGAAGGTGAGGAGGACAATTGCATGATATCTCCGCCTGTACGGGCGTCTAACAATCCGTCTAGCATACTTCCAAGAGAAGACCCTGAAGGAAGTCAGCAGAGCATACGGTGCGATCAGACCTGCAGCCGCTGCAAGTTATCTCGGACTCGACACAGTCGCCGCTGAGAAGGGTGACCCGACCATCATACAAAGGTTCACGGCCTGTGGGTGGGCGTGGGATGAACAAGCCAAGCTACTACGTCCAAAGCCGATACCCGCCGACACTACAAACAACGGGCCGCTATCCAACGAGTTGAGCCACATTATGTCGCTGATCGGTAAAACCAAAAGCTAGGAGGTATTGCAGCAGTAGGATATGATTAACTGGAGAAGGACGGGCTCGACTTCATCCTGAGATACCTGGGAGGTACACCTCTTAGAGCTGTTATAATGGCGTAACGATTTTACCTTCAACATAGACCAATGCTGGGAAGAAAACGGGAATAATGTGGTACCAGGCTCAGGTAGCGCAACAGGGCCAGGATTCAAACTCAAGCACTCAACGGAATTTCTTGCTCTTCTGGCCCAACTTGTAGCGTACAGATGCACAACAGCCCAGGGTATGTACAAGTATCGGAGAGGAATTCTAAAGATAGTAAAAGAAACATCATTCCTTTCGCTCGCAAAGGCACGACTCTGGGAAATTAGACCAAACAAATAATACATAGCCGGGGAATCATCCCGAACAAGCTTCTGGTACCCTGGGAGGTACGACCGTCGTCCCGGAATAATTGACAATCATCTTTCATTTTCCGCTTTCTACCTCTATACCGTCTAGTTCTCACCGGCCTTCATCTTCAGGTAGGCCTCCAGGTCGAATCGGCTGTCCTCGGGATCCGTGATGACTGCGAATGTCCAGTTAGCGCCGGAACGTCCATCCATTGATTGACACCACGTATAAGATAGCGCCGTATAGGAGATCAAATAGTCGATAACATACTGCCGTTGTTTTGCGTGTCCTTGGGGGCGGTCCTCTTCTTCCACTCTGCCTTGGCCTGCTGGATCAGGCGCTCCTGACGGGCGTATTCACGCTCGGCTTCCGCACGCTTAGCGCTGGTGTTGATAGAGGACTGGTGGTAAACACCGTAGACGAGACCGGCAACGAGAGCCGAATAGCGGAGAACCTGGGTTGCGCGGGTATTGGGTCAGCATCGCGAACAGGTATGCAGTCGTCGGCATCAGACCGGGCGGCCCTTGCGGACGGATGGAGCGACTACTCACGTTGACACCCTGGCTAGCCATTTTGAGAGAAACCGTGGCCTCGGAAGCAGCGGACAAATAATACAGTGAACGAGAGGTATAAGGGCCGGTTTCCGAATGACCGTTTGGAGGGGTATCGACTGTCAATGGCTGGCAATCGGGGAGGATATTCAGAAGCTGGTCAAGGCGAAGTTCTGTCGCGAGTTTTTCCGGGCCGCCGGCCCTCCTGTGCTTATGTCATCCCCGAACCGGACTCTGGGCGCGGGACGGGGGTTGATGGTCGAACCGCGCAATGTCTCCGGGAGTAAATAATCCCTACAACTGAACGACCTGTCCGCGTCCCAGGTTGCCGTGGCTCACCATGTCGTCGTCCATGCAACAGCGGAAGGCGGAGATTCTCGCCAAACGCGCAAAACTCGCAGAGCTCAAGCGACAAAGGGAATTGCGCCAGCATGAGTTCTCCCAAAGTAAGGCCAGCGTGGGTGATGGTTCTGAGGTATGTCACCCGTTCCTTATACTAACCAACCATCCTGGATCTTTCCAAAGTATACCTAACCAAGATTGTTGCATGACCAGACTGTGTCTCCTGTCCCTAGCCGTTCAGATAGCAGAGCAGAGCTCGATGATCTGATCTCCCGTCTTGTTGACCGCCCCGGGTCCGCCTCCGTTAGCCACGCCGATGGCCCCTCGCGAAAAGGGAGCAGACCAAACTCGGTGATCAGTGCCAGCCAAGTCAGTGGTGATAATACCGAACCATACAGTGCTCCTACGCGACCCGTCTCCCAGTCTATCGCCGTCCAAACTGTTGGGGCTGAGCCTTATCCCATTGCTCCTGAAGGGCCGCCCGCTCCTGAGCCCAAGCCAGAAGTTGTTACGTATAGTAAAGCCGTACAAACGGATGACTTGAAATCTCTGGATTCATTGTCAGTTGACTCGGACGGTGAAGATGCTGAGGATCTGTCCGGCAGCAAACGACTTAGCAAGAAGGAGCGTGAACGGGAAGAGGAGATCAGGAAGAAGCTTCGGAAAGAGATTGAGGAGGAACTTCAAGCCACGCAGCAACGTACCCAGGATGGTTCTACGTCCGACACCAACAAATCGCGCTACCCCCTACGCACACTCGACGAAGATGAGCTGAAAGCTGTTACTTCTTCTGATGATTTCCTGGACTTTGTCGAACGGTCGGCCAAAGTGATCGAGCGTGCTTTGGATGAAGAATATGATGTTTTGGCAGACTACGAGCTTGGCGGCGTCGATGGTGACGTGGAAGACGATGAAGAGCACGGAAAGAAGAGAAGAGGCATCAGGGAAGTTTGCCAGTTTTGGGATGAACGATGGAGTAAGAAGCGCATGATCAGTGACGTGAGCTTTTCTCCAAAGGTTAGTTCGGGTGGCATCCAACGGCGTCGTCTTCCCCTTCTACAACACTAACTTGTGTACTCCAGTTCCCGGAGCTTGTCTTAGCTGCGTACACTAAGAACCCTTCTGCGCCCCATGAACCAGATGGCCTTGTTCAGGTGTGGAACCAACATCTACAATCTCGCCCAGAATATGTATTCCATTCTACTTCGGACATTCTTGCGGCGAAGTTCTCTCCTTTCCACCCGAACCTTATTGTTGGAGGATCGTACTCTGGCCAGGTCCTTCTCTGGGACACTCGGTCATCTCGCGCTGGTGGAGGTGCACCGGTACAGAAGACACCATTGACGGGATCTGGACATACCCACCCCGTCTACAGCATTTCTATCATCGGCACACAGAATGCCCACAATATTTTGACTGCCTCCACAGATGGCGTTGTTTGTGGTTGGACGGTCGACATGCTTTCTCAACCCCAAGAATACCTGGAATTGACTACTCCACCTCCATCCAAGACTGAAGATCTCGCTCCTACAACCATGTCCTTCCCACAGTCGGATCCTACATTCTTTATCGTTGGCACAGAAGAAGGAGGCATTTATCCTTGTCACCGTTACGATAGAGCTGGCGCCAAGGCGGGCACGGACGCCCGTCTTGCATACCGCGGCCATGCAGCGCCAATCATGTCGACTGCGTTCCATCCAGCTCGTGGTCCGGTCGACTTGGGCGACTTGATGCTGAGCTCAAGCTTGGATTGGAGCGTCAAGCTGTGGCGTGTTCGGCCGCCAGCCACGACTGCACCCGCTACTTCGGCTTTGGGTGCTGCCAACGTTATCTCGCCTATCCTCGATATCACGCGAGAGGACGTTGTCTATGACGCCCGTTGGTCTCCCCACCGCCCTGGTGTATTCTCTCTTGTCGATGGTGCTGGAAACCTCGAAGTCTGGGATCTTTACACGGATACCGAGGTCCCTGTTGTGCGGACAACGCCATCCAAGGGCCGTGGTGGTATTCTGACCAGGAGTCTTAACAAGGTTGCTTGGGAGGAACGTGAAGGCCGACGTATCGCGACTGGTGGTCTTGATGGTGTCGTTACTGTCTTTGAGGTCGGCAAGGGCCTCAGCGGCACTCCGGAAGATGTTCCGGCCGACGAGTGGACGGGAATGAAACGTTTGATAGGAAAGCTGGAAGGAAACGACCGTATGAACTAATCTTGAAAATTCATAAAGTCAAGCCCACAGACTGCTTCCCCTCGCAACTCCTCCTGATCTGGGACCCAGAAAGTCACCACAGCACATTGGCTGTCTTTTTTGCTCCATCGGCACGCGGTGACCACGACCCTTGAAGGAGCTTATATTCTGCCCAAACTGTACCAAATTTCATTATGTGGTGCCTTTATTGCTTATCATATACCCCACGGGCGCCAGTTGATGTATGTATGTACTTATGCGTGAAGGCGAGGCAGAGTCCCACGCTTTTTCATCCTGTGAGCTGGGACATGGGATGATCCCGCTAATTCAAACATAATGAACGCTATCTACTTTTGTAATGCGCTCTGTCTGATTCTGCATTGTGTAGCCACTAGGTTTAGAACCATGAGAAGAAGTGATAGCTCAGATGCCTGATATATGTATGGATCAGGAGTCAATAACATCCGTGGAGAATTGCCCACTTCATGGTATCGGACACAATAATCAACAGTTTATGGTCTGCAGTCCATATATATATGGATATTTCTAGCCATTTTTGACCATTCTCTAGCGATAAATCACAAATTCATGGGTCCCAAGGTCACAGGATATATACAAGGAAGCCAATAGTTGGACGAGTGACTTCACCAAGCGTTAACTCAAATAACGCACAATAACAATGAGGTCGCTTTGCAGCTACAATTGAACAAGCTACAGATCCTTCTATAGCTAAATTCCAAGTGTTTTGTAGCCCTCGAAATGGGGTTGATAGATGACCATCACGTGATGCATACATGGAAAATCACGTGCACACTACTCCCCCTTCAGGCATTTGTTTATGTTTTCCCGTTTGGGACATTGGACCATCTCCACCACAACTACCGCTCCCACCACCAACAATCTCCAAATCCACCACAACCACAGAGACACGGTCTATTTCCCCGACAGTCCTGCATTATTTGCGATCTGTCAGTTGATGGTGAATTTTTTATTCAAACCATAGATTGAGCCGTCTCAGATCACATCATCACCATGGTTGGCCAACAACGGCCTGCCTCCGGCCTTCCAACGAGAAGGACCGGATTGCGCCAGCCTGTCAAACGAACAGGTTCAGCTGCGATTAACAGAGAGGCATCGCCCGCTCTCTCAACGAGACCTTCGACGACCAGCGCGTCACGACTCCAGCGACCGACCCCTGAGCAGAGCGCGACGAAAAGAAAGGAGCCACCCCAGCCGGAGCGCAAATCCAGCGATGACACGAACATCCACGTCGTGGTGCGTTGTCGCGGACGCAATGATCGTGAAGTCAAGGAAAATAGCGGGGTAGTCATCGAGACTGAAGGTGTTAAGGGGAAGACCGTTGAGGTGTCGATGGGGCCGAATGCCGTCTCAAACAAAACGTACTGCTTCGACAAGGTGTTCTCGCCTGCTGCCGACCAGGCGACCGTGTTCGAAGATGTAGCGCTTCCGATCGTGAATGAGGTAAGCTGCGCAGTACTTGCATGACGATATCAGAGGCTAATTTGGCTGCAGATGCTCGAAGGATACAATTGCACGATTTTCGCGTACGGCCAAACAGGTACCGGAAAAACGTATACTATGTCTGGTGATATGACTGATACCCTGGGGATTCTGTCCGATAACGCTGGTATTATTCCGCGAGTGCTTTACGCCCTTTTCCACAAACTGGAGGACACCGACAGCACGGTCAAATGCTCCTTCATTGAGCTGTACAACGAGGAACTGCGTGATCTGCTTGCCGTCGAAGATAACGCAAAATTGAAAATCTTCGAGAATGAGCGGAAGGGCGCTATTGGAAGTACCCTCGTCCAAGGAATGGAGGAGACCTACATCGATTCTGCTACGTCTGGTATCAAGCTGTTGCAGATTGGCAGCCATAAACGTCAGGTGGCCGCGACAAAATGCAACGACCTGAGTTCTAGAAGTCATACGATCTTCACCATTACCGTTTTGACGAAACGCATAACCGAAGCCGGCGACCAATACGTCCAAACCGGAAAGTTGAACTTGGTCGACCTTGCTGGAAGTGAGAATATTCAGCGGAGTGGAGCGGAAAACAAACGCGCTGCTGAGGCAGGATTGATCAACAAGAGTCTGCTTACTCTAGGACGAGTGATCAATGCACTGGTCGACAAGAGCGGTCATATTCCCTATAGGTATGTTGGAGGTGATGTGTACAGAAACGTGCAGGACTGACCTCAGTAGGGAATCCAAATTGACGAGGCTCTTACAAAACTCTCTCGGAGGAGAGACCAAGACGTGCATCATTGCGACCGTCTCACCCGCGCGAAGCAACTTAGAAGAGACAATATCTACCTTGGACTATGCCTTCCGAGCGAAGAACATTCGGAACAAACCACAGATCAGCACAGTCACGAAGGATAGGATGCTTCGCGAATTCGCTAGGGAGATTCAGGAGCTGAAGAGCGATCTCATTGCCACCAGACACCGCAACGGTGTTTATATGGCTGATGACACATACGAGAAAATGATTATGGAGAACGATTCGAGACGGATTGTCAACGAAGAACAGCGGGCAAAGATCGAGTCCATGGAATCGAGTCTTCGACACAAGGTTCAGGAATTGTTTACTCTGACCAGCAACTTCAATGACCTGAAGCAGAACAACGAGAAAACCTTGCGCAAGCTTAGCCAGACCAACGACGTCCTCGAGCAAACCGAAATTGTTCTGAAGGACACGCAGGAGCAGCTCGAGGAGGAAGCGATGGTGCGCAAGGCGCACCAGAACACTGAGAAGCGGCTTTACGAAATCGGCACCGGCCTTATCTCTACATTAGGCAATACCGTTCATGATGTGGATGGCCTGCACGCGAAACTGGAACGCAAGCAGCGGCTGGAGACCGACAACCAAGTGACCTGGCAGACATCTACTACTGAAGTCTGTGATGTCACTGAGCAGATCGATGCCCGCATGCAAAGCTTCCAGAATGAGCATGCTAAAGTGCTGAGCGAGATGTCGGACAAGATTCGCCACTTTGTGGAAAGCGAGATGAGCACTCTCGAGGAAGCCCGCTCTCAGGTCCGCAGTTTTGGTTCCTCGTTTGACAGAGTTGAAGCGGAGGCCAAACAGCAGACTTCTGGCGCGCACGATGAGATGAACAATGTGCTTGAAGAGATTAAGGTTCTTCGCGAGGACATCAAGCTGAAAGTTGGAGAGGGACTCAATGGTCTGTCTGCGGCAGCTGCGAGAATTTCCAAAGAAGTCATTGGCGAATTCGCCGACTTCTACACCCAGGTGAGTACCATTTCTTCACGATAGAATCCTTTACTGACAGCTGTAGCTCCACACGTCGTACAGCACTCTTGGCAGAGACTTCAAATCCATGTTCGAGAACATGTCGAAGCATATTGAGGGCCAAAAATTGGAGATCGACCACCTGCGACGTCAACTTCAAGAAGCGAATCGGGAGACAGTCGAGGCCAATCGTAAGGCCTCTTCTAACCTGGCTCAGGTACTTGAAGATGAAGATGCAGCTGCACGTGCTGAACGTGAGGCTGTCATGGCTCAAATCCACAAACTCCTTGAAGAGTCCAACCAGCGGCAAATCAATCGTCTTAAGACCAAGTGTGATGCGGTTCGCAACGATCTTTCGTCTTCGGGAGATTGTCTCGAACAGGCTACGGTCCACCACGATCGGCAAATCGATGAATGGATCTTTAGAGAGGAACAGTTCGCTAAAGATGTCACGGCTTCCAAAGATGAGATTAAGACTAAGCTCCAGAAAGACTGGGAGGTGAGCATCTCTATGCCCCTTTCCAAAGCGCTAAGCTAATTACCATAGGCGTTTGACCAACGAAACGTGACGATTCAGCGTGCGACGGAATCTGTGCACCAGGAGACCGTACGAATTGTGGACGCTCAAATGAAAGATGTCAGCCAGCAGCTGACAGCCCTCGATGACTTCGTTGCCAAGGCGCGTTCTCACAATGGCCGGTTCCATGAAGCCCATCTAGGCAGCTTGAACACCATGTCCGAGAACGTTAAAGGATCGTATTTCGCCTTCGACGAAAAGCTGGGTGGTTTTGGTGAACATATCGATCAGCTCCGGGAAGACGCTGCAATGCACACAGATAGCCTCGAGCAAACCACCGCACCGCTCCACAAGGACATTCGCCAGCCGCTCTTGGACCTTAGATCTGCCATTCGAAACCGCCCCATGAAAGAATACATCCCTACCGGTGTGACGCCACAGAAGCGCCGGTACGAGTACCCGTCGTCATTGCCACGCACTGAAGCACACGACGGTCTGCGGTCCCGGCACCGCACTTCTAAGCAATTCAGGGCTCTTCCTTTCAGTGAAGACCCATCTCCTCTCCCGAGCTCCCCCTTGGCGTCGCCACCTAAACAGTTCGTGTATAACGATGCAACAGAAGCAGGGGCTCAGGCGTCCCCGTCTGCCAACACCAGAGTTTCCAATGCCGGCTTGAAGGAGGCTGAAGGGGATGCCGCCAAATCCACAGAGAAGGAAGTCGAAGCATCGCCAAGGATCCCGAGCCCACGCGAGGCAACAGCAAAGGAGGAGCCTGAACAGCCACCTTTGAAACGACGTCGCTCCACTTCGACCAACATCGAGAACAAGGCTGAGACCAAGCTGCCACAAAAGCGGGCCGCGAGGCGTATGGCCGAGGGCCGTGAGAATGTGCCCCCAACAGAGATCGCTGGAGGCCAAAGATTCAGAAACCGTACCTCTAATTAGAGGGTGACCGTATCATTTCTGCTTTGGTTTTTGCAGTTGCTTGGTATTTGTGATACCCCCGTCGCGGAGTTGTTGCTGGTCCTTTCTGTTCCGCAAAGTTTTGGTTTGGATCTATCTTGCTTTTGGGTTTGGGTTTAATACATCCGACTTCGAGGATTGGTGTTCACTTGGTTAATGGTGTTAACGGCAGGGAGGCAGTTGGGTTGTTGTTTGTCTTGTTATCGCTCCTTTTGACATTCCAGTACATGGTTTATTTTTGACTTTCAATGGACATTTTGTCAATTTGTTATACAGTGATCCGGTTCTTTCAACCTAATTGCCTATCGTTGAGAATTGAGTCTATTTTGGGATATATATGCGTATGTCAAGGCTAATCATCTCATAGCTCATGCTTTCGTAGCGACAATGATCCCCTCGCCACCTCCTGGGGGCTGATGGAAGGAGAGGTCTTTCAAACCGACGGAGGTCAGTAGAGCACGCCATTGTTTCTCCGTCCGCTCGAAGGCGCCGACTTGGACCATCATCATGATGCTAATGCAAGCAGTAGCGAAGTCACAATCTCTGTCAGGAATAATCTGGTCGTTGACGATCAAACGAGAATAACCCGGCTCCATGGCGGCCACAATATTGCTGAGGATGTCGCGGGCTTGTTCGTCACGCCAGTCGTGGAGAATCCAGTGCATGTAATATGCGCGAGCTCCTGTTTCAGCGATCAGCATCTCATGGCGAGAATACAAAATAAGCAAGACCAGGCATGATCCTACCTTTTACGGGCTGAGGAGCGAAGAAATCATGGGCCATCAGCTCGGTCCCTTTGGGAGCGTCCTTCAGATCGGAGACAACCTGGGGCAAGTCCTGCAGAATACGGCGACCCGGCGCATCGGGGAACTTGCCGTTGAACGCATGGAGGTAGTGGCCTTCACCGCCGCCTACGTCGACAAGCAAGACGTCGTCGGGCTGGGTCCGGAATCCGTCGAGGATGGTGCCCTGCACATCAAACCAGTCCACCCAGTTCGGGGTCGAGCGCTGCTTCAGGGTCATCCACTGCTGGAAGTCCTTTGCTAGAGACGGGTTCTGGCCCAGCCAGTGGAAGTAGTTGAGGTGAGTGTTCTTGGCTAGTTGGAAGGGCGTGTCTTCTGCCGACGATGGGAACTGATTGTTGTTCTTCTGGAAATACTCCGGGGCGTAGGTGGTGCAGAAGTTGCCAATGTCAAAGCTAAGATGGTGTTAGATGAGGCAACGACCGAAACAGACGCACGTACCATGCTCTGGTGGTGGCTTCGAGAGTCGGGTCTGCCATCACCATGGTGAGAGGAGACGGCTTGTATGTCTGGACATCGGTTTCCAGCACATACCGGGGAGGCGGAGAGCAGCCTCAAAATCTGGTCTAAGCGCATACATGTGGTCAGCACGGACATGCGGGCTCCACGATCCAGAATAGTGGATCAGCGTCTATCGTGCTTGAGCTTTGGACAAGCTGGGATCGACATCGTCGGAGTGGAACCGTCAACGCTTGTCGATCCCCACAAACACGATCCCGTCTGTGCTGAGACGGCTGCAACAGGGAATCCGTCGAACCTACCGACAACAAAAACACTCGCTCCGGACTTTTCCGCAATTTGTTCCGTGGTAGTTCCCTTGTCCTGGCCGTCGCGGATGGCCTGGAAGACTCCCAGTTGGACCCCCATGCGGAGGGCCATCAGCAGAACGGGATTCTGTTGTGGAAACAGTCAGCTTTGTTCTGCGTCGGTCCTCGTCTTGCTTGTCTCCAGAGGAATCATCTACCATTCGGCATGATGATGGACGGTCGGCGATTGCTACATACCAACACCACATCCTGGATTACAGTTTCCGGCGGAGACCCAAGAGCCTCCACCAGGCCCCGCGCAGCCTTCAGGGCCTTGAACCGAGTCGCATCATCTAGCGACTCTCTGTTCGCGCGAACGGACTGCGTGAGCGAGGCGATCTGGTCCTCGAGAGCGTCGCCCTGGGGAGGAGTCATGATGGAACGCAAAGCCAAAGAGTACAGGGAGGGAGAATCCGACGATGCAGGGGGGAAAGACAATGCCAGCCAACTACAACGCGAGAGGATATTGGCCACAAAAATGCGGATTCCATGGAAATTTGAACGGACCGCCGGCCGCCTGGGATGGGAGATGGGCGCCCGGCGCCGCGACCGAAGAGGAAAAGCAACGGTGGAGAACACACGTGTGGTCGTCTGGATCTCAGCAATAATAGGCTAATAGGCTTCATATCCAGCGCGACGGGCGCTGAAAAATATGTCTCACTTGGATGGGCTGGTTCGGATATTCCGGACACCCGTCATTGCCGGTTCCAAAGGGCCCTTGGTGGAGCCGAGCGCCAAGTCAATTAACGTCGGGGGGCCGCCACCAGCGCTGGGTTTGCGATCGCGGGTTCCACTCGGATCCTTCAATTGAGGCGATGGCACGCCGCGATCCATGGCCAGGGTGCTGGCCACATATTGGGCCCTGCTCTCGAAATTGTGTCAGTTCCATGCAGGCGTCGACGAGGGTTCGCACGAGGGATCCGGAGTTTACTTAAGGATGAGGTCTCCGCTCCACTGGTGACGCTGCCCTGCGCTGCGCTCCCACCACCAGTCATGCAGAAGTAAGAATCCGTCAAGGTGACGATAATGGCCGACGCATTGGGGCCTGTGGACACTTCGTACAGCGGCGACTCGCTGATGGGCGTGTCGATCGCCATAGCCGTGCTGCAGGTGTTGATAGTTGCTCTGCGGTTCTACGCCCGCTATGTACAGCGAGTCGCGCTCGCATTAGACGATTATCTGATCATTCTGGCGCTGGTCGGTCTCTATCTTGTACCTCGTACAATTTTTCAATTCAGTCGCTAATTCCTGCATAGATTGCCAGTCTCGGCCAGTCCGCGCTGTACATTGTCTGTACGTGCAGTCGCTAACCATCGAAGCATCCTCCAACTAACTCGCGAACAGTGCTCAAGGTCGCGGGCCTGGGATACCACCTTTCATATGTCGCGCAGCATCCGGAGAAACTCGTCGCTCTACAAAAGGGCCTCGTCGCGAACCAAATCCTCGATTTCCCCTTCACCGTCACGCCCGCCAAGATCTCCATCCTGCTGTTCTACGTGCGCATCTTCAGCACCAACAAGTTCCGCATCCTCGCCGGCATTGTCGGGGCTATCGTGCTCGGCCACGGAATTGGCGTGTTCTTCGCCGCCATCTTCCAGTGCTCGCCCGTGCAGTATGCCTGGAACAAGAATATCCCGGGCGGGACTTGTTTCGACCAGCAGGCCTTTTATCGCTACGTCTCGCCGCCGAATATCCTGACCGACGTGCTCATACTCATCATGCCGCTGCCGTTCGTCTGGAAGCTGCACACGCGCCTGACGCAGAAACTCGCGTTGACGGGCGTGTTTATCCTCGGAGGGCTGTGCGTCGTACCATCCCCTCGTCCATGCATACCAAACTAATATCCGTCAGAGGCACCGTGGCGAGCATCCTGCGCATGACCATCTTCTTCCAGGAAAGCGCCTTGACGGACCCAACCTGTATGTTCGACTCTCCCTCCGAGAAAGCCACTGCTAACCCTGACAGGGGCCTCGGTCAACCTAGGCATCTGGACAGTCCTAGAAGGCGGCATCATCATCATCGCAGCCTGTCTGCCGTCGATCTGGCCGCTGATCGTGCGGATTCTCCCGCGCGGACTGATGAGCAAGGCGTCCTCGCAGAACCGCGGGCACCGGTACACGACTAGCCACGTCAAGCCCAAGGGGCCGGACGGGTTCTCCCGGCTGGGCGAGCATGCGACCGGCGAGACGGATCAATGGCCCCTGGACGCGAATCCTTCGCTGGAGAACCAGAGCCTGTCCACCCACGGGCCAACGCTCGTCAATGCGGAGAGCATCTCCCTTCGGAGTATGAATGAAGTCCGACAGGAGCCGAGATTTCATGATCGGTGATTTGCATTCGTGTAGTAGGTGTTATAAATACAAAATTAATGCCAAACATCCGCCTGCGCGTGCTGCATCTTACCGGATGTGATGAGACCCCCGCGGACATGGCCAAGCCGCTAATCTTCAAATTATCCGCCGAGTGTCGAGTGTCTCCGGTGGTGAGATCTAGCGATCTAGACCCGGCCCAGGATGCGACGGGGAAAATTTGATCAAGCAGTGCTGCCTCGGCTTCCGAATGGGAAATTACACCGTGGCATTCATATTAATTAACCACGGAGTGAGACAAGGCTTGCAAAGTCTAACTTATTGGAGATTTGGGGGCCACGCGATGGCCGCAGTTGTTATTGTGGTGGACAGCTGGAGCGGCGATGGACGGCCCACTTGGGGCGATGGCTATCGGACAGCGGTTCCCTTGTCCGCTCGGTTCGCAGATGAGAGGACCTGAATCGTACGACAGTGTGGAGCCGTCTAAGCGAGGTCGCAGCTGAGTCCAGGCGAGTCTTATCTCGGAGTACTCCGTAGAGGAGGACCTCGGTCGAGTATGTACCGACGCGTTGGTTAATAGGTATATCGGAACCCAGCCTGCTAGAGTTAGCTGTTACCCCCGATGCACCAACCCAGGGGAGAAATACAATGTTCTGGATGATATGCCGTCCAACACGCTGCTGTCGATTCCGAAGATAAAAATACACCGTCAAGACGCCCACAATGACAATGGTGAGGATTTGCAGCCTATCCATACTCAAATAAGCCCACCGCTATACGAAGTCAACAGACAGGGAAGACGCAGACTCACCCAGTAATCGCCCACACAGCAGTCGGATACCGCGGCGCCTCCTGCTGCCGCACAACGTAACTCCCCGCCACGGCGCCCAATCCCTGAAAGGTGGTGACGATCGCAATGGAGGTCGCGCGCTTCCACTGGCCGGCCATGTTGTTGGCCAGGTAGGCGTACTGCATTGCCCAGTTCGACACGAACGCCCCCGTGCCGAGGAAGGCGCCGGCGTAGCGGCGGGCGACCTCACTTTCCGGAGGCAGCCCAATCATCAGAATGCCGGCAATGATGCAGCTGCAGTTGAAGACGACGAACGGGCCGCGGAGGCGCCATCGGTCCGCCAGGAAACAGGTGCAGACGACCGGGATCACGGCCCAGTAGTATGGCTGCGGTGGTTAGCGGCGATCGGCAGATGGGGAGGATACCGTGCAAGCACACAGTCGGAGGGCTGGAGGGAGACGACGTACTGGCGTGGACAGCAGGATGGCCATGTTGCTGGAGAAGCCCATGCCCTGGATGATGATGGGGAGGAAGTAGCTGAGGGTTGTGGAAACCATGTTTCCGACGAAGCCCATAGTGGCGAAGAGGTAGGCCTTGGGGTCGACGAGGTGGACAAGGATGCGGCGCCAGGCGAAGTGCTCAGCGATGACATCGCGGCGGTCGCGATCGATGCGTGCCACCACCAGCTGCGTCTCCTTCTCCGACAGGAAGCAAAAACTCTTTTGCGCGTTCTCCGGGAAGTCGACCATCCACCAGTAGCTGACGATGCCGATGACAGTGGCTGCGAGACCATGGACGAGGTACATCCAGCGCCAGCCGCGCAGGCCGGCGCGGCCGTCGAGGTGGTTGAGCCCGAAGCTGATGAGAGTCCCGGTGGCCATGACGCAGGTCTGGAACACCTGGAGGATGGCGTAGCGCAGGCCCTGCTCGCGCCGCGGATACCACGAGCTGACGAGGTAGCTTGCCCCCGGGAGGACGGGGGCGACGGCGATGCCCAGCAGCACACGCATGGCGATCATCTGCTGCCAGGTCTGGATGAACGCCGTGCACAGGGTGACGAGGCCGAAGCAGACGGTCGTGGCGCTTAACAGGACGCGTGGGCCCAGCCAGCGTACAGCCAAGGCACCGGGCAACTGGCATGCGACCAGCGCAATGGAGAAGATGAAGATGGAGACCGAGTATCGGCTGCCGTATAGGTGTAGATCGTCGAATAAGCTTGTCACTGAAGCGGACGAGAGGATGCCCGAGTCGACGAGGTTCAGGCTCATTAGGATCCCACAGATCGAGCACAGTCGCAGGTCGATTTTGCGGCGGAGGCGTTTCTCAAGCACTTCCAACTCTTCTGGAGTGTCGGCGTTGGTGGCGGTATGCTCGAGAAGAGCCTCCCCATTTTTGACGGTTGTTTCTGGAATTTTTGCGCCCATTGTCGCTGTTGCGAGGTTGTTGTTTGGGAGAAGTTGTTGCAAGGAAACTGCAGGCGAAGTTATCTGAGCTGCATCAGCAAGGGATCCATGTTCCCCAGCAACGTGACCGGCCCTGCATGGAACATGCCCGATGCATCGTGCAGTTTCTGGTGCAGTTTCCTGCCATCACCCTCTACCTGTCGCCTTTCTAGAGACCCCCCGTTTTTTCGGCATCCGTACCAGCCAATATACCGCCAGAGCCCCAAGCGCATTCACAACGACATATGCCAGGACGATTCCCCAATTCCTCCACGCATCCTCAAATCGGATATTCACTGTACGAAGATAATCATCTGTACTTCTCAGCGGGCAGTATTCGCACTGGTTGGTGTTGTCTGGGTCGACCAGATACCCGCCGGATGAAGCAATATAGGCGGCCATATAAGTGCTGCACGACTCGCCTGCCGGCGGGAGGAACTTGACATATTCGTTCGCTGCACACACAACCTGCACATTGGCGACGCCGGCCGATAGAAGGCCCGAGGCCAGCCAGGTGAACGGCGAGACATAGTACATGAACGTCCAGAAGCCAGGCAGGGAGGCTTTTTTCACAAGGATGCTGTATAGTAAGAGGGGTCAGCCAATGAATGTGTCCTGATCTGTGTGTAGGGGGAACAATCGGTTGGAGAGGGAAAATACCCGCAGAAGGTGATGCACAGCATATAGCAGATATTTCCCAAGCTTCCGGCTGAATCGGCACTGTCCATGCCAGCAACAAGCACATGGGTAAAGGTGCTCGTAAACATCATGAAGGCCCAGATCAGCAAGAAGGTCAGGCCGCCGCGCGAGGCGACTTCGTGCGTGGGGACAGCATTCTGGTATAGCCCGATGGGGTAGTACCAGCAAAAGTAGGCCATCACAGCCATCAAGGTATTCCAAAGCATCTCAATCGTGAGGTTGCTCAGGATCAGCACTGCCAATCATGTCAGCTCGACCGTATATGTCTTGCCCTGAATTCATACCTTTCCAGTCGTATATCTTCGAAGGCCTTTCCCGCTCCTCGTAGACTTCCCGTTGGCTGATGAATTGAGGCATGATCTGTTCACTGAGTTGCCCATACATGCTCAATAACATCATCACGGCGTACATCTGATTCTGGAGGCCTTGGATGGTGTTTGGCGCATGGAAGAAGCTGAAGCCAATAAACAACGCCTGCGCAAGCGTCAGTAAGTCCTGCTCGTGCAGATTGCGTCCAGGCCATCAGCTCTGTCGATTCAATACTGACCGAACCCACGGTGAGGGCGATTTTGGAATAGATATATGATGGAGTTCGCCAATACTGTGCTGCGACCCGTTGCTGAACGAGCCACCACTGGCGGACAAAAGGCGCCGCATAAGCGGTATCTTTTGGCTGACCGAGTGGCAGGATTGGAGGTTCTTTGTCTTCGGTAATCCGCGATTGGCGAATCCCATCCAGCCTTTCCTTGACGGAACGATGCTCGTGCGAGTCGCGCCAGACTTGAGGCCAGTCAACGTCGGTTCGCGATCCAGGTGCGGCGCCGATTACTTCCAGCATCCATTCCGCGGGGTTCGCTTGGGGCGGACACTGCTTTCCTCCATTGCGTTCCAGATATTGGATGAGAGTGGCCGAATTTTGACCAATTTCTGTCAAACAGAAACACGTTTGCTCGTCAGTAGTTGTAAGGAATAAAGAGGACACCAGGGATCTGACGAACCTCCAAAATACACGGTCTTGCCACCTTTTGCGAGGAGAAGCAAGTTGTCGAACTGTTCGAATAAGATGGCCGAGGGCTGGTGGATTGTGCACAAAATCGCCTGGCCACTGCGTGCAAGTCGTTTGAGTAGCTGGCAGATCGCCCACGACGTCTGCGAATCTAGCCCTGAAGTCGGCTCATCCAAGAAAAGGAGCAATTCGGGCTTTGCGGCTAGTTCAACTCCGACAGTAAGGCGTCTCCGCTGTTCGATATTCAGTCCCTCGCCTGGGACTCCAACGATCGCATCCGCGTACTCCTCCATCTCGAGGAGCCGGATTACTTCGTCCACATAGGCACGCTTTTCTTCCGGTGGAACGTTCGCGGGCTGGCGTAGAAGGGCACTGAACTCGAGAGATTCTCGCACGGTGCATGTTGAGAGATGGACATCCTGTTGCTGCACGTATCCCGTTTTGCGCTGGAAGGAAACATCTCGTGGTATCCCATCCACGTACATGTCCCCGGTAACGACCCCAGTCATCACGCGGTCAGCGAGGACGTTGAGGAGAGTGGTTTTGCCAGCGCCGGAAACACCCTAGGACGCAACGCCGTGTTAGCTTCATCTCTCATCGCGCGGACTAACTCTACACAGGAAGAAACTTGCCATCAACGCGGTCAAGGTTCCGGGTTCGACCCAGCCATCGACGTGGTCCAGGATCCGCCGGGTCTCGCCTTTCTGCTTAACATCATAACACACATCTTGCCAATGGAAGACCTGGCCTTCACTAGGAGGAGCATGCGTCCTTGTAGTCGCATCCGGCGGACCTGTCAGCGCCACCGGCGCAACTTGGGGCTTGAGGGCCTCCTCATCGTTGGCCTCGGCCATTCGGCGCGTAACTCTTTTATCGTTAAAGTGGCTGCGTCGGAAGAGCAATATCTCGCCTTTGCTCTTAGCCATACCGAGCAGTTCAGTCGCGGCGAGGTAAGCGGCTGTAAGGAGAACCCAGAAAGCTATCAATATACCCACGTTCCTAGTGGACCGTCAGTGTTCTGTCGTCTCGATGGCAGTGGTGTCATGACTTACCGCCATTTATTGGCATGATAATAGTTGAACTTTTCGCCTATGTACAGGTCCCCCTGCACCATCGTGGAACCGAGTATGTTGCCGACCTCCGTGCAGGCCCGGTTGACCGCACCTGCGGTGCTGTATTCTGCTCCTGTTGGAACGATGACCGAGCAGGAGAACTTGCGATCGTGAAACTCATTGATCATCAATGACTCGAACGCATAACTGAGTGGATTGACATAGGCTATCCACCGCGACCATCCCGGCATGTAGGCGGTCGGCATGGTGAAGCCAGTGTACATGATCAAGCCCAGGACCAAGATAGCGGCTGGCACCATAGCCTGGGACATGGTACGGGATACCGATGCGATGGTGCGGAACAGGCTTGATGTCACAACCGTGCTCAGGAACGCAACTAAAAGGAAAAAGAAAATGGGGCCGGCTTCTCGACGTAGGTTTGCCATCAGGTATAGCGTCAGATTGAAGCAGAGAGTATTGAGCAATTTGTACGGGATGTCGGTCAGCATGCTGGCAACCGCCTCCGCAGAAGGGTGATAGAGAGCGAACTGTTTGTGTTTCTCCACAACAGGCCGCTGTTCGTATAGCGTCAAGATCTGGAGAGGGTTAGATCGTGTTAAGATAATGAGTGTCCGCGTTCGGTTACCTCTAGGACGCTGGCAAAGGCGCTGAGAAGCAGAGCAAAGAAGATCAGTCCACCCCGGCCGTAGAAGCTATTGGTGTCATCGTGCAGGTTGAAGAAGATACTGCCCAAGACCAGAGCCATGATGGTGTTGCCTCCCAGCTGGATGTAGGTCAAGGACGGATCTGCAAGCAGACGCTTCCATCCGCGCCAAAGACACAATGTCGTCTGCTGCAAGTAGGAGAGGGTATATGGGGATCGAATTCGTTGTCCGCTGGCCTGTTGGGCCCTGCGTGACTCCACGAAGTCGTCCAGATATTTACTTCTCAAGCTGAAGTCCCTTTCATACTCCGCAATTGAACGCATCAGCTGCTGGCGCTGCTGGCTTTTCTTCCATCTTTCTTCGAACTCCAATGCAGTTTTGGGGACTGTGCGTTCAAACCCTGGTCGCACACGACGCTCCTTCGGGCTTGTCATTGAGGTGAGGAAGTCGGCGGTCGTTTGCCGCTCCGGTTCTGTAGACTCGTGCGTTAACCACTAACCACAGAATATCAAGCCGAGATGCCGGATTATCTTACGCTGAAAGCCCAACTCTTCAAAGTAAGCGCCTGCTTCAGATGTGGGCCCAAAGAAGATTTGTCGCCCTTCGTACAGAAGCAGGACTTTGTCGAATATCTTCCTCGCATCCAAATGGTTAGCCAATCCTTCTTCAACGCGAAGGGATCCGAGAGGGGTACATACATTATACGCCTCCTCAGGCGCTTGATAGAGGGAGACCAGGACCGATGTTTGGAGCAGTTCGGTAGAGGTCCGCAGCGTTTTGCAGAATTCAACCGCATTGGCGCTGTCCAGCCCGCGCGTACTGTTATCCCAACATTGCAGGGCGGCGTCACTCAGGGCTGCTTCGGCAAGGCTCACCCGTTTTCTTTCTCCTCCACTGATCCCCCGAATGAAATCGTTGCCAACAACAGTGGTTTTCGTATGGGATATGCCAAATATAGCCATGATGACATCTCGCAGGAGGTTCGAGTACTGCTGGGCCTTCAGGCCAACCGGCAACGCTCGTGGAGCTCTGGCATGGGCTGCAAACGAGAGGGTGTCCCCGACTGACAGCATCGGGAGATGCACGTCGTTCTCCCCTACATAAATGGCTTCGCCTCGGAAGTAGCTGTGCATTTCTTTGAATGATATGCCTGCCCAGGAATGAGTCACTCATGAAGATCAGACACCGAAAGCCAGACATACCTCGATAGTTCATTGTAGTCTCGTCACCCAAAGATAAGCCTTCCATGTGCCCGGCAATGGCTTTCAACAAGGTCGAACACCCGGAACCCGGTGGTCCAAGAACCAAAAGCATTTCTCCAGCGTTCACAAGCCCGTCCAGGCCATGGAGGATATCTACCCGTCGTTTGCGTCGTGGCGCTGTTAGAGAAAGGATGCTGTTTCCCACGGTTTTTTGATAGTCTGTGGACATGCCAAAGCCGTATACCGAGAGGTCGCGGAAAGCCACACCAGACTTTCTACGCCGTCCTGCATCGAGATCCTCGCTTTCATAATGAACGAGGGCTTCCACCCACGCCCGAGTGTCGAAGCTGGAGCATTGAGGGTCAAGTTTCGAGCCAGGGAGAGGCTGGAAAGGATTGTTGTAGGAAGGTTGGGTCGATCCTTCGGCCCCGACGCAATTCGAGATGCGGCTCGCCAGTCTGTGGATTATCGACTCGACATCGTTTTGTTGTTTCTCCCCGGATACTTCCTCCTCACTGGACTTCGATGTCCGACTGAGTTCATTCTTGGTGGCGGTAGATCCGGTTGTTGAGGGTCTTTCCTCGGCCATGGCTGCCAGAAGCGCGGGATGTATCTGTTGGTAACTTTCGATGGGGCCTTATTGTTCATCGTGAATGGCGTAGCAACGGCTTTTATATAAACGTGGAAACGGCCTTGGGAAGATGCTCCTGCTGGTGTACATGCAAACCTCGGTCTTCGGGAATTAAGTAAGGTACTATAGTATATTGGCTCGGAGTTCGGTGAAGGCAGAGAGGCTGTGCTCTGCGGAGTATACGAGGAGGAAAGCCGATCTAAAAAGCTTATTGATCCGAGAGATACCGCTGTAGAGTATTCTAGAGCAAGGCAGGTCAACAGTCTCAAAATATGTATCCTTCTTTGTTTCTGCCCTTTGTGGCTTTTCCCTGCTTCTTATCCACCCTCGAAGCAAGATGTCAGTTACCGATCAATCCTCCGGGCCTCTTCCACTGAACTACAGTCTAGCCAAGCGGAAATTCCGCATCATACGATTCTGGTTGCTCGTATCTATGGACTCGGTGGCCTTCCCCATTGGTCTCTACTATCTCCTGACCAGGGCCACGACATTGTCTCTCACAGTTGGTTAGTATGGTGCCTTCTGCACTTCTCTGCTGAGACCTAACTAGGTGTTTCTATTGGCAGTTTTCACGATAGTAACATTGACATTGTTCGGAACGTTCGCAACGGAATCATTCCAGAGATCATGGCGTCTGTGGCGGAAGGGTTCTACGTGCCGCGTTCCCAGCGTTGGTCGCTACCATGTCACCTCTCCCCCAATATCTCCTTCAAAGCCATCTCCCTCTGACTCTGTCGCTGTAGTTTGATTTCACCCATTGGCACATCCTCGCCTCCTGGGTCATCATCATCGCGGAGCTAGTCGTCGGGACCATCCCCAATCCACCCGTGATGCGCATGCTGGCCATGCCCATTCCTTCGCTTTTCTTCATCTTTGCGCTGGAGATGTTTATCCTCGAGGCGATGTACGTTCTCGGAAGGCCGGTCCCGTTTCGAGTCTCCTCCATCCCAAAAGGTGACCCGATGCGTCCGGCTCTCTATCCATTCTTGGAAGACATCATCGCCGTAGATGGCAGGGGAGGAGCCGGGTTTCGGAGCCGCCTGGATCAGCGGTACCGAACTAGCCCGCCCTTTCGTGGAATGCTGCACCGGTTGACTATGCTGTGGGCGGTTCCTCAATTCCTGGTAGCAGGAGGGACGCTGGCGGGGATTGTACTTGCTGACCGGGAGCTGGCCTATACGGTATGTGCCCTGAATCCTAAGGTGTTGGTATCCGAGGCTGAGATTGTACGGCGATTGATTGCAGCTTGGCTGGTCCGTGCCTGCTATGTGGGCGGCGATATGGGTAGTGGTGATGGCGATTCGCATCCGGGTGGAATTGAGGAGAGAGAAGCATTACTGGAGAGTAGTGCAACTGACAGAGCAGCTGCAGAGACCTGTGGAGGATGTTGCAGATGCAGGAGATACGAATCAGGGAGAGACCACTTAGTATTGTTTTATAACTTGGTAACTATGCTCTGCAATGATCAAACAGTATAGTACGGCTTATATATTGAATGTCGGGGATGTACTCTACGTCAACCACTAAGAAGGAATACAAAGGTCGAAAGCAGACGCAGTGTAATAGACAGCTAGGTATCACAGAGAGGCCAGGTAATTCAGGAAAATAAGGTCCATAAAGATCAGGATCCGCGCGTTTCCTATAGATCTAGCCACCGCACTGCTGCCACTGCAGCAATGGTCATATTCTAGACAATTGCAATGTCGTAATCAAGTTCCTAGTTAATTTTAGAATAGAGTTGCAAATCATTTACTTGAAAAGGCTCTAATACTTAGCCCGTTGACAAGCTTCTGGGGGCGCAGCAAACTTCCTCGGTGGTGAGACTATACCGAGACACTTACAAGGTCCCACTACCGCCGAACCCCGAACCCCGAGACTAGGTGCCTGACCTTCTGACGTAGTTAATCCTCGGGACTAGATCTAGTTATATACAGGTATAAGTAGAGATCATGATAGGAGAAAGCTGTCAGTCCAGATTTTCAACCTCGCCATCCATTTCAAATTGAACGCTGCTATCTGACGCAAAATGATCAAGGAAACAGAACAAATCCCAGGGCCTAGACGTGAGACGCCTCCTACTGCCTACACTGTTCACTGCATTGCTGACTGCCTGTTTATCAGCCCTGCCGGTCGTGGGAAACCTCTTCGACATGGACCTTGAACATGGTCTAGAATGTCTCATTAGATTGGCCGACGATTTCGGTAAGCCCATCACCATTGCCCGTAAAAAGGTCCTCAAACTCATCCATAAACGCAGGACCGCTCTTTCAAATCACTATCAACGGCGAAAAGCAGATCTTTGCCACCAGCCAGGCCCTGGTCGATGAGCTCTGTGATGAATCCCGCTTCCATAAGGCTGTCATGGGGGGACTTGAGAAGCTACGAATGCTTGCAAGCGACGGCCTCTTTACGGCATATCATGGCGAGCGCGGCTGGGGGATTGCTCATCGGATTCTGGTGCCGGCTTTTGGCCCTTTGCGTATTCGAAATATGTTCGAAGAAATGAACGATGTGGCCCAGCAGCTTTGTTTAAAATGGTGAGGAATTCCGGACAACCGGGCCGTGGGAATACTCGTGGAAAGGCGAACACAAGCTGACAATTTAATGGTTGAATGCAGGGCCCGCCAGGGTAGCTCGACTAGTATCAATATCACAGACGATTTCACACGCCTTACGCTAGACACAATCGCCCTATGCACAATGAACTTCAGGCTCAATAGCTTCTACAATAACGAGACGATGCACCCATTTGTCAAGTCCATGCTCTATGTGCTGCGGGAATCCGATATCCAGTCCATGCTTCCGGGAATCGCAAATTGCATCCGAGTCAAGGCACGGAGCCGGATGTCGAAGCACATCCAACTGATGAGGAACATGGCTCGCGGGATCATTCAAGAGCGCCGAGATCAAGCGGAACCGGTCGATGACCTCCTCAACACGCTGTTGAACGGGCGGGATCCAGTCACTGGCGAAGGCATGAGCGACGACCTGATTATCAACAATGTCATCACCTTTCTGATTGCCGGCCATGAGACCACTTCCGGCCTGCTCTCGTTCACCTTTTACTACCTGCTGCAAAACCCACACATCCTGGAACGGGCCCAGAATGAAGTTGACGAGGTTACTGGCGGGGAGCGGATCACAGTGCAGCACCTGGGACGGCTTACATACATCGACGCCATATTGAAGGAGAGTCTGCGTCTTATGCCCACCGCGCCGGCCTTCACCGTCACTCCGAAGAAGCCCGAGGTGCTGGGCGGGGCCTGGGCCATCGATGCCGGACAGGCCGTCAACGTGCTGCTGCCGGTCTGCCTACGAGACCGCAGCGTCTTTGGACCTGATGCGGACGAGTTCCGCCCCGAACGCATGCTGGAAGAGAATTTCTCCAAGCTCCCTCCCAATTCTTGGAAGCCCTTTGGCAACGGCGAACGTAGCTGCATTGGTAGGGCCTTTGCCTGGCAGGAAGCTCAACTGGTGGTTGCCATGGTTCTTCAAACGTTTGACCTGGTGCCTGATGACCCGTCTTACAAACTGCGGATCAAGGAGACGCTCACTATCAAGCCTGATGGTTTCCGGGTCAGAGCCACCCTGCGTCGTGGCCAGAGTGCGACGGGTCTCTCCCAAGGTAGTATGTCGGCGAGCGGCGCTACGAGTTCAGTGGCATCGCCAGGTCCTCCAGCCGCGACTGGCGCTCAATCAAACCCCGCTGGAGGCCAACGGATCTCCTTCTTCTACGGCTCCAACAGCGGAACGTGCAAAGCCCTCGCTCACCGACTTGCTTCCAGTCTGATGGGCCGTGGCTTCACGGAGCAGAAGCTTGCCGCTCTCGACACCGTCGTCGGGAACCTGCCAACGGATCAGCCGGTGATCATTGTGACAACGTCCTACGACGGGCGGCCGACAGACGATGCGGAGGAGTTTGTCCGCTGGCTGGAGAGCAAACGCCCTGTCCTTCAGGGTGTCTCCTACGCCGTCTTTGGCTGCGGCCACCACGACTGGGCCAAGACATTCTATCGCATTCCCATCCTGATTGACGACCTGATGCACAAGGCTGGAGCCACGCGACTGACTGCGCTTGGCACAGCCAACGCTGCCGTTAGTGATCTCTTCTCGGATCTCGAATTGTGGGAAGAAACCAACCTCCTTCCCGCCCTCCGGGAAGCTTTCCCTCCGTCCAACAGCAGCGACGTCGAGTCATCCGAGCCACACCAACTCCAGATCTGCGTCAGCAAGCCCAGGAGAGTGGACATGCACCGGGGCCTGGTGGAGGCAAAAGTCACTGCGGTCCGGACCCTGACCAGCCCGGACAGCCCCGAGAAGCGGCATGTGGAATTCCATGTCCAGGGAGACACCACCTGGCGCCCAGGGGATCATGTCAACATCCTCCCTGTCAATCCACTCAGCACGGTCTCTCGAGTCCTAGCTTACTTCCAACTCGCGCCGGACCACAGTATCACCGTCAACTCGTTCAACACGCAAGGCCTTCCGTCCGCCACCCCCGTGTCAGCGACCGAGCTCTTTAGTTCATTTGTCGAGCTTTCGCAACCGGCAACGAGAAAGGTAGGTACCCGAGTATTTGGCATTCTCCAAATTACGTCTTTTTACTAAACAGAAAATCCCAGAACCTCAAAGCCCTCGCGATGGCAGCAGAGTCGAAGACAGACGAACAAGAGCTGATCCGGTTGCACGATTCCTACGATGCACTCGTCCGAGACAAACGCGTCTCGGTCTTGGATATTCTAGAAAGATTCCCATCTATTTCACTGCCTATCGGTATATTCATATCGATGCTTCCCCCTCTGCGTCTCCGGACGTATTCCCTCTCCATGGCTCCGTCCTTCAAACCCTCGCATGGTTCGCTCACCTTCTCCGTCATCAACGAACCGGCATGGAGCGGTAACGGGCAGTACCTGGGCGTGGGGTCAAACTACCTCGCATCGCTTACACCAGGCTCTCTTCTCTACTTGTCACCACGTCCAGCCAAAGACGCCTTTCATCTGCCCGCGGACCAGTTCAACACGCCCATCATCATGATCTGTGCCGGAAGCGGGCTGGCTCCGTTCATGGGTTTCATCCAAGAACGCATGACCTGGCTGAAGCAAGGACGCCCTCTTGCAAAGGGTCTGCTGTTCTTCGGCTGTCGGGGGCCACATCTCGATGATCTATATTATGAGGAGTTATCTGAATTCGAAGACGCAGGCGTGGTTGAGGTCCACAGAGCGTACAGTCGAGCTCCGGACGACGTCCGGGCCAAAGGATGCCGGCATGTGCAACATCGGTTGGTGACTGAAGCTGAGGCTGTCCGGGATCACTGGGGCCGGAATGCAATAGTCTACGTCTGCGGCTCGAGCAATATGGCCAGAGGGGTACAGACGGTGTTGGAGGAAATACTGGGGACCTTGCCCCCGGAGCGATATGTTGCGGAAATCTTCTGAGCATTACGTCTGGTTCGCTCCTTTCACTTCATGGCGGAATGGTGAGTGGGAGGAGCAGGAATCGGATTTAGTCTAGCTAGCTTCTCTTCTCAATGAATCCTATCACCATAATCCTCGTTGTTGCCTATTACCTTTTATACAACCTCATCGTGCCCGATCTCCGGGATCACCAGCCCGAAGAAATTTTGAACGTTAAAGGGGGCTGCCATATAACTCTCCGGGCCATCGCCCTGTATAGTGAAATCCGGCAGCACGGGGTAATAAAGGTAGTCACTCGACTCCCAGGGATCCATAATCCCGTCATGCAACTCGACATCACCAACGTCAACATTGGTGCTGTGGTTGTTTGTGGGATTCGATGGCATATGACCCTAATCATGTTCAGCAAACTTCGATTGTGAATAGGTCAAACGACCTAGAACCAGAACAGCGGCGTACCGGAGCAACCATTCTCGATTCAGCACTCGATGAGCCCAATTCACAGGGTTCTTCTTCGCCCCGTTGCCGCGGCCGCAGGCTGCCCGAATCCTTGACGTACTGCCGTGCGATATGCGCAAACTCGGTCAGAAGGGATGCAGGCATAAATCCACCCGACTTGTAATCCAGCAGACTGAAATGCCCAGCGACTACATCCAACAGAGATAGGTTGTTGTGCGTTTCTGGATGTGTCGGGTTGTGCACGATGAAATCGAACAGGATGAATAGAGCGGCGAGGGGCAGAACTGCGAGGACGCTATTCGGATATCATATCAGAATTAAGTACAGAATCCCGAAACTCAGGCCTCGAGGGAGCTAAAGTGGCTTTGGCGAGAGAGGGCACTTACAAATTCGGCGTGTGGGCAGCTATATCAATGTCCCTGCTGTCCTCGACGACCGCTCTCGCAGTATCCATCAACTGTCGCTTGCTCCTTTCCAGATCCTGCGACCGGCCTGGGTCAAGCTGGCCTACATACATCTTGAGTCTCGCCAGGGCGATAACGAGCCCGTAGTAAGAGAACTTGGTCTGGAGCGCGGCCATTTTGACCCCTGGCCCAAGAAGAGAAGAAGGCCCACCGCGTGCACCAAGCGGCACTTCCGGGCGAAATTCCAACGGGATGGCCGTTCTCCATCGTTCCAAGCGCGTCTCAACCTCTGCAATGGCGTCGTGATACGCCTCCGGGGATTGCGATGTGGCACTTACCGAAAACAGAGTCGTGTATGAAAGCGAGAGGATGCGGCCAAACCCTATAGCCGATACAAACCAGTTATACCCCCCAAGGACGGATTCCGGGACCTCAGGCACGGGACTCCCAACATCGTAGTCTGGGATCATCGAACCTTTATGGCTTTGAAAACACATTCCTTTCTCCATGTAATATATGACCCAGAATGTCCGGTGGCAGGTGTTCTTCTGGCGCTGGTCCCCGTCACCTAAAGCTCTGTGATAGCCGAGGCCGAGCGCCATGCGGGCGGCTTCCATGACTAGAATCTCGTCGATCTGAATACAGCAAGTAGTCCTGGCGAAAATTGACTGAGCGACGCAAGCCATCAGAACAAGGTACATGTTTCTTATCACACGGCAGCCCTTACCATTGCAACCAGCGCCTATTGATCTCATTAGCCGAGTCAAAGGTTATCATCACAAGCACGTACTTGGAGACTCGTCAATGCTTCCCTCGGAATCAGTATCTCCGACACGAGACCTAACGAAACCTGGAAAAGCTTCCAGGCCCTCCCGTTTCCCGGATCGAATGCTCCGCCGTCATGGTACTGGCAACCAAGCGCGAGGATGGCGTGATATAGAGCTGAAAATGCGCAACTCGAGCTCAGAATTTGCGAATGAGCCGGCCCGAGTGCTTTCTCTTCAAACTCTTTGCGATCGAGGAAAGGGTAAAATGGGTGCATTTGGCTGAAGTAGGCTACGGTTTCAGAGTATCGGTCCGTCAACCAGGGAATGCGCACTGAACGGGATGAGACTCACATTGGATGTACAGCGTGGCCTTGTCCAAGGGAATATGAACTGGATCCGATGGCTTTCTGAAAGAAATACGTGTCTTGGAGGATGGCCCCTCGGCGAGAAGCCGCGATCTGATGACAGACTCAATGGTCTCCACCAGCTGGTTCAGTCGGTCATTCCCCAGTCGTTGCGATAGAGAATGGATTCGATGCTCCGAAAAGAATGCAAGGCTGGAACTAGTCACTTCACAGGCAAGGCGGTTAAACATGGACCCTGAATAAGTCTACCGTTGCGTAGCATACCGTCATGGTCGGGGCCCTAGGTCCGGTACTTGGTCAGGCTAGACAAATAAAGCAATTTAGACAACGGTTCGGAACTGACCCTGAGCAAGACAGAATTATCCCGTTGGATCCCACTGCTGTCGTGATTTTCCAACATCCGATCCAGAAGGATTGGTTGGGAGCGAATCTTCTCGGTCAAAGGCCCCAGGCGTGGAGTGCAAATCCGAGCAGATGTCGTCGCATCTACGGCAGGTGACGAGCTTCGTCTCGGACGTACACCGTTGCCTCCAAGAGGTCGGGTCCTTTGCTTACGCTTGGACTGGGTAAAATGACACCTTTCATTCCGTTTCTACATAGCGAGTTCTGTTAGCATCAGCGGGCTCTTCCTCGAGCACACCTTCATCTTACCACGCAATGGGTGCATCGAAGGTGTTGAGTGGGATCCACTAAGGACAGAGACAATTAGGCTTCATCGGGGATTTTCGGCCAGGGTTCACAGTGCGCGTACTGATACAGCGAACTTTCCGAGTCCTGCATTGATCGCAGGACTTGCATGTCTTCGCCTCCGCGCTTCGGGCATCATCCTGATCCACGGCGGGTGATGATGGTTCGGACGTCATATCTAACCTCGGGGGAAATAGTATGGGGAGAAGGAAGGAAAACCTGGGGATTCGGAGATGGCGGTCGGATGAAATAAGCGGGTTGTGTCCGAGCGGCTCGGTCTTCGGTCTTTGGGAGTTCGTACCCTTAATGGGCCATACTAATCTTTCTGCCTGGACCGAGACGACGGACAACCTCGTATTGAGGATGCCGCTACAGAACTTAATCTAGATCAGGCTCTGTAATACCTAAACTACACTGATGGATTATTTTGTGCGCAATGGCGGCCTCCATGCCCTCCTGGCGGTAACCCCAGCAGAACAACATGCCTGAGGTCATCGGTGTTCCGACGGACTCACAGGCATCTGACTCTAGAATGCTAGATTATAATAGAGAAGCCTACCTTGGTTATGCTCATAACATCTCAGACTATGTATGTTCAGTGTTAGATGGTGGAGGCTTGATTAGAGTGTGGCAGAGGTAAGTATTCGGAATCCAAGCAACAAGACATCAGGTACTAGAGATTATATTCGGGTCGCACGAAGGCATTCACGAACAACCCGGATCGGTCACGGATAAGACGGCGCCCAGGAAGGCACAAGACATAAAGCGGTGAAATGGTGGATTGCAATGAGATGCTTGCGTGAGGAGGGAATGGTTGTTAATGAGAATGAGAACGAGACGGCTCCATCTATTCTCTCATCCGCTGGTACATCTCTATCTCATAGTAGTAGTAGTTATCTGTATACTCTTGGGGCTTGGATGATTGAAGTACCAATCGTCCAACGGGATAGGTGCCGATGGCTGTCCATGACCTGGGGGACAGTGAACAGCAACCATCACCATGTCCATAATCGGTAGCGAGTACGGGTCGGCCCTCGTATAATGACCTTCTAGAAGACGAGCAGAATCAAATGTCACCATCCTTCACCATCCCGAAAACTACTGTCTCATCGAGGGAAAAGGATGTATGACGATGAGATCCGGTGGGCTGCGGATGCTCACCCGAGGATCCCGAAACCTTGGTCAAGCCACAACTTTATCCCATCTTCAGTCATTTCTTAAGGATCCCATCTATATCCGAAAGTTCCGGTACATAACCCGGCCCCTCCTGCCATCTCCAGGTGGACACTGGCTGTGTCATACAGATTCAAACAGAGGTGACTTCTATATAAGTCTAAATAAGATAGACTCTCGAATGCTTTGGTTCTCAACAGGTGCAAGCAGGGCCAGCATGGCCGAGCGATCCAGTATCCGGTATATGACGCCGACGACTTCGACCAAGGCACGGCACCAAGCCACGAGCTTCGGTTGCTCACTAATAGTCTTTGGATGTTCATACATATTCTCTAGAAGGACTGAGAAATATGAATTGTCTTTATAGATGGAATGTCTTGTAAGAGGTGCGGGATCACCGATGTGCAATACTTTATACTTTTCTATGGTCTTGTCGTCTAGACATCTCCGGCACCTACGATTATCGTAGGACGTCCAAACCATTGAGATGAGGGTATTGGACGTACTAATAAAATCGGCCACACTCTTGTCGCTGGCGTCTCCGGTATGCGGTAAGTCACCGATTGCCTTGTGGAAAATATCAAGAAGCCAAATAACGCTAGATCGTCATATAGCACGGTCCGATAAAAGTCCATTTCGTCTGCAAAATGCAATTATCAACACACCATCAAGACCCGATGGAGCCTTGTCGCACTTCAACATCACCGCTAGCATTGACGGCAAGCATCAGAACCTGACATTCGTGCTCGAGAGTAGTCGTGCCGGGGCTGAATCCACCCACGTACAATATCTCGATATCGACGGAAATACCAAGCATGTTGAAAAATCAAGCTATAATACGACAAAAGGATCGGTCTGGATACAATCCGCGGGTCGACCTGCGAAGAATGTCGGATGGGCTAGAATCGTTCTCATTCGCGATGGACGACCTCCATTATTCGAAGGGACCTTTACCATTCGGTCGAAGCAGTACGAGATAAAGATACAGAAATCGCACAAAGATACTACAAATGGGGGCTCAGACGAGATCGTTGTTCATCACGTTCCTTCTACCGATGTCATGGGCAGCTCCAGCACCGATCAGGTGTTACTTCAGACAGGCTGTATGACAACGCCAGAGATCTCCCTGGACAGACGAAACCTACAGAGTCGCGAGGAGAGCTACGTGGACCATATTGGAAGCGCAGCAGGATGTCCTCAGTCTCGACAAATCGCCTACATCGGTGTGGCGACAGACTGTTCGTACTCTGCGGCGTTCGACTCACTCGACGACGTCCACAGAAACATAGTAAACCTGGTCAACACCGCCTCCGTCGTCTTCGAAAACAGCTTCAACATCTCCCTCGGCCTGCGCAACCTGACCATCAGCGACGGTCAATGTCCAAACCGCACTTCCGAGCGTACCGCATGGAACTCGCCGTGTTCAAGCGGTGACATGAACTGGCGTTTGAATCGCTTCTCAGCCTGGCGTGGCAGCATCCAAGACACAAACGCATACTGGACCCTGATGACGGACTGTCACAACTCTCGTGCTGAGGTTGGCGTGTCCTGGGTGGGGGATCTCTGCAACCCGGGGTCTGGAAACTTTTACAGCTCGCAGTCTGGTGTCGGCGCTAATGTTGTTGGTCGAACAAGTGCCCAATGGCAGGTATTCACGTAGGTCGCTCGATATGCTGCTCTTGCATTTGGTCCTGGCTAACCTGCTACAGACACGAAGCGGCGCATATGTTCGGGGCGGTCCATGACTGTGACTCGGACACCTGTGAGCAGAGCAGTAATAACACGTGCTGCCCATTCTCGGCCTCAACCTGCGACGCCAATGCCCAGTACATCATGAACCCCTCGTCCAGCAAAGCCATGTCGCGCTTCTCCCCGTGCACGATAGGCAATGTATGTTCTCGTCTGGGCTCCGGAAACGTCAACACGCACTGTCTAGTTCCAGATAGCCCCGGCATCAACACTACTGGCGTGAACGGCGGACAGTGTGGGAACGGTATTCTCGAGCCAGGAGAAGCCTGTGATTGCGGACACGGCGTGTGTGATGAGGTCAAGGCGCGATGCTGCGACATGATGACATGCCAGTGGCGAGGTGGGAATGAATGCGAACGATTCAATCCCGGAAGTGGCGATAACAACGGCTCCTGGGCACAGAGACATCTTGGGCTGGTTATCGGGCTTTCTGTTGGTCTGGGAGGTGGCTTGATATTGTTGGCTTTGGTGAGCGTGGGTATCTATAGCTGGCGACGCCGGAGAGTCGGAAAACGGCTCAGTTCGCTGAGTAGTGCAGGCAGCTTTTAGAATATACAGCCTTATGAGATGCCCTTGCTTCCATTCGCTGAAGCAGGTGAGACCCGGAAGGCATGGCTCACGTGCACTGTCGTTGTTGTCCTGCGTGTAGATTTTGATGCGTTAGAAGCACGCTTCTCATTGAATAGACCTCGAATATTCACCTACGGAGGCTCCAAGTGAAGAGGCCATGTAGGTCGAGTAAGAATAGTTTCGCCTTCATTACAATAACCGTTTCAGAGTGTCCCATCACTAGAGATGGGTATATTCTCATTCAATAGTGGGAGTGACTCTGCACAGGGATTACTTTCACCAGAAACGATGGCGTCACTTGGTGTCTTTCCCACAGGAAGTTATAAATACTTCGCTTCCTCCCCTTCTCTCTTCCCTTTTCTTTCTTCCCTCCATCTCTTCCGCCTTGTCATCCCCCTCCTCTCGAGGGGGGTCTCTCTTTTCCCCCCTTCATCCTCAGCATGCTCTTTCATACAACACACCAGCTACATAGCCCTTCTTACCCAGGTCACCATGCCTCGCGGATGAAGCCAACCATTCTCTTGACACTACCATGACGATTTCTCTGAAATAGCCTTTTGCCGCTAGATTTTGTCGCGGCCATTTAAACCTACTGTCCCTCCTTTCGTTTCGATATGCTTGACTGGGAATCACACGCATTGATCGTTCCCTTGGTCTCTTTCTTGCTCCGCTCATCTGGTCACCGTCCATGTGCTGAAGCCAAGTGAGTTATAAGCAAGCATCGCTCCCTTCTCCTCCCTCCCATTCCGCTGCTCTAACCACTGTGGATGTGCTCGATTAGAGATCACACAAATTCACTGTTCCTTCGTCTGTACCTTCGTCTGTTTCTGGCCCCGCTCCTCTAGTCACCGTCAGTGTGCTTGAAGCCGAGAGAGTCATACGCATTCATCCTTCTCTTCTCCGTCAACATGTTTGAAGTCAAGGGGGTCAAACGCGTTTATCCCTCCCTTCTGCGGTCACCGTTGATGTTGTCATATCCAAGGGAGTCAAACGCATTCGTCCTCCATTCTCCGTCGATATGCTGTCAAACCAAGGGAGTCTTACGCTTTTATTCCTCCCTTCTTCGGTGACCGTCAATACGCTTCAAGCCGAGAGAGTCAAACGCATTCATTCCTCTCTTCTCCGTCGACATGTTTGAAGCCAAGGGAATGAAACGCATTTATCCTCCCTTCTCCGGCGGCCGTCAATATGCTGGATTGGGAATCACACGCTTTCACCTTCCCTTCCTCACCTGCTTGCTCGGCCTCTCGGATCAATTTTGACGTTCTTGATTGAGATACCACGCATTTACATTGTTTTCTTCTCCTTCGCCTTGCTAGTCTTCATGTTTGATTGAGAGCTACACGTAGTATCGCTCCCCCCTCTCCTACTCCAACCCTGATCACTGTCAACATGTCTAATTGGGAGCCACACGCATTCATCGTTCCTTTACGCTCTTTCCTTTCCTGTCGTTTCTGCTCACGCTTTCCTCACTTGGCGGTTTTATGTCATAATCACTTCTGCTTTCCTCCGTCCACATGTTACAATCACTTCGTCCTATGCTTTCGTTCTACGTTGACACCTCGCAACATGACATTGTGACATCTGGATCCTTTTTTATGAAATAAAACGCTTCGATCTCTCACACTCCGTATTTCGCTCCACATATCTAGGTTGAACCACCGGTATACCAGCTGAGACGAATGAGCTGGTTTGACCTCTAATCTAGCGTCTTCCAACCACAAGTTGCCGAGGATCTCTGTGATGATGCCTCAGTCAAATCGCGGCTCTCGGCATACAATAATACGGTATTCTACGCATACCTGGAGAAAATCACAAGACTCCGGTCAAAGATCGCGAGGCACCGAAGATGGTTCTGGGGGATTTTGGCAATTGGATTCTGTCAAGCTCTACCGCTACAATTGCCATGCTAACACGATGGAGTGAGTGAGAAAAGCTAGTACAATATACGACGGCGAAGAAGCACGCCCTTGCTACTACGGATGCGTTGTGCGAGATTAGAAGGAATTTTCACAACCGTGTCGACGCAGACAGAGCATGTTTCAACTACTACGGCCGCATCTGTTAAGCTTGGTACAACAACATCGGTCCATCTAACCACCACAGAATCTGCTTTAACATCTCATCCGCCTCTCACTGCTTCTACTACGGTGTCAACTACTTAATCTACCCTAAGTATTTTAACTGCTACGTTATATTCTGCCTCTTCTGTTATTACAACAAACCCGCTACGCCAGCGTCTTTAACTTCTACTGCACCCTCAACTACGATGTCTTTCATTTCCTCCACTTCTTCGGTATCTCTCAGGATGCCTAATGCTCATTCCATTACTGTGTCCACGGTAAGTACGACTTCTGTGGTATCTCCGAGTAGATGATTATTAATTGTATACTGATTCTGAGGTTGGACTGAAGGGCAGTACCTAAGTACCTGGTCTAGGCATTAAGGTACATCAGGACCCTACCGGAAAGGGCTGAACTCTTCACGGTGTCACCTATACTTGCAGTCTACAGCTATACTATTCCAGACGGCGACAACTAATGATATTAGTACTCATTGATCCTAATCAGTTCCCTACTTGTCTTTGCACTGCTGACCCGCCCACTTAGTGTAACTTCTGGACCTCCTCACAATCTCCATGATGTCATCCATACATTCCAACAAGTAGCGCCGTATGACCAATGCTGTGGAAGTCGCGAGTTGTCTCTCTAGTTTCAAGCACAGCTGCTTCCAATCAATTCGCTCATCGTCAACTCCCACTATCTCGTAGAAGAATTCGGTTGATATTCTCGATCGCCAATACATGTTACCCATAGAAACGCCCAACTCTTTCTCTATAAATGCCACCGTCTGAGATGGAAGATAATCGAAAATCATACATAACAGTTCCAGCGGGAGGTTGCAGCTCCCGACTCGAGCCTTTTGAGGAGCAGGCTGGCGTTTCCCTTTTTTCTTCTTCTTTGTCGTTTTTCTTCGGCGTCCCTGTTTTAAGGCCGAGGAGATAGCGTCCGAAACGCGTTTTGTGCGCACAGGATCTGGAATATGCCCAAGTGTTAGTAAACTACATCAGGGGTCTATGAAGTAATGGTCGGACTGGGGATGACTGACCTTCCTGACTTGCATCAGGATTCCAGCACTTGGGCTGATAGCCCGTTTGAGTGTATTTTGTCCGAAGCGCCAATCTCAACGTGTTCATATCCCTCTCCGCAACAGTACGCAGTTCGTGATGCGAGAGTAGCTCCCAGCAACGGGAGTGGATGTAATAACCGGCCAACTCTTTCGGCGTCGTGGATGGACTAAGAATCCTGGGTGCTACCATCCTTGGATCTTGTACTGTGTTCCAATCGCGGTAGTAAAATCCATCATCCTCATCCACTGGGATGCACTGGGTGAACTTATCGTGTAGTTTCACGCCAGAAATCCAGCACATCTCATCCCCAGGGTCGTAGAGAACTGACAGGGTTGGTTAATTGCTCGATCTGTTTGACGTTGTGGATGTCTTACCCATGCGGTAAGTGTTCCACCAGACCTTTTTCCTATAGAACTTGGACGACTCCATGTCTTCGGCAGGATAGATAGGACCTGGGGTGGGATGCAAAAAGTCGTAAGTTGAAATGTCCCATTGGGAACTGGCGGATCGGGGCAGGAATCCGCATATAAGGCAGTGCGGTGCATTACGGTAAGTATCGGACTTGAAAATGATATAGAGGTCTTTGGGTAAAGAGACCATTCTGGTTTCTCAGATTATGCGTTCAGAGGAATTTGATTGAGGTTGAGGGCAGATGAAGGTGTCATCTAAAGAAGCACTATATAGTGTACGTTCTATTCTAAGGCGGTTATGACGTGCAGGCAGGTTCAGCGCGGAGTTCGGTGCTCAGAGACATCCATGGATTCAGGCACATCGACACCTTCGGACATCTTCTTCCGCAGGGCTTTAAGCCATTGATCCTACCCTGGCCTAAGGTTTGTGTATATTCTCAGGAACTTTGTAAGAGTAGATGTCAGAGATGAGCATATATAGTGTGGCCGTTTTGAAACTCAAGACCAATTGGACCGTGATATACAGGCACGAATCAACATGCATTTGTCCACAAACGCTCCGATCTTCAGAAAACCCCAGGGGTGAAATCAATGACCTGTGCTTTCTCAAGCACATCCCCCAAGCTCTGGACGAATTCCCGATGCGCTGGGTCCTCATTGACATAGTAATCCCGATCGGCGGCGCTGTCGTACTCAACTACAAAGGCGTGGGTGATGCCACCCTGAGAAACTCAGTATTTCAACTAGTGCCTTGCTCTAGCAATGTTCACACACCTGCATCCCTTCAGGGGAATTGTCTACACCGCCCGACGAGGATTTGATGTATGGCTTTTGAGATGCCGGATGGATGCATTTGTCCTTCAAAGCCAGCATGCGAGAACAAACCTATGTCAGAAGATTAGTACCTGCGATCCTGGCTGGCTGGCATCACATACATCTTTGACGACTTCGGGGGGCGTGTCAGCTTTGAATTGGAAAAGGACTATATGGGTGAGCGGCATGGCGGGCGACGGATTGGGAAGACTGGAGCTGGCGGAATGGAAGGACCAAACTATGAAGCAAAGAAGGATCGCAGTGATCAAGAAACTCGTTAATTGTCTTATGGATGCCATCATATGATAAGCAGTTCCGTCACTGCCGCGCGGGGTAAACAAAGGGTCAGGTGACGCGACAACTAAATCGACCTGCATTCAGCTTTTTATAAGCTGCAGAGCTTGCAATGCCACCTGCACTGCGCTCAGAATAATGCTTTATCCCCCCGAAAATTGATACCAGCCAGAATGTCCAGTACTGAAGCGTATCCCGCCTGTGTTGAAATAGATCTCCAATCGACTTGGGGTGTGCATCCCGGAGCTCCTTGCGATGTGATCAATCCTCTCGCAGAGCACAGGAAAATCTCGAGCCGTGAAGTAAATCGATCGGCCCACGGGAATCAGAGGTGATAGCCCTGTCGTGTGTTTCTTCCCGCACATCGATGGAAGCGAAGTAGCTGCGAAATATCTCGCTGTTGCCACGAGGGTCCATACTGGAGTGCTAGCTGCTGCTCGCAAAGGCGTAGACTACTCCCTGGGAATGGAGCATATTCGGGCAGAATGAGGGATAACAGAAGAGCGATATGGTACCATCCCATGTCAACCACGGTGTCCAGAACGCTCGTCCTGGGGGATACCGACCAAGATTCTTCTTTCTCATGCAGCCTATCCTGGCTGGTTTTGAGAGACTGTTTTCTCACTTTGGACCTGAACATGGCATGACCAACTCGCCGGCCTGTGAATACGTCAGTACGTAGGTCAAAACAGGTTAATGACGACTCCCACTCATAACCGCTGACTCGTGCCATATCATGTCAATCGCTAGCCTGTATGTTCTCCGAATAGCCTTTCACTTCCTCTGGAAGAATGGCCTTGACTTTGTCACGATACAACAAGACACGCTTTGGAAGGACTGACGGCGGGTGCTCAGATGTCCAGCAGGGAGAGTCTTGTAATACCGTTGTTTAGCAGCACACAGACATCCATATTAGACTCAGGTAAGGGGAGTTGCCGCGCGCGTAGCTGCATACGATCAACACCTGGCCTTGCGCTAAGTGGCTCGGGTCCTTTCCTGCTTTCATCCTAACGGCACGGGCCGGGATGAGGGGAGAGGCCGTCCAGCGCCAAAACCTCGCTCTTCCTTTACTCCCCAAAAACACTCTTTTCTGTGGCACATAGACGATCTGTTGGAAAGCTACTGCCACATGGAGACACCCGATCGTCACATTCACCCGCACGATGCGGCGGACAGCGCGCCCCATGTCAGCCCGGTATGGCAAGCAACCATCGACAAATATTACGAAAAGCTGAGAAGAGAGGGAGTAAAAGCCCCAGCAGTTGATCAAGATCTCTGGAGTATCCATACTTCAGATGATTTGCTCCAGCAAATCCAACCTCACACCCCACAGGGCTCTACTCCCCCGGCGAACTGGATGTGGTCCTTACGCCGACTGAAGTCGATCATTCTCAACATCAATGACTTCGTTGCCGTTATAAAATTGGTGCTGGGAATGAATGGACAGGTTGCCACAATTATCAGGGGATCCATAAGGCTTATCCTGAAGGTATCCCCTACTAGAACAGCATCTCGTTGCAGAACATCTGCTGAGTCTTTCAGTTTGCGCAACCGGTCCTCCCAGAGATCGTGGATATGCTCGAATAGCTGAGTCGTGCACTACCTCGGTTTCCTGGGCAAGAGCTTCCCCTAACGAAATCTCTCGAGGATGCACTTTTGGACGCTTATACTGAGATCATATTGTTTTGCGCGCACTCCATTGGCTGCTTTTGGAACAACCCAAATATAACAAAAAGCGGAGATTTATGGTTGAGGTTCAGTAATGACTTCTCAAAAGTCATAGCAGAGCTTCGGACGTCCTCCAGAATCGTGGAAGAAAGGGCTGATATGATCCGTCTCACCAGAGACACCGGCAGGATTGACACCATTGACGCGATCAGGGTCTCCCAGGGACATCATTCCAGCAAAAAGAACCTTCCATGTTACATGATCCCTTATGGCCTGAATCTGAGATTCTACGGAAGAACCTCTGAGACAGAGAGGCTGGGAAAGGCTCTTGATCCTAGGAGTCCCAGCGGAACCCTGAGAGTGATAGCAATTCATGGAACCGGCGGTATTGGAAAGACTCAGCTCGCACTACACTATGCCAACACATCTACGAACCTATACGATGCAGTGATTTGGATTCCATCAGGGAAGCAAATGAAGGTCATGCAAACTTTGTCTACCTTTTCAAGAAGGCTAGGCATTTCTGGCAGTGAGGACGTCGAGGATGACTATCAGTCAATCCAGAAAGTGAGGGACTGGTTGAACACATCAGAGAAAACCTTCCTTTTAGTCTTTGATAATGTGGAAAACGACGCAATTCTGAACCAAATTTGGCCCACAAGTGCAAGAGGGTCTGTGATCATTACCTGTCGCTCACAGTCGGTTGCGTCCAAGCGAACCGCAGATTCAATACATCTCCAAGGCTTCACCCCAGAAACAGGGCTGCAGGTTTTGCTCTCTTTAACTGGCCTTCAGTCTACAAACGTGGATGAGGAGGATGTCGCACGAGAGTTGATACAAATTTTGGGTGGCCACTCTCTCGCAATGGTCCACATCAGTGACTTCATAAGAGACCGAGGGTATTCTTATCAGGAACTGCTACCAGTCTATAAGAAGTCCGCCGAGAAGATACTCGCGCGGTCTGAAGTCCCCAGTCAGTATGGGCACACGATACGGACTGTGTGGGATGTGTCTTTCGAAACCCTCTCCGTTGAATCGAGGGTCCTACTTGGGATTCTTGCTTTTTTCGATCCAGACAACATCCCGGAGTGGATCCTTTCGAACACAAGAGCAAGGATTACAGAGTCTGGTATGCAATTTTTATTTGACGAGTTTGAGTGAGTCACGGTTCTTTCAGTACGACTTTGAAGTTCGCCCATACTTATCGTCCACAGTTTTGGAGATGCGATAATTGGCCTTACAAAGATATCGCTCATCCATCGGCTTTCTTCGCACAAAGCCATATCAATACATCGCTTGATCCAATTCACAGTTTTCTCACGACTATCGGCGATGGATAAGACCAAATATTTAGATTTTGCCGTTCGGGTGTTATCCTACGGGTTTCCGAACAGCTGGGATGAAAGGACACACCAGCAGGGCCATGGCTGGGAATCTTGGGAAACCTGCGGCGCAATTCTGCCACACGTCAGCTGGCTTATCCGATTGACTAGGGAACACTCTCTGCAAGTGACCGATGTGGAGCTTTTCGCGGAATTAATCTTTCGCGCCGGAACGTAAGTTTGATCTTCACCTGCCAGGGACAGATAGACTAATGTGGTCCTATACAGATACCTGTGGGAGAAGGAACAGCCTACAATGGCACGCTCGTTCATTGAATACGGCCTCAGCCTGGATATCAAACAATCTACTCCAAACTATGCCCAAGCATACCGTCTTCTAGGCCACATTGGTCTCGACATGGCACAGCCGAGAGCGGCATTGGCGGCGTATGAGAAAGCACTTGCTGCTCGCGAAACACTGGAGGAGCCGAATTCCCCGCCGATTGCTGACATTTATGACTCCATTGCCTGCAGCTATACGGAACAAGGCAGGGTCGCCGAAGCATTCGAATACCTGTCAAAAGCGGCCATATCCATCGCGCGCACAACCCCCTTCATATGGGCCGGACACAAGCAATCTACGCCATGACGTATCTTCGCGCGGGGCAGCCGAGCGAAGCACTAACCGCACTGAAAAGCTGCTGGGAGCTTCAGGGTCTGGACGAAGAACAGATAAGCCAGTCCCAATATCCTAAGCACAGTGGGGATATTCTTCTCTTATCTCGGATCAAGTACGCCCAAGGTCTGAAGAAAGAGGCCCAGCAACTAGCCTCGCGAACCATTTCCATCCGTTGCGGTCTGTTTGGAAATAAAGGGCCTCTAGTTGCGGACTCCATGTTTACAGTAGCCCGCATGTTGGAGCCTGATGGGAAGGACGTATTGGCTGCTACCTTGTTACGCTTGGTGGTCAAGATGAGTCGGGGCGGCTTCGAGATGCAGGGACATCTCGCACGATCCCTGTGGTTTTTAGCCGCTATTGAAAGCCGACTAGGAGATAGAAATCAGGCTGAAGTTCTAAGGGTGGAAGCTAGAATGGAGAGACAGGCGATTGTCGGGAGGGAGACTACGGATGAGGATAGTGATGACTCGTTCATGCGGCTAGTGGGATGGATGCTCTGGTAACCGAAGGGTTCGCTGCGTGTTTTCTGGTAACGTGGTATTCACTATAAGGCAGTTTCTCAGCTGAATGATCATTATGCTACAAAAAAATAAACCACTATCTTACCGTGGAGACCAAAAGCTATGGATACAGAGCCTGCATTGCCCCGTCTTAGGCTGCTAAGTGCAGAATTTGCGAAAAGAACACTCTAACCCAAGGTAAGTTATATTAAACACCCATGGACTAACCCTAGTCTTGAAACTTCACAACATATTTGACAGCGCTGGCTTTACCTTCCTTCAAATTCGTCAATGCTGTTTGGATACCTTCCAGACCACCTGGTACAATCTCATGCGGATGAGACTTAAGCCAGCCCTCACTGAGTCCCCTGCTCGCCATCCGAGACCACACAAATGCAAAGTCTTGGTCATCCGTATGGCAGGTCCCAACGTTGCTGAACTCGACGCGAGTCGTGGAGGGCAATTCGTCGGGTCGCATCGGGATGACGACTGACACCGCACCAGCGGTCTGGTCCAGCACTCTGCTAATAACATCGAAGCTAGATTTCTCGCTGACCGCATCTACCGCATATAGAAGACTTTCGCCCGCCGGAATGGCATCCTGGATCGCGCACGCAACGGCAGATACCCCCTTGCGATAGTCGATCACAACGTCCCCTTTCTCCTGGCTCAGAAGGCCCTGGACATAATCCATGCCTCTTCCTGCAATGCTGATGATAGGATGGATGTCCGCCTTCTGCAAGAGTTTGATCGCAAATGACCCGACAGCAGTGGCAGCGCCGTAGACCAACACCCCTCCTCGGGGCTTACTGGCCCACGACTTGTTGCTCAACCACGGTTCGGGAAGTCCCAAGCGAGCAAATAAAGCCAGGGAAGCAGTTGCTGCTGCGAGGGGGATGGTTGCTGCCTCCTCGAAGGAGACATGGGGCGGGATATGGAAGGTCGTGTGCGCTTTCCCGATGGCATATTCGGCAAAGCTTCCATGGGGCGTCATGTAATCGTGAAATGCGGCTACCCGGTCCCCAACTTTGAACTCGAAGACATCGTCGCCGATGGCGTGGACGTATCCTGCAATGTCGTCGCCGGTATTGGTGCCATTGAACTGGTCAAACCACTCGGGGAATTTCCAATCTTTAGGGTTCGTGCCGCTGGCCACCACCTTGATCAGGACTTCACCGGGCCCAGGCTTAGGAATGGGCACTGTGTGAAGCTGGACCTCCACTGTCCCATTTTTGCTGTAGACGAGGGCTTCTTCCATGTTGGTATCGACAATATGAAGGGCGCTTCAGGCAGAGATGAGGAAATTACTGGCACTAAGGAGGACGGGAGCGGAAGAGGGTCTTTTATGGATACCGATAATCTATCCCACCGGAACCGATGGTCCGGTATTAAAACCGGCATTTGTAATCATGGGCTGCTTTCAAAAATTTGACCAGCAGCCTTTGGCTCAGTGCATTCCTTGTCTGTACCCTAGTACTGGCCGTGGGTATCCCGGGGAGAGTCGAAGACTTTGCGATTGCTGACATTGCTGCCATGCTTGATGATGTCAAAGTCAACAGACAAGCATTGATGGCCCCACTATACGGACTAACCCTTTCAGGTAATACCAGTAGTACAGTAGTATGCCTAGATTCAGTGAGCTGCCTAACAACAGTTTAATGAGAGTCTTCCTTTGTTTAGGGAGGTCACATGGTGGAGGCGCATACAAATGCTAAGAGGTATAAATGTCAAGCGGTAACCCTCTACATCGCCCCCTTCACTCACATCCAACTCCCTCAATGACCGTACAACTCCCACCAGATCCTCGATTGAAAAGTCCATCCCACTACAACCAAGAAGATGTTATCACTGTAGTGACAGAGTTCTATCGGTTTCTTACCACCCTTGTCTTTTATGAGCCCGCCGACATTCTCTATCCACCCCCGGAAGGATGGCCACAGGTACGGGAAAAGTTGGCCCCATGGCACAAGACCGACGAGGTGGTTGAACTGCTACGCCATCTCCCGTATCTTGATTCTAGGCTTGGTATTTGGAAGATTATACCATGGTCCCGGCCGTGTGATTACATTAGTCGAGACCTTCGATTCAATAATCCTGTTACGCAATTTCCTCCTTGGGTAATCAACCTCACAAAATCCTCCAGGATCGGCGTCAACCTGATGTTAGATACATCCGACGGTAGGTATCTCATCCTGCCCATACATACCTACTCTGATATTTTACATAGGAACTGTAACCGAGTATATAACGGATGGCTTGTGAAACGAGCCAGACTACGCAGAGGATGACCCGCGCCAGTGGCGGAATAAATGTGAGGATGTAACTATGCCTCTCAGAGAGTATCTGGAGAAATGTAAGGATTCTTACTTGAATCTGAACTGGATTCCACCCGTCAGTCGTTGGGACATCCAGCAGTATCTTCATCTCTGGGATGAAGTGGGAGGGGGTGATGGTCCAAAGACTATTGTAAGTACTATTGCAACGTTCCTCCAGATATGGTCTGATGACTATTCAGGCCATACGTGATACATACATAGCGCATGGATGGCCGGACTTGTTTGATCGGGAGGCTTGCAAGAGGGCATTATTCCAACTATATAGCAAATAGCTCGGCCCAAGGGATTCTGAGAATTGACAGCAGTATCCTGTTCCATTCCTACTGACTGTCTCCACTATGAAACTCTCTTTGTGTTTCTTTTCTAATAAACAATAATTTTCTTTCTTTCTTGTTATCAGCAGCTCAATTCCGACCTCAGAATCATCCTCAGCACCGTAGCCTACCAACCATTATCCAAACTGCCACTAATATTCTTTCTTCCCTGGATGATGTGTTAGCTGCGCCGCAAATTAGGGATACCCATCATATAATTTTAGACACGCGTTCTGAATGGAACCACTAAACTTGTGCATCATATGTACTACGCCGCATGCATGCCCTTGTCGATCACAATCAGAACGATTATCTTAAGAGGATCAGCGTAGGCGCTAGGTACGCCTGTAAGCGCCACTCGACTTGGAGCTCACGTCGCATGACAAAAGCAGAACTCTTCCGTACATAAATCCTCCTTTTTACAAATTTTCAAACCCACAAACACGGATATTAAGAAGAATGGCTTCTTCGTCACATACCTCTGGAGATTCTATGGCCGACCTATTGGCCTCTCCACCAAGAACATCCATGCAAATCCGCGGAACACATAAAACAAGCAAGGTGATCGATGTCGTCGACTTTGATCTGTGGATTGACTGTGCAAGAGTGGCTGAAATCAAGTCTGGGCAGTTTTTGACGTGTGATCCAAGAGATTATCGTCACTGGGAATTATCCACTGGCGAGCATAATCGCGGGTTTCAGGCGATATCTGAAGACTGGCTTGATGAATGGCTCAGAAATAGCGGCGATAATTGTCGGTATGGCTTCTTGTTTCTCTTACCCGTTATCACTACTAACAGTACCTCATGTACTACTAGCTGGACCCTCCGCAAAATCGTCCGGATGTCTGATGATGAGTGTCGCGGTATAAAGGTTCATATAGAGTCCCTTGCACGCCAAATTGCCTACTGTGGGTCCGTCGATGTCGTATTCCATGGCCTGACAATGGAGGACCATACCATGTCTCTGTCACAGACAGTGGAAGGGCAGAGAGCAGAACTTCGAGTGGAATGGAGTTGGGCCCATCTTTTCACTCCCCAAGACACATCACGAGACCACTGTATAATGAATGCAATGGTTGATCGTACGAAAGGCTTTGTCTCTTTCGACAATCCAGGACCGTCCTATGGGATGTCACCGTTCAGAAGAGCTATAAAACCTGGTTCTCGTATTGTATCAGGAGAGCGGGATGCTGTTGGAGTAAAGCATTCTGTGCGAATATTTTCACCATGGGGGTCAGAAGAATGATTCTTTGGAAGCATCTACTATATTCCTGGCTATCCAGTGCTAGGGGGACTAGAAAATTGGAGGCTCTGTTTCCGTTTCTGGCAAACCACCACGCTTATTGTGTAGTCGGTCGGATTCCCAACTGCTACAATGGCCCAGCCTTCATCATCTTGACAAATATAGAGTAATGATAAATAGTCAGGGCGCCAGGTCTATTTCACTGTACTTTAGGTAAAAATCGCGATCATTTCTTAAAGTTCTTCTATCTCAACCACGTGATATCATAAAAATGATCGGCCAGGATCTCCAGCAATAAGTAGAGGAATAACATCGGCTGGTGGAGTCCCGTAGATTTACTTATCAGAAAAAGTTGGAATTTTTCTGAATAAAGCAGTTATCATCTTGAGGCCTCATTCCCTAAAGCCCTCAACTTCTATACCTCTAAGCACCTAAATCCTTAAGTCACAATAAATCGAGAGGTGAGTAGGGAGTAATACTTCATTCATGCAATTTCAATGGACTGGCTCCGCCCCCTATCTTACTCCGAGAGTCTGTTGGGTCTGAGACGAAGTTAAGCCCCGAACAGTGGAGACGCCTAGTTCTAGCGAGGTTACATTTGACTTCGTGGCGTCCTAGGTCACTAGCACTTTTGCGAGCCTTACCGAGACTGGGCAATGTCTCCCTGTATGAATTCTCCCAATAAGCGTATCTGGGATCGCAGCCCTACGTGGGCCGATATTCTAGAGAAGTAGCGCCCGAACATAGCCGACCGCTTCTCTTCTCGTTCCTTCGGATGTTTTCCACTTGACAAAAAATCCATCCACGAAATAATCATCGAGCTCGATGCTCTCCAGTAAGTTCAAACAATGAGACACTATGAGGACCATAGCTTACGGTGGATAGTTTTGTATAAAACCCTCCACCACCGACAGGTGGAGGATGTTCCCTGCCAGTTGTCTCGGTCTACAATCATCCAGGCCTTCCATCAGCATTTCCTTATGATCCGCGCAATCTACCCCGGATTTCATATAATAACGAACCAACCCATCAATTCCTGTTCGACGGCCTTCTCAATCCACAATCCAGAATCCGATGTCATCACCAACTGCTCCTTATTCAGCCTAGACGATGGACTGGGCTTGGAAATTCAGGTAGGGTTGGGTATGAGAATTGCATGTCAGTGGACTGTCCATTCTCGAAATAAGGGTTCGGACATAGGCTTTACCAAGCAGACAGAGGAAGGATCCATATCCCGAAGGAGAAAGACTCCGGACTCGCCCAGCGATATATACTTGGTCGAAGAGACCAAGTTCGATTTGTTGAGGCCACTTGATCGTTTGGCGCGAACCAACAGTAATAAAAGCAAATCGTTGGAGAATATCTTAATCTTCCTTGAGAGGTTGAAGAAGGGAGAAATACAACTTTAAGGCTATGTGCGATCACTTATATTCGCCTTCTATTGTCATGTTGTTCCGTGTCCGTGTACATAGGTAGATATATATCGCCATGCCAAGCCATAAGCAACGGAAAATACAATAGAGCCTCTTATATCATAAAATTTTAGGGTCTAAATGTTTCTACAACTATCCTCCATATTAACTGAAGTTGGACGCGGCGTCATCTAATCGCCTTGCCTTGCAAGTTAAGGATATAGAGCGGTTTGATCCAATGATATGTTCTGTATCACTTGGACACATAGGTACCGGTGTGATTACATCATGATCCAGTTGCTGACTCACTCCCTCTGGGGGGGTCCCCGAAGATCGGACGTCCCTCCGCTACCCCGCCATCCGAAGACTTTTCCCTTCATTGATCCCCAACAACATACTCTTCCAAGCACAGAGACCGGGAAAACTACGAGATATCCTCACAATGGCTTCCCACAAGTAAGACACGGCTTCCCCGTGTCTGGAATCCGCTAAATCTCATGTTTCTCTAGGGTATTGATGCTCGGCGCTGGCTTCGTCACGAGACCGACTCTCGATATTCTTTCCGAGTCGGGCATCCCCGTGACCGTCGGTATGGATTATCTCGGCTTATGACACTTCCTGAATAGCTCAATTGACTTCTGTTTCCTCTTTTTCAGCCTGCAGAACCCTCGAATCTGCCAAGTCCCTCTCGGCCGGCGTCAAGAATGCCACTCCCATCTCCCTTGATGTCACCAACGATCAGGCTCTGGACGCCGAGGTCGCGAAGCACGATCTGGTCATCAGCTTGATCCCCTATACCTTCCACGCCACCGTTATCAAGTCCGCCATCCGTCAAAAGAAGCACGTTGTCACCACCAGCTACGTCTCTCCGGCTATGATGGAGCTCGACCAGCAGTGCAAGGATGCCGGCATCACGGTTATGAACGAGATCGGTCTGGGTATGTACTTTCGGCAACTTAGTCTCCGTGTGTCACTTGTTAATTGACTCTGTCATAGATCCGGGCATTGACCATCTCTGTGAGAATCCACCCACGATATAAAATCGACCGCACGATTGCTGACCCTGTCAGATGCTGTCAAGACCATCGAGGAGGTTCACAAGGAGGGAGGCAAAATTACCTCGTTCTTGTCCTACTGTGGAGGTCTCCCGGCCCCTGAGAGCTCTGGAAACCCTCTAGGTTACAAATTCTCTTGGTCTCCCCGCGGCGTTCTCCTGGCGCTGAGAAACGCGGCCAGCTTCTACAAGGACGGCAAGGTCGTCAACGTGTCTGGTCCTGGTAAGAATCCTAGCGCAACCCAGCTTTTTGCGTGAGAACAAACACTCACAAGAGACAAACAGACCTCATGGCTACTGCCAAGCCCTACCACATCTATCCCGGTAAGCATCTCCGTATCTGGCATAAACTGAAGATCGCGGCCTCCGCCCGGAGATCATGAGTGTAACCGATTTTGTCTGTAAAACTGACACTCGAGGACCAAGGTTTCGCCACCGTTGCGTACCCCAACAGAGATTCGACCGGCTACAAGGAGCGCTACAACATTCCTGAAGCCCAGACGGTCATCAGGTACACTTGCCCGGTTAGACGCCATAGCTACACAGACCACTAACATGTATGTGCAGAGGTACTCTGAGATATGCAGGCTTCCCCGAGTTCGTCAAGGTTCTGGTCGACATGGGCTTCCTGAAGGACGAGGAGCAGAGCTTCCTCAAGGAGCCCATTTCCTGGAAGGAGGCTACGCAAAAGATCCTTGGTGCCTCCTCGTCGGACGAGAAGGCCCTGATCGACGCTATCTCCGCCAAGGCCACTTTTGCGAACAACGAGCAGAGAGAGCACCTCTTGGCTGGTCTGAGATGGGTTGGACTCTTCTCGTCGGAGAAGGTGAGCCTTGCCAGTTAACCGTAAGGTACCGCTGATCTTACTAACCTCATTCAAGATCACTCCCCGCGGAAACCCTCTGGACACCATCTGTGCCACTCTTGAGAAGAAGATGCAGTTTGCCGAGGGCGAACGTGACCTTGTTATGTGAGTCGAGGTGTCTTTTCTCAAAGAAAGATCCCTTGCTAACCTTGAGCAGTCTGCAGCACAAGTTCGAGGTTGAGCTGAAGGACGGCACCAAGCAGACGAGAACCTCGACTCTCGTTGAGTACGGTAGCACGGACCCCAACGGCTACTCGGCCATGGCTAAGCTTGGTAAGTGTTTGCACTCGGACTGAATGTTGACAATATTAACCCATTGGACTTAGTCGGCGTGCCCTGTGCGGTTGCTGTCAAGCAGGTTCTGAACGGAACCATTGCCGAAAAGGGTGTTCTTGCTCCCATGAACAGCAAGATCAACGATCCCCTGATCAAGGAGCTCAAGGAGGTAAGTCAGCTATCGAAACACCGCTTCAACTCCGACATGCTGATTTGTATTTTCTAGAAGTACGGCATTGCCTGCAAGGAGGAGATTGTCGCCTAAAAGCAAACAAAAGCAGTAGATATACCTTGTTGGTTGGTAAACTGAATAGAACTCTTGAGACGCATGATTTGTTTGTAAAGAGACGGGCATGTGTATATCTCCTAGACGATCCAGTTGGAATCTTGATTAGGTTAAGCTCCCGCACCAGGCGCAATTCCGGCCGTACAAGTACTCCGTATTGGCTTTTGCCACACTGTGTGACACGCCAGATTGGGCTGGTCCAATGACCCCCCGCAGCCGCCTTCCCCACCACGGAGACTGCGCTGCATTTCGGGCGAAGGGAGCCCCCCCATGACTGCCCCCTCAGGAGGAGTATGACCTGCGACACCTTCATCCTTAAAGCGCCGTGATCCCCTTCCCTTCCTCCGTAATGTGTCTCCGCGCTTCACTCTTATCTGCATCGTGTGGGAGCGTGGTGCATATCCATCGCTGGCGATAACCATCGTGACCCTCACCGCTAGCAAGAAAAAGAAAGTCAGCGGGTCTGTCTCCAATTTCTTTGAGCTGTGCTGGCTCCTCACTTCCTCCACAACACCAACTCGACACCACTCCCTCATTACTCCAAAGTCGCTAAGACGCTCTTTGAACTTCACCATGGTGGAATTCATCCCTCCTCCCGATCCTCACACTCTCCTCCTTCCGCTATTGGCCTGTCTCCCCACGGCCTTCGTCTCTCCTCGGCCTCCCCCCGCGCTGCTTCCTCTCCTCTCCCCCATCCTCCGTCAACGAGTCCAGATCTTCAGCTCGGTTTCCTCGTCGCCCACGGATTCATGGCTTCAACACCTTTGCTGGGACACTACGAAAGCCGAACGGCTCCAGTCTCTGGTTGATGGCGCCAGTTTCGAACCGCACCCCGTGTCAGGCGAGATCGAGCTGCCCGGAGAGACCCCGATCACATACAAACGGATTGATGACGAGACGCTCCAGTCGCGCATTCTAATTCCCGACTACAGTCTCAAAGTAATTTTCCTGTGGTGTCCAAGTGATCAAGAGGGTGGGGGACCGGGGTGGCGAATTGCAGAATTACTCCCTCACGAGGGTGCTCTCGAAGAGGATGGAGCTTGGTCCAACTCGATCGGGGAGGCAAACGTTCATGCTAAAGAGAAGCTGATGGAGGACGCATTGAAGGCCGCGGAGCGGGACGAGAAAGTTGCATCTCGTCAGGAACCGGAACCCGAAGACGAGGACGATGATGCCGATTACTGGGCGCAATATGATGCCACCCCCGGACGGACCCCCGCGGTCAAAACCCCCGCGCCCAATCAGCAGCAGAACATGTCGGAAGCATCGTACTTTTCGCGGTACGCCGAGGTCCAACCGGCGATGGACAATCATGATCCTGCGGAAGAGCAGCCGGAGATCGGGCCATCCTCTCTCAATGGAGATATGCTGGCGAACCTCCTTCGGCGACAGGTGGACGGTCTGAATGGCGAGCAGTCAGGGAATTCCAACGCTGCAAACGAACATACAGCCATGCCGCTGAACCACCCCCGTCCATCTTCGACTTCTTCGGCGAGTTCCGAAGCGGTGGCGAAGTTGGAACAAGAGGCGGAGAACCAGTCCGCCTGTGAAGTTGGCGTTAAGCAACATATTGGCTCGAACATCAAGAGTCTGTTCCGCCTGGCCAAAGCGACAGGGATTTCTCGAGCAGAATTCCAATCTTTGGTGCGGACGGAGCTGGACCTGCTGAATGTCTCCGACGAGGATGAGTGACGCTGTTTAGATATCCTTTCGCCTGTTCCTTGCATACCACATTGCATTTGACTAGGTACCGATCATTAGGAGCGTTAGGAGCATTGTTACAGGGTGCTTTGGTGAATATCATTTTACATATTCTTATACCTACATATGGATATCTTGGAATCATACAATTTCTTCAATTCATCGATTTCTCTCCTGAATGCAGATTAATATTGCGGCTATTCCACATTCACATGGTGTACGTATGTACTATATCCGGCTGGGCCTTATTCCGTTCCGCGTGCGTGTTCCTGAACGGACACGCAAGCCCGCCCCATCGGCAGTTCCCCTCCGACAGCACCTACTTCGTTACTCCTTCGTCTCTTCTCATCCTCTTCTTTGTCCGGGGCATCGCTTCTTTCCCTTCGTTTCTTCTTTCTTATAATGCCCCTTTTTTAATTCTAGTAGGCCATTGTCCCGTCTCGAGCCTGATCCGCCCAGTCTCCTCGCTGACCGTTTGTTTTTCTCCGACTCTAGTACAATCATAGGTGGTCTTTTCATCCATCATCGTGACCATGTCTTCCTCTCCTTCTCTTCGGAAGAGAGGCGGTAAGGGGGGCACTCCAGTGCCCTCCGAGGTCTCTTCGTCTGTTCCTACAGTCCAGGGTGTCACCCCCAAGCGCTCAGAATGGGATTATCGGCTGGCCATGACCGTTCTGACCGTGCTGGCATTCATCACCCGCTTCTATAAGATCTCCTACCCCAATGAAGTCGTCTTCGACGAAGTCCATTTCGGAAAGGTCAGTCCGGTCAATATACGTGAACCACCTGTTGGCCCAATTGGACTGACAATGATTTTCCCAGTTCGCTTCCTACTACCTGCAACGCACCTACTTCTTCGATGTCCACCCTCCCTTCGGCAAGCTTCTTTTCGCCTTTATGGGCTGGTTGGTGGGCTATGACGGCCACTTCTTGTTCGACAACATCGGCGACAACTACATTGAGCACAAGGTCCCCTACGTTGCCCTTCGTGCCATGCCTGCGACCCTCGGCGCCCTGACAATTCCGGTGGTCTTTTTGATCATGTGGGAATCCGGCTACTCGCTCCCCGCGTGCGTCCTCGCCGCTGGTCTGGTCCTCTTCGACAACGCGCACATTGGTGAAGATCGATTGATCCTTCTGGATGCCACTTTGGTTCTCACCATGGCTTTGAGCATTCTATGCTATGTCCGTTTCTACAAGTTGCGGCACGAACCGTTTGGCCGGAAGTGGTGGAAATGGCTCCTTTTGACCGGCGTGTCCCTCAGCTGCGTGATCTCCACCAAGTATGTTGGTGTCTTCACCTTCGTCACTATCGGTGCTGCTGTCCTGGTTGACCTGTGGAACTTGTTGGACATTCGACGCCCGAATGGTGCCTTGAGCATGTTCCAGTGGGGCCAGCACTTTGCCGCCCGCGCCTTTGCTCTGATCATCGTGCCTCTCTTCTTCTATCTGTTCTGGTTCCAGGTCCACTTCGCCATTCTCACCCGTTCTGGCCCCGGAGACGAGTTCATGACCCCAGAGTTCCAGGAGACCCTCTCGGACAACGCCCTTTCAGCGCAGTCCATTGGTGTCCAATATTACGACACCATCACGATCCGGCACAAAGATACCAAGGTGTTCCTCCACAGTCACTGGGAGAAATATCCTCTGCGCTACGATGACGGACGTATCTCCAGCCAAGGCCAGCAGGTGACCGGATATCCGTTCAACGACACCAACAACGAATGGCAAATCCTTCCTGGAGTTCCCCTCCCGGATGTTGAGCCTGAGGGTGGTCACGATGTGCGCAATGGCGACATCATTCAGCTCCGTCATGTTGGTACTGATACCATCCTCCTGACGCACGATGTTGCGTCTCCCTACTACCCGACCAACCAAGAATTCACTACTGTCTCCCAAGAATTGGCCAACGGTGAACGCCACAACGATACTCTTTTCGAGCTCAAAATTGAACACGGAAAGACGAAGCAGCCATTCAAGACTCTCTCGAGCCATTTCAAACTCGTCCATGTCCCGACCAGGGTCGCCATGTGGACACACACCACTCCCTTGCCGGAATGGGCGTTCAAGCAGGCTGAAATTAACGGTAACAAGAATGTTCTGCAGAGCAGCAACCTCTGGTTCGCAGATTCGATCGAGTCGTTGCCCGAGGACAGCCCTCGAAGATTCAAGGAAGAACGCAAGGTCAAGCACCTGTCGTTCCTCCGCAAATACGTGGAGCTTCAGCGGGCCATGTTCTTCCACAACAACGCTCTCACCAGCAGCCATCCTTATGCCAGTGAGCCCTTCCAGTGGCCCTTCCTTCTCCGCGGTGTCAGCTTCTGGACCAAGAACGACACTCGGGAGCAGATCTACTTTTTGGGTAACCCCATTGGTTGGTGGATTGCCAGCAGTCTGCTGGCGGTGTTTGCTGGCATCATCGGTGCTGACCAATTGTCTCTTCGGCGCGGCATTGATGCCGTGGAAGAAAGTGAGTACATCGCCAATACAACCCTAATGCCATTGTACTGACGCGTTTGAAGTCTGGGGTCTTGGCGCCCGTTCTCGCTTGTATAATAGCACAGCATTCTTGTTCCTGTGCTGGGCTGCCCACTACTTCCCCTTCTGGCTCATGGGACGCCAGCGCTTCCTGCACCACTATCTGCCTGCCCACGTCGCGTCATGCTTGGTGACCGGCGCTCTGGTCGAGTTTATCTTCAATGTTCAGCCAGTCCAATCTCTCAAGCCGGATGCGGACGACTCGACTGGCAAATCGAAGGTGTCCGCTCGTCCCCGGCATTTCATCACTGCTGACGAGCGGATGGGGCGCAAGTCGCTGGTTGCCGGCTGGATCGCGTCTCTGGTGATCCTCGCGGCTACGATCTGGGGATTCTGCTTCTACGCTCCCCTCACGTACGGAACTCCTGGCCTGGATGTGGCTGGCGTAAACGCGCGCCGCTGGCTGGGCTATGATCTGCACTTTGCCAAGTAATTGACGTCCAGTACGGAGGGTCTCGTGGAAAGCCACACCTCGCCACTATGCTTTGGGTGTCTTCCTCGTGCAGAGATGTCTTCTTGTAAGATACTTTCCTTTGGGAACTAAACTGTTGTTTTCCTTTTTGCAAAATTCTTTGGTTCGAGTGCGTTGTCGGGATGCTTCGTAATGGTGGATTGAAGCGTGCATAGCGATAATAATGAAACTGTTCCAACATTTTATTTCTTTGGAATACTCCAGTCAGCAGTTCCCTCCAGCTGTCCTGCCATTTGATAACCAGACTGGATCGATTACTGATTCCGGCACACAGCGATCACTCAGCCGTGTGTCACGTGACTCGTGGCTTATGTGTGCTGACCAGATCCTGACTGAGCAGCCCATCAGCCAATCCGAGGCCAGCCCGCGGAATTACGGGTGTTCATGCCTGCAATACCAGGCAGGGCACCTTCTCGAAGCGGTATAGCGGAATGCTGACGGGCATCTTGGTAATCGACCGCATCATTGGCGACGATGCTCTATAAGGAATGACAATGACCTCCTCGAGAGGAATTTTCTACCACCTTCGCGTGTTCCTCTTGATTCAGCTATAAATACCCAGTCACCCGTGTCGATGCGACTCCTCCTGTCCTTTTTCATCGCTATCATTGCAATCTATTTCTCTTTCTATACATCCCACTTGAGAAGTCTACTGGAATTGCTTCCTACTACACTGCGACCACAGCCATCAACGCACACAACTACCACTACTCAATTTACCCCCAGAATAGTTCCAGTTACTGAAATGGCTGTTCCTCGCGCTATTCGTCAAGTCTTTCTTGCAATTGAGCAGGCTGAAGGCGCCGGCGCTCGCGTGCGCCGCTCCATCGGCACCGCCAAACTGCGCAACTTCAGCCCCTTCCTGATGCTCGATCACTTCACGATCGGCAAGGGCGCCGGATTCCCCGACCACCCGCATCGCGGCCAGGAGACCATCACGTACCTCCTGTCCGGAGGAGTCGACCACGAGGACTTTGCCGGCAACAAGGGCACAATCGGCCCCGGCGACCTGCAGTTCATGACAGCCGGCCGCGGCATCATGCACGCTGAGATGCCGCACGAGAACCCCGACGGCAGCCCCAATGTCGGCATGCAGCTGTGGGTGGATCTGCCCAAGCAGCTGAAGATGTGCGAGCCGCGCTACCGCGATCTGCGCGCCAGCGAAATCCCCGTCGCCAACGTCGACAACGGCCGTGTCACAGTCAAGGTCATCTCCGGCCAGTCTCACGGGGTTGACTCCGTACGTGACCTGGCCTACACGCCTGTCTGGCTGCTTGATATTACCATCCGTCCTGGCGGACGCATCTCCCAGCCGCTGCCGCAGGGGTGGAACGGCTTCGCGTATACGCTGGCTGGGACGACTGTGTTTGGGTCGAATGACTCGACGCGCATGGTCAAGGAGTTCCACAATGTTGTGTTTGAGCAGCCTGGTGACTATGTCGAGGCGTCGGTGCCTGATAACGCCGAGGCGGAGTCGCGCTTCATCCTTGTTGCGGGCCAGCCTCTCGACCAGAAGGTCGTGCAGTATGGTCCGTTTGTCCTGACCAGTCAGGAGGAGGTTTACCAGGCTATGATGGATTACCAGACTGCGTCTAATGGGTTCGAGAAGTCCCGCGGATGGGAGAGCGAGATCGGAAAGAGGATGGCTTTTTAGAGTGGAGTGAGTTATGGTTTGATATGTGATTGTAATTTTCATGGCTTGTATGATACACATTCAGCGTTTGTCTACTTATATATATATATGCAATAAAGAAAGTTATTGATTTTACTTCCTATTATGTGGTCTCATTTCTCAAGTCACTCAGAAAGTGATTGTTTCTGCCGGCAGAAACATGCCGATAGAAACAATGTCTAGACTCGACTGCAGGCGGTAAATGCCGGCCGTACACGTGATGATAAGCGCGATTGGCATCACCGCCCTCCAATGGTCCAGCACTTCTTCACAGCTGGCATCATGAGAGACGACAAGTAACTCTCTACCTCACCATTAGATGATTTGAAATGAATAAAGTGGCAATTTGGTTTCTCATGTCCGTTTCTCTATGAAGCTATAAATACCTCCTACCACCCTTCCTCCAGGCCACCAGCTTCGGACTCTCTGGAGAAACTCTCAAGACCGAGTGTCTGACACAGCAGCCATGGGTCGACAGAATCGCATTCTAGCATCATTGCTGGTGCTGGCGTGTACAAGCTCGAGCGCCTGGGCGAACAAAAAGGCGTTCAACATTCATGACGATCTACTCGCATTCCCTCAGGTAGCCCCATACCCACCGCCTTCCGTGCATACTATGAAGCTGACGCCCAGATAGTTTCAGGTCCTCTTTCCGGATGAATACATCCTCGAATCGCAGGCTCAGGAGCTCCTCCGGACGCAAGCTGCCTCACCCATCCACGACAACCATGGCCAACAACAGCCCCTCTCCGAGCAGAAGTCGACACAAGTGTACACGGAAGACTCCTCTACCGAACCGCATCCCCCACACGACACCACACCCGAGTTAACCTACGAGGAGATGATTCTCGATGACCGACGCTTCTTCTGCCAAATTCCGCGGGTCGAAACCAATGATAATCGGACGAACGGAAGCGAGCACGCCAGCGAAGCAGACGAGAAGCGGGAGCTTGCCCGCGCGACAGACCGAGGCATGGAACTGCTCCGCGAGATGGAGGGCAAATGCATGTACTACGTGTCCGGATGGTGGTCGTACTCGTTCTGCTACAAGAAACAAGTGAAGCAGTTCCACGCGCTGCCGTCCGGCAGCGGTATCCCGAATTACCCGCCCATGGAAGACCCGACTACGCTCTCGTTCATTCTCGGCAAGTTCCCCAACGCTGATCATGACGACGAGGATGATGCGGAGCCCGAGCGGAGGAAATCTTCTTCCACGTCCTCCTCGTCATCGTCGACTACCGATGTGGCGGAGCTGCAGACCAAAGGCGGCTCCCGGTATCTCGTGCAGCATCTCCGCGGCGGAACGCGCTGTGACTTAACGGGCCGGGACCGCAGGATCGAAGTGCAGTTCCACTGTCACCCGCAGTCGACAGACCGCATCGGCTGGATCAAGGAGCTCACGACGTGTTCCTACCTCATGGTGATCTACACGCCGCGGCTGTGCAACGATGTGGCTTTTCAGCCGCCGCAGCAGGACGAGGTGCACTCCATCGAGTGTCGCGAGGTTCTGTCGGCTGAGCAGGTGCCCGAGTGGGAGGCGATGCGGGACTACCACCTCGCGCAGCAGCTGGTGGATGCTGCCGCCGCCGCGACGCCCGAATTTCCAATTGTGGGGGATATTGAGGTCGGGGCGCAGCGGCTGGTGGGCACCGAGGGCAAAGAGATTGAAAAGGGGCGTGTGGCCTCGGCGGGGGAAGAGAAGGTGGATGTGGTCGCTAAGCGCGAGAACGGCGAGGTGCAGTCATTGTCGCGGGAGGAACTGGAGAAGTTCGATCTTGATCCGAAGAAGATTGAGGACCTGCGTAAGCGACTCGAGGAGTTGGCTCAGGGTAAGGATTGGACCTTGGAGATGGTTACGGCCAACGGCGAGCGCGGATTACGCGGGATTGTGACTACGGATGATGACAGCGACGACGAGGACGCGCGAGAGAGTGCTCAGGGAGAAGACGCTGGCGGTGATGAGGGTACAGCCACGGAGAACCCGTCGCAAGAAACGGCGCCCAAGCGTGAGACGCCCCAGGCCGACGAAGAGGAGGAGGGCAGTGAGGAGATTTTCAAAGATGAGCTGTGATGGGGATTTTGAAGCATTAGTCGTTCAATGTTTTATACCACGTCTTCATAGCAATGTACATGTTTGCACGTATACATACGTATACATACTCTAAAATTAGGCTGGAGAACGTGCAGAAAACGTGACCGCCCTGAAGGAGTGACGATGACCCCATCAACTTCTTCTCTCGAACTTCAACTTCTCCCTCCCTCTCTCTGTCTCCCTTTCCCATCTTCCCTTTCTCCCTGCTACTACATCTCCTAATTCGCCCCATTGAGGTGCCTCTGGCCAGATCCATCACTCGGCAGCTTCTCCCACTTGGTTCCTTTGCCAAGGCTGTCCGTGTCCTCCACCCAAACCCACTCGCTGACCCCCCCGACCGGGTTCCCCATCCACTCTCTCTCCCAACCTCCGAGTCGACCTAACTACTCCCGTCTGCCAACTTGGGATCGTTCCTGCACGGACGGACACGGCATTCTCCTGTCGCCCCAGATCCTATCCCGTCTTCTCTCTCCCTCCCTCGCCCCCTTTTCCCCTCCTCCCCTCGCCGACACAAGCTGCAACGGTTAACCCCCCATCCCGAACCTTGGTTGCCAGGTGACGGCGCCCAACATGGGTTTCCTCGGGATATACACGGCCATCTACGATTACCAGCCCCAGGCGCAGGGTGAATTAGAGCTGCGCGAGGGCGATTTACTCTATGTTCTCGAGAAGAGCGCCGAAGACGATTGGTGGAAGGCCAAGAAGAAGGCCGAGCGGGACGATGAAGACGAGCCGGAGGGTCTCGTACCGAACAACTACGTCGAGGAGGTAAGATCGATGCACCAGACGTTCCATTGATGCGTGAATGAACAGAGCCGATCTGTTGAACGGGCTTCCCATGCTTCCGAACCGGTGTTGGGCTCGGTTGCGCCCAGCGACGCCTCAGGGGTAAAGGTGTACGTAGCATGGCTGACTTACGAACCCTTAGGCCCAACCAGTTCACACCGCGAAAGCGCTCTACGACTACACGCGCCAGACCGACGAGGAAGTCTCCTTCTCCGAAGATGCTGAATTGATCGTGTACGACACCTCCGATCCCGACTGGACCTTGGTCGGCGTCAACTCCGAACTATGGCTTCGCCCCCTCCAACTACATCGAGATCGTAGAGGAGACCTCCCATGCCCCGGCGCCATCGGTCCCATCCCCTCCACCGGCCGAGCCCTCGCCTCCTTCCCTTCCGCAGCGCCCGGCCGCCGTGCCCACGGAAGAACCCAATGGGGCTCCCGCCACCTCCCCTATTGATACCGTCCAGAACCCGGCCGCTGCAGCCATCGCCGATATCATTCACAAGCAACATGCCGCTGCTCCAGAGCCAGAGCCCGCTCGAACTGTACCGCCGCCCCCGCAGCCGTCCTACGAGCCGGAAGACGATTACCACCGGGAGCCGTCTCCTCCGCCACCGACGTTGCCGCGACGGCCTCCCTCAGAACATGTTGCTTCGCCTGTTAGCGCGGAGTCGCCAGCCTCGCCATCCCTGCCTCCGCGTCCCCAGCTTGGCGGACGGCCGGAAAGAGGTCATGTGAAGGAATCGCCCCCGGACAATCGAGTCGGACAACCCACACCCCGGTCACCGTCCGGATACCACATCTACAACATCAATGAGATGGTGGAGGTCATGGGCAAGCGAAAGAAGATGCCGACTACTCTTGGAATCAACATCGCTACAGGCACCATCTTCATTTCGCCGGAGCGAGATGGCGACATGCAGGAGTGGACTGCCGACAAGCTGACCAACTATTCACTGGAAGAGAAACATGTGTTTGTCGATCTCGTACGTCCCAGCAAGAGTGTTGACTTCCATGCTGGCGCCAAGGATACTGCGCGAGAGATCGTTGCTGCGCTTGGGGAGATTTCCGGCGCCTATCGCGCAGAGGGTCTGAAGGAAATCATCGCCGCTGGTTCTGGTGGTGGAGCAAAGAAAAAAGGCCAGGTGCTGTATGATTTCATGGCTCAGGGTGATGACGAGGTCACCGTGGCTGTCGGTGACGAAGTCGTCGTGTTGGATGACACCAAGTCCGAAGAGTGGTGGATGGTCCGGCGCATGAAGAACGGCAAGGAGGGTGTGGTCCCCAGCAGCTATGTCGAGATCACCGGTCTCTTGTCCCCGCCTCCTCCCGCGGCGCGGATTGAGTCCGGCTTGTCTGCGGTGGAGAGGAACCGACTGGAGGAGGCGCGTCTCGCCAAGGAGGCATCGCGCAAATCAAGAACGGACTCGATGGAGTCGCGAGGTGTCGAGGTGAGTACTTTTCGAGAGGCGGGAGTTGGGTCGATCGCTAATCCATATAGGCCCAGCACCAGAAGCGTGAAAGCCGGCACAAGTCAAGTATGTCTCTCATATAAGGTCATGAGTCAATATGATGACGCTAACTGAGTTAGAACCCGATCCGACGAAAACACGGAGCTGGACTGATCGCACCAAGACGTTCACGGTCGAGGCCCAGTTCATCGGTCTTCAGGATGGCAAGATCCATCTGCATAAGATGAATGGCGTCAAGATTGCTGTTCCCATTGCGAAGATGTCCATCGAAGATTTGGAATATGTCGAAAAGATGACCGGCGAATCCCTTGATGAAGACAAGCCTCTATCCGACATTCGACGCCGCTCCCAGTCTCAGCGTGAGGCAGAAAAACCAAAGAAGGCTGCCGCCGGCGCTTCCTTCCAACAGTCGGACTATGACTGGTTTGATTTCTTCCTGAAGGCGGGTGTTGGCCCGCACCAGTGTGAGCGCTACGCTCAAAACTTTGTCAAGGACTCCATGGACGAGAGCGTTCTTCCGGACATCACCCCCGAAGTCCTTCGCACTCTTGGACTAAAGGAGGGTGATATTCTGCGAGTTATGCGCTACCTTGACAACCAATACGGCCGGACGGGTGCGAAGTCCAAGTTGCGTAACGTGAGCTTCGGTGGAGAGGAGGTCATTGGCAATGGCGAGGATGGTGGCCTCTTCGCCGGCCCTGGTGGCATGCTCCGTAACAACACGCGCAAGGGCCGACCGGCCCCTGCTGTTCAGACGGGTGATGTTGTTGATCCCAAGGCTTTCGAACAGAAAGGATGCATCAAAGCCTGCTGAGCGAAAAGACACCCCACCTCCATCTGCTGCTGCGGAGAAGCCCGTTAAGCAGGGCTTCGATGATGATGCGTGGGAAGTGAAGCAGCCGCGTCAACCGGCTCCTTCGTCCGCTCCGGCGCCGACATCTTCTCCCCCAGCTACAGCATCACCTGTAACAAACCACCCAGCCGCCGGTTCAGAAGCAGCTCACTGGGGCGATGGCAGACCTCTCTCTTCTGACCAACCATCCTCCCCTTCAGCCACAACCTTCCCAACCGCCGGCACCTCAAGCCACGGCAGCTCCTGCGATCCAGCCACAGCTAACTGCAGTACCTGCGGCCCAACCGCAACAGCCGCAGCAGACAGGGGCTACTCCTGGGTTCTTCTCCCAGCTGGGACAGCCTGCACAGCAACAGCAGCCTCTGCAAAATGCCGCGCAAGGGTTCAGCCCTCAAGCCACTGGTTTCCAGCAAGCTTCCCGCCAGCGGCCACAGCCTCCTCCACAGGCCTTGGGCTCCAACACGTTGCTTCCTCCCCCTCCCCAGCGACCCCTCTCCGCACCCCAAAACTTCCCCCAGCAATCGAGCACGTTTGGTCCACCTCCTTTGCAGCCTCAGCTTACTGGACTGCCTCAAGTTGGTCCTCCAGTGGCTCCGCCTGGACAGAGTCTCGCCGAACTCCACCAGCAGCGATTCCAACCGAATCTGCAACCCCAACCCACCGGGTTCATGCCGCAGAACCAGTTCCCGAACGGCATGATGCCGCAGCCCACAGGGTTCCAGCCACAGTCTCAATTTTGGGATCCAACAGCAACAAACAGGCTTCCAGGGCCTTGCACCTCAACCTAACGGCGCTTTGGTGTCTTCCAGCCGCAACCCGCAGCAGCCAATGCAAGACACGGCATCAACTCTGTCCTTCCCCCGCCCTTGCAGCATCAGCCACCCGGGTAGGAATGGTGTCAGTAGCGTACCTTTCAACGCATCGCCACCGCCTGTACCCCCGATTCCCCAACAGCCCACCGCAGCGCCTTTGCAGCCTCAGAAGACTGGCCCTGCGCCGCCAGTCAGATTTGGTGTGAAGCCGGACGCTCCGAAGAAGCTTGCCCCGCAACCTACAGGCATGAGGGCAAACCTTGCGCAAGCCAGTAAGTATCATATCCCCAACTTCCAGAATATTGTCCTCTAACATCTCTCTAGCACCTTCGAATCCATTCGGTTTCTGAATCTGACTACCTCTGTTGTATATAACCATGTTTTCTCTGCGGCACATGACCTTTCTTTACTATAAATTATTTACCTTTTTTTTTACCTCCCCACTCTCGCCCCCTGCCCTCTAACGCTGTAATGCGTACCGGAATCTAATTAGTCCTACTAGTCATGGCCCATCATCATCGTCATCTCATCATCCCACGCAGCGAGTTTTGAAGCAATGCCTCGAGTATCTTGTTTCTGTTGCCGCTTCAGCGAGCTAGAATTCCCTTTGTTTTGTTTTGTTTCGTTTCGTTTCGATGCGACATAGGTGATCTGGAAGCCACATCATCCCATTTCTTTTGTTTTGTCGTCTAGGATTCTGCGTGATTGCGCAAAATGTGTTGTCGCGCAGTATTGTTGGCACTGTTTGGAGTTCTGTCTGCTTATTTGGATTGGACTCAGGATCCCTTCTTGCAATTCAAGTTTCTTGTATGGTACATAAGTCATGGTATTGTCTTCTGATAAATATATTGTTTGTGCCTCTGCCGTTATAGTAACAGATCCATGAGCGAATATGAACATATTTGACCAGCAATCGTGAGGTATCACAGAACGAAAATTGAGTAAATGCCCACGGAGATTGACCTGACCAATTTGGGAAATTTCCGCTTCTATTCCATTCCCATCCACCGACCCTTTCTCCCAATCCTATAGCATTAAATGAACAGATACAAAACAGATATAGCCCCGGAATGCGCCAATCGCTGTTCATTCATCATTTCGGCTCATCGATTTCAACGCCAGAGAACCAAGCCCAGCATGGCCTCTTCGGCGACAATAGACAAAATCGATATATCAAGTAAGAAAAGGCCATAGATATCATGCAAGGTCATAAATCGTAACACAGTGTCCCATGACGTGGGACCCGTTTAAGGTAGGGGAGAGATCAGCTGTGTCATGTTCTATCACAGAGTGGCATCCTCCCAGATCCCAAAGACGGGAACGTCCTCGGTCAAATAGAGGAGGCTATTTTCAGGGAGGAGCACGTCGGAGAGCGGAGTGTTGCCTCGGGGATCTGAAATGCCCTGGCGATCGAGTGCACCGCCCAAGATGGTGCCACCCGGCGAACAGCCGACGGGAATTCCGGACGTGGTGAGGGAAGAGATGGTGGTATCGTAGGGGAGTGAGGCAATGCCATCGGCGCCGCAGAGTGTGTCCCAGATATCGTGTTCAGGTTGCGCCGGCGTCGGAGTCGGCTGTGGGGGTTGCGGAGACTGGAGAACAGATTGCGGAGGGAGAGAGCCGGTATATTTTTCGGGGGAGAGGGGAGATGGAACGGCAGATTCGGGTCGACGGTTGGTTCTCGTGGTGTTGTCCATGGGGGACGACTCATTGCCAGGGCCGACTTGACCGAAGAGTTGGTCAACTTGCCTGCTGCGGCGTTCCATCCACTGGCGATTTCGTCGGCGGACGTATTCCGCAACTGCACCCCGTAGGTATTTGATTATTTGAAAATAGCGACAGGCGTGCGGATCATGGGTTGCTAAAAGCTCCAGGAACTTCTCGGCCTTGTTCATGCCTTCTTCCAGCGGGAGGAGGTTGTCGTAGTCACCAAAGAACGCAGCCCCAAGCACGACGGCCGAGTTGAAAACCGAATTCATCAGAAATGGTAATCGCCGGGGTAGGTTTTTGTGTTGGGCCACCTCATCGATGATATTCAGACCCCGTAATGCGGAGTAGACACAGGCGTCCGAGAAAAGCGCGATACGGTTCGACTCCGACAAGCCCGTGGACTCGTTCTTGCTCTTCACATACTGTGCAACTCGGTAAATAAGAAATGGCCTGGTGAGGAGAATGATCGACCAATAATATGACCCAAAGACGTGCGCCGCAGCCAATGTACCTTCGAGGGTTTTGGTACCATTCTGCTCAGTCTGCATCTGGAGGAATGCAGGCACATTCCGAACCCAAGCGCGGTGCTGATTAGAAACAGCCTCTGCCACGCTGATGGAGACTACTTGTCTCATATAGACTTCAGTGAGGATCCTCTCGAAGATACGACACAGCCAAACGACAGTGAGGGACAGCTGCTCGTCCGGCTGCAGACGTTGTTGATCCTCGGCTGGAAACATGTCCTGCCGGGGGTCACAATCGAAGTCGGAAGTTGCCGGCGGTCGTCCAAGGGACGCGCTGAGAAAGAGGTCCATCATGCGCAGACTCTTCCACACTCGCTCACGAGCCCGTCTCTCACGCGTGCAAAACAGCACATTTGCTTCCTTCCTATGGATTCCGACCGCGTATGCGGCGCGAAGAGCAATGCCCAGGTTCATGAAAGCCCCGTTGCGTCGGCAAGCCCCTAACATATACATGGTTATCAAGATATACGACTGGATAGTGGATATGCTGGGCGTTTCGGTAAAGGCTGCGAATGCCAGCCGACGCCCACTGAGGAAATATTGTTCGGCTGTGGACTGATCGGTACTCGAAACCTGCGCGCCAATGGCAAGGACAAGGTAAAAGATCGAACTGACAGTGTCCTCGTCACCCGTTGGATTTTCGACCCAGTTGGCGAGGCGTGGATGGAACTCATTAAGATCGAACAGGTCGAGTAATGGGCTGGTTGCGAGGAGGAACTGACGGGCCAACTGCTGAGCCTCGTCATTGTTCGGAGGCTCGATCAAGGTTCGCATCTGGGTGGAGGAGTTACTCTGGAAAGCTTCCAGCATGGAGTGGCGCGAATTATCTTCGGTGAAATCGCAGCGACCGATGGAGGAAGACACAATTCGCCGGACGCTTTGCAAAAAGGACAGGCTCGCCGAGTCGCCGATGTACATGAATTTCCCTTGGCCATCGCGCAGAAGTCGCGCCACCTTCGGCACCGGGGCTATTCCATCTTTGTCCTCGGCAGCTTCGTGTTCCATTGTCGCACCCTGGTCTTCGAGCGAATTCAACAGACGATCCATGGCGGTTTGTCGTTGCGGGGTCGCGACTAGATGTTCGCTGAGGAGCATGGTCTCTTTTGACGCATTGCTTGGTTTGAGTAAACGAGCGGGTTTATCCGAGAAATGGCATTCTGATTCCTTATGGCGCTGGACACAGATCGTACATGGTTGTTCGCCGTTACATTTCTGTTTCCTCCGTTTACAGCTGTCGCAGGCTCGTCTGCATCGAAGACGAGCCCCCGGGGCGGTACTAGCTCGGGGCATGGTAAGAGGGCGAGGAAGGCCGCGGAGAGAGAGGAGGTAATCGTGGAGATCGACTATGGAGGCTGAATACGGGGTAAAAGAGCTGCTCCTGTACGGCCGGAACGCGGGGTCTCGGGGGTCGATGAGTTGCCAGTCAGACCCGGCGCAGCTATATGAACGCCGGACGAGGCATCGCTTCAGTATAGAAGAATACAGGAGACAATTAACGAGTGTGAGGTGGGGTAGGAGTGGTTGGGGAAGAGGAAGCGCAAGCGAGAGAGATATTGGTGATGGTGAGGTCCGTTTCTTTCCCCAGAAAGGACCGACCATCTCCACGGCTGATTAATCACCTCAGCATCAACTCATCACATTCAGTTACTCCAATCAATATCATCAACAGTCTCACGATTACACCTCAATCGCCTTACACGAACACTACTATGTACAGCTATCTTGCTTATTCAGGACGGAAAGACACAATCTTTCCCCAGGTGTCCGCGGTACCCCAAATGCCGTGGCGGAGACAGGACAGTTGCACGATCTGGCTGTGATCCACAAACAGATTCACATCGATGCCAAACTCCCGGATGTACCAGTTGTATACCTTCGGATCGGCTGCCTCAAACATGACCCTCTCAGGGGGGAGCTCCTTCATGATCTTAGAGACGACATCCGTCCTCCACGACGTGACGTTCTCCGTAATCCCCTCGGACTCAATCATCAAACGCTCCACGCCGGCGTTGAGGAACTTATGGCCCAGGTTTACCAGCTTCCCCGGGTCCGAGGTGCCGATCGCTTCAAGCCCAGAGGCCGGCGTATCCCCACCGGCACCGAACTGGATTCCTAGCTCGGGCTTCGCCTTCAACTTGTACGAATGGACCTTGTCAACTAACCGCAGCCAGTCATCCTCAGGGAAGGAGAGAAAACCAGAAGACAGCTCGATCACATCGAATCTGCAAATGTCAGTCACCAGGCAGGAACCAGTGATTCATCACACGCCGGGGTTGACATACCCTAGGTCCTTGCATTTTGTAAGGTACTTGTCAAAGACACTGTTCGGGTCTGGGTGGGTAAGAAGGTGCTCAGCCCAGCCTCCCTATCCATCGCCAAGTCAATTAGAGCCCTGGACTATGCCCACAAGGGAAGGGAGCTCACCGTCGAAACATATACGCCATATTCGTGGGCAAGATCGGTCAATTCTCTTAAGGACTTTTCGGGGAATAGGGAGAAAGATCCTGTACTTTTCAGACGCGCTCAACCCAACAAAATGCGCTCTCACTTACCTCCAGCGAACTTGAGTCCATCCACATGGGTTCCCATCCTGCAGAGTGTTATTGACGCCTTTTGTCTCAATTGGCCTCTTCCACCTTACGTTTCCAACACATCAGCGAGATATCGCTTTCCCATCACCTACAAGCCGTTACACTTAAGTTAGGTTGCGTGTCGACCAATTGACCACCGACTCGCTCGGCCGACCACACTTACCGAGTAGTATGGTCCTCTGATCTCAGTCACCCCCTTACTTCGAGGTTTGGACGGTCTAGGGTTCGATCGGGCGAATCCAAACCCATTGTCCTTGTCCTCAAGCAAGGTGACTTCCTTCTTCGCGGGGCCAGTCGTCGATAGTCCTCTCGTCAGTCCGGCCGACGCAGCGACTGTAGGGCCCTGTCGCGCTGCAAGGCCGATGAAACGGCTTGCCGCCGGGGCAATGCGCGGTGCAGAAAGCATCTTTATTTCGATTTACAGGTCGATTATACAAATGGAACTTCGAAGATTATGTTCTGATATGAGGCGGCACGAGATGAAAACAAAAACTGCTACTAGTTGGGCTTTGATGGAGGGAGCTAATATAAACCATGTAGGTGCCGACTCGGAACCTCTTCGTGCGATGTGGTATGAGGCGCCTGACGTAGAGCTTAGCTCACTCGTGGAGCTTGAGAGGGATAGCCACGAATGATATAGAGCTGCAGTCTGGTTTGGATGGGAAGTCACTGGTGGTGTTAACATGACGTCATGTTCAACTCAGGACCGTTGCAGTTGTAGACGGAACCAGTCACTGTGCTATTTAACGGCATGGGCGAACTGTTGAGGTGGACGGGTAGAGGAAAAGAGCTTCAGTACTCCGTATAGAACGTGGAAAGCTCGGTGGCCGGAAGGAAGTGTCGTCTACAACGATGCCGGGCCATGGTCGATCCTTTCGTAGATCCGAACGCTCCCGCTCGGGGAGGTTGATGTTCCGCTTACAAACACATGCACAACACCTACATAAGCCTTCCGAGGTTGACGGAGTATAAATACGGAAGTCGCCCGAGTCACCGAGTCGCCGAGGCGGCTTTTGTAACCTCCGTCTCCGATCTGACAAACGGTATCAAAACAGGTCGATACTCCCGGAGGTACGATAAGACCGACGCCCATGGTTCTCCTTCCAGCCCACTCAGAGTGTCGCTCGGTCTTCTGAGAATTTGGCATTTGATCTGGCTCAGGTTGTGGTAAGACGTGAGACAAGTACGTGTCGGAGCGGGGAACTACTAACTAACGCCAAGCCAGGGCCGAGGTATGGGTGGAAAAGGGGGTAAAGAGACTTATCACATGAAACAATTGTTTGTTCTTCTTGGGTAAGGGAGCGGTCTCTTAAAGGCAAGAGAGGATCAACGCAACACCGGGGAAGTGGTCAGCAATATGTACCTCTCTGGAGAAAGAAACGGTTCATAAAGAGCATGATGGATTAATAATGCCCAAGCATAAAAAGAATGCAAGTGGGGATGTGGATGCACTAAGCCTCATAAGGCTTAGGGGCAAACAACAAGGCTGAGGATTTTCCACGGATTTCCTTCATTCTGGAACCTCATCGATGTTCATGACCAGCCATGAGGTCATTGTTCCATGCATTATTATGCCGACAGCGCTGTGAATTGAATGCCTTGATTCAGGTGCAACAAAAAGCGACGCATTCAAGCATTCAAGTAAGACGGACACACTAACTGACCGCCGACACGACAGATCAGGGATCCCATGACCTGTCTAGACTCCAAAGAGCAATCGCCCATCTGCCCACTTGCCTCAACCGACGATCGTGGACGAATATAAATCGAAGATGAAGCTTACATACACTACTTTATGGTTAACCCCACCAATGCTCGATAACGCCGAGCCGGATCTCTGAACTGGTTTGTTCCGGGATCCGACGACTCCGTCGGTTTGTTGGCTAGAGCGTTGCTGATCGCGTGTCCTCCCCGTACAGATTCTGTAACTGGGAGGTAACGACCTCGGGGACTGATGCCCAAGGATGTCTCTATCCCAGAGGTCAGGTTACACCAGGACATGCAGCTATGCTACAAGCCACTTTAACGGTCATTTGGAAGCTTCGTTGTCTATAGTTGATAGATTCAAGGAATATTCATTGGAAATTGTACCTCCAGAGCTCTACTTCGGAGTACCTGGGTATTCTATCGTACGTCAGAATACACTATCTCAGGAACGAACCCTGGTAGTACCTCATCAATAATCACTGGAAACAAGGCCGCGGCTGGACTCGTTAGTTATTAGGTATTACGTCCTCCCGCACCCTGCAAATATCAATAAATATCTGACGGTCCCACGCCTCCCAACATCCCCGTGCTGTGGCAAGTGACCTCCCGCTGACGATATCATACATAGCTACCTAACCTACATACTCTCTTTTCCCTTGCCGCTTTCACGGTTCCTGTTTTTAGCTATATTCCTGCCCATGAGGTCTATCCATCCCTCTTTCTTCAATATCTAACTCTTGACCTCAACGCCGCCGTTTACTTCCTACGCCTCCCGCAACCCTCACCGCCATGGGAGTGGGCGCGATCCTGGAACCGTTAGTCGTCATCGTGCTTCTTTTCGGAGGCACTTGGATTAACCGATCAACTGCTCCCTTCTCTGCTACACGATCAGCTCGTCGCCGGTCTGACCCTGTTCACCTATCGCGTGACCCTTCTCCCGACTCCATCGAATCCGGTCTTCAAACCCCCACCGTCAAAGATGGCCTGCTAAATCGGCGCGCGATATCTCCTTCTCTGCTGCAGCTGGAACAAGAGCCCGCTAGATGGCGTAAGAGGACTATCGGCCTCCTCCGCTGGACCACCGATGCGACATCTCCAAACACCGCGATTTTCCAAGATCGTTTCCTCAGCCGCCTACTACGCAAGCTTCCCTTCCTCGCCGAATGCTGGTATTGGGCGTTGGTATACTGGGTACGCTGACCGATATTCATACTCCATTGTTTTGCATTCGTATCAAGAACTAACATTTCGCAGACGTACCAACTTGGACGAGCTTTCACCGCCGTTACGCTCCAAGAAGGAACTGTCGATGTAGCAAGGAAACATGCTCTACAGCTTATCCGGATTGAGAAGGCCATTGGGATCTTCTGGGAGGTCCCGATCCAGCAATTTTTCCTGCGCCATGGCACTCTGATGACCTGGATTAACTGGATCTACTCCTTCATCCACATCCCCGGAACCATTGCGTTCCTCGTCTGGCTATACTACTACACCATCACGCGCAACCGGTTCGATGAGTCTCAGCCAGGCAAGCCTCGCGGCGTCATGAGCGGATCTCCTGCCGGCCCGCGCCTCTACCAAGCTCGCAGACGGACGCTGGCGGTGTGCAACCTTCTCGCGTTCGTCGTCTTCACCCTGTGGCCATGCATGCCGCCTCGGCTATTGAGCGACAAGAGCGTCGAAGGGCCGGATGGGGAACTCGGACGCAGCTATGGCTTTGTAGACACGGTGCATGGAGCCAATGGTGCAGGGAGCGTTTGGACAGAAAACCGATTCTGTAACCAATACGGTGAGTTGTCTTCTCCCGCTAGTCCCTTTGCCAGCTAATTTTTCTCAGCCGCCATGCCCTCCCTGCATTTCGGGTATTCCCTAATGATTGGCTTGACTATCATGACCATTCCCCTGCCCCCGCAGCATCGACGTGCGATCACGAAACCCCGCTGGCTTCCGTGCTGCTTCGGGAGGAGAATGCCGTCGTGGCGTCGCATGATCTGTCTGGCCGTGGGATTCGCCTATCCATTTATTATTTTGGTGGCGATTGTGGCGACGGCCAATCACTTCATCCTCGACGCGGTGGCTGGGGCTGTGGTGTGCGCTGTCGGATGGTGGTCGAACGGCATTTTGCTCAACCTGTTGCCAGTGGAGGACTACTTCCTGTGGGTTGTCCGGATACACAAGCCGGAACCGACAGCCACGGAGGTTGACGATATCGATGGATGGTTGGACGACAATACTCCTGAGCATACTGCCCTTCCGGAGTAAGTGGGATTGGTCTTTTCTTTCTTTTGGTCCTAGTAGACTTGGCTTGTTGTTTAGGCATAATTAATGTAATATAGCAGCCAAAACATAATGATAGTTTCATCTTCGGATCGGATCGGATGTGGAGGTACACGAAGTGAGTATTAGCATCGTCTGCATATCATTGAGAGTCCAGAGTACACGAAATATATATTCCAGTTTCATTCATTCCACACCTCCCAAACCAAGTATTTCCTAGAATTATTCAAATATATAGAAGAGAACATATCGACTATAACCCTCAAATCATCTCATAACATTGAGAAGGCCGGCCGAGTTGGAATGCTCAGGGATGGTGGTGACGGTGTGACCGCCGACGATTCGTCGACCCTCTTATTAACCACCACCTCCAACTTTCGTCCTTCTCTTAACGCTCTCCCAACCTCTACCAACAACTTCGAGCTTGTATTCTCCCAACCCACCTGCTCTTCTCTAGATCATTGCAATCGCAAAGTACCCCCCGCGCAAAGTAGTTCGTCCAGGTCCGTACGGTAACTACCCGACTTCGTGAGAGTGATTGGATACCAGGTCAGTTCTTCTCTGGGTACGCTGGACAGTCGTTCTAAACTCTCGCCAGGAATCTCCTCTTAGAGCCAGTGAAATCGTGGTGTCTGCTCGCGGACAGTTACTGTTTGTCAGCCAGCCACTGCAATTGACGCTGGTTTGAGGACTGTCGGGTGTGCTAATCGCGCGCGTTGATCCCAATCCCTATCGGTGCTGTTATCATCATCGTCGCTCTTCCTACTGCTCGTGACGCGCCTTTGGAGGCACTGACACCTCCTGGAAATCTTTCGTCGACGTCGAGCTGTGCGTGGGTAGCCTGTGTGATCCCCGCAAGCACGGACGTGTCCCTAGTCTCTGCTGCGGTCGCGCCTCTTCCACATTGAGCTCTCGGAGGGATACGTGTACGACAGCCATCGGAGCGAACCGCTCGAGAAATTACTTCAGAAACGAAGCCAACGCGCTACGTGAGTTCGCGAGTGAATCCCCCATCCACCGGGCGCAGGGAGTGAGTGCGGTTGGCCGTTGCGTCATTTGCGGGTAGGCGTCGCTTCCCCCCCCAAAAGGTTGAATGCACGCGTTGTTCGACCGTCTTCCCGCCTCCCGTCGCGACCTTCTCCACCACCTCACTTTCTCCCACTCCTAACACCTCCCCAATCTCCGTCCCGTCCATCCACCCCCCATTGACCGGACGTTTTTCTAGATCCTGTCATCTTCGCCTGGACGCTTCGCTCGTCTAATTCTTCCTGAGTCCCGCTGTGTATCATATCATGGCTGACGACACCCCTGCCGCTCCGGCGCCTGAGGCCGCTGAGCCTTCTGTTACTCCTGCTGAGGCCAAGCCCGCTGAGAACTCCGCCCCGGAGGCCCCCAAGGAGAAGGAGGAAACCAATGGCTCGGAGGAGAAGCCGTCAGGTAAGCAGTGCAGAATTTGTTCATCCCTTCCGCGACTCCCCCGTGCACGGCGCGAAGAGGGACCGCGACGGGGTGTCGTGTGTCGCTCCTCTCTAATGGCGCGCGCTAACATCTCGTGATATTTTTGGCGCAGACAACGTGACTACTTCCGATGACAAGAAAGAAGAAGCTGGAACCGCGGCCGAGAAGGCCGACGCGCCTGCGGAGACCACCGACGCGAAGGAGCCCGCGGCTGCGACCGCCCCTGCGGACGGGGAAGCTGCGCCAGAGCCGGAGGCCAACGGAACACCCGCATCGGCGAAGAAGTCCAGCAGCTCGAAGCGCAAGTCCACTGGCGGATCCGGATCTAAGCTCAGTCGCAAGAAGTCGCAGTCTCGTATCACGCATCTGCACGCGAAGCCCGGCGAGTATTATCTCGCGCGACTCCGCAGCTTCCCTGCCTGGCCGTCGATCATCTGCGATGAGGAAATCCTCCCTCAGTCCCTCTTGAGCACGCGTCCCGTGTCGGCCGCTCGTCCCGATGGATCCTACCGCGACGACTACGCAGACGATGGGAAGCGCGCCCATGAGCGCACCTTCCCGGTGATGTTCTTCCAGACCAATGAATTGTGAGTTGCTCATTTCGTCTCGTCTGAAGTTCAATTTACTAACGTGGACAGCGCTTGGATCCCCAACACCGACCTGACCCCTATAGATCCCGCTGCTTGCAAGGACGTTTCCCCGAAGAACAAGAGCAAACAGCTCTTGGCTGCTTACGCTGTTGCCGCCGAAGGCCATGATCTCCAGTACTTCAAAGAACTTCTCGCAGACCACCAGCGTGCGCTGGAGCAGGAGGAGGAAGAGCGAGAAGCCCAGGCCGCTGCAAAGGCTGCCGCCAAGGCCGAAAAGGACGCGAAGAAGAATAAGAGAAAGAGTATGGAGATCGTGGATGATGAGGACGTGGACATGGAGGATGCCGATACCGCCAAGAAGTCCAAGAGCTCGAAGAAACGGAAGAAGGACGCGGAAGACGACGACGAGAAGGTGCGCCTCCTGCCTCTGATTATTGTCGACTCGAACTAGCTAACATTCAATATCCCCAGCCCGCGAAGACTCCCAAGACCGGAACTAAGCTGAAGTTGACCACCCCCAAGACTCCTGCCAGCGAGAAGAAGACCCCTGCCTCCAAGGCTAAGCAGTCGGCCTCGACCAAAAAGTCCAGCAAGGGTGCCACCAGTGATGAGGGTGAGGAGGGTACTCCCGCGGACGTCAAGGAGACGGCCAAGCCGGTCAGCCAGGAGGAAGCCAAGGTCAAGAAGGAGAAAGAAAGTATGTGCTAAGCTCTCTTTTGTGCACTTAAAAAAGTCGAGTGGGTCGCTAACGTGACGCGAGTAGTTCTTTTTGTCCGTCACAAGCTCCAGAAAGGTTTCATTTCCCGCGACCAGCCTCCGAAGGAAGAGGAAATGACCATGATGGACAACTACTTCACCAAGTTGGAGAAACACAGCGAGCTCGAAGTTTCCATCATCCGGAGCACCAAGATCAACAAGGTTCTGAAGATGATCGTCAAACTCAGCTCTATCCCTCGCGATGAGGAATTCCAGTTCCGACAGCGGGCCATCACTCTCCTTTCCAAGTGGAAGAGCGTACTCGATGCAGAGGCTCCCGCAGAGGACAAGAGCGACAAGCCGAAAGCCAACGGCCTTCAGAAGGAAGAGAGCGTGGACACCCCCGCCCCCGCCGAACTCGAAGGTGAGAAGGAGGAGGAGTCTAAGCCGGCCGCTGCCGAACCTCAGGACGAGAAGATGACCGATGCTGATGCTGCGGAGCCCGCCAAAGAGGACTCAGAGAAGACTGCGCCCAAGACGGAAGAGTCCGCAGGAGCAGAGAAACCGGCCGAGGAGAAGACCTCCGATGAGAAGCCTGCTGAAGAGAAGCCGGCAGAGGCTACTGCTTAAGTGCCATCCGACATGACAATGCGGTTGTTTCGTTATGAATGCGCTTGCTATTACTCCATGGTTGTCTAGCATGCGGCTAGCTGGGCACGTTTGCTTCATTCTTCCTTATCTCCCCTTTTTGGCATCACCATCAATGAATGACTTTTCAGTCTGTTAATAACTACTTGACCGACTTAGGCTCCAAGCTTACGGCGCTAAGAACCATGTCACAGAAAAAGTCTTTTGACTCCATCCATTTATTCCCTGCTAAAGATCTAGCCCACCCACTGGATTAGTTAGCCTTGGGTTGAGACTCCAGAGATTGGGAGTCTGTTATGTCTTGATTGTCTTTGGTTTGTTGTATTGTCTGTGTATGTTGCTCAGGGTTTCTCATGTGTTTGTGTTAGTTCATTGAGAATGTTAGTTACCAACTTTCTGGTTGTTGATTCTGCGAGAGCTACATTCTAGTACAGTCTCAAGTTCTTGGCCACACCTATGGTTTGAAGGTTCAGGTGTTCAATGAATTTCAATGAATGAGTAGGTAGTCTAGCAGCCGCTCGTTACCCAGTAGACTCCCAGTCCCTATCTATGATCTATCTATGTATCTTGTGCAGAGCTCTATAAGAAAGACGTCCATACCCCACCCCATATATTACGCATAATGCGGACCCAACCGGAAAGTACACCTGAGAAAACGTAACGAAAGCCCAGCGAATGGATGCAAGAGACAGACCGCCCTGATACAAATACAGTGTATATATATAGTCGATCGTCTTGGTCGGTATAGTCCAGAAGGAAAGATTCGCCCAAAGAAAAAACGCAGCCGAATGCGAGAAGCAAAATCCACGCCGGAAGAGAAAAGAAAAACATCACGAGGACGCGCCGTATCCCTCTTCCACGGCGATCAGAATCAACACGCAGATGTCGTCGACCTTGCCGCCACGGTAGTAGTCGCCTGGGTAGTAGCGCTGGGCTTCTTTGGCGAAGGGCCCGTCGCGGCGGAGGTCCATGCTAGCGAGCTTGGCCTCGCCGGCGATGGTGGCGGCGAGTAAGGCTTGCAGGGTGGAGATCTGGTTTGGATCGGAGGCCGGCTTGTCTTTTCGCGTCGGCTTTGGGTTTAGGGAGGAGAGACGCCAGACCGTCTGGAGCGGTCAGCTGGTCCAGGTTGGCGGAGGGTTTGATGCCCAGATCGAGGGTTGCGGTCCAGGCGCCGGTCAGGACCATGCGGCTGGTGACGAGCTTGAGGATATCCTGGTTGTTGAGGTTGTCGAAGACGCCGTCGGTGGCGAGCATGAGGACGTCGCCGTGCTGGAGCTGCAGGTTGGTGACGGCGGCGTCGCGGGGAAAGTCCTCGAGGAAGGCGCCGCCGAAGATGGAGGCCTGGGTGCGCATGCGCGGATGGGATAATGCTGAGCTGGTAGGGCGTGTTGCAAGCCATGGGTCTGCGGGACCGGAGTAGTGATAGCACCGCGGGCGAGACGCAGGAGCACTGACCCGGAGTCGGCCGAGGTTTGGCCAGCTCGACGCGGCCGTCGTCCAAGGGCTACGCCCCACTGATGCCGTGCTGCCGCCAGCGCGGATCGATTCGTCTGCGACAACCTGATCGTACCCGGATTGGAGGATCTGCTTGGGCCGCAGTTGCTCTGCCGGAGCGTCCCAGTCCAGCGCAGACTGCGCCATGTAGCTGCACAGGGCGTGCGAAAAGTCCGCCGGGTCGACGCGGGACTCGGCCCAGCCGCCGACCCCGTCTGCGACGGCGAACGCAACCGCCCCTGGGTTGTTCTGGTGACCGATTCGGCTCACAAAGAAGGCATCCTCCCCGCTGTCTGGTCTGCGTTTCCGGCGAAGGCCGGGGGTCCGCGGTGTCGAGGGCTACCCCCAGGGCATTGTGGAGGTCGGGGTTGAAGTCATACGCGTTCTTTGCGCGATGGAAACTCCGGCCTTTACCGG